TCAAACAACATGACCTTGTTCTTCTCATACTTGAGCTCCTTCTTTAATAGTGTACCAAACTGTTTCGATCCAATGTCACCAGCCCAGTACTGCTTGATAAGATCCAACACTTCAGGTGCGACTGATGCTGATACTTGTTGCATTGATTTCATGTCCTGTATTCGCTTCGCCTGTATCGCATCATCTTTTAATTGTCTCTGCAGATCCCGTCTCTCATCTTGGCTGATTGTTGCTGTCCTCAACTCCTTGCCCAGCTGATAGTAGAGTGTTGTTGGGTTGGTCAAGGTCGCGTCTCCATCCATGTATCTCTGTATGATTGGTTCCACCTTTGGAGTCAGCTCCTTGGGTACGTCCTTGATTGCCTTGATACTGGATGCTGGGATGGATAATCTCTTGTTAGTTGTTGTCGTTGTAGTGGTAGTAGTTGAGGTTTGTGGAGGAGTGCTGTATGGCGATGTTGCCTCTGGCTCTGTCTTTACCTTTGGAACATCAATAAGTGTTACTTCGGGAGCTAACACCGGCGATGGTCCCGCTGGTGGAACAGGCTTGGGTAACGTGCTGGGAAATGGCTTCTTGAGTAGTGAAGGCTTGGGTTGTTTCTGTTTCGGCGCCGCTGCCGCTGCCATAACCTCTAGTGCTTTCATGTTCTCAACAGTCTTTTGCTTCTCTCTCTCTGCCCTCTCCAACTCGCGTTCCAATCGTTGTTCACTAACAGCCTCGTCCAGCATTCTCTTGACATCGCCATCATCCAGTTGGTTCCTGATAAGTTCAATCTTTGTATCGATATATTCTAGTTTATCGTTATCAGGTAACTCTTGCTTGTTGATTGTCTTCCTCTCCATAAGTAACTTGTCGAGCTTGGACATCATGTTGTTGTGATCGCGTTCACGTGCTACTGCCAGCCTTGCCCTCTCCAACTCATGCCTCTTCTGCTCTACAGCCGCTTCGATTTCCAGCTTGTCAATGTCTTGTTGGAATCGCTTGTTGAGTGATTGCTTGATGTCCAAAAGGTTGGCATGAGTCTGCTCGAGCAATCCATGAGTTGCGTTCTGTCTCTCGAAGATTCTGTCAAAGTTCGGTTGCTCATCGCTCTCATCTTCATCATCTGATTGAGGTGGCGTCACATCCTGGAACACATGGACAACGCGGTCACCTTCATTGATACCATGCTCACCAATCTCATGCGCTGCTGCTGGTATTGCTGCATCGAGTAATAGTTGTTCTGGTGCTGGCAGTGCTGGCGCTGGTCGCTCATGCTCCTTGACAATCGCGTCGACCTTTGCTCTTGTTTGTTGTTCCAAGTCTCTGGCATTCTTGATCAGCGCCTCTCTAAAGTTGGCATCCTGTATTGATCTAATGTATGCTCCTTCTGCTGGTGTCATGTGTGATGAAGTTGAGGGTCAGTTTGGGTTTGGAGTTGGATGCCTCTGCCATCAGCTTCTTGATCAATTCCAAGTCTGACTTGCGTGACTTGATGTAAACTCTCCCCTTCTTACTTTTGATATATCGGCCATTCTTGTCTCGTCGTAGCCTCGCTGGTCTGATCTTCTTTATCTTGACTCTGAGCTTCTTGCCCTTGGTGCTCTCGCTGATCTCTAAATGGACGTCATGTCTAACCATTATACATATATATGATCGTTAGAATTTACGTCAAAGCAAGCTCCTCCTCAATACAGCAAGCTAGAATTTAGTCAGTAGTCTGTGTTTGAGTATGTCTGATCGCAGAGGTGGACGTACGATTTGTTGTGCGATTGGAGCAACTGGGACAGTAGTATTTTGAACGACGATTGGCTCTGGCTCCTTGAGCTTCTTTTGATTAGTCTCCCAGTTGTTTATCTTCTCCATCAACTCATCAAGTTTCTTGTCCATCAGATCAGTCTTGTTGACACGAGGTTTGGTTGCTCGTAATGGTTTGGGCTTCTCTGATTCGACAACAATTGTCTTTGGTTGGTCGACTGTAGCTGGTGGTTGTTGATCACCATCACCATTATCTCCATCATCATCAGAGTCATACAAGACATAAGCACTCTCTTTCAATGCTTTCTGTTCTTCTCTCCACTTTGCCAAGTTGGCTGCTGATCCTGCGTAACCTCTCTTTATTTGTGGCATTGTTATTTTTTAATAATATTAAATCAATGAGTCTGATCACCCATAAGAGGATCTTTTATGTCAATTCGCTGAACAGGTTGTCGGGCACAATCTCTAATTTTAGATACAACATAGAGTGTTATGAACATGATGACTTTGATCGAGTTGCTGTGTTACAAGCTGCTTGCATTCCCAAGTCTTTTTACACTGTACCCAGAAATAGAAACACATTCACACTTAGAGAGAATGATCAAGAGGTTGTAATAACAATACCTGTTGGCAACTATTCAAGGTTATCACTTCAAGACACAATACAGACACAATTAATACAACAATCACCCAATCAATTAACATATTCAATCACATGGCCAACATCTAAACAACCAAACACAGGTAAATATACATTCATTTGTTCAAGCGATAAGATTCAGGTAGCATTGATATTCAATGACGCTGACCTCTTCCATCACCTAGGTTTCATGATTTTGGAAACAACCCCAATTCACAATATCCACTCAGGGAGTCTCAGGGAGGATCAAATCATCCAAAAAGAGTAACAGTGTCCAAACAGGGAGCCAGGGAGTCGATGGTGGAAGGATTTCTTTCTATTATTAAAAAGTTTCCACCATTGACTCCCCAACCTCCCTATGTCGATACACATCCTCTTTTTCCCCAAATTCCCTATCCCTATTCCCCTCCCTTCCCTCCCCAAGTTGCGACGGATACACTTTTTGTTCTATTATTATTATTATTATTATTATCCTCCCTAGACTCCCAAAAAAAAAATAATAATAATAAAAGAGAATAGATAAAAGAATATATAATTAATAAAGTTGAAGGAAATAATGGAATCCGCGAAGCGGATGTAATGTTGGATAGGGGCCCCCCGAGTTATACACACACCCTGTGCCCAATGAGTTATGTTGTTATCGACCAACATACTGGAGTCGATGATGCAGTTTGTCTTGCTCGTCACGATGATGGTGCTTCCGAAGTGATGTTGGTGAAGATGCAGTTGCTGATGTTGAGTGAGCCATAGTTGGTGGATATGATTGAGAATGGGAGAGCAAAGTTGGAGAACTTGGAGTTGAGAATGGTCATGTCCGCAGTGCCAAGGTCATAGGGTATGTACACGGAGGCACCGCCATCAAAGTGGGCTTCATCAATGGTAACATCACCACCAGATGGTATGCCGATGGTAACCAGACCTGGGGTGCCCATCTCCCCAAAGTAAGAGTCCTGAATCAGAAGACGCGTCCAAAGGGGAGGAAGATAGTAGTCCATATGAGAATGAGGTGAAGCTGGATGATTGAATGCTGATATCCGCCATGTATGACCCGTGACGATCAGGGTCAATCTCGAATGCTATAGACATATTGTTCCCAATTGATGAAGCTGTAATGTTGACCACGGATATAGTGATCAGGATGTGGAGGAGATACCCGAGAAGATGGCGTGCAGGGGTATCTTCACGTTGTAGATGTTGAGAGTGAGAGGAAGGTCACAATCACTGAAGAATAAGACACCTCCCACAATGGTGACATTGCCAGCAGAGTCTGGTAGCACGTCGATCGTGACATTTAGTCCGCAGATATCCAGACCCTCTGTGATATTGTAGGGAGTGTCTGATGGAGCCATTAAGAGTGTGATCATACAGTCCTTTGTCAGGGGATGGGTGACCTTGAAACTGATGAGTGCACTTTCTATAGAATGACATGGGTCCATTGGCGACCATCCACATGTGTCATTGGTTGAGGTGAGCCACTCCTCATGGCTGCTGACGTTCATATGATCAACATATAGAGTGAAGTCTTGTAGAGGTGGTGTACCAATCACATGTGCACCACTTCCTAAGAGACAAGATAGAGTCAAGAGACAGAGAAGAAGTATCCCTAACATCAATGTTGTTGTTATGTGTAGATGTTATATATACTTACAAGATAGATGATGATGTTCCCTCATGATCTGGTGATTGAAAGAGAAAGACAAATGGTAAAGGAAACCCAAATGATCTTCGGAGTCAAAGAGAAGGAATTGAATTGATTGATTGAATGTCGCCAAAGAGGGCGGCATGATCATTGGCTGTTGTTTCATCCAATTGTTGCCCTGGGCAACCCAACTAAAGTGATGGAGTCCAGGCCATTGTAAAAATCTTGAGATCATCAAGTTAACGTCAACTTGATGGTCACTAGAAAAGGACATTGATTATCATGGATAACAATAATAATAATGATACACATCAACTGCGATTGATGTCAATGATCAGTAGAGTACTCTCCAGCAAGTACATTAGATCAGAGTTGTTTAGACATGTGTCATTGATACACAGACAGTTGGGCATCACCAATGTCTTCCATTCATCAGATGTAGTATCACTCTATCATTGTGTACTATGTGGAGACACTGCCAAGTTCATCCATCATTGTGATCAGTTGGATATCAGTATCCACTCACCTCAAGAGTATGTAAGCCATTATGGTTCATCATCCAACCTCCCCACTCACTCATTCACTCACTCGATCAATCATTCAATCGCTCTATATCAGATTGTTGGACACGATCAAAGAAGCGTTCAAACATGCAATGTGCCGCATGAATCACAGATTGGTGACATACGTTATAGAACGATTCAGACAAGGTAGTAACACTAGCTCAGCTCAGTTCGTTAAATATGTGAGAGAGGAGTTGATCTCCTTTGATAAACATCAGTCTCAGTACTTCAAGTTCAGTCATCCAATGATACACACTGTGCTCGGCTATCTTAAAGAAATTGATCACCACTGGATCGCTCACAACATGATGAGATCAGCTTTGGCGGATCATGATGATGGCTTGGACCTGTGCGTCGAGATTGCACCATTCCAAACGCCTGGCTGTCCTGCGATAGCAGGTATGTATACTTTGGCTACGAATCGGCAGAGTTCAACCCATTGTTCACCAGACATCAATCAAGAATCATTAATGACCTTGACCTGTACATAAAGTCAACGCCACAGTGGTACGAGGAAGACAACAATTCAATGAGTATGAACTTCACTCGAGCTAACTTGGTCAACTTTGCCATCAAACAACGACTCATTGATCTGTTGGTGTGGATTGCCGAGCATGTGGACGACGCCCGAGTCCCAAGGGAACTCAGACTTCCACTCAAATCTTCATCACATCCAGTTAGCATTGACAGTCTCAAGAATATGATGTCATTGCTTGATCGCACACCATTGTTCAACAGACTTGCAAAGATTGGAGATGTGAGATTTATGAAGCATGTCCATCATCTCGTTGCCGATTACATCATGACCAACATCATCAAGGATGTAAGAAATAGTGGCCCACTCTTTGACAATACATTGTTGCAATGCGCATTGACTGGCGGACACTATGACTGCGCGCTCTACATTCTGGACAACATCAGTCAATTCCTTCCACTGATCACTCCACCATCCAAATGGATTGTGAGTGGAATCAACATGGTTCGCGATCCAAACCACCATCAATCAATCATCCAACTGATTGACATGCTGATCAATCATGACTCGGTTGATCATAACTTCAAAGATCTGTACACGGACGCGATCAAAGCTAGACGAATGGATGTGATCGATCTTGTTGAACAACTGATCAGCAATCCCGGGATGCACTCATCGATTGTGATCAACATCGATCAAGCGCTCAACGTGGCACTCCAAGAGAAGAACATGGATGCAATCAATAAGATCATTGGTAGTCGACCAGGTCATGTATTCAAGAACATCAAGCTCATGTACATTGATCAACTATCACTAGTCCATCAAGATATGTTCTTGGACACAGTCCCACCTGAGCGCATTGTATTTAACATGGATGGTCCGACGAGTTCCACCTGCGCGAGACTAACAGCCAGCACCATAAGGATGATGATTAAGCACGATCACCACCATAATTGTCACCGTGTACTGCTTCAGAACGCCGAGTTTCTAGACGAGATGGAGCTAATCAAATGTCTGGAGGAGGATGTGGCCAATCATGACAGATCGATCTCACAGTATCCATGGTTGTCTTGGAAAAATGTAGTGAATGTGCCTAGGTTTGATTCGGATGATCGCTGTCAAAATCAGATTGCGTATATCCTGCATGACAAGAGACTCAGATGCAGCAAGATCGACAAGATCCTGTACACTCTGCAGCATCTTGATAGGTATGACAAAGCCAATAGTGGACGACCCGCTGTGGTAGGAAGTCTGCTAGGATCAGATGTGCTTTGCTCATTCAATGTGTTGCCATCAGTGTACAAAGATAACCGATTTCTATTATATGGCGATAGTTATTCATACGACCACCCTACAACGAACTATAGAGTGGACGTTAGTCTCTTTGACAAAGATGTTATTGAGTTCATCTGGCCTAGATTGATCAATGATCTTAAACAAGACGATACGTTCATCCTTCATTTATTGTCATCCAATGCAGTGGCCAACAATATTATATTCTACCGGTATATCTTGGACAGATTGATAGAGGCCAATCACTTCCAAATGCCATTCATTCCAGCGCCAACAATGGAACAGATCAAAGATAATATCAAGTTGTTCAAAAGATATTCATCGATTCGATTGATTGTTGAGATGTTCACTCCATCAACAACAAGCCCATACCATCGACTTCTGGTTCCACTCACTCAATCAGAGTTCCAACAATACCAATCACTCCTCATCAACCTTGGCGTCTTCAATCCATCACATCATCCAACCTCCATATGAATTAATAAACACCCAAAAAGGAAATTATTGGTTGATCATGATCATCAGTTTTCCTTTTTTGGACATGAACAAAGAGATACATACATACAGATAACGTAGAATGATGATGATGGAATCCAATATAAATAATGATACACAATATCGATTGATGTCATCAATCAGTAGAGTACTGTCCAGCAAGTACATTCGATCAGAGTTGTTTAGACATGTGTCATTGATACACAGACAGTTGGGCATCACCAATGTCTTCCATTCATCAGATATCGCATCACTCTATCATTGTGTACTATGTGGAGACACTGCCAAGTTCATCCATCACTGTGATCAGTTGGACATCACAATCCATTCACCTCAAGAGTTTGTATCTATCATCGATCACACAGAGATGAGCAGCATCCGCTCACTCTTTCATTCACTCACTCATACATCCAATCAAACAGGTTGCTCCACACCATCAACAATGCATTCTATCATGCATTGTATAGAAAGAATAATAGATTGGTGACTTATATCATCGAACGATTCAGACGAGGCAGCAACACTACAGATACACAGTTCATAGATTATGTTAGAAAGTCATTGTTCGACTTCCTCAATTTCATTGATTACAACCATCATATCAAGTTCAGTCGACCAATGATAGACACATTACTCTGTTACTTGCCTGATGTTGCTCCACGAACGATCGTTCGTCAAATGATGAAGTCTACATTGATCGAGCATTCCGACTTTGACTTGTGCGCCAAGTTGGCACCACTTGATAAGTCCATCCCTGAGTCATATGCAATCGATCATTTCATCGAGATTGGCAATAAGATGAAAGAGTTCAATCCAATGTTCCTCCAACATCAATCTCGAATCATAGATGACCTTCGCCGGCACATTGAGTCACACCAGCCTGAGGAGTATACTATACTAATGTATTATTTGGTGGAATTTACTATCAAACATCGACTGTATGACCTGCTCGTGATGATCGCCAAGCATGCCGTTCATTATAAGAACTCCCAACAACAAATTGGTCTCACTCTATCACCTTTGGAATATCCGATCAGTCTCGGATATCTCATGGAGTTGAGGATTGACAAGGTTCCTCTATTCAATCGACTGGCCTTAGATGGTGACATCAGCTTTATGAAGCATGTCCAGCATCTCATGCCAGAGTACTTGGACTGGATCTACAGTGGATATCCATACCAACAACTCTATGACAACCAGTTGTTACAATGTGCATTGTCTGGAGGTCTTTATGACTGTGCACTCTACATCCTAGACAACATCTCTCCAACAAGATCATCACCATTCGCCAACAATGATGTTGATAGATTCGGACAGCCCAAATGGAACGTGTCTAGCATCAACATGTCCAACGATCCAAATCACAATCACAACTTGTTAGACTTGGTGGATACTCTGATCAAACACCAATCTGTTGACCTTGACTTCCTAGACCTACAACTGTACATGGACGCGATCAAAGCCAGAAGATTGGATGTGATTGAATATTTGGAACAACTGATCAGTGATCCCAACACGTTGATTGTGATCGATTTCAGCCAAGCACTCAATGTGGCACTCCAAGAACAATATATTGATGCCATCAAGACAATCATTCACAATCGTCCAGGCCATGTGTACGAAGGTATAAAGCTTTGTAACATTGATCAATGCACAACTGATATCCAAGAAATGTTCCTGGCGAGTGTGCATCCTGGTCAATGCATTCAATTTGGCTCATTGAGCGCGACAAACAATTACTGCACCGTCGACATTTCAGCAAGCACTATCAGAATGTTTATAAAGTATGAGCACCACCCATGCTGCTGGCCAACACTGCTCAGAAGTGCCGAGCTGTTAAATGATATGGAGCTCATTGACACCTTGGGCACACATGGATATGGACATGGCTACATTAGTGATCCTTGGACATTGGTCGACCAAACTGTAAGTGGTATCCAGCATTATGGAGTTGATCCCATTCCAGACCAGATGGTGTACATCCTGCACAATGAGAGACATAGGACCAGGATCGACGCACTCCTTGCCACACCAAAGCATTTGGCTCGAACTGGTGCAACAATGGGACGACTGATTGGATCTGATGTCCTGGCCTTCTTCAACTTGATGCCTCGACAACCTTTTGATATGTTTGGGTTTACCTATCGAGCAGATGTCAGTCGATTGGACATCGATCATATCGAGTTCATATGGAGTAGATTGAGTATTGCCATCAAACGTGATCAACAGTACATCAATAATGTGTTGTCGTCCAATGCTGCCATCAACAATATTACAATGTATCGATATGTGTTGGACAGTTTGATCAAGGACAATCACTTCCAGGTACCATTCATCCATGCACCAACAATCAAACAGATCAAAGATAACATCCGACAATATCAAAGATATTTATCGATTAGATTGATTGTCGAGTTATTCAATCCAATCAACTTTAATGTTCATGATCATGATGACACTCAATCAACAACAAGTCCATATCATCGACTTCTGGTACCACTCACATCAGCCGAGTTTCAACAATACCAATCACTCCTCACCAACCTTGGTATCCTCAGGCCATAAGAATTAATTAAATAAATTCCTAAAAAAGGAAATTGTTTGTTGATCACCAGTTTTCCTTTTTTGGACTAAAACCCAAAGATAGAAAATAGAGACATACAGATAAAGTTAGAATACTATGATGAATTCCAACAACAATGATACACAATATCGATTGATGTCATTGATCTGTTGTGTACTGTCAAGCAAGTACATTCGATCAGAGTTGTTTAGACATGTGTCATTGATACACAAACAGTTGGACATCACCAAAGTCTTCAGTTCATCAGATATCGCATCACTCTATCATTATGTACAATGTAGTGACACTGCCAAGTTCATCCATCACTGTAATCAGTTGGACATCAGTGTCCATTCACCTCAAGAGTATGTAAGCCATTATGTATATGATATTCACCGCTTCATTCGATCACTCATTCAAACAATCAATCAATCAGTTTACTTAGTACGATCATCGATGCATTCTATCTTGTGTTGAAGAAGCAGAATGACCGATTGGTGACTTATATCATCGAGCGATTCAGACGAGGCAGCAACACATCTGAGGACCAGTTCGTCAAGTTCGTCAGACACTCATTGTTCCGCCATATCAATTACAACTCTCATCTCAAGCTCAGTCGACAAATGATAGATACATTGCTCAGTTACTTGCCTGATGTTGCTCCATCATCGATCGTTCAACATATGATGAGGTCTGCATTGGTCGAACATTCCGATCTTGACTTGTGCGTCCAGATGTCGCCACTCGATTTGTCCCACCCTATAGGGTGTGCAATCGATCATTATGTCACGATTGGCCATACGATGAAGGAGTTCAACCCAATGTTCCTCCAACATCAATCACGTATCATCGATGACCTTCACCGATACCTAGAGTCACACAAGCCTGAGGAGTATTACCTATCAACATATAAATTGGTTAGCTTTGCGACCAAACACCGACTGTATGACCTGCTGATGAAGATTGCTAAGCATGTCGTTCATTATGAGAACGAAGAAATTTCGCTGTGTCTATCACCTTTGGAGCAAAGTCCAATCAGTGTCGGGTCACTCATGGAGCTTGAGATCAATAACCCTCCACTATTCAATCGACTGGCCTCTGCTGGTGACATCACCTTTATGAAGCATGTCCAACATCTCATGCCAAAGTACTTGAGCAGGATCATAGGTGGAAGTCCGTACCAAAAGCTCTATGACCATCAGTTGCTACAATGTGCGTTATCCAACAACCACTATCAATGTGCACTCTACATCTTGGACAACATCACACCAGTAGAACAATACTCACCAGGACCAGCCGACAGATGGATTGTGACTGGCATCAACATGTCCAACGATCACAACTGGAATGACTTCATCATCAAGAATCATAAATGGCACTTCGACTTTGGAAAGATATGTCTGTATTCGGACGCGATCAGAGGCAGACGATTGGATGTGATTGAGTATCTCGAAACCGGACAGTTCCAAAAAGGTCGATTGTTCAACTTTGATCGAATACTCAACGTGGCACTCCAAGAACAATTTATTGATGCCATCAAGACAATCATTCACAATCGTCCAGGTCACGTGTACAAGAATATCAAGCTGTGTCTCATTGATCAATGTGCATCCGACATCCAAGATATGTTCCTAGCGAGTTTGCAGCCTGGTGAATGTATTGACTTTGACAACTCCATGCTGACAAACCCATACAAGGTGGCGGAGATCTCTGCGGACACGATCAGGATGATGATCAAACATAAGCACCATACATACTGCTTGCAGTCACTTCTGAGGAGCGCCGATCTGTTGAATGAGCAAGAGCTCGTTGGCATTTTGGGCTCATGTGGAACATCGCCATACATTTGCGATCCTTGGATAGTTGCTAAGGAGAACATCAGTGGTATCTCATTGTTTGGAGTTGGGCTGCCAGAGCAGATGATACACATCTTGCTGAGAGAGAGAAATAGATCCAGGATCGACGCACTCCTAGCCACACCAACACATTTTTCTCGAGCTGGCGCAACATTTGGAAAACTGATTGGATCTGATGTCATGGCATTCTTCAACCTGTTGCCTCCACAGCCAACATTTTTGCTTATATCATCCACCTATCAAGCGGATGTTAGTCGATTGGACATTGATCTGATCGATTTCATTTGGAGTAGATTGAGTGACACACTCAAATGTGATCAAAAGTTCATCATTGATGTGTTGTCATCCAATGCTGCAATGAACAATATTACAATGTATCGATATATTTTGGATAGTTTGATCAAGGATAATCACTTCAAAGCACCATTTATCCATGCACCAACAATCAAAAAAATCAAAGATAACATACAACAGCATAGAAGATATTCATCGATTCGATTGATTGTCGAGTTGTTCAATCCAATCAATTACACTCACACTCATTCATCAACAACAACAAGTCCGTATTATCGACTTCTGGTTCCACTCACTCAATCAGAGTTCCAACAATACCAATCACTCCTCATCAACCTTGGTTTCATCCTTCCTCCATCCATATAATTAAATAATCGCCCAAAAAGAAAATTGTTTGTTGATCATGATCACCAGTTTTCCTTTTTTGGACACGAGCAAAGTGATACACGACAATTCGATTCTGAATGAATTAATGCGGTGCGCGCGGAAGGTAATGAGAGGGTAACCTCTCACCCATACACTTCCATTTTTCAAACAGGACCATTTGACCGACTTATTGGACCATACTTCACTAGTGTTCCTATGTGTCCATACACTATTCATTCTACCCTAAAATGTTTGGGTTATTATAATTATAACAAATTTTTTTTATTACTACAAACTAAAGGATAGCGTTGACTTTAAACTGGATGGACAATCCATTCATATAATTTTTGTAATTGTAGAATAAATTAATTATTTATCCATTCAAACAGTCAGCCACTCACTCATTCAAACATTAACTTCATTCAAACAAATAATAATCATTCATTAATAAACATTATCATATATATTCTAGTTATCTCTTTTTATAGAACAGATGTTTCTTCTCTATGAGCTTTGGCGATGGTTTACGTTCAACAATAGAGGTGGCCCACTTGTGTCGCTTGGTCAGCAAGTGTTGCGTCGCATCACTCTCATCTTGAGACCTGGTATCTTTGCCTTGTTTGTCATACCAGTGGTAGCACTTCATCAGCAGCTTCCCGAACAGCACATCATCCCAGTGATGATTGGAGCGTTTCACCAGCAACTTGACGATCTTGTGGCGACATTCAATGCCAAAGTTGGCCATTCTGTCGAGAGACATCTTTAGCAGGCCTGTGAATTGGCCAACATGGAACACAAAGCAGTGCATGTACGACGTGATAGTGGCTTGTGGAAACAGGAGTCTGTACTTCTCAGCGAAGACCTTGGAGATTGTGAGCCACTTCTGATCTGTCACGTATACCTCCTCACTTCGTTCGATGGCCCATACCAGGTAAGCATAGACTTCCCAGAGTTCAGATAACTACAATTGTTTGCAAACATTAACGTCATCAATCAAACAGCAGGCAGCAGGTCAGTATATATACATCGATGTTGTTTGAACATGTGTGTCGTTTGAACACATACCTCTTTCTTCAAAGTGGCATCATCAGTTAGACAATCAATGAACTCGGCTCGATTGTTGATGATGATCATACAGTCTGAGTAGGTAAAGCTGATCTTCTCCACGATTGTCTCGACAGTATCGTCATCGATGACCTTTGACTTGTAGATGGTGACCTTCTTCTTCTTCAGGAAGCTAAGGAGCCTCACAACCCTCTCCTTCTCTCGTTGTTTGTCATCTCCAAGCGTGTCCTGCAGCTCCTTGATCCTGGCGTTCAGTTCCTTGACCTTGGCATCATTCTCATCGTATGTTGTTGTGTCATCGTCATTGATCTTCTGCTGCTGAGCAGCGACCAGGTTGATAGCCACACTGACACCTTCCAGCTTATCAATCATTGCCTTGGTCACTCCGACTACTCGCTGGTCCCCCATCTCGGTAAACAAGGCCTGAAGCTGTTGATGTTGATCTTTCGGTTCCTCTGCCTCCGCTGCTGCGGCCCGCAGTGTCTCCAGATGCATCTTCACTTGCTGGTCTGTGCGTTTAGCGATACGTGACTCACACTCCTCGAGTAAGTCGCCAATCTTCTTCTCAATGGTGCCAGATGCCTTGCGACACTTCTTCTTAGTGGCCTGCCTCTTCATTAGACTGGACGCATAGCCCGCCTTCTCCCTCTTCCTCTCCTTTCTCAGTGCAGTGAGTTTTCTGAACATCTCTGACATCGTCCTGCAGACAGTCTTCTTGGTCATTTGTTTGGTCGTCCCGATCTTCAGATGGAGGCTGCATGGGATCTTCCTGGATGTCTCACATGGGATGTGTACCTGACCACCCTGACCGTACTGCTCAAAGCCAGGCTTCTTGGTCATAGCTGCGGATGGGGGAGGCGCCAGTGCCAATAGATTAGGTTTGTTGTCATCTCGTCGAAGCTGATGGCGGCACTCGTGGGAGAAGTCATTAACCTCATTCCTGTTGCAGTAACACCACATGCAGAGCCAGTAAGATGTTGGAGCATACACATCGATCAAACCAAACAATTGGGCTGCGCAGTAGTAGTCGTTGCAAAGTAGGAGCTCCACTGGGTAGTCTGTGCCACCCACACTGATGATATTGTCGACCAGCAACCTCTTGATTGTGTCGATCATTGGCTTCATTGTCTTGAAGAACTCCTCGGTGTCCTCCTTCCCCAGGTAAATAACAATCGGTTTGTTATTGGAAGGCGACTTGCAATCAACAATGCTGCCCAGCCTACTGACTATCTCTAGAGTAAATGTCAGAATGTTCCGGCCATTACCAGCTACCTGTGCAGAGTCCAAGGCCATCTTCAGCTTCTGTCGATCCGTCTTGGCCTTGTAATGTAATTGGTTAATCAATAATTCACTCACTCACTCACTCACTCACTCAATCAATCAATCAATCAATCAATCATCATCAATGCTTACCTTTGTCTTTGTGATGTTTAGCATCTCCAGCAGATCCAGATATACCAATCCAATGGACATGCATACGCCGACTGGAACATCCTTGCCATTGACAGGTTGCCACAAAGTCTTCACCTCGTACTTTGTTCTAAAGTCATCCAGCTCTTTGGTACTCTCCTTGTTTTGTTTGTATTTGGTGAAGGCCTTCAGGTGGAAGGTCTCAAGTATCTTCTTCCTCGACTCTGGATCGACTCCACTGAGTATGTTATTGTTTTGTTGTTTACCATGACCGAGACTAATACATCCTCTCCTTTCTCGTACTTCTCTCTCATCTCTTGCTTCAACCTCCTTTTGACAGCCTTCTCTAAACTGATCTCTGTCACACTCATCGTCTGCTGCTGGTCGGTCGTTGTCGTATCAACCTTCGTAATGTGGATGTGCACGTCCTCGTAGTGCCGTTTCAGGTCTCTTGGTCTCGAACACTGGTGGTAGCAACACTCGCACATCCCTAATGGTATGGAACCTCCAACAGGCATCTTGCCTCGGAAGTGAGTTGATGTCGTACTCACGCTACATACACCTCCTTTCCACAGACAACGACCGTGAAAGGTAGTAGTCATGTGACGTTCCATAGCAAAGTACGACGAGAATGAGATACCGCACTGTGAATGTTGACAAAGGAAACCTGCATCCTGTACGTCGTCGATGGTACTCCGCTTCCTCTTGTTGCCGCCATCTACCTCCATTCATCTGTCTATTCTGTATTTAATTGGAAGTGTCTGAGTACTCCAAGTGTACCCAACTCCTGTCATCCATGGATTCCAGATTGCGCGCTCCAATCGTGGGAGGTCCTCCATACTCTTCTGCACTTTGGGCGCGCGCCCTCACTTCCACCATACTTCATTAAAATAAAATCAAAATTAAATCAAAAAGTCATATATTATGGGAACGGTGTGCATGAATTGTTCATCCCTCAGCGCCTGGTTGGAGAATCGAATTGTCGTGCATATACAATACATACAGATAACATAGAATAATGATGATGGATTCCAACATAATGGCATTGATCAGTAGAGTACTCTCCAACAAGTACATTCGATCAGAGTTGTTTAGACATGTGTCCTTGATACACAGACAGTTGGGAATCAAAGTCTTCCAATCATCAGATATCGTATCACTATATCATTGTGTACGAATTAGAGACACTGCCAAGTTCATCCGTCACTGTGATCAGTTGGACATCAGTATCCATTCACCTCAAGAGTAAGCATGTATATGTTCACATTCAATCAATCAATCATTAACTCACTCATTCAATCAATCACTCTATCAAACAAACAATCAATCAATCAGTTTGCTCGACACGATCAACAATGCATACTATAATGCGTTGATAATGCAGAATGATAGATTGGTGACTTATATCATTGAGCGATTCAGACGAGGCAGCAACACTACAAAGGACAAGTTCGTTGAATATGTTAGAAAGTCATTTTTCAACTTCATAGGCACCATTGATCACTTGAAGCTCAGTCGACCAATGATACATGCCTTGATCAACTATCTACCAGACGTGGCACCTCTCACGATCGTTCATTTCATGATGAAGTCTGTCTGGCAGGACCACGGCGACTATGACCTGCTCACATCGATCTCTTCGTTTCTTGGGTCGCGCAGTCCGCCCTGCATTGATCGTTGCATCGTCTTTGGTTATAAGATGGACTACAATCCATTGTTCACCAGACACCAATCACGAATCATTGATGACCTTCACCATTACCTCAAGTCGCACCAGCCCACAGACTATAACATTGCAACATCCATCTTGGTGGACTTTGCGTCCAAGCACCGACTGTATGACCTGCTCATAATGATCGCCAATCATGTCGTTCACAATGAGGACCGACAGATGATGCTCTGTTTATCACCTTTGGAACAACCATTATGTCTCGAATCACTAGTGAAGCTTGAGACAAGTAGTCCCCCACTATTCAATCGACTTGCCTCCGGTGGTGACATCAGCTTTATGAAGCATGTCCAACATCTCATGCCAGAGTACTTGTACTGGCTCGATCATGAGCTTCCAAACAAAACACTGTATGACTTGGAGTTGTTACAATGTGCATTGTCTGGTGGCCACTATGAGTGCGCACTCTACATCCTGGACAACATCACTCCTGCACTTAGACCTGATGTTGTTAGATTCGAAAGGCCAAAATGGATTGTGTCAGGCATCAACATGTCCAACAATCACAACTGGATAGACTTGATCGAAACACTGATCAAACATGACAATGTGGAGCTCAGCACCCGTAGCTTGACCCTGTACTCAGATGCGATCAAAGCCAGACGATTGGATGTGATTGAACACTTGGAGCAAATGATCAGAGACCCAAATTCATTGATCGGGATCGATATTGATAAAGCACTCAACGTGGCACTCAAAGTACAATATGTCGACGCCATCAAGACAATCATTCACAATCGTCCAGGTCATGTCTATCATGGGATCAAGCTGTACCTCATTGATCAATGCACACCTGAAATCCAAGACATGTTCCTAGCGAGTGTGCATCCTAGTCAAAGCATTGACTTGGACATATTCGGCTTGCCAAGACAAGAATTTATTCCTGCCAACATTTCAGCCAACACGATCAGGATGTTTATCAAGCATGAACACCATCCAAATTGCTGGTGGACACTGCTCAGAAGTGCCGATCTGTTAAATGAGCGAGAGCTAATAGACATACTGAGCACACATGGACCTGGCACCTCGCCGTACATTGGAGATCCATGGAGGTTTGGTGATGAAAGTATCAAGTACCAATTGTCAGAATTTGACCCTGATACTCACCAAGACCAGATGGTATACATCCTGCACAATGAGAGACATTGGACCAGGATCGACTCACTACTGGCCACACAAAAGCACTTGTCTCGACCTGGCGCAACACTTGGAAGACTGATTGAATCTGATGTCCTGGCACTCTTCAACTTGCTGCCTCCACAACCTTTTGATACCTTTGTATTTGAATATCAAGCGGATGTCAGTCGATTGGACATCGATCGCATCGAGTTCATTTGGAGTAAATTGAGTGACACAATCAAACGTGATCAAAATTACATCAATGATGTATTGTCATCATATGCTGCCATCAACAATATTACAATGTACCAATATGTTTTGGACTATTTGATCAAGGACAATCACTTCCAAGATGCATTCATCAGTGCACCAACAATCAAACAGATCAAAGATAATATCCAACAATATCGAAGATATTCATCGATTCGATTGATTGTCGAGTTGTTCAACCCACTCCGCTTCATTGATCAATCATCAACAACAAGTCCATACCAACGACTTCTCATTCCACTCACAACATCCGAGTTCCAACAATATCAATCACTCCTCATCAACCTTGGCGTCTTCAATCCACCACCATCCATCCATTAAATAAATGCCCAAAAAGGATATTATTATATTTGATCATGATCATCAGTTTTCTGATAGATCATTAAACAAGATGAACTCCAAAGATATAATATTGAAGTCATCTATTAGTAGTGTACTGTCCAATCAATACATTCGATCAGAGTTGTTTAGACATGTGTCAATGATACATAGACAGTTGGAGATCAAAGTCATCCATTCATCAGATATCGTATCACTCTATCAATGTGTCCAAAGTGGAGACACTGCCAAGTTCATCCATCACTGTGATCAGTTGGACATCAGCATTCATTCGCCCAAAGAGTAAGCATGCATTCGAGTACCACTCGAGTGTCACCTCACTCACTCAATCAATCAATCACTCTATCAATAAGGTTGCTCGATACGATCAATGAATCATTCTATCATGCGTTACACAAACAGAATGTTACATTGGTGACATATATAATTGAGTTGTTCAGAGATGGCAACACGACGAATGATCAGTTTGTCCAACATGTAAGATCGTCATTGTTCTCTTTCCTAAGATACAACATGAACATCGAGTTAAGTCGGCCAATGATACATACACTACTTGGATACCTCCCAGACATTGCTCCTCCATTGCTTCACCAAATAATGATGAAGACTGCATTGTCCCAACACGGGGACCTTGACCTCTACTACCAGCTGTATCACCACCATCAAGGTTATGACCTTGCACCTGCATTCCAACACTATGTCTTCATAGGCTATCAGATGAAAGAGTTCAATCCAATGTTTGCCAAGTATCAATCGAGAATAATCAATGACTTTATAGCATACCTGGGCAAGCCATCACTGAATACCAATGTCAATGATGACATATTCGCCGAGTTCTTGTTGGTGTTCACAATCAAGCATCGACTGTTTGACCTGTTCATGACGATTGCTAAGCATGTCAACACTGATCCAAACTTGGACTCCCAATATCTCTCGGCTTCCGCACATCCGATCACTGTCGCAACACTGTTGGCGCTCACACACTCAATACCGAAACTGATCAATCGACTTGCACGTGAGGGAGACCTCGTATTTCTGAAGCTTGTCCTGCCTCTTGTAGCCGTACACCTGGACACAAAGGTGAACTCTCAAGCAACATCCGTTCAAATTTTTGATCCTGATTTGCTACAATGTGCGTTGACTGGCGGCCACTATGAATGTGCACTCTTCATCCTGGACAACTTTACTCAATACCTTGCATTGCTCCCCTCTGTTGGCATGCCTGGATGGTCCAACGAAGTAGGTGACACCAAATGGACGGTGACCAGTATAAACATGTCAAATGACCATGATCACAACTGGCCGTGGCCAGACCTCATCGAGAGACTTGTTGGGCATATCTCGGTGGAGTGTAGATTCAAAGATCTATATTCAGATGCGATCAAAGCCAGACGAATGGATGTGATTGAACTATTTGGATCACTGATCAGCAGCAACAGAGTCAAGGTCAAGAAGGACACCTTTGACAGCGCACTAAGCATTGCGATTAGGGAACAATACTGCGAGGCCATCGAAGCGATCATTCACTATCGTCCATCGTTCAAATATATAAGCTTGATGGACATTGATCAATGTACATCTAACGTCCAAGATATGCTACTAGCCAGTATACCACCTGGCTCCATTATCTTTGACAACACCACCAGCATCCCCAACAAGATAATCGACCTGTCCCCGACTACGATCCGGATGTTGATCAAACATCAGCATCATCCGCAATGTTGGCGCACGCTTCTAAGGAGTGCTGAGCTGTTGGATGATAGAGAGCTAATTGGTATACTTGGCAATCATGGATATGGCACGACATCATACAAGGGCGATCCTTGGACCCTTGGCTATGACCTTGATGTCACCACAAGGAATAGAGTGCAGCCAACTGTACAAGACTATATGTTGTACGTCTTGCTCAATCAGAGGACGAGTCAAAGGGCCAAGATCGACAGACTTCTGGCTTCACCAAAGCATAATGCTCGTGTTGATAAACATGGCCACCCTGCAATTATGGGACAGTTGATGAGAGATGATGTCATTGAGCTCTTCAACATGAAGCTTCAACCAGATGATCCTCCATATCAACTAATACCATATCGTGCTGATGTCAGTCACTTGGACATGGATCTCATCGAGTTCATTTGGAGTAGATTGAATGATTCACTCAAACAAGATCAACAATTCATCATTAGTGTATTATCATCAACAGCTGCAATCAATAACTTTAAGATGTATCGTTATGTTATTGATCAATGCTTGACTAGTGTGGACATCCAGGAGCCATTCATACAAGTACCAAGTATTCAAGTGATCAATGAGAATATCCAACTATATAGACGTTACTCATCGATCACTTCAATCATCCAGTTGTTCCGTCCAGACTCCAACTCTGATGATCAATCAACACCAACAAGTCCATACCATCGACTTCACATTCCACTCGTACAATCAGAGTTCCAACAATACCAATTACTCCTCACCAATCTTGGTGTCTTCAATCCATCACAAAAGGATGAGTGTAACGTTTGATCAACCCCCAAAAAGGATATTTGATCAATTCCAAATCAGGTAATAAAGTTACAACACTCATACATAGAATAAGAGATAGAGATAGGAATGAACAATGATAAACAATTGATGACATTGATCAGTAGGGTACTGTCCAGCAAGTACATTAGATCAGAGTTGTTTAGACATGTATTATTGATACACAGACAGTTGGGCATCACCAATGTCTTCCATTCATCAGATGTCGTATCACTCTATCAATGTGTACAATGTGGAGACACTGCCAAATTCATCCATCACTGTGATCAGTTGGACATCAGTGTCCATTCACCTCAAGAGTATGTATCTCTTCTTGGGCATCATCATGTCGCACTCACTTATCCATCACCTCAATCACATGATCAATCAGACTACTCAACACAATCAATGAAGCATTCTATCATGCATTACATAGACAGAATACTATATTAGTAAGATATATCATCGAACGATTCAAGCGAGGCAAAGACACAACTGTGGCTCAGTTGGTTGCATATATTATGAATTCATTGTTCACATTCAATGTGAAGTCCAGGCCCAAGTCCATCAAGCTCAGTCGACCAATGATTTACACATTGCTCGATTACAAGGTTGTCATACCTCCATCGTTCATTTATAACTTTGTAATGAGGTCTGCTTTGGAGGATCATTACGACTTGGACTGGTTCACCGAGATGTGTCCTGTATTCTTGCGAGACTATATATTTGAAAGATACATCCTCATTGGCTACGAGATGAGAGAGTTCAATCCTATGTTCATCAGACATCAATCACGAATCATTGATGACCTTCACCAATACCTCAAGTCATTCAAGCCAGAGGACTACTCTGTTTCAACCAAAACCATGACCGAGTTCGTACTCAAACATAGGCTGTATGACCTGCTAGTTATGATTGCCAAGCATGCCATTCATTATGAAGACCGAAGGATTCAACTGTGTCTTTCGCCATCTGAACATCCAATCAATGTTGAATCGCTCATGGAGCTGTGGATTAACAATCCTCCACTATTCAATCGACTTGCATCAGATGGTGATATCAACTTTATGAAGCAAGTCCATCATCTCATGCCAGAGTATGTTACCTGGACATACAATAGTCGAGGTCCGTACCAACAACTGTTTGACAATCAATTGCTACAATGTGCGTTGTCTGGTGGCCACTATCTCTGTGCACTCTACATCTTGGACAACATCACTCAGTTCCTTCAAGCAGTATCATTCAAGGTCGACAAAGAGCATCAACATCCAAAAAACAAATGGATTGTGACTGGAGTCAACATGGGACAGGACCATGGACACAACTGGTTGGAGTAGATTGAAACTTTGATCAATCATGACAATGTGGTCCAAATATTCAGTGATCTATACACGGACGCGATAAAGGCAAGAAGATTAGATGTGATTGAGCGCTTGGAACAACTGATCAGAGATCCCAACACATTGGTTGTTATCGATATCGATCAAGCACTTAACGCAGCACTCGAGGTACAATATATCGATGCCATCAAGACAATCATTCACAATCGTCCAGGTCTTGTGTACAACAGAATCAAGCTGTATCATATTGATCAATGCTCACCTGAAATCCAAGACATGCTCCTGTCTAGTGTGCATCCAGGTCAATTCATTACCTTTAACCCGTGCGACTCTTCCGGCTATCATACGGCCGCACTGTCAGCAAGTACCATTGACACATTGATCAAACATAAACATCATACAGATTGTTGGAAGTTACTGCTCAAGAGTGCCGAACTGTTGGATGACAGAGAGCTCATTGACACCTTGGTGAAACATGGATATGGCACGACACCCTACGTACCCGATCCTTGGATACTTGGCTATGATTGTAACATTCCTCGACTGGGTATTGGATATGAACCGGAACGAGGTCAGATGTTGTATATCTTACACAATGATAGGAATTGGAACAGGATCGATAGAGTCCTGGCATCACCAAAGCACATGGCTGGAAGGGGTGCAGTCAGGGGCATATTCATTGCATCTGATATCCTTGCATACTTCAACTTGGATCTTGGGAAACCAAGTCGCATCTCATATGAAGCGGATGTCAGTCGTTTGGACATTGGTTTGATCGAGTTCATTTGGAATCGATTGACCAATTTCCACAAACGTAATCAAAAATACATCAAGGATGTGTTGTCATCGAATGCTGCCATCAACAATATTACAATGTATCGATATATACTTGATTACTTGATCAAAGACATTGGCAATCACAATCTATTCCAGCGTCCATTCATACAAGCACCAACAATCCTACAGGTCAGAGATAACATCAAACACTATCGAAGATATTCATCCACTCGATTGATTGTCGAGTTGTTCAATCCAAGCAACTTCACAGACACTCAATCATCAACAAGTCAATACCATCGCCTGCTCGTACCACTCCTGGAGGAAGATTACAAAAGATACCTATCATTGCTCAACAAACTTGGTGTCTTTGATCCATCATCCAACAGTCAGTGTTTTATAATCAATCAGCAACAGCAACAGCAACAGCAACAGGAGTCCATCATCACCTCAATAACGAATAAATTCCTAAAATGGTTTTCCTGAATCATTCCTCAGACGTCTCACAGTTGGTGAGAACCAACTAATAAATTTAAGTAGAAAGGTGGATTGTCTCCCAGTGAGATAAATGCGAAACAATAATATCCAAGAGCTCCTGAATGTATTGTAAGAATTAGATTGACTTGTTAGGGCGGCAAGAGATTTACTTACCAATGCTGAGAATGTCAGCCCTCTTCGAAGGTGGGCTGCCAAAGTAATCTATGAGGTGAGCTAAAGCTCGAGCACTGGCGATATGAGACTGTCTGTTTGCCTCATCAATGAGATATCCCAAGTCATTCATTATGACCTGGCGATAGACCAATGAGGGTCCTCTAGATCTTCCACTATATCTACTCCGAGAGGTAGACCAAGATCCCTTCCAATGTGAGCTGCCAACCTAGAGGGAATCTTATTGCTCTTTAGAAAAGTTAGTACAAATATCTTGGAGACAGTTTATATTAGAATTTACCTGAATGTGAGCAACTAGATGTCCGACACTCTGTAGTAGTGTTTCAACTTCCATATCAACATCTCTCATGGGTGTTACTAATCGAGCAACATCATATAGGTTCATGAGAACAATGGGTTGAGCAAACTGGTGGGAGAACTTGGTCATCACAGTTTTCCGGATGTTTGACTGGACCAGATATCCAATTTGATTCCCCATTATTCTCATTCCTTTCTTGAGGAAGTCAGTGTCCAGCTTCAGACCATCGATCGATGATTGGAGTGATGTCATTGATGTATTGATAGGGGTGATACGATCCCTCAGATCATCTATAGCCATCATAAAGACGTTGATATTAGAGAATGAAGCTGTTAATAGTGAGTATTAATTTACTTACAAACTTCGGCAGGTGGAAGGTTGAGTCGGCGAAGCAAGTCTCCAACAAGGGCTTTCAAAATCGTTTCTCTATCATCTTGGTTAGGAATTGTGAACATTCGACAGAAGGTCCCCATTGAAGCTGAGGATAGGACAAGAGTCTTGCCTGTGACGTGATCTAATACACCTACAGCGTCAACAGGGTATGTCAACTCTACTATGGAATCATTTACCCAATAGGTAACATTTTCCTAGCTCCAGTCAGATACATTGATAGGAAGAGACATGTAAGATGTGTGAATAAGTTGAAGATCAAATAAATAATAATATGTTAGAGATAATAAAGATAGTAATAATAATATTATCCGAGTAATAAGAGATAATGATAGTGATAATATGTAAAGATAATAGATAATAATAAGAATGTGTTGGAAAGAAGAAGAGAAGACAGAGATGAAGTGTCAACTTCTTGTAAAATCAAGTATATAAACTATCTCAACCACCATTAAACATTCATAGACAGACGACACTTAAAGGTAGTGGTGGATGTGTTTGGAATGATCAAGTACTGTGGCAACGAATGAGTCTTGGGGCAGGAATCATCACTCAATCCCACGATACTCAATCTCCACCACCATTAAACATTCATTGACAGACGACACTTACCACCACATTCGCAATAGAGCTGATACGGGCATTATAAGTAACAATTACCTCATCGGTAATGTTCATTCATCCATTCAAGTGTCGGTCAATCAATGTTTACGACCCATTCAATCAATAATACCCATTACTCCACATCAGTCGTCTATCCATTCATCCATGTATCACTTATCTCAACACACCAAATGCATTGTTCACTGGGTGACCGCAATGAATGAATGAATGAATAAAGAAAGGAAGGGGAAATGATAACATTGATTTAAGTTAAATGTACTTGGTGCCGGATCCACCATTGGACTGCTTGAGGAACAGATTGTTCATGTCTTTGAGGTGGTTGATGTTGGTGAAGGAGAAGTTGCCAAAGTTGAGCATGTCCTTGGATTGCTGATCCATGTCGTCGCCAACTGACGAGCGCAATAGATCGACCTCTGACTTGATATGTCGACCAGTGTGCGACGACTCACCTCCACTGTCACATCGCGAATCATCCGATCCAGTGCCGCCATTGGCATGGCCGCCACTGCTCTTGTTGAGCATGGGGTCGCTGTCGGCGCCATCGTCGTCGTTGTACATCGACTGGCGATCCCAGAAGTAGTCTGTGTCAAAGTCGCTCTCGGGCTTGGGCAAGAAGATGCTCTCCATGTTCTGATCAATCAAATTCTCCCAGTCCACACCGGCAAAGAATGGATGCTTCTTGATCTCGTCGGCACCATTAGCACCCAAACGTAGATGAGGTATTGGATTAAGCAATTTACATATCAGGTCCTTTGCGTCGTGGCTAATGTCGGACCATTCGATCTCTGATGAAGTGGCAAAGTTAGAACAGTGTACTTATCATCATCCGCGTGCACTCATTCATATACATACCTCTGTCTTGGTTTAAAATATGTTGGAAGATTAACTCTGGAGAATCATCGTTAAAGGGTGGAGCACCTGTGAGGAACTCGTAGAGCATAATGCCGAGTGCCCACCAATCAGCTGGTGTGCTGTGACCTGTGCCGAGAAGGATCTCTGGACTCAGGTAGTCGGGCGTGCCCACTACCTTCTTGGTGGCAGACTTCTTCTTGAGTGTCGCCTTCCTCGGGTAGTTTGTGGGCGGCTGGGCATGATTAGTGACGATGCCCATTGGCACCGAGGCGATGGTTGGCGACCACTGGGAGTCGTGCGAGTCGTCAATGATACCGATCTTGGACAGGCCAAAGTCCGTCAGCTTGATGTGGCCCTTGGAGTCGATCAGCATGTTGTCAGGCTTAAGGTCTCTGTGGATGATCGATTGTTTGTGCAGATACTCTAGACACAGGACAGTCTCGGCGATGTAGTGGCGAGCCATTGTCTCCTCGAAGCAACCAAGCGCGCGGAGCAGCGAGGCACAGTCACCACCAATCAGATACTCCATGACCAGATAAAGCTTGTCGGCCGACTGGAACGCGTAAAAGAGTTTGACGACGAATGGGTTCTGAACTGCGGCGAGGATGTTCCTCTCAATGATGACGTGGTCCACCATGTTCTTCCTGATCGTGTCGAGCTTCTTGAGCACCTTGATTGCGTACAGGTCGCCAGTCTTCTTCTTCTGAGCCAGATAGACGCGGCCAAAGGCGCCACGTGAGATGGGCTTGATGATCTCAAAGTCAGAGATTGAGTGGCTATGCTGCTGCTGTGAACCCTCCTGTTGCTGCGCGTTGGGTGTTGGCGCGGGCGCCACAGTCACAGGCGAGGGCACCTCCTTCTGCGGTGACGGAGACGGTGACATTGACTTGATGAATGGGAGCAGGCCCCACATGGAGAACTGCTGCTTGGCCTTGCCTTTGGCGTTGGCGGTTGTGACCTCGGACGCAGCGGTCACCGTCTGAATCTGTGAGTATTGTACATAGGTCGACTTCTTCTCATCCATGATCTTGCAGATCCGCTTGCCAAACGTGATGAATGGCATGTCGCTGGGGTTCTCGCCAATCAGTCGCTGAAGCTGCTCAATGAACGATTGGCAACGGTTTGCGGCCTCTTTGCTGCCATACACAATCAGCCTGACCTCGTCGACGATGTGCTCCAGCTGGGAGATAATGTGATCGTCGATGTAGAACGAACTTGCATGTGACTTGTCGGGGCTGGACAGCGAGTCGAGCAGGATACCCTTTGAGAGATTGAGCATCGATTTGAGTCGTTCGTCGTGTGAGTTGTGTCGGAAGTCGTGCTCGTTGGTCAGTGCACACAGTGGCGTATGAACCTTGAGTTGCTCGCGTGTATACGAGTCCTCGCAGATACGGCAGACAAAGATCTTGGACTGATCGGCCAGAGGTGATGAGAGCGATGCTGAGACTAAGTCCGAGGTGAGCAGCTCGGGACCGTTGGTGGCGGCCATCATGGCAGGGCTCATTGCTGAAGCTGCTGCGGCCGATGCCGCCGCAGACTGGCGCATCATCTCTGACAGTCCAGACCTCTGGATGTCCTGGTGTTGCGCCAGCTCGGGCGTCGCAATGTTTGAGAGGTCGCCAACACTCGAGCTGCTCTGTATCAGATCATGTAAGTTGTTGATGCTGCTCTGGCTGCTGCTAGTGTTGCTGCTGGTGGTTGAGCCCTTGAGCAACTCGTTTGGCTCGACGTAGGAGGAGGCCGCCTGCGGCTGTGGTTGGTACTCGTCGGGAGGTGAGAGTGCACCGGTGTTGAAGCCCTGCAAACTCTTTGACAGGCGCTCGTTGTTGAACAAGTCGGTGCTCATCGAGATGAGCGAGCGGGTCATCAGCGACGGGTCCACCATGTCAACGTGGCGCGTAGGATTCAGAACGTCGACGACACGAGCAAACTCTGAGAAGATGAACAAAAGACGCGAGACCAGCGCTGTGGCCGTGCCCTTCTTTGTGCAGCCAAACGAGAGCATCTGGATCGAGTTGACTAACTGTTGACACTGCTCGCGCTGCAGATACACCGACATGGAAAGGATCTGATTGGCAATGACACGCAGGGATGACACAACGTGCTTGTTCTCGGCCTCCACAGTGACACCGTCCATGGACTCGAGGAAGCGCTTGATGCCGCGATCGACGTTGTCCTTGGACGACAGGATCTTGAGGTTGATGTCGAATGATGGCCGGCTCTCGGTGGAGAATCGGTTCTTGCGGTCAGAGTTGTACTTGCGCTCCTTGCCCTGCTCCTGGTCGGCGCCGCCTCCTGGCGTGCTGCTGAGTATCGATTCGTTGGGCTTGACTGGCAGCGTGAGTGCACGCGATCGCTTGCTCTTGAGTGATTTGTGATCCTTCTTGTTGTTGATGAACTCTGCCAGGCTGGTCGTCTGCTGAGTGCTGCTGAGCGACGACGACGACGACGAAGTCGATGAAAAAGACGACGACGACGAGGATGACGATGACAACGATGATGGATTGGACTCTTGCTGTTTCAGGTATGATATGTGCTTGTTGAGTATGGTTGGGATGCGTGAGGACTGTGATTTGTTGTTGTTGTTGTTTTGTTGTTCGGACGTGGATGTTGATTGAGTGAGGTTGAGAGGCAAGACGGCCGGCGACGAACGATTGCGCGTGTGAGTGCCGGGCGGTGTCTTGGGAGATTGCTTTGGTGAAAGCTTGGGTGAGACGGACTTGTTGGGATTCAAGTAGTTGTTGATGGCGGAGAAAACGGAGGTGGATGTCTGGGATACAGAGGTGGAGGAAGTGGATGTCTGGGAGGAGGAGGAGGAGGAGGAAAAAAGAGAGGGAGATGTCGATGCGGACGTACCTCCACCTATCAGTGGGGATGCGTTTGGTGAAGCTCGGTTGCCTTTGCTGCTGCCGCTGGTGCTGCTGCTGTTGTTGTTGTTGTTGTTGGTAGTAGTACTAATGATGAGTTGCGTAGGGTTGTTGTTTGTGTTCGATGTTGTTGTTGTTGAAGTAAAAGTACACGAATCAGACGAGGATTCGTCGTCGTCGGAGCTGTGCGCGGCTGATGGCGCGGGTATCCTGTTGGACATGCGGTCTCCCACGAGACTTAGGGAGTGCGATGCCAGCAGATTGAACTCTGACTTTGATTTCTGTGGCGGACGTCGGCTGTACTCTGAGGGCACCGACGATGACTGCAGCGGCGATGTGGGCGCCGACGCGCTCGACAGCGCCGAGAAGTCCAATGAGCCGGACTTCTTGATGGTGGCGCCCATGTTGTTCTTCTGACGCTCGAGCGCCTCCAGCTCGTCGGCCACCTGCTGCTCGTGAATGCGTTGCTGCGACAGTTCGATGGCAGCAATCCACTCGCTGCACTCGATCTCGTTGTGGGCCTGAATCGTGAAGACGGGGAACAGGTCGTGATTGATCTGGAACGTGAACTTGCGCTCTGTCTCGCCCATTCGCTTGATGGTGCTGCCCACGATTGGTATCATACCCTTGGGTTCAGGGTCTGATTGATGCTTGAAGTAGTATATGAGTCCGTCCTTCAATATGAAGTATCGTTTCTTCCAGTTCCTAATAACATGTCCCTCCTTTATCAAGTATCCCTCCTTCTCAGGATCAGACAATGATGTAAAGTCTGGCTGTTAATTTGTTTGATTGGGAATGATTCCGGGATGATTGATTAGTAATTGATCAATCAAACATAACATGTTGTGTGTGATGGAGATGGTGACGGCACTTACGTCATTCATTGGCGCCAGCCATTGTGCCAGCTCCTCGCTGTCATCGATGCAGTCGTTCTTGACCAAGTCGTTTAGGTACTTTTGTAACAGTCGTTTCCGCTCCTCGACGAGGTCGCGATTAGTGCCCGTCTTGAACAGATGTTTCTTGGGCAGTTTGGATAACTTGACCTTTGGACAGGTTATCTTTAAAGTAGAGTCCAGTTCATGAAACTGACTATACCGTCTATATATATTCCATTGTTTATACTGTGTCACAACACTAACCATGTATACCTTGTTGTATGAATGAATGACTAATGTAAGTGTCACGTGATCGATCGATCATGATTGATATGATGATATGATATTATGACATACCGTGAAAGCAGTGAAGGTCTGGGGATCCAGCCTCGTCTCATCACCGAGGATCGATAATTGGTACCTCATTTGTTGGTGATAAAGACAAAGATCTTTGATCTGGCGGCCCTCAAAGGATGTGTTGGCAGGCACACGATCGATTTGATTGTTTGATGGATCTCTACCTCAATGTCCTGTCAGGCCTTATTTGTTTGATCGATTGTATTTGTATGTCTGTCTATCTATCTTGATGATAATGATACTGATGATGCTGTGATGACGCTGTGATCGACTTAAGGGAACCTTAACTATATTTATTGATTGATTGATTGATTGTAATGATACACTATTTATCTAATGTTGTTGTATTGTATATATATATCTATCTATATATCTCTATCTTTGATGAAACAATATCAAAAAGTAAAGTAAATGGAACAATCGCACAACATTCCATCACACCCCACTCATAAAACCAAACAACTAGGTCCAACCAAACAAAGAAACCCTTGATTGGTGTGACAAAAACACACTCACCTGCTCCATCACCTATCACTTTTGTTTGTTTCAACTCAAGTGAGACAAACTATCTCAATTTCGCACTTGGGAATTTTCAAACTAAATATTATGGTTTTTGATACACTTATGCAAAGATTGGTCAATCGATTCACTATCTAGTCTACAACATGGTCCCCCATGTAAAGCCCTTGGGGTTCCATAAACAGATGACTCTTGGCCCTTGCCACGCTGCGACAGCCCTCACTAATATTGATGAATCACCTGACACGGCACCTTTTCCAAAGTTCTTGAGTCCAAGTCAATCAATATTCCAAGTTGTAAGAAGTGCGCCCCAATCAATCAAATATAATACTGGGTAGGTCCAATATACTTGTGATGATCTCTGATCAGTTTGATTGATCTGGAGTAAGGGTTGGGGCAAGGGTTGGGGCGAGAGTTGCCAACCTACGTGTGTCAATCAAAATGAGCTGAAATGAAAGAACTTCAGAAAACACACACTTTGTTTGATTACAAAGTGATAGATAGAGAGATAGAGATAGAGATAGAGAGATAGGATGGGCCTGCAGGTATTCGTATACTCATTGTTGGCAGGACTCACTCCATTGGTGTCAGCATCATTGCCACTGTTTCTATTTAGGAATGGTATCAATGCAAGATACTATCAACTGTTGTTGGCAATGTCTGCTGGTATCTTGTTTGCTGTGGCAACATTAGAGCTGTTACCAGAGGCAATGGAGATGTCTACTATTACAACAACAAACAACAATATAATCAAGATTGATAATGATAGATTGAATAACAATACAATGTTAACAACAAACTTGACAATGACAACTACGACTACAATGGCTACTACTACTGGACATAGTGGACATGATGAAGATGAAGATGAACATGGTAGTGGTGCACGAATACCAATGTATGGACTGGCACTTGGCTTCATCATGCTGATTGGTATCGAGCTACTCATGAGCTCGGCAGGCCACTCTCATTCACACTCGCATTCAGTCGACAGCAGTAGCAACAACAACGCCAATGACGGCGACAATCACGATGATCACTCAATAGAGATGGAGGAAAGAGACAAGGTATGCAGCAGATCATGATCAATGTTAACAATCAAACATCTATCTCTCGAGGCCTTGTTGTTAACTCTTCATCCTCACCAACAATCCAACAGAAGGATGAGACACACGAGCCAGATACTCATGAACATTTGGATGAAGAGGAGGGCGGTCGTCACTCACTGATATCAAACAATGGCGAACAAAGGAGCAGTCTTGGTGGTGGCCAGCCGCCTGTTGTTGTACAACAAGCATCAAAGCTATCGATGACTGCATTCGTGGCACTATCTGTACACTCACTTGTCGATGGCATGGTGATCTCTGGCGCCTTTGCCGCAAACTCTGACGTTGGCGCTCGTGTAGCAATGGCCATTGTCATCCATAAGTTGCCTGATGGCTTTGTAATGAGTTCAATTGTATTGTCTCAAAGGAAGTTATTAGTATGTTTACACTGCACCTCCCTATTGTCTCACTCACGCGAAGGAGAGCACTACCTAACTCAATCGATCGATCAACTCAATCACTAGGGCTTTCATCCATTCCTCTACTTCTTGCTGATATCTTGTATGACTCCACTGGGGTCGTTCATTGCATCGATCATTCTGGGCGGTATTAATCCATCGACGGTGTCATTCATACTTGGCTTTGGCGCTGGCACATTCCTGTATATAACGACCACTGGTATCCTACCAGAGATACTACATGCCAAGCGAGCAAACAAGCCCATGAACATTGGCGCCATCTGTCTAGGCTATCTTACATTCATTGTAATCGATTCACTGGTACACGTCCATTAATATCATGATAGATTGGAGTTCTGGGCGTCTATTGTACATACCATTCATTGACCAATACCATTGAGCGTGGCTCAGTCGAGGTCGTCTCGCCAGGCCAACGCGACACACTACCTTGAACTTGAACAAACCCATAAATTGAATTCAAAACAAAGTCACTCCGCAAAGAATGACACGACACGTGGCTCAGAGTGAAATGAAGTGAAGTTAATGAGTTTGGGTTTATTGTTGTGCATTACTTAGTTAGTAATAATAATATAGTATATATAATATAAAGTAAAGTAAAGGATGAGTCATCCATACTTTAATAATGATGATGCCGAGCATCAGCACCAGCATCAGCCACAGACAATGTACAACCAACCAACAATGTTCTCCCAAGAACATCAACCACAACAACAACAGTACACAGCGACATCACCTATTCAACAACAACAGAGTTATTATGATACATCTGCAAACATTGTGTTTAGACCAGATAAGCAACAACAACAAGCTCAATACTCTGTGTCATCACCAACACTCTACAACTACTCCGCCAGCTCGATGCATGGACATGATCACGATGAGCATGACCATGGTCACAGTCACGGACAACATCATCAAACATCTTATGCTGCGGTCTCCCCTAGCGCATCCTCAACAACCTCGTTCTATCAGTCACTAGGAAACATCGGCTCGACTGCGTCTCTGTACGAGACACGACTCACCTGGAGACACATGTATGACAACCTGCTCAACGACTCTGATGCCAAGAAGCTGGCGATGTGGATCGTCGTCATGCTGGTGTTCACGCTGTACGAAATCTTCTACGGAGCCTACCTCGAGAGTCTGGGACTGGTGTCGGACGGCTTCCACGCGCTCTTTGACTGCATCGGCTTCATGATCAGTCTGGCATCGATCCTCGTCGGAAAGAAGGGATCGAACCGCGAGTTTACCTATGGCTACGACCGCTGGGAGATCCTTGGCGTGTTCTCCAACGGCTGCTTCCTACTCTTTGTCTCCTTCTTCCTGTTCCTCGAGTCGACCGAGAGACTCTTGGAGCCACCCCACATTCACAAGTAACTACTCAATCTCATCTGACCTGTTTGATTGGTCAAGCACTAACCTGACACTAACTACCCTATTCAACTCTCTCTCTAGTCATGGTCGCGTCATATCACTGGCGTTTGTAAGTTTATTAATCAACATCACTGGAATTCTGTTCTTTAGGAAGCATTCTGTTATGAATGGTATGGTCCACTTGATCAATCAATCAATCAATTATCCAATCACAATACTAACGCGCAAGTACACAACAGAGAAAGGTCGTGCCAGACATGAGAACTTCATGACCATCACCTCTCACATCTTTGCCGATAGCTGTACAAGTGTTGGAGTTATATTCTCTGCTCTGCTTGGTAGTACACTGTATGTAATCACCGACGACGATTGTCCACTGGACACAACAAGGACTAACCAGCAATCAATCAATAATAATAATAGTGGAATCGAGATATCAGACTCGTTGATATCAATCATCATCGCTTGTATCATTGTATACGATGTGCTGCCTATTTGCCTGAGAACGGGCAAGGTGTTGCTGCAGACTACACCTCAGCCATTGGTGGCCCAGCTCAACTCGGCCTGCAGAGAGACAGAGTCGATTGGCGGCGTGCTTGCATTGAAGGACAAGCACTTCTGGACCCAAGCACATGGCAGCTATGTTGGATCGATTCACGTTGTCGTCAAGGACGATTGTGATGAGCAACAGATACTAAAAAGCGTCAGGGACAACTTCAACTTCATCCAGAACCTAACGGTCCAGGTGGAGAAGGAGCATGACCATGGTCACGGACACAAGCACGCACATGAGCATAAGCAACCAAAGAAGAAGCAGCATGGCCACGACCATCATGGTCATGGCCACGATAAACATGATGATCATCATGGACACAGCCACGGTGTTGGACACCATGACGACGATGATTGTGACGACAAAGAACATAACCATCAACACGATCATCAAGAGCATGGCCATGGACACGACGAACATGATGAGCACGACGACCACCATGGACACAGCCACGACCGTCACGACGACCACCATGGACACGGCCATGACCACCACGGACACAGTCATCATTAAACATTTATATATATACTCGCGAGTATGTGCGCGTGTCTTGACTGATTACTACTTGCTAAACTAAAATGTTGTGGACTTCAATCCATTTATTGCTGCTTGCACTCTGGATTGTTTGGCTTTGGTGGCTGACCGCCGGCCGGTCTGCGTCCCTGTGGTGCCTGCTGCTGTGGAAAATCCTCGTCGTCCTCATCAAGATCCTCCTCATCAAAGTCACCCATGTCAAAGTCTCCCATTCCGTCCTGCTCGTCGAGCTCGCCGCGACCCAGGAACCACTCGATGGCGAAGGGCACGACCTTCTGTGCCAGGTTGTCCAGAATGCCTCCTTGAATCTGCATGATCTCCTCGGGGGTGGCAAGCTCGTCCTCGCTGTGTTTGAACTCGGCATCCTCAGAGTCAGAGTTGACGAGGAGCACGGTGAATATAGACTGGAGCTTCTCCTCCACGATCTTGGTGGTGACGACAGGGGGCTTGCCCTTTGGACCCTTCTTCTTGATCTTCTTCTCGACCTGCATGATGATGAACTTCTTGCCCTCCTTCCACTCGATTGGGTCGACCTTGATTGAGGCGATTTCTCCTCCCTCGATGGCGACGGCGGCGGTGATCGAAGTGTTGGTGAAGTATTCGTTTGGTGAGAAGACAAATTGTACAGTGAAGCTTCCAGTTTCCTCGTCGTCAGCGACGGCGATGTTGATCAAATGTGACAGAACTGGCTCGTCCTCCTCGGCCAGCAAGTCCTTAGTGTATGGGAAGTTAGTGAGGACACCAAGCCAGAAGTTTGGAATACCCTTGATGTCTGTTGTTGATTAATTGATTGATTGATTGTTTGTTTGTTTGTGATTAGTATGCATTGAGGAGTACTATGCTTGTGATCGATCGATCGATCGATTGATTATATCATATCATACCATTTGATGGCAACTCTGAGATGGTCAATGGCTCCTTTGGGGCCGAATCAATATCAGTTGGCTCAGTCTCACCACTGATGATTGAGGCTCTAATCTTGAGGATCTCCTCAAAGAGTGGCTTGTATTTGTTGTGAATGGCCTCATACTCTGGCTCCTTCTGCTCCTCAAGCTTATCTGCTTGCTCCTACAATATGTTTGAATATGATAGAGTGAGTGTCAATGTCCATTTCTATTCATTCTTGGTTCGTTCATTCATTCATACCTGAAGCTTGATCAAAGCATTAACTCTATTTAAGATCTCGGTGGTGGTGATGGCAGTGAGATCCTCAGACTCCTCGTTCATCTCGACTTGATCTTGCTCAATGTTGGACATGTTGTATGTTTGATTGGTTGGTATTTATATATATTATATAAAGGAGTGTGTTTGAGGGTATGTATGTATGTGTAAAGGGTAAAAAGGACTAAGAAGCGAGTGTTTGTTTTGGGTCCTTGAGTCTGTCAGTCAGTTTGGTGAATGAGTGTGAGTTGGGACACGAACGAGAATCAAAATTAATTTCAATTTAAATGAAAAACGTTACAGTTTCAAAACCGACCGACTTGAAGTTGGTGTCACTTCTTTGTATATTTGTGACAAGTACTTAGAATAAAATAATTATCTCTATGTTTGGTTGGTCCAAAAATAGGAAATTGATGATCTTGATCATGATGATGGATTGATGACACCAAGGTTGTTGAGGATTGATTGGTATTGTTGGAACTCGGATGATGTGGGTGGTACCAGAAGTCGATGATATGGACTTGTTGTTGATGATGGTTGAATGTTAAGATCATGGTCATGACCAGTGAAGTTGAGTGGATTGAACAACTCTACAATCAATTGAGTGGATAAATAACATCTAAATCTTTTGATATTGATAATTATCTGTTGGATTGTTGGTGCTTTGATGAATGGACCACGTTGGAAATTATTGTGATTGTCAAAGTCTTTGATCAAACTGTCCAAAATATATCGATACATCATAATATTGTTTGTGGCAGCATTTGATGACAATACATCAGTGATGTACTTTTGATCACGTTTTTGTATATCTGGTAATCTACTCCAAATGTACTCGATCAAGTCGATTTCCAGACGACTGACATCCGCCTGATAGAAAGAGCTAAAAACCAATGGTTGTCGCGGTTGCAGGTTAAAGAATGCCAGGACATCAGATGCAAGTAGCCTGCCACTTGTCGCACCAGACCGAGCCAAATGTTTGGATGATGTGAGTATTGTATCAATCTTGCTTCTTCTTTTCTCATTTTGCAAGATGTAGATCATCTGGGTATGTTGCAACTCTCCACGTCCATACTTTACTTGAGGAGTCAATTCATAGCCAAGTAGCCATGGGTCTGTCTGATATGGCGTCGCGTCATGTTGTTTGGCCAGAATGTCCACCAGCTCCCTCTCGTCCTGGAGCTCAGCACTCTTGAGAAGTCTGCTCCAACAATGTGTATGATGTTGATGTTTGATCAACATGCGAATGGTGCTGGCCGACACATTGGCCTTGGGAGACTTGTCCAATTGGAAGTCAAGACATCCAGGATCAATACCTGTCAAGATCATGTCTTGGACATCAGAGGTACATTGATCAAAGTATTCAATATTGATGCCTTTGAACTTATGACCTGGACGATTGTGTATGATTGTCTTGATGGCGTCGACATATTGTTGTTGGAGTGCCGTGTTGAATGTTAGATTGATGTCGATCAATGTGGTGATGGTGCTGTTGTCGATCAATTGTTCCAAACGATCAATCACATCTAATCGTTTGGCCACGATCGCGTTCATGTACAGATCAAAAAAGATGTGATCCACATTCACATTGTTGACCAACATGTCGAACATCTCCAACCAGTTATGGTGGTTGTGATTGGTGTTGCTGGGATTGATCCTCATGTTGATGCCTGTTACTAGCCACTTGTGATTGAATCCGATGGTGGGATTCAGTTGTTGAAGGAATTGAGTAAAGTTGTCCAGGATGTAGCATGCACATTCATAGTGGCCACCAGTCAACGCGCATTGGAGCATTGAGGTGTTGAAGAGACTGTGGTGCTGAGATTGAGATCCAACTTCAAACGATTTGACATGATCAATGTACTCTGGCATGAGATGTAGTACATGCTTCATGAAGCTGATGTCGCCAACTGCTGCAAGTTGATTGAATAGTGTCAACTTCATTCTCGTCGCGAGTGCCAATAGTGTGTCGAGGGTAATTGGATGCTCAATTGCAGTTAGACTGCGTGCATTGATGGATGATGTATGCTTGGCAATCTTGATAAGTAGGTCATACAGTTGTTGTCGGATTGCAAACTCGGCCAAGTGTCCATTGAGATTGTAGCTAGGAGGGTCGTTTGACGATGGAGTTGGAGCTGGCGGGGGCGACAAGAGGTATGCTTGGAAGTCATCATTGATCATAGATTGATGTCTTGCGAACCATGGATTGGACGCAATCATATATCCAAAGTAGACGTACCATTCAAACAATGGACGTTTGGACAATGTATGTAGTGGATGATGTTGGTAGATCTCCGAGCACAAGCCAGAGTCATCATGATCAACTAATGCAGATCTCATCATTAGGTCTAGGACGTATGGAGGGATGATGGTGTCACCATAAGAAAGTGTGTAGCCAAACAATGTATGAATCATTGATTGACTGAGCTTGATATGTTGCATTGAGGATGCATGGCGTTGTAGGAACATGAACAACTCCCCTCTGACATAGTCTTTAAACTTATCAACCGTAGTGTTGTTGCCTAGTCTGAATCGTTCAAGGATATACTTCACCAATGTGATGTTCTGTCTATGGAAAGCATGTTTGAATGCATCATTCACAGTATCGAGCAACCTAGTTGAATGATTGATTGATTGATTGATTGATTGATTGAGTGAGTGAGTGGTCAAGAGTGATCGATGTTCATTCATTCATATACATGCTTACTCTTCGGGTGAATGGACAGTGATATCCAATTGATCACAGTAATGGATGAACTTGGTAGTGTCATTACATTGTACATAATGATAGAGTGATGAGATATCTGATGAATTGAATACATTGGTGATGTTCAACTGTCTGTGTATCAATGATACATGTCTAAACACCTCTGATCTAACATACTTATTGGCAAGCAATACAGTACTGATCAATGCCCTCAACCTTGACTTGTTATTGTCGATGTTATTGTTGTTGGATTCCATTGTAATTGAGTAAGTGAGTGAGTGATTGAGTAGTTGTTGAGGTTAAATGGGTCCAAACTTCAAATACGAACACACACTTGAACATCTAATCTTCAATTCTTGCAAATAGAGATAAAGATAAAGATAATAATAGTATTGAGTACAATGGATTCACTTTCAAATATAGTCATTAGAGTGATAGTTGATCAATTGGATACATTAGATGCAATATTTCTGGATTGACATCAAAACGATTGTTTATGTTGGTTTATAATAGATTACCAGAGTTAGAACTTATATTTAAATCAAATATACCTGGTCTTGATATTGATCAAGTTGAAACAACAAGTAGACAAATAGTATATAGGTACAATAGACAACTGCTCAGGAATACATTGCCACCAAAGATCACAGAGTTAACATTCTGTCATCAGTACAGCAGGCCGATACCCACATCCGACCTGCTACCAGCGTCGCTCACATCAATTACATTTGGCAAATGCTTTGATTCATCTCTCAATGGTGTACTGCCACCATCACTTGTCACATTGGTCTTCACTCCAGCGTCAATATTCAACAAAGAGTTCAACGTCGGCTCGTTGCCAAACACTCTGACAACATTGAAGTTTGGATATCTCTACAATCAACCTTTCAAATCAAACGTATTGCCAGACTCCCTCTTGTATTTGATCTTTGGTGAGGACTCATTGTTCAACAAACCAATATTTCCCGACATCCTCCCGCAATCACTGGTGACACTCTCGCTTGGTTCGGGCTACTTACATGAGATCAACGCGAGAAAGTTGCCCAGATCGTTGCGATCCCTGTCGTTGGGAGGCGGCCAGATACAATAGAATCTTCCAGGCATGTTACCTGAGTCAATGGTCGAGCTGACCGTCAATTATGGCACAATGAATAATCAGTTTGTTCAAATCTCTGAGACCGCACAAACACAACCTGCTGTTGACATTGGAGCATTCCCAAGCACATTGACCAAGTTGACTTTGAGCCATGTATATCAGCCTCTTATCCCAAACACTCTGCCTAGCTCCATTGTTATGTTGTCATTTGGGGATAATTTCAATGATGTCATCTCTGCTGGCTGTCTGCCAAACAGATTGACCAGCTTGACATTTGGTCAGTTTTACAATCAACCTTTGGTCGTGGATGCCCTGCCCAGCACCCTGGTATACTTGGAGTTTGGCAGTTGGTTCAACCGCTCTCTAGAAGCATTCGTGGAGACCTCTTATCCACTTAATGTGGTCAGACATAATCTCCCGTGTCTGGAGACATTGATACTTGGTCAATCATTCTCCCAAGATATCTTTCCTGGACTGCTTCCTCCATCATTGCTGACGTTTAAAACTGGATGGTCGTTCAGTCAGGAGTTGGTGCCTGGGTTTGTGCCCCCAAATCTTCACACATTGGCCTTGGGAGCTTCTTATCGCCACGATATTGGAGCTTTGCTGCCTTCTTCGGTGACATCACTCCAGTACATGGGCTCATACAATCTGAGTCAGCTGTCACTGTCGCATCTTACAGTGGAGTTACTCAGGCAGTTCGAGAGGCTGAAGTGCAATGTCGAGACTCTTCGAGTTACCGAAGTCAACTTCAACCAAGCACCTCCAAGATACTTCCGTCACCTCAAGTCTTTGACCATCAAGTCCTCCACTCCAAAGCACATGGTTCGTTTGAAGTCAAGACTTGTCGAGTACCTCAAAAATCTATTATCATCCATGCCAAGTGTGGACAGGTACAATGTCACCTATACCAAGGGTGAGGGCTATGGTTCCAACAAAACAGACTACAATGTGGAGCTCCGCAAACTGGATCCTTGGAAATCAGTCATCATCTACAAAGTGTCTGAGAGGAAGTACAGGACACCTCCAACCTCAACTATGTCCATTCATTTCTTTGCCATGGATAGGGCGGGACAACTTGAGAACGAGAACAGCATGCTCAAAGAAGAGATTGGGTCACTCAAACAACTGGCCGAGGCAAAGTCTGTCATCCAAGAGATGGGTACCATTCCCACAATGAAGATAGAGGTCGCAGATGAGACCGAGGCTGACGGCAACACCAATGAAACGACAACAAGAAAAGAACAAGTAACAAGTTGCCAGCAAGGTCAACCAGGAGCAAGAGAGGAAAGAAATAAAGGAGGAGTGAGAGAATGGTTTATTGCCAAGATGGGACTGTTGGTCCAGTGACGGTGCACTTGTTGTTGGGACAGGAGGCCTTGATGGTGTAGTAGTAGCCCCACATCAAGTCGTAGACGTAGACGTTGCCACGAGAGAACGCCTCATCGGCCATGTTTCCAGTGTACAAAGGACAGATCAACTTGACAAACAGGGTCGTTCCATCAAAGTAGTACTTGGTGCCATCGCCACTGATCACCAGCGAACGAGAGGTGGTCGAGGTCAATTGGTTGGTGTCGCCCCATTCATAGGCGCGGGTGCTGGCGGTGAATGTTGTGCCGGAGGGATAGTTGACCGCCAACAGGATGTAGTTGTTGTAGGGGATCTGGCGGATATCGATCTTCATCTCGGCTGGCGAGCTGTTGTTGAAGTTGAGGTGCCATCCAACATTGGAGATACCTGTGATACCATTGTTGTTGGTGATCACGCTGGTTTGGCCGCCAGCTGGGAGGTTTGGTGCAAACATGGTGGCGGTACCGACGACAATGGATGGGTCGGCCTCAGCATCATCGATCACACCAGCGATGTAGACTGGAATGTTGACGACCTCGTGGGCACCCTGTGCACAGTACCATGAGTTCCAGTCTTGGTTGTACTGACAGCTGGAATCATAGTTCCACCAATTGATGTGGGAGCCGACCAGTGTCTTGACGCCAGTGCCCGACACAGTTCCATCAAAGTCCATAAAGTTGAAGTAGCGACTGGAGCCAGTATCCTTGATGGCGTGACCCAGACGGGCGGCAAGTGGGACATTGGTGAATGTGATGTTGCGAGTGGCAGAGATACCTTGTGGTTTGTAGACGTCGCTGTGGGTCATGGAGACAATGACACGGTAGTCATTCTCGGGATCGTCAGAGTTGTCGCGATGCCAGAAGTTACGGAAGTTGATGTTGGTCAAGATGGTCTGGGTGACTGTGTCGTAGAATTGGAATCCCTGACGGAATGTCCATATGTCAAACTTGGCCTCATCCATTGGGTTGTTGGACCATCCATTCACAATGGCGTTACTCATCCATGCTGAACCAAAGAGTGTGGCTGAGATAGCGTTGTCGTGTGACTCATAGCCAACGACCCTCAATCTCATCTCCCCAGTGACCAATTCCAGCAGAACACTGCGATACCTTGATGTTGGAGTAACGCATCCATGTTTCCTGTCCAGCAAAGTCGAGGGTTGAACGACTGACACGACCTGACTGGTAGGTCAGGATGTCTGTGGCGTTCTCAAACCAGAGCTTGCCTCCACAGTAGACGCAAGAGCCAAAGATAAAGTAGGAGCCGGCAGAGTGAGCGGTGTTTCCGTCGAACTTGAGGGTTGTTCGACTGGACGGGTTAAAGGTTGTCAAGTTACGGTACGCTCCAACGGGTGCGGGCAAGTTGGGGAAGGAGTAGGAAGCCCATCCACCAGAGGCAGCATTACCAACAATGGTGTTGTAGGCATTGGTGATGTAGTATCCAGCTGCGGCAGAGTCGGCGGGTTGGGTGAGATCAGGGGTCTGGTAGAACCACTCTCCAGCTTGAGCATAACCAGCGGCTGGGCGACCAATCGTGTGGACGTAGGCGGCCAAGTTGTAAGAGATGGTGTTGTTCTCCTCGACTCCATCTTCAATGTAGTAACAGTGACCTCTGACATCATAGGCAACATTCTGCGAGACGGTGGCGTAGTGAGTTCCGTGAACAGTGTAGCAGCGGTAGTAGGCTTGTTGCACTGAGCAGTCGGTGATGTATGAGTTGTTGACCTTGCCTGCAAGATGGAAGTGGAGAGGGTAGCGACCCTTGATGTTGGTCTGACCCATCTTGATCAATTGGATACCAGCAAATTGACCATTGCTCATGGTGAGGACATGGCCTCCAAAGCCCTTGGCGTCTGAATCATTGGCGCCACGGAAGACAATACGACGTGTCAGCAGACCAACCTCTGCTTGGTACTCAAGTCCACCATAATGCAGGTACTTGAGTGGTGCGCTGAACTGGACAGCCTTGCCCTGGATGGCGGCGATGGTCATGACCTCATTCTGCTTGGTGGCCTCATCGTAGTACTTTGACGTGGTGATGACGACCTGTTGACCGACCTCCCAGTTCACATTGTCCTGTAGATAGATGATCCAGTCGTTGGGGTAGGCGGTGGCGGCCAGACGACTCCAGGTGTTGTAATACTGCTTTCCGTGAACCGAGATGAAGCCTCCCTTGGCCACAGCAATTCCCTTGCTGCCAAGGTACTGGGCGATGGTATCGGCTGTCGTGTACTGACCGTTGAAAACGAGCTCAATGTTACCATTGAAACGACATGTGTTGGAACCCATGATCAGCTGTCCCTGCACGTAGATATCGTGGATCTGCATCTTGTAGCTGGCGTCTGAGAAGATTAGCTGCGAAGTGGCTGGCACAACTATCTTTTGGTAGACAACGGCTGGGTCGACTGAGCATGATGAGATTAGTACTTTGGTGTTGGCGGGAAGAGTGATGGTGGCGGCGGGTGAGGGCATTGAGCCGCCCCAAGTGGCGGGGTCGTGCCAATGCTTGAGGTCGGTTTGGAGGTGTGGACAGCCAGTGCGGTTCTGGGCGATGAGTCCAGTGGTGGGGCGAGGGATGGTGATTAGCTCAGAGCTGCTCTTGAGGAGTGTAGGCACGACGATTGGTGCAGAGGGGATGATGAACTTGATGTTCTTGATGTAGTAACCGACTTCGTGATCGACCGAGTTGATAGACAGAGACACACCGATGGAGACCAGGGGCATGTCCTTGGTGGGCACCAACGTGCCAGTGAGTGACTTCCAAGCAGTGTTGGTGATGGTGTTGGAGTTGGGCACGAGTGAGCATTGGGCAACTGGTATGCCCCAGTTGTGTGAGTTTTGGGTATCCTGGGGATCTTCGTTGATGTAGTTGCAGAACGAGGCGTTGACAACGTTGCTCTCTGTGGCGACGATGTCAAAGCTCACCTGGTAGGTGCGGCCCTGACGCACATAGAAGTCATTGATCATTGAGACGAGGGCAATGTTCTGAACGCCCCACTTGGGCACAGTGAACTTGAGTGAGCTGCCAACAGCGACGTTGCCAATAACATCCCAAGTTGGAGCAGTGGTAACATTGATGTTGCCCCACCACTCATTAATCAGAGCCCAGCTCGATGCATTTGGATAGGCCCATGAGATGACCGGACTGGATGTGGCCAAAGACGGTGACACTGGTCCGTTGGGGGAGGGTGCAGCATCTCTCCAGGTTGGGGTAATGGGGCAGGCGGGTGCAGAGGCTAACTTGACGCCATTGGCACCCGAAGCTCTGAGGGTGGCTGGGTCATTGCCACAGGAGCCCGTAGTGATTGTCTTGCCGCTCGAGTTGGAGGCGGTAACAGAACACGAGTTGTCCAATGTTGGTGTGACTCCAGCACCTGTCTCCACAACCACACTTCCATGGTAGCTGTCTGCAAAAGCGATGTCCACCTTGTCAGACGATGTGATGTTGATGTTGGCATTATTGGTAGCCTGGAAGGCAATGAGTGACACTGGTGCCAACGAGCAGAGATTGGCAGTAGTGACCGACAATGAAGTGAATGTGATAGGCAAGAGGTTGGTAGCTAGGTGGAGTGAGGGCAAGGGTTAGGGTGAGGGTAAGAGGCGAGGGTAAGGGTTGTATACATACTTGTGCAACCATTTACGATAAGGGTTGAAGCTTGCAATCCTTGGATGGATATGCTACCTGCACCTGGTGTGATAGTGACAGAGTTGAAGAGATAGTTGGCTGGTGCTTGGATGGTGACTACAACAGTGAGATCGGCAAAGTTGACTGCGTAGACAGTGGATATCATAATGGCGAATGTAGCGACAATGACAACTGGCATCAACTTCTTGCCGCCCTTGGTAGAGACAGCCATCGATACCAACATGCTGACTGCGGCAACAAGTGAGATACTGCCTGAAAGCTTGGCACCAGAGCTCAGACCAGTGATTGAGTTGGGGCCAGTCGTTGTCGATGTAGTAGTAGTTGGCTGATTGTTTCCATCAGTTGTAGTTGATTGACCTCCATCAGTAGTTGATTGTGTTGAACTTGATGTTGTGGTTGGTCCATTGGATGAGTCTGTGGATGTTGGACCATTGGATGTAGTCGATGATGTTGTTGATGGCTTTGGACCGAGTACAAATGTGTTGCCATTCTGAGTGAGTATCTCAGATAACTGTGCCGAGCCCTTTGTCAGACTGATTGAGATACGTGGTGCTTGCAAACCATCCACTACCTCATACTTGTAGATTGTCTCAACTTGAGTTGATTGAATGACCAATGTGTCACCAATTGTTACCTGGCCCAATTGAGTCTGTGCCAAAACAACTGATTGATGTTGTTGGAATGAAGCAATCAGTGTGATCATCAAGATCAAAAAGTTGACTTGGAACTTCATTTCCAAATTCACAAATAATAAATAAAATAAATAAATAAATAAATAATAATGATAAATAAATAGATTACAAATACAAACTTATTATTATCTGTTAAAGTTAGTAAATGAATGAAGTGATTGGATTGTCGACGATTTAGTATGGTGAGTTCAAGACAAGATTGCTTCGCAAAGAAACCCTTTGGTGTCTGTTTCGACCAAGGTTGGATGTGGATTTCCACCAAAGAAGGGTCGAACATACGGTCGCATCCCATCATTGCTCTGATCAAATTCGTGTCAAATGGCAACGTTTTGTTTGGAAAAAAATATCTGGCATCTTCCGCACGATCACCTTTTGGGCTTCCTTCAAAGGGCACTGGATACTTTCCTAACTTACTTGGGTATGTAAGTGTCAGTTGCTCTGACATCCAACTCATCAATTACAATAACTAAAGACGTCATGTTCAAGACGATCGGGTCGATGACAAAGCCATCCAAGTCCGTCACATCACCCGAATGGATATGAATGAGTTGGATTAATGGGGATGATGATGTTCGCAAAGTCGAATCGAATACATGTATTATTGTTTAAACAATATATATTGATTGAATATGAATGAATGAATGTTACATTGATGGTGAGTCCACCCTGTTGTTGGTTGTCGTGGGCTGTTCGATGCTGTTGTTTGAGCCACTGGTAGTCCTGGCTCTCTCCAAGAAGTTAGCGGTGGTAGATTTGAATCCACTAGAGTTTCCTACGACTCCTGCTCCACCTGATCCAGACCCAGTGATCTTTGTTCTTGTCCAAGGTTGTGTTGTTTGTGTTCCGCCGCCACCACCACTGCCACTATTCTCTTGAGATATACCACTTGTTGTTGACGATGATGACTCATATGTTGTTGGAAGTGTTGATGTTGTCGAGGTTGAGGTTGTACTATCGCTTGCCAGAATGTTGGAGAGTCCAGAGGGCGCCAGAGGACTAAACTGGATGTCGCCAGAGATGCTCAGCTTGGTGAGGTCCAATTCACAAAAGTCAAAGCATAGCAACTCGTTGATGTAGTTCAGGTCGACGGCATTGGTGTTCAAGTGGCGCTTATAAATGGCGATTGAGAACTTTGACAAGTAAGCCTTGAACTCTATGTATCCATTTGCCAACTCTGATAGTGATCGAATTAATATACATGGTCGTGCAAGTTGTCTACTAATGTCTGGCGCAGTCATGACACCAGACGATGTAAGTATCGATGGTGGTGTGTTGTCATCCTCGTTGAGTTCCATTATTGGACATTGTGATATGCTGTCGACGTAGGGCTTGAATGGTGCGGCTTGGTGTTTGATGAAGCATCCCCGAATGAACACCCATTCATAGAGGTTGAATTGCTCGGTGATCGTTGGCAGAGTAAGGGCGAGATCCAGGAACTTGCAGGCGGCCAACACTAGTTCACTGGGTGTGTTGTCGTCGTGTGCATGTGACAGGATGTCAATGAGTTCGGTGATGATAATCGGCCAGAATGATCGTAGATTCTCGTGTGACATCCTAACGAGCAGTACACGAAGACATTGGAACACTTGAAGATGTAGCACTGTGGCGTTGGGGATGCGCAGTGACTCGACTATCTTCTCCAACACCAATGGCAGTATTGAGAGATACTGATTCTCAACGCCACTCAAAATGATGAATGACAGTCGTTTCAGTTGCTTTGCTCTGTTGATCGACTCAGCCTCCTTGTTCACGAATGTGAGCGCCGAAGGTGCTGTCCAAGGTTTGCTAAGTATCTCTGTACGAATGATTAAGCGAATGAGTGAGTGAGTGAGCGGAGGTGATTGAGTGATGGATAGTACGTACTTATAAAGTCGGACAGGGCTGTCTTGTCATGGATCATGATCTGGTTGATGCACTTGCTGGTCTGCTCGAGAGTCTTGATGTCAAGCTTGAAGAAGTCGTAGTCAAAGAATAGTTCTAGTGCCTCCTTTTTGATGGACTTGATGTTGTATGGGTACTCAGAGAGCGAGGACAATAGACATGTCGAGTAATAGGTGTTCTCACGCGATGCCTCTGCCTTGGACTTAAGATAGGGCACGACGTTGTAGATTGAGTTGGCCAGGATGGCTGCAACGCGCTCCTTGTCATCAAAGATTGTGTCGAGCAGTGGCGCCAGCGTAGTAGACAGCTGTACGAGCGATCGGAAGCTGACCTGAGTCTTTAGACGCGTCTCGCGCTTCAAATAGTTGCCAGAGTCGTGCTCGCCACTAGACGATGTGCGTCCGCGTGAGCCACCGTAGTTGGGACTATCGTCGACAGAGTTTCCTGATGATGATGAGCCGGACGAGGTGGTCGTGGGCGAGTCACTGCGCAACTCGAACGAGGATGGGCGCATGGGTGCGCCATCCCCCATGCCAGTGGGCGGGATGTAGATGGCCGAGATATCATTGAAAGACTTGCCACTGATCATGAAGCAGGCCTCGACAATCTTTGGTATCAGCTCTTGTAGTTCGCGCTTGTTGTGCTTGTAACGTAACTGGTTCTTGGACTTCTCTTCGGGACATTGCTTGCGCACGTAGAGGTGGATGAGCTGAAGCTGGGTGATGTAGGTCATGGGGTTGGACGAGTGCAGAGACTGTCGGACAATGGCCAGCAGTGACTGAGATATGCCATCAAAGGGCGTGGTGTACTCTTCAATGTATCTGTAGACAAAGTCATACAACGCAGCCTCCTTGAATGTGAACTTGGACATCATCACCTTGGGTAAGGCCTTGTTGCGCTCCTGAGTGTGCAGGGCCGTGAGGATCTGGAAGCACGATTGGAATACACTATCCTCGCGCACAGACTCTAGGCTGTTGAGGATCTCCATCATGACTTTTCGCGTCGATTGTGATTCTGCATTGTTAAAGTCGGTCATCTGCCATATGTCAATCACAGCGCCAACGAGCTGTGTCGGGTATTTGGTGGCCAAGGGGTCCAGTACATGAAGTATCATGTCCTGAATGGCATACTTGTTGTGTGTGTCCGAGGATACGTCAGTGGACATTGACATCTTGCCCAATGAGGCAGTCTTGGGAGGGCCCCACAACTTGACCAGGGGTGTGATGATGCCGGCGAGGTCCTTGAACAGTTCATCGCGCACCTTGCCCAATGGCGTGAGGATCGTCGATGGGTCTGTCTCGGCTGTGAACACGTCCTTGACAAAGTCTGTCAAGATGCGCACGCCACCAAGTGGACCATACCTGCCGCTACCCTGCGAGTCCTCAGCGACGACCTTAACAAACGGTGTGATGGGCTCGAGCACCGAGAACTTGAGAATGTATGTGAGACTCTTGAGCAACACAATGATGTCGCGTGATGTAAGACTGTCAAACAGTGATCGATTGTCGAATGAGAGCAAGAGGTCACGTATGCAGTTGACAATGGTGGTGACGACGTGTGGGAGCTGCGCCGAGTTGGCCATCCTTGGCAAACAGAATGTTATAAAGTCCAGCCAGTAGAATCGAATGTTGAAGCGCGTTGATGGCTGGATCAGACCAACGACAGTCGTCTGCAAGAACATTGTCGATTGAGTGATCGACGCGATCGATGTGTTGCCCATCGATCCGTGGCTGCCGTTGCTGTCATGTAGAGAGTTGATGTTGGCCCACTGTGGCGATGTTGGTAGCATTGGCATGGGCGCGGCGGATGACGAGTCGATCAGCACGATGGAGCGAAGCAGTTGGAGAAGATGCACCTGGAGCACCATGTTGCTCGATGATACAGCCTGTGCCAGGTTCTGAAGGATTGGCTCCTGGATGTAGTTGGCAATCTCGCAGGCTTTAGCCGGGTGGATGGAGGTCTGGGCCAATAGATACTGTAGGAACTCGGCGGCGCTGATCTGGACGACATCGTTCTGTGAGACGAATGTCTTGCCCTCCTCGGTGGTCTTGTCCACACTGTTTGGGACCATTCCTTGTAGGAAGCGCAGTGCCACCACGACCAGTAGATCAATGTATGAGTTGGTTGGTATGAACAGGAAGTCGGACGATGTCTCTGTGATGCCACCAATCGAAGCCGATAGCTTGGGAGAGTAGTTCGAGAAGATGTGAGGAGAAGTAGTGAGGCCTGAGGACTCGTGTGGTGTCCTCTCAGACGATGATGACGACGAAGGGGTAGCCTTGCGAACGACCATTGTCTGTGCATCATTCATCTGTATGATCTCCTTTGAGATTGGCTTCTCAATCACGTGTTGAATGAAGAGCTTAAAGTCGCACTCGATGATTGCCTTGAGTATCCTGAATGTGTAGATGACCTGTTGCGTGTCGTACATTGATTGATAGATGTGATTGAAGCGCACGGTGGACGTGTCGAGCAGGATGCGTAGCAGTGGGTCGAGTATGCGCTCGGCCTTGCTGATGCCATCGGCCAACCAAGTCTGGCCGGTGAGCTTGATGATTGGCTGGTCGCTATGCAGTGAGTCGAGCATCAGGAACAGTGTGTTCGAGAACATCAATGAAGTGTTGCCTAGCTCGCCAGCAAGACGCCAGAACAACGCAAACTTCTGGTAGCCCTCGACGCGGTTTGCGAGGATCGTGTCTAGCATCGACTCGGAGATGACAGTTGCGCAGGCCTCCTCGTTCATCTCGCCCAGTGATAGGAACAACGACGCCACTTTGTAGTGTACGGCGCAGTTTTGTGGCTCGAGTATCGACCACAACTTCTTGGCCAGTGATGTGAAATGTTCTACCGTTACAAGGTTCTTGATGCTGCGACTGAGTCCTGAGTCGCCCTGTCTATACACGAGGCTGAGGAACGACCTGATCGCCAGGCAACTGATGTACGGATTCTCGGACATACAGTAGTCGTAGAGTGGGCAGAACCACTTAGGTGAGGTCGTGGAGCCGAGAGCCGGGGACGACGTTGACGATGTTGGCGACGCACGGAATTGCTGGAACAAGCCCACAAGAACCTGCAGTGAGAGGTCCAATATGACAAAGGTGTCGCTGCTGTTGGTCAACGTTGCGCTGTGCGATAGGTCGGGCAATGGTGACACTGCGCCACCTGCAGCCGTGTTTGTTGAGAATGAATAGTTGCGTGGTGATGAGAGCGGCGCCGAGACAGTCTGACAGCCATCTCGAATGTAGTCGCTGAGCATGATGAAGTAGTCTTGGAAGGTGTCGATGGACTCGACTAGAAGTGATTGAGCGCCAGGTGTAGCCATGATGATCTTACCAATGACTCTCATACATAGCTGTGTGAATGCGATGATCAGATTGTTGTCGCGTGGCTCGATGATCGACTTCATCGAACGGACGATGGCCAACAATAGCGAGGGCAGATGGTGGGACTGCACATCCTCAACCGAGAGCGGGACGACGTCCAAGTAGCATTCGACCAGCTTCACATTCTCGATGGCTTCAGACACACTCGAGCCCGACTTGAATGTTAGAAGTTGGGATACGAACGTCCACACGACCTTGCTGTCTGTGATCGAGGCCAGCAGCTCGTCGATGTACTTGACCATGTCCTTGGAGAAGCTGTATCCTTCCTTGAATTTGTACAGGCAGCGCAGGATGTCCAGCAAGATGCCATCGAGTATCGTCTGGAACTGTTCCTTCTGGAACAAGTATGTTAATATTACAAATGGTGATGTCATATCCTTGTGCGCTAGAGTAGTGTTGGCTGTTGTTCCAATTGGATGTAGTCGATCATTGAGTAGTTTCTAGATATATGATTGATTGAATGAGTTAGTCAATGAATGAGCGGCAAACGAGGGAGTGAGAGTGGTCCTTACCTTGAATGCATTGATTGTTGGTTGCTTGCCATGCTGTGAAAAGTAGTTGGGATCGTTGTCGCTACCGAGTAGCCATGAGTTGAGTCGCTTGTTTAGTGAGGCATCTTTGGAGACGACCACACTGACTGCTGCCTTGATGATGTTCTCTAGTGCTGCGCCAGAGAATATATTGTAGGACAATGGGAAGAAGGCTGTTATCAATTCCAACATGCTCCTCTGTACCAATGTCGTGCTGTCTGTTAGTGACTGGCAGATGGCCTGCGCAACCAATGTCTCCTTCTCTGGCAAGTATAAGTCTTTGTTGGGATGGATGTGACCCGAGGGTTAGTACGACTCTACATGTGTTGAGTGATGTTGCAGGGACATACCTTGAATGGATACATCTGAGAAGTCCTTTGGAAGATGTTTGATTAGGTACTCAATGGCAGCGTGACGGTTGTAGGGTGTTGTGATCAAGTTCTTCCAGATCGCTTGATGAAAGATGAGTGTCGAAGTTGACTTGTTGATCAGATTGAGTGTCTTGCGCACTGATTCGTAGAGTTCGCCTGAGCCTTCGTCTAGGCCTGGCAACAAAGATGAGACGATGCCATTAAGACTTGTGTTTAAGTTATGTCCAAGTGGCACCAGATACTTGTCAAACAACTGCAACATCTTGAACCTAACATCTGTGCTCGCGTATCTAAACAGCGGGAACAATCCTGCTCCATATATCGCAATATCAATCGATAGTCGTTCAGTCTAAGTTGTGTGCGGCACATGTTAGATAGGGCAAGGGCAATGGCAAGGGTAAGGGTAAGGGTAAGGGTACATACACCAATGCGACTGAATATCATTTGGTAGGTGTCGAGTGCATGACTGTGACAGCCACTTGGTAATGAGGCGTTTAGACATTGTGACAGACGTTTGGAGAGTAGTAGTTTGGGCTGGATACTAGCAGACTTTGGATACTTCTCAAACACTTTAGACAACTTACTAAGCCATTTGACCAAATCTGCCCATTCTACAGACTTGGCAAAAGACTGCAATGTTGTATTCAGATCATCATTGAATTGTCGATACTTTGGATCGCTTGCTGCACCATCTATGAGTGTATATGTATATGAATGTTAGTAAGAATCAATCAATGCCTTGGTCTTTGTTGTGATTGAATGAAAGTCTGTCTCACCTTCAACACCAGACTCTGTTGGGGCAACTGTGTTTGGTCGATCATTCTTGTCGACCTCGACTTTATATGTATATCTATCGATACCAAACATAACTTAAGATTATGTTATGTTCTATATATATATATATAATACGTATGTATCTGTATACAAGTGTAAGATGTAGTAATTGTAATAACAATAAAGTCGACTAACTAATTAAGTTTTTTCAACAACCACAACAAAGTTCGGCCCCAAGTTCTTCCAACCTTTCCCAGGCAACTGGGGATTCTCCCTTGTTTACACCCACATGCACCAACCCTTTTTGTTTGATTTTCCCATCTGACACTTCTTGAATACAAACAACAAAAAATAATAATAATAGATAATCAAGATTATGCTTTTATTCATTCATATATTATAGAAGTAATAGTGAATAAGTAGTTCATTGGATCTCAATTAATTGGTCGGTCTATTTATAGATGGCATCATTCTATGTACTCCAGTCCTTAAACTAAAAGTTTATATTATCAAGTTAGTTAAATGAATATAAAAAATATTATTATTATTATTTGCTATCTTACTCAATATCATCTCCAGATAATTTAGTACCATTAGTAGAAGTATTGGTTGACGCTACTGTAGGGGAAGGAGTAATTGCTGGAGAACTAGGTGCTGTTGCAGTAGTAGTGGTAGCTGGAGTTGCTTCGATAGTTGGAGGAGGAACATCCATTGGAAGTGACTCACCTTGAGGGATTATGACAGGGGGAGCATCAGAAGTTGGAGGAGAAGGGAAACTTGGAGTTACAATGGTTTGGGGAGCATCTTTGGGAGTTATGGGCGCGCTTTTTGGTGCACCAGGGTTGCCTCGGGGAGCATCTCTGGGAGGACCAACTGGGGCATTTGACAGAGGTACAAAGGTTCTTGTTATGGGTTTAATATTATCAGTAGGTGGAGGTGGAGGAGGAGGAGCCATAACAACAACAGGTGCATTATTATCAGTTAGAGTTGAAGGTTGTAAATATTGTTGTTGTTGTGGTTGTTGTTTGGGAGGCTCTTTATCATTATTATCTTTATGATCTTTATGTTTCTTATGTTTATCCTTATCCTTATCCTTATCCTTATCCTTATCCTTGTCTTTGGAATATTCTTCACCATTAATATTATCAACAACAATACTAAATATAAACAATAGAGTTAAACAAATAATAATAGTTTGTCTCTTCATTGTAGAGTTCTAGTTAGAAATTTGATTGATTGAATGAATGAAGAATGATGAGATGTTGTCATATTTATAACATTGATCAGAGTATATATATACTGTACTGATCATTATATATGTAATAGAATAAAGTTGACCATTCTTACAATACATACTTCCATCACTGTCACTCGTGGGTGATCTAGAACAAGATCGACTACCAACTTGATGGTGGTGATACATCTACGTCCACAACAACATTATATTATACACGTCATACTAAAAGTTGATTTATATGTATATATTGTAACTGATACTATCTGTATCATTCTCTCTCTCTTTGAGACCAATGCCTATTGATTGCTATTCAATGAATAATAAATGAGGATATATCCGAAATATCAACTTCATTTTCATTTCGGACCATCAAGACAAACATGTCAGACTGAACAGTTGTGGGTACCCCTCTAGAGAGACACAACATTGTGTCAGTTTGAGGGTTGGGTGGGTGTAGAGCCTGGCTTGCCAACACTCTCTCTTGATGAGCTAGGGTCGCCGATTGTATGATCGGGACTTGTCATTCATTCAGCTGGGTTGTAGTAAACTACAACTTCAAAAGAGAGATACTTATCATCAGAGTTATAACTAACAACCTACAACAACCACACAAGACCTAAGTGATCAACAAACGAGCAATCAAGCCAAAGCAAAGCGATCTATCACATCACATCATATCAAATCATATACAGCAAATATAGATAGAGATAGACATAGCAATGGGAAAGGATAATTGCTGTGATGGTAGCATTATCCAAGGATCGTTGGTGTGTGATGATGTGCCGTATGATGACACGCCACTTGTAGTTTATAAATGTATAGGATTATTAGGCAATACATCGGATCATGTAATGGCATGTCAACAATGTAAAAGAGACTTTACATGGCTAGCAATCATACTCTTAACAACATTAAGTATTATGGTTGTATTAGTCATTGCACTAGGTATATACTTTGGTACCAAGAGTTTCAATCAATCAATTAGAAGACAAGAGGCATTGTTTGCAGGAAAACAACAACAACAGAAACAGAATAATAGTATTAATAATAATAATAAGGATAATAAGGATAATAAGGATACTACTACAAGTACAAATATACAAGATGGAGATGGAGATGGAGATGAAGAAGAGTCTGTAATAGCTGCAGGAGAGAAACAAAGGTTACTGGGGACAACTGTAACAAGTGATGACGGTGCTGGACAATGACGACAACAACGACATTAAACAAAGCAATCAATAAAGGTATTATTGATTGTACTGTATTGTATTGTACTTTATCCTCCATGTACTTTCATTGACTTATTATCTGTTCAACTTGTTCCTGTGTGTGAAGTGTGAAGTTTGAAGATTCATGATGATGTGTGAGGATCACTTCAATTCCAATTTACAATAATCATCATTCATACTTATACTTACTTCTAATTATAATACACAAAGATACATATACTTAATATATACATACACATAAACATAATTAAACATGACTGCTGAACAAGTAAACATTGAAAAGTCACCAAATGATAAGAATGATTATAGATATATTCAGTTGGAGAATGGAATGCGCGCGATATTGGTACATGATCCAACTGCTGAACAGGCCGCTGCTGCTTTGTCAGTGTCGGTGGGATCGCTGAGCAACCCGGATGATTACCTCGGTCTGGCACACTTCCTCGAACACATGCTGTTCCTGGGCACCGAGCGGTTCCCCATCGAGAAGGAATTCGTCCAGTTCATCTCGATGAATGGTGGCTCGTACAACGCCTACACCGACATGTGGCACACCAACTACTTCTTCAACGTCAACCAGCGCAGCTTTGACGCTGCCCTCGACCGCTTCTCGTCGTTCTTTGTATCGCCGCTATTCTCCGAGTCGGCCACCATGCGCGAGATCAACGCTGTCGACTCAGAGTACCACGCCAACCTGCAGTCCGACCCACATCACCAGCACTACGCCACGACAATGTGCTTCAGCGATCATCCCCTCTCGCGCTTTGGCTGCGGCTCGCTCGAGACACTCAACAACCGTCCAGGTCTGCGCGACCGCATGATCGCATTCTACAATCAGTACTACTCGGCCAACATCATGTCGCTCTGTCTGTTGGGCGCCGAATCACTCGATGAGCTGGAGGCATTGGCCCGCAAGTACTTTGCCGACATAGTCAACAAGAATATCCAGGCGCCACGCACACCAGCTCTATCACTCAGCCAAACCGTCAAGCTTCTTGGTGTGCCCGTCAACGATGTCAATATCCTCAAGGTGTCATGGCCTGTTCCCGGCCATCTCTCTTCGTCGCGCGTCTACCAGCAAGATCCCTGGAGCATGGCTTCACACATTCTGGGCCACGAATCAACTGGCTCGCTGTTTGCCCATCTCAAGGCTCTCGGCTACGCACACGCTCTGATGTCGGGACCAGATGTCCACGACGTCGACACTGACAGCTTCTACGTAAGGATCGAGCTCACCGAGCTGGGCCTGGCTCACCAGACCGAGGTGATGGGACATCTCTACAACTACATTCAAATGATGATCCACAGCGAGCTTCCCATTCACCTCTACAAGGAGAAGGAGTTCATCCAAGAGTTTGGCTGGAACAATCTTTCCAAGGTACATCCAATCCAATACGTGCTTGCCATCACCCACAACATGGGCCTGATCACCAATCATAGCCATGTTCTCAAGATGTCGCATATGTGCCAGCCATTCAATCCCACCCTGTTCAAGGAGGCCGTCAGCTGCCTGTCCTTTGACAACATGGTCGTGCAACTGTTCTCCAAGTCGTTGGAGGAGCACACAGACTCTGTTCACCAGTACTACAGCTTCAAGTACTCCAAGAGGGCTGTGCCGACTGAGGAGCTGGCCTCCTGGAAGACCGTGCCCAAGACAGACAAGCTGCACTTCCCACGCGAGAACTTGTTCATTCCAACCGACTTTACTATCAAGGCCAAGCAGACACGCGAGGTCGTTCCACCTGAGGCCGTGTACAACAAGAACAACGTCTCGGTCGAGTGGGCTCCAGACCACCTGTTCAACACACCCAAGGCATCCATTGTCGGCCGTCTGCAGTCCTCGCGCACAGTGACCGCACGTGACTTTGCCCAAGTGTACTTGTTCAAGATGTCAATCAAGAGCATCTTGAATGATGAGGTATTGTACAACGCCCACCTATGTGGCCTTTCACTCAAGATGATCATCGCCATCTCGGGCATTACAATCGCTACATCTGGATACAATGACAAGCTGGCCACGTTTGTGCTACAGGTGTTCAAGCACCTGAACAACTTTGACATCTCACAGGAGCTGTTCGATCTCACGATGGAGTACGCCCTCCAGAAGCTGGCCAACGCTGCGTTTGCCAAGCCCATTGAGTTTGGCCTCGACAGAATGCGTCCATTCTCAACCAGCAACAAGTTTGCCATCGAGGAGGAGTTGATCGCTCTGCAGACAGTCACACGCGAGGAGTTTGTTCAGTTTGTCAGGAGCTACATCCAGTCACTCAACGTCCACTGGCTTATCGTCGGAAACATCAGCAAAGAAGAGGCCATCCAGTTTGGCGAGTCGATCAGCAAGGAGATGAGCAGCAGCGTTGGATCTCGCGAGTGCGACGTGCAGCATCCCCGCCGTGTGGCCTACACACCGGGCGTCGAGTACCATCTGCGTATGCGCTACCAAGACCCCAACCAAATGAACTCGGTCGTCATTGCCTGCTACCAATTCGGCGAGCTCGAGGTGCGCAAGGCCTCACTGGCACTGCTACTCAAGACCATTATGGGCAAGGCATCTTTCAACGAGCTGCGTACCATTCAGCAGCTGGGCTACATTGTACAGACGGTGTCGGACTGCACCATGCAGACCGTGCAGCTGCGTCTAATGGTACAGAGCAATTCTCGCGACGCCGACTACGTCTACGAGCGCATCAACGAGTTTGTTGTCAACCAATTCACACAGCAACTCAGGGAGCTCTCGCAAGAGGACTTTGACGCCTACGTCAAGTCCATCCAAGAGTTGCTCGAGCAGAAGAAGTCCAACAACGACGAGCTAACCATGATGTTTGAGGACCTCAGCAGTAACTATGGCGGCGACTACAAGTTCAGTAAGTAGTTGTAGACACAATCAATCACTTGACTCTCGGCATATACTAACCATCACACTTCCCAACTCAAAGGATCAAAGCAAGTTGCCGAGTTGTCCAAGATTACAAAGGATGATTTGATTGAGTTCCACTCCAAGTATCTGGCGTCGGCATCGGACAGAAGACTGTTTGTCGTCGAGATGTTTGGCAATGGACATGAGATGAAGGAGCTGGACACCAAGGCCAACCCCAGGATACGTGTAGTGGACAATTCAAACGTCTTCAAGCAATCAATGAGCTTGTATCCTACCCGCGCCCTGCTCTAACTTGTTGTTACGGCATGTTAATACTCGACCTCCATAAAGATGTGGTTTATTGCACTCAGTGATGTGTACATTGTTTGATTGATTGCTTGTATCAATGCACCATCATTGATTACCAGATGTTGTGTACATATTTGATGGAATCGCAATCAGATATCTGGATCTCTGGAGTGTTATCCTGCACATGTAAAGCAAGACGACCATGATTGAATCTACATCTCCAACATGCTTACATGGAAAGTAAGAAATGATTGAATGAATGAATGAATGAATAAATGAATGATTGATCACTGGTATGGCGTATCAATCCTCTCTGATTGGAGATCAGTTGGGCTTCATTACTCCATCATCAGTGTTGGAAGGTTTCCTTTGACAGTCTTTGACTTTGTGTCCATATTCCTCACAGTTGAAACACTTTGTGTTTGGCAAGTGTTTCACTACCCTTGCCCTGCCCTCACTASTACCCTTACCCTACCCTACCCTTACCCTACCCTTACCCTACCCTTACCCCTACCCTCTCAACCCTCKACCCAAAATTCTATGGCGGTTGTGGAGCATTGTTGTTGTTGGTGTTCCATTCTCCGTCTTCAGAGTTTCTTTTCTTATAATATTGTGGACCCTTACTGTAGCCGTTACTGTTACTACTACTGTTCATGTTATAGTATAGCTCAACTCCATCAGCTTAACATCCTCCAAACAATGTACACTTTACAACAAATGATGATGATGTCAATGCACTTGTTGTTGTCATTGTATATATATCGTATTATTATGAGTAAGTAAGTAATATAGTTGTCGTCTTTTGAAATGAATGAATCGGGTCAACCCGAAGTCAACCCACCCACACACCATGCTCTTCAATGCACACTTCTTTAATTTATGGGATCATTAGGGGACATTGAGTCAATGAAGATTGGATTGATTGGAATGATTCCACCTGTTAGTTTGCTTGTTATTATGATAAAGTGTTTTCCATCACCAAGCGCTCGAAGTTGGATATTTCTAAGAGGAATCGATGCATGTTCTGTGAATGAGATGGAGAATGAATCCAAACGGCTCATTGGGTATTGACCCGATGTCATTATCTTGTAGAGGAAGTTACGATAGAACTTTGATCCCTTGGCAGGATGACATCCTCCAACAAGGTGGAGATGTTTGATTGAGCTGGGGAGTGGATTGGGATTATCATCAACTCTGGATATCGTGAGATCAGTGATTGTGCTTGGAAGTTTGGATGGAAGACGATCATGATGTATTTGTAGACGTGTTACAGAGGGTGGGATTGATCCATTGTCCAACGCATGACTGAACTTGTCCCATATTGTGAGTGAAGTGAGTCCCGCCGGGAGGACACCATGAAGGGGTTGATTGTATTGAGGACTTAACGACAAAGTCCTGAGTGAGAGCGGCAGGGAACTAACCAGGAATGGCCGATTGTAGACGCCCGGTGAATAATAGTCACTATTCTCCGAGTTGCCAAACTTGAGGTAGGTCAGACTGGGCGGGAGTGCGTCTATATCAAGGGGTTGATCAAAGCAGGTGCTTAGTCTGAGCGTGATCAGTCCATTTGGCAATGAGCCAACAATGATGGGCTGATTGAAGTTGGTGTCGAATATCAATGTCTTCAATCCCGATGGCAGCCACCCAATTGGGATGGAGTGATTGTAATCCCTCCCAAACTCGAGTTTGGTAAGACTTGCCGGGAGCTCGCCAACCGGCATCACTTGATCGTATATTGCTGTAAGCATGAGAGAGGTGAGATTGGAGGGGAGTGTGCCAAAGTCAAAGGGTTGTCGGAACCTGTAGTTGAACTCAAGTGTTTGAACACTGTCTGGGAACATCCCTACTGTGGGCGCAACATTGATGAAATAGATGATTGATGTAGTGCCCTCTGGTATCACAGTGTCTGGCACAACAAGTCTGAACTTGTTTGTTGAGTTGACTAGCTTGTGGAAGTTGACCTTATCGTTGAGAATACTATAGTCTACTGTTTGGTATTCTTGCTCTTGTCTGACTGGCATATATATCCAACGAATGAATGATCGTCTGTTTCGATACCAATGTCTACAGACGAATGCAAGTGAGTACCTATCTACATTCTCCTCGATATACTCAACAATATGACGTAGTATAATCACTGGGAAGTATCTAGGTTGTTCAACAACCTCCATTATAATTATGTTTAATGATGATCATATAAACTATTATTATCTGTTTGATTGATCGATTGAGATTTAGTGGTTTTGATCAAAGAGTTGGTGTGAGTGATCAATCTTATCATTGACTGATTGATCACCTGATCAGTTATTTATTAACTTTGAACATTTATGTTGATTGATGAGTGAATGATTGAATGTATGAAAGAAAGAAAATGAATGAGTACCAGACTAGCCCAGCCAGCCCAGGACAAGGACATTAGAATTGGGGTTTCTCAGGCTTCAGGGTACTGGTCTGGATTGAGGGTAACCATGAACTCCATGAAGTACAAATAGTGCATGACCGTACTTGAACTAAAACGGAAGGTCATCTCCTTGACCTGTTTGAATTGCTTGGATACTGCATATCCAGCCTTGAACAGATCAGGTAAATCGGGTTGTCTTTCGACGTAAGGTTGCAATGATCCAAACTTGTACTTTGTGACATCAAGGGTCTGTTTGAAAGCCTTGCCTGAACCATCGGTACCCTCAAAGTTCAAATGCTTGTCACCCTTGAAGTAGCGACCGTAGAGCCTAATGGTGATGTTCCTTGGCTGGTCCAACTTGATCACATAAGCTCGCGTACCAGTAATCAAGAACGACTTGCCAAGACATCCAGTGAGTGGCTCATACGAAGGATACCTGTCATCTTCATAGTGAATACCCTTGATTTTAAACGTTCGATAATTGAAGGTATTCCGTGCATCCATTCGCATGATGTAAGCAGTGGACTTTGAGGGCAACTTGATCACCTTGTCTGGAACTTTGTCTGGCATTGGCATCATCTCCTCCTGACTCTCTTCCTCACCTGGTTCATACATTATCAGTGGCAGAGGATACATGAATACATCACTCTTGAGAAGCATATGAGCATTCTCCACGAACGACCCATATCCATCATTGGGATGGGCGTGATGTCCTATCAAAGACAGGCCGTGCATCAGGACGTCATGCAACTTCTCATTGTTGGACTTGACACCCTTTGGTGACTTGCGATTGGGCTTCCTTCCAGAGATATATATCTCATCATAGTTCAACTGGTACCAGAATGCCTTGATTGATTGATCGAATGAGTAATATAATGATTGAATAATTGATTGATCGATTGAAAGTGTTAGAATGTGATTGGAATCATTCCAGTTGGACAATATAACATACATTGATGAGACCATATATTGAGATAGTAATGAACAATGCTTCAATGTAGTAACTTAATACATATCTCATATACTTGGGATTGGAACAAAAGGTGAGGAGTTCCTTGCTGTGATCCAGGGTCAGCTTGATCTGGGTGCGGATATCAGTTAAGAAGTCGCCGGTGATGGTCTCCTTGTTGTCCAACTTGTAGATCAGAGCGGACAGGTCTTCCTTCAATGATGTACATGAATTTCTCAGATTCAAGAGAACAGTATGACAGTTTTCAGTCCAAGTTCTGATCTCACTATCCTGGATCTTTGAATCAATGACACCGATAATATTCCTCTTCAACTCCTCCATCTTCTTGTTCAACTCATCCTTGGACACAGTATCTGATGGTGATGCACGTTTCCAAAACAATGCAAACACACCTTGGAGCAGAGGTCCAACAATTGGAATACATCCTCTGTTTGTTTGAATGATTGATTAAGTAATTGAATGAATGAAAGTTTAATAAATATTAATACATTTGAATATGGGAAGAGTTGAGGAGGGAGGATGAACTTACAGGACTGATGAGAAGATGATGTTGACATCCTCTTTGTCTATTTTGAGACCTTCACGTTTGATGTCTTGATACACTTGGAATGGATCCTTGATCTCCAATGCATTGCAAATCATACAGAATGGAATCATTTGCTTTGGGTCCTTTTTGATGGCATTATAAACATTCATTGCCATCCCTTTGACCTCAAGATGGTCAGAAGGGGTAGAAATCTCTGTTATTCTTGTATACGCTTCAGTCATAATATAAATAACTTAATTGTTTGAAAGAATAGGTGATTGAAATATTGAATAAGGCCCAAATAAATAATAAGTAGAATTCAATCACATGGACAAGTTTGGGGGGTTATGATCATGAACAAACACACCACACTGGACTCTGCCCATGGATGACCAATCTACAACAATGCAAAGATGTATTTTAAGTGTGTTGAAATTGATTGAGGTATCATCTCAACAACAAAAATAATAAAAGAGTAGGACATTTTACAATAGCTGGATGCTGGATACTCTCGATGAACTACAAGGTGTATAATAAATGATGGGCTGATAGATCAAGATTGAAGTCTCCAAAAAGATCACCTGATCAGATTTACATATATTTTTATTTATTTAATTATTACTTTGGAACACATATTTTGATTAATTGATTGATTATAGGTTTGAATGAAGAAAATAAAAGAGCCTACCAGCCCATGGCATTAAGGACACTAGTTTTGTTGTTCAACAAGGGAAGGGTACTGGTCTTGGTTCAGGGTTACCATGAACTCTATGAACAACAAATGGCACATTATGGCATCAATACTAAACTTGAATGTCATCTCTTTGACCTGTTTGAATTGCTTGGATACTGCATATCCAGCTTTGTACACACTATTGTCCCTGTGGTTGTATCTCTGTGCAGGTGGTCGCAATGCTCCATACTGGTACTTGGTGACGTCAAGGGTCTCCCTGAATGGCTTGCCCGAACCATCAGTACCCTCCAAATCTATACTCTTGACATAGTTGAGGTAGTGACCGTAGAGTCTGATGGTGATGTTCCTTGGCTCGTCCAACTTGATATCATAACTTCTCAAACTTGTCCACTCGAAGTTCTTTCCAAGACAACCTGTGATTGGCTCAATCCATCCATCTCGATTGCCCAATGATTGTGATATTCTTGGATCCATTTGATATGTGAAAACATAATAAGCGTCCATTCGCATGATGTAGGCCATGGGCTTGGTTGGAAGGTTGATCACCCTGTTAGGGACTTTGTCATCTCCCTCGGGTAACTCACTCTCATACTCCTTATTCTCCTGCTCACCCGGCTCATACATTATCAGTGGCACAGGGTACATGAACACATCACTCTTGAGTAAGAGATGAGCATTCTTCTCGAAAGAGTCATATCGATCATCAGGATTGGCATGGTATCCAATCAATGCAAGACCTTCCATTATCAAATCATGCAACTTCTCATTGTTGGACTTGACACCCTTTGGTGACTTGCGATTAGGCTTCCTTCCAGCGATGTATATCTCATCATAGTTCAACTGGTACCAGAATGCCTTGTATGATTGATTGATTGATTGAGTGTGTTAGTTAGAATTTGTGGACGATAAAACAAAGATAGGAATCATTCCATTGGTATAACATACATTGATAAGACCATAAATGGAGATGTTGGTGAACAATGATTCAATATAGAATCGAACAACATATCTCATGTACTTGGGATTGGAACAAAAGTTCAGGAGTTGGGTGCTGTGATCAAGAGCCAGAGTGATCTTGGTGCGGATATCGGTTAAGAAGTCGGTGGTGATCGTCTCGTTGTTGTCCAACTTATAGATCAGAGCGGACAAATCAATCTTCATAGAAGTACATGAACTTCTGAGGTTCCAAAGAACAGTCTGACAGATATCAGTCCACATTCTGATCTCACTGTCCTTGATCTTTGAATCAATGATTCCGATCATCTCCTTCTTCAACTCCTCCATCTTCTTGTCCAACTCAGCCTTGGACACCGAGTCTGATGGTGATGCACGTTTCCAAAACAATGCAAACACACCTTGGAGCAATGGTCCAACACCTGGAACACATCCACTTTATGATCATTTGATTGAAAGAACGATTAACAATATGTTTGTAAATTGAATGGATAATGAGTGAGGAAGTACTTACATGACCGAGGTGAAGATGATGTTGACATCATCTTTGTCAACTTTGAGTCCTTCACGTTTGATGTCCTCATAGACTTGGAATGGATCCTTGATCTCCAATGCATTACACATCATACAGAATGGGATTATTTGCAGAGGGTTCTCTCTGATGGATTTATAAATATTTATTGCCATACCCTGGACCTCAAGATGGTCAGGTTGTCCAGAAATATCTGTTATTCTGGTATATGCATCAGCCATTTAAAAATAATTATAATAAAATAATATATATACTTATAATAAAAATAATTAATGTTTGATTGATGGAATAATTGAATGAAATGATTGGATCATACTAATAATACTATATGAATTACATTCATCACATGATCATTTTATTTGGTGTGTGATCTAGATCACATTGGCACACTGGACTAAGCCCACTGAAGGTCATTCTACAACAATGCAAAGTTAATACTTGTGGTGTGAGTAGTTGATGATGGAGGTATCAACATGATTGATTGATTGAATGTATCAATGAATGTTTAGGTTTAATTTATTATTATATTGAATGCTCATGCTAAAGTATGAAAATGGGATGTTACCAGTCTATGACAAGACATGACATTAGTTTTTTTGTGTCTCAACGATGGCAGGGTACTGGTCAGGGTTCAGAGTCACCATGAACTCAATGAACAACAAGTGATTGAACAAGGAAGTTGTACTAAAACGGAATTTCATCTCTTTGACTTGTTTGAACTGCTTGGACACTGCAAATCCTGCTTTGAAAGCATTATTGTTGAGTCTATGGCCAGGTGGTCGACATGCTCCATACTGGTACTTGGTGGGGTCAAGCGTCTCTTTGAACGGCTGGCCCGAACCATCACTGCCCTCAAATCTCAAATGCTTGATGTGGCTGCGATAGTGGCCATAGAATCTGATGGTGATGTTCCTTGGCTCGTCCAACTTGATCACGTATCCTCTTGTCTCCACCCACATAAAGGCCTTGCCAGCGCAACCTGTGAGTGGCTCAGTCCAACCAGAACGGTCGGCCATATCCAATCTTTCATCGACAAGGTAGTTGAATAGATTGTCGGCATCCATTCGCATGATGTAAGCTGTGGGCTTGACGGGCAGCTTAATCACCATGTCTGGAACACCCTCATTTGGAAGTGGTCTCTGGAACTCTTTGTTCTCTTGATCACCTGGTTGATACATTATAAATGGCACAGGGTACATGAACACATCACTCTTAAGCAAGAGGTGAGCATTCTTCTCGAATGCTTCATAGCCATCATCAGGATTGGCATGGTTTCCAATCAATGCAAGACCCTCCATGATCAGATCATGCAACTTCTCATTGTTGGACTTTACACCCTTTGGTGACTTGCGATTGGGCTTCCTTCCAGCAATGTATATCTCATCATAGTTCAACTGGTACCAGAATGCCTTGTATGATTGTTTGATTAATTGATGTAGAGTTTTAGTATGAGTGAGTGTTTGATCTTTGATCGGAATGATTCCATTGATGAAACATACATTGATGAGACCATATATGGAGATGTTGGTGAACAATGATTCAATATAGAATCTAACAACATATCTCATGTACTTTGGGTTGGAACAAAAGTTGAGAAGTTGGGTGCTGTGATCAAGGGCCAGAGTAATCTTGGTGCGGATATCGGTTAAGAAGTCGGTGGTGATCGTCTCGTTGTTGTCCAACTTGTAGATAAGAGCGGACAAGTCAGTCTTCATTGATGTGCAAGAACTTCTGAGGTTCCAAAGAACAGTCTGACAGATATCAGTCCACATTCTGATCTCACTGTCCTTGATCTTTGAATCAATGATTCCGATCATCTCCTTCTTCAACTCCTCCATCTTCTTGTCCAACTCAGCCTTGGACACCGAGTCTGATGGTGATGCACGTTTCCAAAACAATGCAAACACACCTTGGAGCAATGGTCCAACACCTGGAACACATCCACTTTATGATCATTTGATTAAAGAAGGATTTATATATATGTTAGATTATGGAAAAGTTGCTTTGTGAAGATGTACTTACATGACCGAGGTGAAGATGATGTTGACATCATCTTTGTCAACTTTGAGTCCTTCACGTTTGATGTCCTCATAGACTTGGAATGGATCCTTGATCTCCAAAGCATTGCACATCATACAGAAAGGGATGATTTGCAGAGGGTTCTCTCTGATGGATTTATAAATATTTATTGCCATACCCTGGACCTCAAGATGGTCAGGTTGTCCAGAAATATCTGTTATTCTTGTATAAGCATCCGCCATTATTATTAATAATTAATTATATTATTAAATAATAAAAAATTATCAATTGTTTGTTTGAATAATTAATAAATGATTGAATATTGAATGAATGAAAGAGAGGACCATACATATTTTAATTAATTGTACATTATTTAAAATCACATGATTACTTATTTCTTGTGATGGGTTGTGATCAACACACACACTGGACTCAGCCAAATGATTGATGGTCATTCTACAACAATGCAAAGATGGGTGTCTGTGGTGTTTAAATTTTTTTTAAATAATGAAGGTGTGATCTTAAATAATGATCATTAATTGATTTAAAAATTATTAAACAATATATTAATACTAATAATAATACTAATACTTGGATTAGAAATAAGAATATGAACATTGGTCCAAATAAAATCAATACAATAAGTGATTCTTTAATATTAACACCAAATATTTGATTGTTCATTCTTTGTCATGACAATTATAATTTATTCTTCTTAGACTTAATTGTACTGTGAGAGCATATATATATTTATAAATATTTATAAGTTAGTCTTTAAGGAATTGCTGATGGTATTCAATTTTTATTATTTAATTTGTCATCAGACCTGAAGTTCCAATTGATCTATTCAAATGAAATTTCCAAAAGATCAATCAAAAATGTAAGGTTGCATGACATGTGTGTCCTTTGCACCTTTGTACGTTAAACAAACCTGACACATAGATATAAATATTGTTGTAACAAAGTAATGAATAATAATAGTTGTACATATGATGATGGATCAACTCCAAACATCACCATTGTAGGCGCTGGGTATGTTCATACCTTCACCTCACTTCAATCAGTATGATTGACATACTGATCAGTCATTCAATCAATCAATCAATCAAAGATTCTCTGGTATATGTGCTGCCATCAAGCTAAAGAAAGAGTTGAGCATTGACACATTCACAATATATGACTTGGAGAATGATCTTGGAGGCACATGGATGGTCAACTCCTATCCTGGATGTGCATGTGATGTACCCTCACACCTCTATTCCTTCTCTTTCGAGCTGAACCCAGGTATGTGTGTCAACTAGAGTGAATAATTGAATGAATGAGTACTGATTGACTGACTGACTGCCCCATCAATGATCCATGTGCATACATGTAGATTGGAGTGAGAAGTTCTCACCTGCACAAGAGATACAACAATATATAGTTGGAATGGCTAAGAAGTATGATCTGTACAAGCATATCCAGTTCCAAACAGCTGTACATGATTGCCAATGGGATGATGCACTGTGCAAGTGGATAGTCCAACTCAAACGTTCGAATGGACAAGAGGAAACAATCTACACTGATATATTGTAAGACAGATTGATTGATTGAATGAGTGATGAAGGGCGTGTCACAAGATACTTACCCCATCAATCAATCAGATTGACAGGAGCTGGAGCACTGCGCATTCCAAACATACCAGAGGTATTCAAACAGTTTCAAGGACCAATGTGTCACTCTGCTCAATGGGACAACTCATTGCCGATTGATGGAAAGAACGTGGCAATCATTGGCAATGGTGCGAGGTATGTGATCGTGTGAGTCCCTTGGTGTCGGCGATATCGACGCCCACTGACTCCAAACTCACACGCTCAACACGTCCATCTAGCGCTGTCCAGATCATCCCAGAGATTGCACCGCGTGTCAAGAGCCTATCAGTGTTCCAGAGACACCCATCATGGATCATACCTCGAGCCAACAAGGTCTATTCGGGCTTCTCCAAATGGATTATGCGGAACGTACCATTGGTCCAGCGCGTCTATCGTTGGTTGCAGTTCATATCAGCAGACATTGTATACGGCTCATTCGTCGAGGGCAGCACACTGCACAAGGTGTCCAAGTACTTGGCGATGAAGCATCTCACGGCCCAAGTAAAAGATGAGGCTCTGCGGGCCACTCTGACTCCATCATACAGTATTGGCTGCAAGCGTATCATTGTGTCCGATGACTTCTATCCTGCTCTGGGGCGCAGCAACGTCACGCTCGAGACAGACTCGATCGATCGCATTGAAGGCACCACTATCATCACGCGTGAAGGCACCCGACACACGGTCGACTCGCTCATCCTCGCCACAGGCTTCAGAGTGCAGGACTACTGCACACCGATGAACCTGCATGGCAAGGGCGGCGTCAGCATGCGTGGCCTGGTCCACTCCAAGATCGAGACGTACTTGGGCATCTGCGTCAAAGGCTTCCCCAACTCGTTTGTCTTTCTTGGTCCCAACACTGCGCTTGGTCACAACTCTGTTCTGTTCATGATTGAGTGCCAAGTGAACTTTACAATGCAGTGCATTCGCGAGATGATCAAACGCAACATGTCATCGATTGATGTTCAAGCCACTGCACAACAGCGTGTACAAAAGGAGTTGGAGCGTAACCTTGAAGGCAAGGTGTGGACCACTGCATGTGGCAGTTGGTACAATGACAAGAATGGACATAACTTCACCATCTGGCCAGGTTCCTGTACAAACTATTGGTGGAGGACCAGAACAGTAGACTTCCGTGATTTCAACTTCACCAAGGCATCGTCATCATCATCAACATCTGTTGCTTCGTCTTCTGTTGTTCCAGATGAATCAATCAACAACAACAGACACAAATCTAAACAGGCTTAAACATTCATTCTCTCTCTATCTCTATCAATGTTGTAATAATAATAATAATGATCTCTTTGCATGTATTCGAGTGACATACTTCCCAACTGTTTATTGCTTTCGGACCTGGGCAAGAGACCCCGAAACTGAATAAAAACACTTCGAATTTATAGACCAAAGTGTGTGAAGATGGGTGGGACTTGCCAGATTGGCTTCCAAGATGAGATCATGGTGTGTGTTAGGGAAGGGAGTGGACGAACCAAGAACCAGTTCCCATCTTGTCAATAACAAAGTGTTGTAACCCTAATTAGGACGGAATGTGTGGGAATCTAAACTACTCCCACCCACACCCACTCCCTCAGTTCACTCCGATGTTGTCAATCCGTCATCATGTCTCAATCTATCTTATGTATTGTCTCTTTCGAAATTGTTACATCAAGTGTGTTGGAAGAGAAGTAACAATCTTTGAACTACTACTACTTCCAAGAGAGATAGATAGAGAAAGAGATAAAGAATGATTGAAGATTCAAGATATAATAATAATGGAGTACGATGGAGACAAACACCTGATGATGTTTGGACAGGTCGAGATGATACTGCAGAGGCAGAGGAAGCACTTAGGTTATTCCAAACGATAAAGAGGGAAGAATACAGCCATTCAAATCAATCAACAACAAACAAGTGCGATAAGAAGGGTGTCGCAATGTTGGGCTTTGCAAGTGATGAAGGTGTGCGGAGGAATAAGGGCAGAAGGGGTGCTGCCGCGGCACCGGATGCCATCCGACGACTGCTTGCAAACATGGCCGCTCATAGTGGACATCATAATATTGTAGACTATGGAACATTGACCACCGAGGATGACGACCTGGAGTCGATGCAGAGTAACTTGGCCACACGAGTGACCGAGGTTCAAAAGAGTGGTCAATGTACGTTGGTTTTGGGCGGTGGTCACGAGACTGCCTATGCTCACGGACTTGGACTATACGAAGCTCATCCAGAAGCAAAAGTTGGAATCATTAACTTTGATGCACATCTCGATCTGCGGACGAATGATCGGTCGACCTCTGGCACACCATTCCGACAACTACACGAGTACTGCATGAGGACGCGACGTCCATTCAACTACATGGTCATTGGCGCGAGTCTGGCCTCAAACACAGTGACACTGGCCAATGATGCCAAACGATTTGGTGTCAAAGTCATTTGGGATACATGCTTTATGGAGCTTTCAAGGCAAGACATCGAGAAACAAGTTACAGAGTTTATTAATGGCTGTGATGTACTATACTTGACAATTGACCTGGACGTGCTCCCTGCTTGGCAGATGCCTGGTGTGTCTGCACCTGCGTCTCTAGGTGTTTCAATTGATCACTTGTTACCATTGATCACCAAGGTTTGCCATGCAAGTTCATTAAGAGCTGTGGACCTCGTTGAATACAATCCATCCACTGATATACAACAAATTGGTGGTAGGCTAGCGGCAAGAATAGCATGGCATATACTACATCACTGGGAGCGAGTGGAGTAACAACATGTTGGCCAAAGAATAAACTAATATCATTTATTGATGGATTGATCAATTGATTGTTTGGACATACGATGGATGTACTCAATGGAGTTCTTGGTCAATCTATATACTCCTCTGTCATATTTATCTCCAAAAATAGTATCAATAGTTGATTCAAAGTTGATATTAATATTGTAATTGATTGTTTGTGACCATGTAAGGCACTTTGATAAATGATCTTGAGTCCAAAGATTGTGATGCATCAATGTGACTATGCAAACCCTCTCATCATGACTTCTAGTTTTCAACTCCTTTATTCTCTTTGTTTTATCTTTCTCTCCTAACTGTGATATCATTCTCTGGTATGACTCTCTAACGACACTTAGATCATTACCAAGGTATTTTACTTTAATATTATTATTATTTAAATTAACCAATTAAGAATGACAAGAATGAATGATGGAAACACCTCAATAGTAATCATGTCGACACCCATTGATCTTGGGCTCCCCAGAAATGTAAATTACAAGTTCTGTTAACTGTCACTACTATCTAACCATATACATTGGTAGTTAAAGTTACCCTTTTGATAATGATATTCTAATCTCCTAGTAACAACTACACTTGTCTCAAGATATAACCACTAATTGGGCAGTAAACATACATCAATAATGTGATCTTCAATTAATCAATTCCTATTCTTTTGAACCCAATTGATCAAACTGACTATTCTACTTTCAGAGGGAGGGGATGGTGGTGCATATGAGTTTATGAGATCGGTTCATTTTGGATGTGATCATCAATCTCACTGATATTATTTTACTAGTTGTAATAAAACACAAGAGTATTGGATGATATATTGTAAATTGACAAGAAATATAAATTTCCCATTTGTAATTTGTTGATCAACAACTATTTCCGATGAATCAATATTATTAGGTATTGAATGAAATAATAGAGTTAGTTACCAAATAAATATAAATAATCAATCCAAATCCATTCAGATCAAATCAACATAAAACAAATATCTATTCCTTCAAATAATAATAATAATATTTCTAGAAAGATGAGAATTAACACAATTTATATACTATTATTTATTATGTTGTTGACAATTTCAATGACAATGGCTTCAAAGATGGATTACAGTAGTGTATATAGAGTAACGGACAATGAAGATGGCATTGAGGGAGAGGGTGAAACTACTGCAGGTGCAGGAGATACTACACCTACTGTAGATGATGATATTATGTATGTATAAATTATAATTATAATTATGAACAAATAATTAAGTCAATATATTAATTTTGTTTATATTAGGATTCCATTGACAGCAGAAAATGATCCAATTATGAAGAAAAGGATATTTTCATAATTATTAATAATATTTAAATAAATTCAATTTTTCAAATTATCTTTATTATTTATTATTATTATTTGGATACCTCTTTACCTAAAATTGAACAACAATATATTTCCTACCGCATCATATTCTTTTTCCTCTAGCTTCACCACATCTTTATTCCTCGTTGTAAATAATCCATTGTGTTGTCGGCGATGAATCCAACGATCAAGTAGACCCACACCCCCTCACCACACCACATCAATCAACCCATCACTCGTTACTGTTTGATTGATAGACTGAATGGTATGTTGTGGGAATGGTGAAGTACTCCAAATATGAGGTGGTGACATTGAGGGATAGACTGGAGTGAGAGAGATAATGATAGTAATAAATGATCGGATCGCATTAACAAGTAAACTGTTGTGTAGAAAGTCCTTGGTTTGGTCAGAATCACTTGATCATTTATTGCAAACCATCGGCAATTGCCCGCCCCTTTATACCATTGGTCTGATTGTCTCGATGCCATTCATTCCTATCATTCATTCACTCTTTGATGCCATTCATATTATTGTTGGCATTCATTATCCATATTGAGGTTATTGAATCGACTTGTAACAATGCTAATTGATATTTAAATATAAATAGGTAACTTCACACACACTGTTAGACATCATTCAATCAATCAATCAACTAATCAACTGATCAATCAATACTCTATTATTACCCAACCTAATAACTATGAAGATCAACTCTATCCTGCTACTGTTATTCGTCATCTTGTTGGTTGTATCCACATCGAGAGCATACCAGTATGAAGCTGATTCATCAAGTGCCTTTTCCGAGTCTCAAAGTAGTTCAAGTTCCAATGACCAGGGAACAATCGCAGATTCTACAATAGTAGACGATCTTCTGTAAGTTTATCATATTTGATATCTATCTATCTATCTTTCTTTGTTCTAACCTAACCCGATCAAACATTCATTACCATTCAATCATTTAAGAGTTCCAGTAAATGACGATATAATGAATCATCGTACTTAGTCCTTTTGGCTACTCAACCATGTCGCAATAACAGAGACTTTGTAGGTCCTCCTCAAAATGTGACCAGTCTGTCTCCTATCTCGCTGTTGCTACTACTACTACTACTACTACCTATGTAATACATAAACGAAACAAAATAGTTATTAATATCTGATTGTTTGTTTGATTATTGTTGTAAACAATTCAGATAATACTGAAGTGAGATAGTGTGTGTGAGAAGTGAAGTGAATGAGTTTGAAGCCGGTCCCACCACCTCTTCATTCATTCATTCAACTTGAGATGGGGACAAGTGGGAGCCTTAACCCTTCACACGTCATTGGCCGACACTCACATACTTAAACCACTTAGTTCTCTCTCTCTCTCCTCTCTCGCCCACTGACTGACTAAATGACTCATTGATTCAAAGTGAAMACAAACAAACAAACAACATACTACTCATACACATACTACATTCAAACTTGGAATTTCAAACTGATATGCTGGCTGGGCAGGGCATCCATCCCTACCAACATTAAACCAACATCATCAATCAAATATAATATAATATAATATCATATCAATCAACAACTTCAAGTTGTAGCAGTTTTAGTAGAAGGATCTTTGGGATTGAAGTAAAGAAGAGATGGAAACGATGATGGTTAATACAAACATTGATTCGCTGGGAGATCACGACGAAGACGACGATGACAACAACAAAACAAAGACCAAAGGATCAACAGCAACAACATCGACGACATTGTCAGTGAATGAGTTCATTGCACAACATCAACAACAGAAGAAGAAACAACAACAACAACAAGTACATCAACATTCAAACTCAGATCCACCTTTTCATCCAACAATGACACAACAACATCTACATCAAAAGGCAATGAATAGGCGTTCGTTGGACTTGACCACCACAACCTCAGCAACCAATGGTAACTCGCCATCCAAACTGGCGCGCACATTAAGTGTTGTGTTCCTCAGTGGCAAGAAGCCCGGACTGTCAAGACGAAGCACCTTGCCACCAAACTACTTGTTACAGCTTGCACCAGGTGCAGGCAACAGCCACCCTCCATCTCCAAAGTACGACCGACATACAGCTGCTGCGCGTCCAAAGAGTGATGTTGTTGTCCCCTCTAGTTCATTGGATGTTGAACCTACTCAACCTCCCTCAACACGGATGCAGCCCTTGAGGCCAGAGGTTCCAGAGATTGAAGGGCACACCACTCCCGATGCCGAGGAAGACGAACTCACTCACTTTTACCAGCATATCAAGGACGATCCCGATGGATTCATTGAGGAGCATCAACTCAGGAAGATATTGGAGGGCTACGACGAGGCTCACATCAGTCAGATCATTGATGTGATACCATTTGAGAATGGTGTCTGCTCGAATGCCATCTTCCTGGCAATGGTCAACCAGTTCCAGGCCAATGGCACGCTGGACGACGATGAATACGAGGACTACTCAGACCATCCAATCAATCGTCTTGAGGACTTCCAAGTGACTGACGATTCAAAGATAGTACCAACAGTACTGGACAACAATGGCAAGGGCAATGTTGGTGTGCCAGCAGAGATTGGTGATGATGACGATGTTACTACCAACCATGTCGAGTCCCCATCAAATCAGTCAGACTACTTCAAGGACAACCTGCTTGGAACAGTCGTATCTGCTAACTCAAAGCTCAGAAAGTATGACAGGTCTATGCCACAATTCTTTGGCGAGTTGGAGGACAATGGTGCTGGCAACGAGCAGGACACAGGCAAGATGGATGACACAGGATATCAAGAGGAGATTGCACGACTAAAGCAAGAGTTGGCCACACGTCCAGACCCTCAACGGGTCATCCATCTTCAAGAGACCATCCAACTCACTTATCAAGACTTGAAAGAGCGGGAGCAAAAGATCGCAGAGCTTGAGAAGGACTTGGACAAGGAGTCTGGCCTGCTGCGCACAGTCGAGAAGAAATACCGAGACATCAGTGAAGACATTGAGCGATCAATCAAGAAAGAGAACGAGGCGACCAAAGAGGTGGAGGAGCTGAAGAAGAATGTATATAAGAGTAAGTACCAGGATGGCATGCGATACATGATCCATGTTCAGTCGACTAACATATGCACCAGAGAACGATGAGTTGAGCAAGCTGGAACTGTCGAATGCAAAGTTGTTGGAGCAGGAGGAGCTGGCTCGTAAGAGAGAGGAGGAACGTGAGGCACAGCTGAGAAAGTACAAACACATGGTGGAGACTTCAAAGAGTCAGGAGGAGCAGAGTAGTCATCTTATTATCGAACAACTGCAACAGATACAGCAACAAGAGGCTATGATCAAACAGCAAGAGGAGAGGATAAACACACTGATACAACAGCAACAGCAACAGCTACACAATGCCAATCGTCACAACTCGTTGGAAGACAGCATGGCAAAGCAGTTGGAGGAGATCAGAGAGATGCTGGTCAAGATAGACACGCTGGAGCGCGAGAAGCGAGACACCCAAGAACAGTGTCAGAAGTTGTCAAGGCAGGTCGATGCTGCCAAGAATGAGCAGACCAGGATCACTGGTGAGGCCGAGACCAAGTTGGGCACATTGCTACAACACCTGCATGATAGCAACCGACTCTATCTCCAGCAGTTGGACAACACGCGCACCTTTGTACAGAACATTGCCAAGGCATTGGACACGATGCCAATCGTAGGCAAGGACACCAAGCACGTAGATGACAGGCGACCGATAGAAGAGACGATTGAACCACCAATGCCCAGATCGTGGGCGCAGCTGCCCAACTCCCTTCTCAACTTATCGCAGTACAATAGGAGTGCCAAGGAGCTGGACATCTCGACCGAGAACCTGAAGCACAAGTTGAACGATATCCGTCGTGACCTATCACGCCACCATGACAAACAGTTAGCAGTCGATATTCAAGTGAAGGATGCTCCAAGACAGCATTTGAACAATCTGCAACAGACACAACAACAGACACAACAACAAGCACAACAGACAATTCCAGATCCCGACAATGATATAAGATCTCCTCTGAACTCGATCATGTATTCACAACCATCACCCTTTGCAAATTCAACTCTGCGACGGCAACACACACAGACACAGCCACAGCAACAGCCACAGATACAGCCACAGACACAGACACAGACACAGAAACAGGTCATCAACTGGCCAGTTGTACCAAAGGAGAAGAGTGTAATACTCAAGTTTGTAGACGAACTGTTCTGGTTGCTAGGCATGGTCATCTTCCTCTATGTACTCCTGTCACTGGCCTTTATAACATTCAATGGTAGACCAGTTGTTAGGTGGCACAATTGAATGTACAGTATAGTATAAATAATTATTATAGACTTAGTCAATGTTGACTTTATTGATGGCAAGACATGAACATTGGAATTCCTTTCTGGATCTTTGGAATGATCTCACTAATTGATCGTTCATCTCGGCCACTCTATCTATGACAAAGAGGGGAATGTACATTGTTAATTGGTTGATAGTTGGAGTGTCGTCATTGATCCGAGTATTATCAGGTGCGTGGATATGTTGGAGACGTTTATCGAACTGGTACCGATGGCCTTGGTCAGGGCTAACGCTGACCCTTGCCTTCTTTGATTGCATTGATGGTTCATTCAGTGCGTCCCAAGGCCTCTTCTTGTTGTCCACCATTTGATACTCAAAGAGGAACTCCTCGTTGAACAAAAGGATGTTAAGTAGCTCAATAATGTCGAGCTTGGTGTTGTTGAGTTGTGGGAATGAACTTTGGAAGCATCCTTGGAGATGTTCTCTGAAGCCCACATAGAGGTTAGTTCTATTGAGCTTCATGCTATCATACACAAGCTTGGCGCCATCTTTCAACTGACGATCTGAGATAGAGGACATAGGAACATGCTTATCGCTGTAAGGACGTTTGATCATTTGGAGCGTTGCATTATAATAATTGGTGTTTCCACTGAAGTGTATGATCAATTGATCATTTGTTTGTGTTGTTGTTGTTGATGAAGAAGAGTTGTCGTTGTCGCCAATGTCGCCAACGAGGTGATGAAATGTAATGATTGAGTTATGAGCATATTGGAAGCATGGCCAACCATTGTTTGAGTTGCGATTGATAGCATTTGAATTGATGGTCGCATGATAATAGAGGAACAAAGCCATGCTCTTGTCACCTTGCCTGGGTATTCTGGATAGCCCTGTGACCTTGTTCATGTGTAGCTGAAGCACATCCCTCAGCTCTGGATCTCTAAACAATGTGTGGAAGTATTGCCGGTCAGTTGTCAATCGCGAGACGATGATTCTTTTGGGAAGTGGAGTGCTCCTCATCTGCCGCTCGACCAGAATATTTAGGTGACAACGAATGGCTCCATCTTTGTACGAAATGTCCTCGTTTCTTAGTTGTCCTCGTGAGAATGCGATAACTTTTTGAAGTGAATGCCGGTAAGGTATGACCTTGCTCAACTTTTTGAAGGTATCATCAACCAATGTTATTGTATTGGACGTGTTGTTGGCGAGATCGATCAGTGTGACCAAGTATAGAATGTCCTCGTCAAAGAAGTTATCATTTGCCTGACCCGGCACCCTGGTGCGAGGGTACGATACATTGTTGCCAGCAATTTGAAAGTGGATTATTCGGTCATACATATGTATTTGGTTGGGTATGAGCACTGCTGATTGAAAACAATATGTTGTGGCGTTGCGATAGCAGTTGTCATAGACAGGCTCTACAGAGGCTTGTTGTCCGATCACCAGAAGGTCTCCCTTCCGTCCATCAACAAGTATGTTTGGAAAGACCGTATGTGGATCGCTGCAATCATACATGTGCAATAGTTTGGCGCTAGCATCCAATGCAGAGTCATATATGTGCATCCTCGATTTCATCAATGAGTGAGTCCAACACTGTCGGTCGGTTGCCTACGCCATCATCATTCATTGTGCTGTTGACAAGAGGCCAATCATACAATGGGAGAGTATGCTGAAGCGTGGAGATTGATTGGTTGATATGTCGATCATGTGGAAAGAGGAAGAGGTAGAGCTGTCTGAATGAGATAGTGCTGCTGTTGCTGTAGCCGTCTGATGCATTGGTCAAAGTGAATCGACCGACTCTATCATCATTATCAATCAGATTGAGATAGTCTCTTGTTTGATTTCTTTGTTTGATCATCGTCTCCAACAGTTCATCATTATCATCACTACCATCCTTGATTAATGTACTTATATCATAATCCAAATCGATCAGTTCATCGTCGGCCTTCTGTCTTCTTTCAAAGGGTAGACGAGACATAAGTGCTCTCTCCCATAACCAATCATTATTATTACTATTTAGTATTGATCTCCATGATCTACATGTTAGAATACAATCAAACCAATCCTTTGCATCTAGTTCTTTAAATATATTAAGTAATAGATAATTGCTGAGTATCTCCATGATAACATTGAACAGAGTGGAGTGTAAAGAAGTAAGTCCCATAAATTGAATGAGTGGGGGGAACTTGGATCTGAGTTCGAAAGGGGAAACTAAAGTGTGGGGATTGTCAACTTCACAAAGTGAAGAGAGTTTAGTGTAATGTCAGTTAGTGTTGTTGAATGAAGTAGTAGAGATAGATAGTAAGATAGATATATATATATAGATAGAGCTGTGTGTGTGTAGTAGTAGTTGTACTGGTGAACAATGGAGAGGAGTAATAATATAAATATCATTAATAATAATAATGGTGTTAGGAGGAGAAGAAATAGTAATGAAGATGACAATGAAGATGATGAGGATGTTGTTGTTCAACAACAACAACAACAACAACAAGAGATAATAGATGTCGATCAAGATGCTGATATGGTACCACATAGTTATGGTACACCAACAATGAAACCTGCATTCATGGAATTTATAGAACAACAACAACAACAAGCGCAACCTCAACAAGGTCAACGAGAACAACAAGAACAACAAGATGAGGAGGACGAAGATTATGAAGATGAGGACGATGATGATATGGATATGCAAAGTTATGAAGAGTACTCTGATGCAGTGATGGAGATGGTGGACGATGACTCTTTTGGTGAGAGTAGTGATGATTATCAAGAGATTGACGTGCAGTACATGGAGAATGATGATGATGACGTATTGCATGGTATAGGACCAGAGCACACTGATGCCACGCGTCGTGATCCCGCGACATCAGCCGCACTTAGGAGGAATATCGAGAATGTGTTCAAGACGATCGCCACGCCCTTTGTCAGGAAGCGTGTGCATGACCTAATCGATAAGCTGCAGCCTCTTGGACATGCCGACTTTACATTCGAGTCATACCGCAATGTACTTTGTCACGAGTTCACCTCTGACGACCTCGACCTCATCGCTAAGAAGTTCGCTTCACTCGACCGTCCCCTCCTCCAACTAGTTGGTCGCGACAAGTACAAGTTCCCATTTTGTCAACAAGGTATGTTTGAATGATTGAATGGTTGAATGAATGACGGACGATCACAATGCTAACAAACAACATCAATCACATTAGAATGGAGCCAGAACACATGGTTCTTTAGATGCAAGGATTGCGCTGTGACGGATACATCATGTGTGTGCATGGAATGCTTCAAGAATGGATGTCACATACATGAGGGACACTCTTATATGCCCGAGGAGAGCAATCAGGGAGGCTGCTGCGATTGTGGCAATCCCGACAGCTGGAAGTCGTCAGGCTTCTGCACCAATCACTTCTTGCCGAACAACACGATACATCCATCCAGTCTGCTGGACCCTCACTTGAAGAAGTGTCTGCATCTCATTCTGCGATTGATCACGCAGCACATGATCGACCTGATCAAGCTGCCCGCGCTCAGCCAGCAGCAGATCGTCCAACTTCAATCGATAACAGCGTGGTTGGAGAACCTAAGTCGCGAGTCATACCCAATGTCGTCGATATTGTCTGAGGAGTTTGCCCAGCGCTCTCTGGACCCGACGACCTTTGACCTGCACAATCCAGTACCGCTGCCCTACACGACACAGGAAGAGGGCGAGTCCAAGGAGAGCTTCTTGCCCAGCGCCTATGCAGACAGTCCAGCGCGCATCTGTCTGCAGGAGATCCTTCTGAAACCTGGCATCCTTAACTACATCAAGACGTTGTTCTTTGTGCTCATTGGTAACCGATCGTACAAGATGGCATTCTGCAATGAGTTCCTGGACTACTACCCCGAGCTGTCCTTCCAGGATGACGAAGAGGAGCTTGCCATCGTCGCCTCAATAGCGTGTCAAATGTTTGAAATACCCTCCATCATCATCCCCTTCTGCACTGGCTACACCAGGAAGAACCTTCTTAGTGAGATCATCTCTGTATATGTATGTACTCAGTCCTTAGCCGTTGATCCAGTTCATCTCAATCATTACTCACTCAATCAATCAATCGATCAATCAAACACTACAGAAAACACTACTGCAGGACAAGGAGAACTACGACTTTGATGACCCTACTCAACGTGAGCTGTTCAATCAGCAACTGCATTTACATCAAGAGTTCTATTATACAACGGCATACTTCAAGCATGTACCCATCTGCGAGTACATCTATAACAATGACCATCTCATACTTGAGATGTTCTCCATACTCGATGACATCCAGGAGTTTGTTCCATTCAAGCGATTACTTGTGGAGCCACTGCCATTTGAACTGCCCATCATTGGCAACGTCGTCTCAATGGAGATACAAGCCTACCAAGGCATGAGCAACCTATTCCAAACATTACACGCCAACAACAGTAAGCATGCCACTCATTCGCCATGCGCATCATCAACATCCTCTCTAATACTCAATCAATCAATCAATTGAAGAATCAACACTCAAGTATGTTAGTCTCATACTTAAGAATGTTAAACCAGGCAACAACAACTTTACACATAATGGCTTTGTGTTGCCATCGAGCGACATCTTCCATGCGATCGACTCAGTGTCATTGCACTACCCACTGAACCGCGTGTTTGGTATATTTGCACTGCACGCATTGCATCACGCGAAGGACTACTCACTGGCTGGCATGCGATCACTCATCACAATGGAGCAGCTACTGTACATTGCCAATGGCGCCATCAAGCCCAGTGTGCTGCTGTCGCAGTACAAATGCTCGCTCTGGGAAAAGAACATGAACATTGGCGAATATCAATCATACTACACATGGTCGCTGATGTGGATCGACCTGTTCACCGTCCAGTACGCCTCAATCCTCATGGGCTCTGAGTACTTTATCAACTTTTTAATCAGCAGCTTCACATCCAACTTCAAACAGACGAGTATGTAATACGCTCATTCATTCAATCAATCATTCATACTAACCTCTCACTCACAGACGACAACCCTAGCGCATTGGCCGAGCTACTGCGGTACATTATAATCATTCTCCAGCTGCGAGTCACACCAAAGTTCAGCCAAGAGGAAGCTCGCTATCATATTGTGCAGGGCCTGATTGGCAAATATAACACTCACTCGCTTCTCAGCTCGTTTAGACGCGAGTTCACATTTATCAACATTGACGACACGATCGAGGAGGTCGCGCAGCCACAGAACAACACCAACAAGCTGACACTGAAACAGAAGTATTGGGACCGCTTCGACTACTATTATCCCTATCACTATGGCAATGGTGATGGCCCCACCGACCTCTCGCTCAACAGCTACCACGAGAACCTCAAGCGCAACAAGTACCCAATCGACTCGTTCCCCCTGCCCGCCGTGCTCGAGCCACTCCATGCCAACCTGGCGGGCGTCAACGATCTGTTTGACGAGCCGATGCTCTACCACCTGGGCTTCAGTGTACTGCTGAGGTTCATCCATCCAGACCTGCGCAACAAGACCGACTTCCCGCTGGCCACCTATCTCACGACGAGTCTGGTCCAATCGGCGGTGGACCTAGAGGCGCCAATGAACCACGTGCTCTATATGCTCGTGATGGCTCTGCGACACTTCAAGCAGTCGTTCGACTCGATGCCTGAGCGCGATCAGGCAGCCATCCACGAGAGGATCGACCTATGGATCAACAAGGGCGAGTTCAAGGAGTTGGATCAGGCCAGCAAGAAGAACATCTCGATACTTAACATGCTCCGTCCTTACTCTGTGGTGGACGCCAACGATCACAACATGACACTGCGACGTATCAATCTGCTCGACCTCGTCTCGGACCTTCTGCAGACTATCGACAAGGAGGGCCTGCACCTTGACAAGAAGGGCCTGGTCACCAAGCTGCTGATCCTTATCAATGAGTTTGATCCCAACCTCTCAAAGTACTTCCACAACCGTCGTCTGGGCATTGAGGACATTGCCAACAAGCAGATCGAGAAGGAGGCCCAGATCAAGAAGGAGGAGGCGCTGCAGCGCCAAAAGGCCATCCAGGAGAGGATGATGCAGCAGCAACAGCAGTTCATGAAGTCCAATCGAATGCTCTACGAGGACGATGACGATGAGGATGAGGACGACGGCGATTCCAGCCCATCAAAGAAGACACAAGACACCTGCGTGGCTTGCAAGTCTGGTAACACCTCGCTGGACAACCCACTTTGTGCCATTGGACAGGTCGAAGGTTATGGCATCATGGCGACGGCAAAGAAGAGAACGATCGAGCACTACATGGTCGCGAGCCCAGGCAAGCCCGTCAAGAATGAGTACGCATTGTCGCGCGATCTTCAATCAATTGGACGCTACTTCCTCAGTGAGAGTTATTCGAGCATGTCACCCGCCAAAGTCATGGTACTGTTTGACCAAGGCTTCTCGATGAACGTGCGATGCTGCGATCATCTCGTGCATAGGAAGTGCTTGGACAACTTTGTGACCGACTGGAGCGACGGCTGTCGTTGCCCACTCTGCAACCGTACCTCCAACATCCTGCTCGCCATCGACACGGTTAGCAAGACCGAGGAAGTCCTCGAGCAGCTCTTCCTGACGATGCTGTCGCGCGATATCTCTGTGCGCAACTCACCGACAGTGCTGGACGCGGGCGCGCGTCTCTATATCTGGAAGTTTCCACTGTCCAACATCGAGACGCTGGAGCTTGTCTCGCGCCAAACCACCCTGTACAGCGATGACGACACACCCTACCACGTGCTAAGCGAGACAGACTTCCAGAAGCGACTCAAGACTCTCAAGCTGCTGTTCTTCAACACCATGTCCATTGAGCTGCATCCTAACCCTCGCCAGCAGCACAACCTGTTCGAGACCGAAAGCAGCAAGAGCGACCCATTCGTGCTGGCCACCTACTCGTACTTCCTAGATCGCAAACAGGACCCACAACAACTGATGCGCAAGGCCTACGACCGACTCATATTCTTGGTGTTTGTCAACTATATCTTTATGCGACTCCTAGCGCTACCTCCCCATCCCAATTCACAGACGGTCATTGCTGTCAAGAAGTATTACTCAACATTCAAGAACTACCTTGCTAGCAAGCAATCATCATTAGAACCCAACGACGACGACGATAACAACAACAACAGTAGCATCATAGATGAAGATATGGATACATCGGCGACAAAGGAAACGACAACAACCTCATCATCAACTACAACATCAACAACGACAACAACAACGAACAATGATAATGATGGTGAACTGACCGTGCCATTGATGAAGAAGATAGAGAAGGCGATCGAGAAGGTCGTCAATGTGTTCTTGCGCAAGGCATACCTATTCCATCTGTGTCTGCTGACAGATATGAGCAATCCAACTGCACCACTCAGCGAGCACGTCACCCTGCACACACTGGGCGATGTCAATTTCCTTCTGAAGAAGCTCAATCTGCCCACATGGAAGGAGTGTATATTACAGACAACAGCCGACTTCCAGTTGCTCATGGGATCGTCATGGAAGCAGCGCGTGGTCTATTACCTGCCACCCAAGCAACCCAAGTTCATAGACCTGCCCAACATCTTTGTTGTAAGTTCATCCAAACTCACTCGATCAATCGATCAATCAATCACCCGACTCATTCACTTACTCCGCTCATTCACTCAACTCTAGGACTTCTTCATTGACAACATCAAGAAGACATGTGGAAACAAGTGTAGCAAGCTGCCAAAGGGCGTATGTCTGCTGTGTGGCAAGTTGGTGTGCTATGGCGCATGCTGCCCAGACGAGTTGATGTGGCACTCTCATCAGTGCCAGAATGTTGTGTGTCTGTATATTGGTATCACTAGTCCAGAGGTGCAAGCCTATGCCTCTGACAAACAGATCGAGAAGCTCAATGTTTACTTTGATCAATTTGGCGAGCCCAGCAACAAAGCCAAGCCCAACGTCAAGCTCAGCCAGACCTCCCTACGTAATCTCTACATCAGCTGGGTACAAGGTTTATTCCATGAGAAGCAATTGCTGCAATAAAGTAACTGACTTTGTTTATTGATTGATTATTGATCGCGGAACTATTCCTGGGGGTTGGTCGTGATTGGACCACCCGTGTTCCCATCTGGTGATGTGGGCAACAAACCAAATCTTGGTTGGTGTGGTGGTTTGAAGTTCTAATTCGGAATTCACCACCTTACACACACACCCACCAATGTTGCTACTCAATCTTTCAAACACGAGAACACCAGAATCCAACCTAATAATCATACTACACACGGGTTATAATTATACACGTGCACTCTCATACAACATCATTTATTCATCTTTAAAGCTTTATAGTTATTCATTCATTCAATCATTAATTCAACTGAAAAATAGATAGATGTTTAGTTGTCCAACAAACTAACCAACAATGAGTTATAATCCTTATTATTATCAACCACCTCAACAACATGAACATGGTCATCATGATCATCATCATAGTGGAGGTGGTGATGAAGATCCACACTATGGTCCTACTTATGTAGACCCAAGATATCAACTACAACAACAGCAACAGCTAGAGCAACAACAAAAGTTGTCACCTACTCAGGGATACTACCAACAACAGGGATATGATTATAATCAATATAACTATGGCAATAACAACAATAATAATTCACCAGTGGCATCGACAACAACAACAAGTGGTTATAACGATCAATCAACATCATATGATTCATACTCATACGGACAAGGACAGACCAATAACAACAACACAAACAACAACAACAGCTATCAAGGTTACTCACCGCCACCACAACAACAACAACAGTACGATCAACAACAAGGTTCATATGATCATATTCAACAAGGTACTGGCTATGACTATCAGCCACAACAACAACATCAGCAACAGTATGACTACTCCGCACAACAGAACTCAACGTCAAACCAGGGCTCATACGACCAGTATCAACAGTCATCATACTTGAACGTTCCTACGCCCGACAGCTATGCATCTCAATCACCTCAGACTGGTGTCAGTCCCGCCACATCCTCGCCACCTCAAGATACAGCCTACATCCACGATGCCTATCACAGCAGTAGCAACAGCAACACAACTGGATATGGAACTGGAACTGGAAGTGGTACTGGCACCGGCACTGGATCTGGTTATGGATATGATGATGGACAAGGCAGCCACCTATCACAGAGCTACTACCAACCTACTCAAGATCTGACACAGAGCTACCAACAACAGGGCAGCAACCTGGCACAGACTTACCCACAGTCCAATCAAACACAGAGCTATGGCTACGGAGGCAACAACACAAACAGCAACAACAATTCCAACCTATCGCAGAGCAACTACCAACAAGACCAGCAGATGGAGAATGATAGGATCAATGCTTGGAATGAGTACTACGAGAAGCAGAAGCAGTATGAGTTACAACAGGAGCAGCAGCGCAACAAGGACATGGAGGTTATTGCTCAACAACAAAAGGCAGAGTACGACAAGATGGTCGCCGAGCTACAGAAGGAGCGTGATGAGGTCGAGCGCAAGAGACAGGAGTTGCAACGACAGCAGCAACAGCAAAAGGCTACGGGCGATCAGCTCGAGGCCGAGAAGCAGAGGATCAACATCTGGCGCGAGGAAGAAATGCGCAGACAGATGAACGAGGTGCAGCGTGAGCGTGAGATGGCCAAGAAGCACGAGGCTGAGATGAGGAAGAAGCTGATGGAGGAACAGGCCCTGCAACAACTGAACCTCAATGATCAGGCCATCAAGCTGAAGCAACAGGAGGAGTCAATTCGCAAGAAGATCAATGAGGAGCAGCAACTGCGCCAGAAGCAGGAGCAGCAGAAGCAGGAGGAGCTGCGCCAGAAGGAGAGCGGCCTGCTCAAGAAGGTGGAGGAGATTGAGAACCTGTCCAAGCGACTGGAGGAGGAGAAGCGACGCCGAGAACAAGAGGCCAACAATGAGAAGAGTCTGGCCGTGTCCAGACGTGACGAGGTTGCCAAGCAGGAAGCCGAGATCAACAAGCGCAAGCTGGAGATGGAGAAGGAGAAGAAGGCTCTGGAGGCCATGCGTCTGGAAGATCAAAAGAGGAACGAGGCGCACAAGAAGGAGGTGGAGCGCATGAGACAGCAGGACGCGCAGCAGTTGAAGCTTCAGCAGGAGAGCATCAAGCGTGAGCAGGACATGCTGGACATCCAGAAGAAGGAGCTGAAGCTGCAGGCTCGCGAGTCCACCGGACCCTCATCAAGTACCATCGACTCGTTGCAGCCAATGCGTGACATGGTCACAGTGTTGGCCGGTCAGAAGGCGCTGTCGCCACCCCCAGTGGCCATCGCCAGAGAGTCGCCGCCAGCGCCCACGCGTCCCAAGCCACGCTTCCCACCCGTCGACATGACCAAGGTGGTCAATGGATACAAGCTGGGCGATGTCGTAAAGATACAACGATGCTATCGCAAGTATGTCATGCGTAGAAAGTTCAAGGAGATCGTGCAACAAGCTCTTCACTCTACCGACCACGAGACCGAGTCATCCAAGAAGAGGTTCAGAGCTGTCAACGAGGTGTACTCAACCGAGGTATCATACCTTAACTCATTGCTCGTGTTACAAAACGTATGTCATCTGTCCCTCCTCCTTCTAGCATCCAGCTCATCTAACTAACATGCCCTCACTCTCTCACTCACTCATACGCAACACCAGTTCTACTTCATACCAATGGAGGTTGAGGCACGTGTTACCAAGTTATTTAAGGTTGAGGAGATTGGCAGGATATTCTCCAACCTCAAGAGTTTGCTCCAGATCAGCACCGACTTCCATCACCAGCTCGAGGAGCGTCTGCATCACTTCCCCATCCTGGTCGGTGATGTGTTCCTAAAGTTTGTAAGTTACTCCTCCACTTCCTCAACATTTACCGTCACACTGATTGATTGAATGACCATTCCAACTCCATCCCCAATCAACTACCAGGCACCAATCTTCAAGATATATGTCGAGTATATCAACAACTTTGACAATGTACATCCAATCGTAAAGACACTGATGGAGAGTCCACAGGGCGCCAACTTCTTCAATGTAAGTATAGTTATTGGACATGTTCAATGATGATTGAGTACTTACCAATCTTTGTCCAATGACCTACCTCCAATAGCAACAAAAGCAGAAGTCAAGAGTGAACACTGACTTGTAAGTACTCGCATCAGGAGAAACTGGATCTAGGCAAACTGGCAACACCTAACACATCTCCATCACAACAATCAATCATAATATAGACAAAGCTTGTTGATCATGCCCATCCAACGTATTCCAAGATATGAACTCTTGCTCAGAGTAAGTCACTCATTGTTGGCGATGTCCATGGACATGTACTAACACCCTACTCGTCGATCAAACAGGAGATATTGGGGAATACACCAGAGTCACATGTAGAATATAAGAGCATAAAGACTGCCTACGAGTCAATGAAGAAGATAAACCAGTATATCAATGAGAGAAAGACCAATGTCGATCGTAGGACCAGGTTATCAGATGTACAGAAGGAGATAAAGAATGCACCTGTATGTATATCCACTCTACAACCAACCACAATCAACTCAATCACTAACCATGTCGACATCAACCAACCAACCAGGAATTGATTGCATCACATAGATACTTTGTACGCGATGGAGAATGTGTCATTTCATCGACCAAGAAGCATGAGACTGGCAACTACCATATGCACTTCTTCAACGACTTGCTGTTGGTCTCCAAGAAGACCAGCTTCTTCTCATCCTACAAGTACGAGTTCCTCTACAGTATATCTCTAAAGGATGCCGATGTCAGAGATATTGAAACAAATGGTATGTTATGTTATGTTTGCGAATGCAAAGGCAAAGGCAATGGCAATGTCATCGCGCGACAACAACTTCTCGCGACAACAACCTCTCGCGAGTGAGCATGTAGTTTGGCGAGTGCTTTAATTAAGTCTTACACAATCAATCAATCAATCAATCTCCCAAACAAACGAATAATAACAGATGCCATGGTTCGCGTTGTCAAGGGCCGACTGGACTCACTGGACGTTGTTATCTACACACTTTGCTTCACGTCAAAGAAAGAGAAGGATCTATGGTTGGCTGATCTGGCTAAAGAGATAGGCTCTATGAACAAGACTATTCAATCAATGAGCAGTATGGACTTGAAGCTCAGTATGCGATCATAGTAGATGGATTGATTGATGATGAATGATTGATAGTACTCGTCGTCTCCCCATAGAATGCAAGACATAAACACACATGGGCGCGATGTATCATCGACCAATGCTCAATACAAGCCTTGCAGCGAGTCCAATCAGTGGCCCTCTAAGGTACTCGACCAATAGAATGTTCTGGGCTCACATCAGTGCATTGTTTGTGTACACACAGGGACGACGAGGTGGACCATCCAACCAATCAATCCACGGTGTGCTTATTGTCTGTCTGTCTGTGCTCATAAAGTCGCGACCTTTGAACATCACTAAACAGCAACAACATCACCAGAAGTGAGTGATTGAGCGCATGCAAGCAAAAAAGTATCTGTCGCCATCAATCCATCAAAAGGTGAAGGACGCACCGTGCTTGTACACAAAGGGATAGATCTCCGTTAGGATCGAGCATCCGCCCAGACATGTATTTTGATTGGGTCACGAATGTTCCGGAGCCCAGCCTCGATTTTGATTGTGTGTTTGTGGTGTGGTTGTCGCTTCTTGTGATGGGAAGGACACCATCATTTCGCCGCCGCCGTGTTGTTGCGGTAGGCTACGTGTGACAGATTACCCAACACTTCACATCATCAAGGCATTGTCTTTCGAGGTGTGACATTCTCCCTCTCTTTCTTCACTCTCTATCTTCTTCACTATGTCCTTCAAATTAAAACAATCAATGTGCGTCACCATCATGACAACTAAACAATAGCAGTGAATGATCACTTGCATGCACCAATGACTCTTGATCTTGGGTCGCTATAACCCCCTGACCCCCTCTTGATTCCCAAACAAGGCGGGGCCAGGTTAGCCATCCTCATTTAATTAATGATGGTGGACATTATGTTGTAAGGACCAACTACCTGACTACTCAAACTAATCCTACTCCTATTCCTATTCCTACTCTTACTGATATTACTACTACTACTACTATTCTACTACGTACATACATACATACATAGACATAGATGTTACAGTATCAGCTTGGTTGAACCACCCACACATCCAATCTAAAGGGTATGTCCAACATGTCTCTATCTATCTCCACTCATTCATAATCACAATCACCTCATTGCCAAATGTAGTGTCCAGAAGCAGACTGGAAAGACACACACACACATGTATAGTCCGCACAATGCAATACATGTATATATCGCGATATGATTATATGTACCTATTTATAGATATGTACATATATGGTCCATCAGTGATCATTCATTCATTCACTCATACGGTCATTCAGGTGATTGTATGTGTGTGATTGAACAGTGAAGATGTATATGTTTGATCAAGTTCAACACACATAATCAATCAACAACCACAGACGCGAATTCCTGTTCACGCTTATCAACAACATCCACACACACACTCAAGACAACGAAGATGATCACCCATCAACACTGTCCTCAGTCTATCAATCAATCAGTGTGTGGTCGTTTGATTGATTGAGTGTGTATTAGTGAGTGGGAGACAATGAAACTTATCTCAGTGTCCCCTCCTTGTTAATATCACTATCAACCTACCTCCTATGTGCCCTCTTTAATTAATTAATCACCCAATCCTATCCAATCAATCATAATGAAACACACTGATTCACTCTCTCTCTCTCTCTCTGACGATGATGGAACATAATACCACCTATATTACTCACACACACCAGAGGTGATCGCCCATTAGCCAATCAACACATGGCGATGGCATCCCTATCCCAATGCTTCGTAATACAATGCAATGCAATCATAATTTATATACATATATATATATTTATCCAACAACAACGAGAACATCCACATCAACACACTCCAACAACTGGAATTCCTGGCTGCGCCAGAGTGAAGGTGGTTGTTGCTATACTCTGATTTAAGATCAGGTGATTGATTGATTGATGTTCTTCCCCACCCCACCTCCCACCCTTCACTCCGACATCCTCACTCCATCCTAGGATTGTTGGATTGATTGATGGACTGACCAGACGGACGGAAGGACTGGATTAATGGACAGACAGACGTTCAACAACCAACCAACATGCCTGCCTGCCAGTCATCCAATCAATCAGCACATTATTATTTAAATGTTGATGGCCATCAACATCAAATACTAACACTACACATTATCCAAACCATTACCAATCCCAATCAATCATCCCATTCCCAAACAACAACTCTCTCTTTGTTGTTCCCAGTTCCCAATTCCCAACTCCTTCCAATACCTTTCCAATAACCTTTATAGTCTGCCGCCGCAATCATACTGCAGCAGCCGCAGCTCATCACCACCGCAACTCACAAAGCAAAAGGTAATACAATAGAATTCCATAATACCAAGCATGAGACTAACCATTCCATTTCATCCCATAATGTAGTTACATTAATAATAATTATAGGAGGATATGGCCGTAGTTTACCAATATACATCACCTTATTTCTGGGGTGCCACATCACCATCATCATCACAGTTCCCGTTGCCATCGACACCGGCAGTGGCGACCGCCTCTAAATTGCCACCATCACCTGACCACTTCCACAACAGCAGCAGCAATAATAACGCATTCCAGTTTCCAATGATGCATCACCAGATGGCATCGGCACATCACCATCATCATCCACTTCAACAGATGCCTCATTCATCAATACATCACTCACCACCACCTCCACATCACATTTTCTCACCTTTCGCACTGAGTCCAAGTGCCAGCGCCTCGTCAATGGGCAGCCCTACATCTGTTCTCCACTCATCAACATCGTCCGCCTCGGATGCCCTGGAACAGGCGCATCAGTTCTCGCCACCAAACCTGTCTACCAAGCGTCAGTACTCACTGGATGACCTGGCCAATGAGGAGCATGCCTATTTGGAGGCCGAAGGCTACTCCTATGATGAGGAGGATCCAAGTGACACTGATGATGAGGAGTATCAGCTTCAAATGGAGGAGCTCAAAAGTTTCCTCAAGCCCTTTGTACAACAAATACTTGAAAGCAATCACTCCAAGTCCATCCGTACATTCCTCATCGACTGTATCAAAGAATATATAACTGTTAAGGACTTCTTGACCAAGGTATGTTTGGTTGGTACTGGAATTATTCCAGCCCCACTCCAAGCCCAATCACTAACACACACATCCATCACTACTTAGGTCAACTTGTGCTGCAATGAAAACAACATTGGACATATATATCAGGCAATGATCCAATTGTTGATCAAGGTGGATGGAGATGTAAAGATGGTCAGCTACATGGCTGATTGTGGCGTGGAGGAGAGTGACTTGGAGTTTGTCAAGGAGCTGGACCTGACCAACAACAATGCCGAGGTGGTGAAGAAGAAGCGTGAGCGCAAGAGAGAGAGTATAAGTAGAGGCCTGCGCTCACCGCCCAACAAGTGGACCAAGGAGGAGTCGCAGAACCTCATCAGACTGGTGACCGAGAATGGTGACAAGCAATGGAAGAAGATCGCTGCCAAGCTGGGAGGTGGCAAGACTGGCGCGCAGTGTGCCCAGCATTGGAAGCGTGTGCTCAGTCCCGAGATCAAGAAGGGCTCGTGGGACGAGGACGAGGAGATGCTTCTTTTCTCGCTGGTTCAGAAGCATGGCCAGAGCTGGAAGAATGTGGCCATCGAGATCAAGACGCGCACAGACATCCAGTGCCGTTACCAATACTTCAAGGCGACGACGTCGCGCCAGACTCCATGGTCGGCCACCGAGCTCGAGATCCTAAGCAAGAAGATCGAGCAAATATTGATCAACAACTATGAGATTGGATCGTTCCAGCAGGTTGCCAAGCACCTTGCTCGCGCCAAGTGCACCAAGATACCGCGTACGGCACTGGAATGCAAAGTCAAGTGGAGTGAGATATGTGCCTGTTACCAAGGCAGGCCACCAGTTGGATTCTATCAATAACAGAGAGTTATATATATATAACATTACATTATTCATTCATTCATTATTCAATGAATTCAATCATTCATTTGGACTCTTTACTGGCTTATTCCATCCGATGATCTTGAGTAGGAACTGCTTGAATCGCTTGCTATATGTGTTTGGGTTGACTGCCGACATTGTGTCGGTGTCATAGATGGTCGCCTTGTAGGTGTGCTCCAGCTGTTTCTTGATGTTGTATGTCGTTAAGATATCGATGATGGCAAAGTAATAGATTCGATCATAGCATTCGCCATCGATCGTCCTAGCAATCATTCCGCCCTGCTCCCGTTTGAAGTTGGACAGTTTATCCTCAATATTCGTCTCCACTCCACTGTTGCCATGCAGATAACGTATTCCAAGCAACAAGCTGTAGTCCATTGAGTCGACCTTTTCCAAAAACTGGAAGTAGTACTTTGTTAGTGCACCTCCTCCTCCTTTGACGTGGACAACGATGATAATACATACATTACAATCATTCTCAATCTGCATTAGTAACAATATCTTGATCTCGTCAGAAACAAAGATACGCGTTGAGAAGTCCAGGTCCATCATGACCTGCTTGGCAGTCTCAGCCTTGCGATTGAGTGTGCTGCCCTTGAGATCATAGATCTCGTCCATGTTCCTATCCTCAAATATATTCTCCATGATGACAAAGTATGTATTCTTCATCTTTGAAGGTGATATATGATGTAGTCCATAGTACTTGACCAGAAGTGTGTCCTTGTTGGTGACCAAGTGCTAGATGATGGTAGAGGTAGGTGGGTCAGTGAGTTGGACTTGTCCATGCATGTACGCCCATCGATCATACTGTGTAATAACTGTTTAGAACGCTTCGTAGCTGTTCAAATTCTGTTGATGAGATGGTCTTGACGATGTACTTCTTGTCGCTTGTGTAATAGAACAATGAGTTACTGCGCCCTGGCGAAGGTGTCTCGGTGAGCGAGTCCTGCGTCAGTGATATCATGTAGTCGGCCGGATTGACATTGGATAGCTCGCGTATCCTGCGGAAGACTTTGGGCGCATAGTCGACAAACTTGTATGACATGGCAGCCGAGTTGGGCCGCGAAACATTGATTGTCTGTTGTTCATACGCGCTAAAGTCTTCAGCAGTGAGCTCGCCAATGATCGCCGCCGATGTCTTGCCAAGGCTGTACAGCAGCGCGTTTGAAATGGCATGCACCAGCTCGTATGATCGATGGTTCTCGGTGACCACCGACTGCACCATTGGCGATACGGCCGGTAACTGTGACGCCAGGTTATCAATGGCCTCCTGTATGGCGCCAATCCATTCGTAGCTGTCGCGCTCAATCTCGCCGCCACTCACAGAGGAGTAGAGGTAGAATGTCTTGCGAATGGGATGCGCGATCTTGAAACAAAAGGCCTTCTTGGTCTCTGTATCGGCCAATGATATCGTGCACTCGGATAGCGGGATTTGATTGAGCATGGGCTGGCCCTTGTCCTTGTAATATTCGAGCGACACGTCCGTCAGCACAAAGTAGCGCTGCAGCCAGTTCTTGCGTAGATGTCCTTGCTTGTTCAGATAGCCTTCCTTTATCGTCTTGGTGCTGCTGGTACTTGCATGGTACAATGTCTCTCCATCTTCATCCTTTTGTTCGGTCGTCGTCGTTGTAGTCGTGTTTGGGCTATTTACATTGTTTCCAGGTGTTGATGATGATGTCTGTTGTGGTGTTAATGTTGATGAGGGGCTTGTATTGCCACTGGTGCTGCCTCCTCCAATCTTTAGTTTACTTAGCCACCATATCTACACATCATACTCTGTGTTAGTTCACTCATTCGATCAAACAAACATATGATCTTGATGTACTTACAGGTGAACTAAAGGTGATATTATTGCTGTTATTGTCTACATCTGAGGCAGATGAGGACGATGATGGTTGGGCCGAGACGTTACTCTGACCACAACCTTGAAGGGCTAGGGGAGATGGACGCTCTGCGTTTGATCGCTCAGTTGTCATTGGATTGTCAGGTGTAGGACTGCCACCTCGTGGACTGTTTATAGGTGACGATGGTTTGCTCGAACTCCTCCAAGTTGATCTATCTTTACACTCTCCTCCTGCTTCTCCAACCTCTGTCACTGCCTCTTCTATCCTTATCGTAGTTGTAGTCGTTGTAGTCGTGCTATTTGTTGTTGTTGTTTCTAAGTTTACAGTTGTGAGTAGCCCTTGTTGCGGCAGATGTTGCTCTTGTTGCTGTTGATGGGATTGTTTGTTATTGTCTTCAACTACAATGTCTTGTTGTTTGTCATTGTTCTCTGAGAGGTCTATTTCAACAGTGTCGTCGTCTACTGATAGTAGTAGTGTGTTTGTTGTTGTTGTTGTATCATCTTGTATGGTAGCAGTAGTTGTTGTAGTGTCAGCAGCCACAGCAGAGTTTACTTCATCTTCCATCTCTAAAGATATATTTAGTCCTCTCTAATACTGAACTAGATTGGTGCACTTCTGTCTATTTGTCAGTCGACTGCAAACAACCATGTGAGAGTGCGCCTGAGTGTGTGTCTTTGAACCCCCAATCCCAAAACACCCCCACAGATACAGATCCAACTCCAAAACACAACTCTACAAAAAAAAAAACAGACCGCTAGTCTTCATTCTCAACTCAATTGATACAGATACGAGTGAAGATGAAGATGTATAGCAATGAATGAATGAATGACTAGACTAAGTATTCCAACAACAACAACAATGTTCTAGGAAGATGTATTACAATAACACTGCATAAAGATGATTGATATTCAATGATGTGACAGCTTGTCTCAAGGTAATAATGAGACCAACTTGGATTTTCGACGAAGGATGACATTCAGATTGTCAAAGAATTGATTGATTACCGAGATTGGTTTGTCGGTCACGTGTGTCGAAACGTCATTTATTTGATTCCCATCAATGGAACAATCACTATAAATACAGTACTGGAACAATGACAACAAAGAATGAATGTTAAAAGTTACTAAAGTATCAATCAAACTAATAATATAAACATAATATTATCATGTACAAATATCTATTTATAATTATATCCATGTTGTTGTTGTTGGTGTTGGTTACTAATGCCGACACTGTATACACATGTACTGTTTGTAAGAAATTGAATGAAGAATGTGAATATGAAGTTGATATATGTCAAGAAGGAACAACATGCGGTGGACCTCCAAGTGACTTCGGTAGTCTCTATGGTACATGTCTTCCAATTCCAACATTGGGAGGTAACTGTTCCCTTGTCCAACTCTGTCAAAATGGCCTAACATGCAACGAGAATAACATATGTGAGGCTCAAGCATACCTTGGTAAGTCAGTCAGTTAGTCTATCCTTCAAAGGCCCATTCAATCCATCTAACTCAGTATCAAACATATTAGGATACTCGGAGCTATGTGCCAAGGATATACAATGTTCGGGCGGACTTCAATGTGTTGATGGAAAATGTGCCAATGTTGAGTATCCAAGATGTGGAAATGATACTGGTTGTAAATGGAGTGAGAGATGTAATAGCAGTGGACTATGCAATCAACCTGGTCAAATTGGACAATCATGTGAGGTCAAAGGTGATTGTCCCTATCAATCAAGTTGTATCAACAATCTATGTGTTGGATACTACACTGTTGGAATCAATGGAAACTGCACAGTTGAGACCGACTGTGATACATCCTACAATCCTGTCGTATGTATTTTACTCATTCAATCAACATAATGATACTAACATGAATCAATCAATCATACATATAGTGTATGTCTGGCAAGTGTAAGAGTAAGGATGTTATCAACTCGATGCCTTGTAATTCTAATGAGGATTGTGCTAATGTGAGGTATGCTGTTTGCATGTGTAATGGTGATACGAATCAAGATAGTGTATCGAATGGTACATGTCATTCATTCCTTTTAATGAACAAATCTGTTCAATCAAAGATGATGGAGTTCTACCAATGTATCAATGATCGACAATGTCCAGATGTTGACAACCGTGTTGAAGGAAGCTGTTTAGCATCATGTGGCGATCCAGCCGAATGGGGTATATTGTCCAATCCATGCTATGTTCCACCTATCCCTACTACCACATCATCGAACACTACGACTACGACTACTGCCCCGCCCTCAACTTCCACCACGACCACAACTTCCACCTCAAGTTCAAGTACATCTACTACAAGCGGCACCACAACGAGACAAAGTACGACAACTTCTGTGACATCAACAACAACCACATCGGGCAAACCATCACCCTCAGATAGTTCAACTACAACTATCCAATATGGTACATTGATCATGACAATCATTTTTGCAGTGCTCGTTCAATACTAAGGCTTTTACTGATGGGCACATCGCAGGGCCTTCCAAAAGTTTGGACTATTAATAAATTGGTTGTTTTCCAATCAAAATGATCATTTTCCAATCACGTCCAATGAGATCTTCCCAATCATTGATTTTTTTGATCAAAACAAAAGTCCAAAAGGGGGCAACTGATCGTTTTGAGTTTACACACTAGTTTGGCGCGAGAGGAAATTACCTTCCCTCATTTTATTACAAAAATAGATAGATACTACGAAGGCTTTAAAATTTAAACCTTCTCTCTCTATCTAGTACTATTGATTCGGAATGAGGGCTTCTCAAGACTAGTGTTACCTACTAGCATCATCTACTCAATATTATACTAGTTCTAACTTAATCAAAAAAGAGATAATATATAAATAAATAACCAACAACAAAAACCAAACAAATAATGAAATCTATTATCACATTATTAATTTTATCATTATTTACATTAACTGTTCATTCAGAATGTTATTCTTATAATCAGATAGTTACTATTCCATCAGATGAGTATGAGATCTTCTGTTTTCCTGGTGCTGGTCCTGGTACTTTCACTGTCAATGGTGTCCTATCTACAGCCAACTCGGACAGTTACAACTATGACATAGGTACCATCACCCTGGACACCTGTGCCGATGGAAATGCTGCCTTCAAAACATTTGTATCACAATATCAAAATAGTGATGGCACCATCATTGTCCCCTCGACAAACTTTGACCTTTATTATGGAACCTACCCCTCCATGTACATAGAGTGCAACAACGCATTTGATAGTTGCTCCATCTCTGTCAACATTGACCTGTGCTCCACTCTGACTCCATCGTCCTCGGGAGTCGTGACTACCTCCTCCGAATCAAGTTCGCCATCCTCTGGAGTAGTGTCCGTTACCACATCTACATCCCAAACTACATCTTCAATCCACACTGTATCCTCCTCTGGCCAGACCACCTCATCCTCATTATCATCATCCTCTTCATCGTCCTCAACTGGACCATCCCACCCCACGACCGTCAATGTCTGTGGATACTGTGATCAGACCTGTACTGGTGCCAGCCAATGCCGATCGTACCAAACTGGCCAATGTGTGGAGTTCAGTCGTATCTGTGGCAATGGTGCCGGTGATGTACTTGGCTATGGAATACTGGAGTACCAACCATTATCCGACACACCCTACTCCATTACAATGTATCCTGACTCTACATGCCAGTCTGGTACCTACCAATACGCCAACTCAACATGTGGCACATGTCTCGGTTCCAATGTCAACGCATTCGTCAAATGTAACACTGCCTCAACTCAATCTATCTTCACCGGATTGATTGTCTCTTCATTGTTCCTTGTACTTCTTGCTGTGTTGTAATAAACTATTGCTTGCTTAATTTCTTGCTTGTTGTTGATATGGAAGACGGTCTATTTATTGTCTATCTACCTGCTACTGCTACTGCTATTGCTGCTCAAGTCGTCATTGTCATTGGCTAGGTTGACTGGCTCTTCGATATTGTGTGTTTGAGTTGGCAATGGCTCAGCCTCGATGATGTCATCAGACACTGTTGATTGTTGTTGTTGTTGATCTTCATCGTTAATGTTCAATGATGAAGTTGATTGCTCTGTCGTAATAATATTCTTGATGTCGTCGTCGTCGACTTCTTCTTCCTCTTCGAACTTGACGTGCTTGTTACCGTCGCTGCTGCTACTACTACTATTGCTATTACTTCGACTGTGGCTATTTACATGTTCACGTTGTATGCTGTCTTTGAGGTTCTTAAAGAATACCTTGTCATCACTCTCGTCGAGTGTCTGATTGGAATTGTCGTTGTTGTTCTGTTGTTGTTGTCTGCTTTGCTCCTCAGCCAAACTCAACTCGATGGCCAGTCTTAGATCAGGATCCATCGATTCGTTCAGTTGAACTGGTGGTGCAGTGGATGTCGTGCGTTGGACTCTTGTAGGGTTCTTTAGTGCAGATGGCAGAGGTGGAGCAATTGGTGGCGGTGAATGATTGGGTATCACGCTTATCTCCATTTGGGGTACTGGAATGGCATGATTGGCTGCGCTCTGATCAAGTCCAGCCTCCAAGATGATTGACAGACTAGTGTTATACTGACACAATATACCATGCTTCTTCCAGCCAAAGTCAGTCTTGCCATACTCGATAACAAAGTCAAAGGTAGGGTTGCCCTGTGATTGATTGAATGAATGATGGAATGAGTGAGTGAATGATGGAGCCAGCAAGGCGAGCCTTGGACAAACTTACATGTTTCATAATGTTCTCGATGGTACGGATGAGGATCTTCTTCTTGATGAGTAGACCAGAGCCTTGTAGACCTATGTTGAGCTTGAATGTGATGTTGGAGGTGGCTGCATTTACTAGGCTAATGTCTAGGAACTGTGGACACAGGGAGATTGGGTAGCTGGTGAGCATGAGTGCTGCGCGCAACTTGGTCTTGCCAATGGCACTCTCGATACACTTCCAGATCTCATCGCCAACGAATGATAGACGTGCATCTCTGATCGCGAACAGGGGGTCCTTGACACCCTCGAATGTGAAGACGATGCCGCCCGTCTCGAGAATGTCCACAAACACGCCTGTCAAGACCACCTTGGGTGTGGCGTCCACAGGGATGGGCTCGCCCCAAGACTCCTTGATAATGCGATAGCTCATCACTACGAGGAACAGTGTGAGCAGACCAAAGGGGATGAAGAGGTAGTAGATCTTGGTGACAATGGGGATGATCAGTGGCCAGCAGGTCCAAATGAGGAACAGTGGGAACATGAGGATCTCGCCAACGAAGCATGCACGACGCAGACGGAAGCACACGTATGTCAGACTGGCCAGCAACTGTTTGTACAAGCCCCAGACGCGTCCGACAAACACCTTCTTGACAAGCCAGTAGTATGCGCGCCATGGTGAGAACAGGGGGAAGTGTTTGCGAGACACCAGCACCGTCACGTTCCAACACACGAGCATCACCAGCACCCAGACGCCCTGTGCGACCCAGATTCCAGCTGAGAACTCGCCAACAGTGTCGCGCCACCATTGACGGTCGGTGAAGAGGCTGTGCCAGTAGTCTACGAATGATTGTCGTGGGTTTTGATAGGCGCCCAGCGCCACCAACAATGGGAGTATCAACAGAATGAGCTGCATTGCCAAGAAGACGGGGAAGAGCAGAGTCTGAAGAATCACAATAATGTACTCGGGTATGACCATTGGTCCTTGTGCCTGTCCAAGTTGCTCCCAATTGAACTCTGTGAATGAAGGAGTGAGTATGTGAGCGTGTGTGGGACGCAGCGACAGTGTCTACTTACCAATGCGCTTCTTGTTCCAGAGTGGTGAGCCAAGTGTAACGATGAACATGTAGATGGCATTGATGCCGACAAGAGCAAAGCCAAGCTCGTTTGGTACACTGATCACTGCGCCAATGATGTTGATCGTGGCGAACTTGTCAAACTCGAGGTATGTCATACATTGAACAGAGAGCTCTGTTTGTTGTGAGTGAGGCGTGTTAGGACCAGGGCCACGGTGTTCACATCAACCTCACTACTTACCGTGTAACCACTTCAATGGTATGTTGAGGAATGAGTTGGTTGGAGACTGTGTACGCTTGGAGAGGTAGTAGTGCAAGGGTAGGAATACTAGACCAACGAGCTTGAGTGGGGCAAAGACTAGGTGAGGGATATCGCGCAATGTCTCCAAGAAGTAGAATGAGATATAGGCGTAGAGCTCGGCGGTACCGAATGGCTTCTGCTTCTCATCCTGCTCCTTCTTGCCCTTCTTGATCGCTGAGATAGTGATTGGAACTCGCCATGCCAGCAATGTAATGAAGAATGTCTGAATGACTGCCAACACATCAATGAGGATGAGTGCCACGCCACATAGACATGCGATGCAGAATGCATAGGTATGCTTCCATCTGTTTGTGCTCTGTGGCTCCAACTCCTCCCTGTACAACTTGATCGCAGTGCGTATTCTCCAAGGTCCAAGGCATATGAATATCACTAGAGTAGTATGTGAGTGATGATTGATTGAGTGACTGAATGGAATGGTTCTTGTACTTACTGCAAAGGAAACAGAGCATATCGATGAAGAGGACGGCAAAGTATTGGAGTGCGAGCATACGTGCTTCGTAGTCGGACTTGGACTCGCGGTAAACTGCCTTGATGAGGTTGACGCCACGCCATGGGAATATGAGTGTCATGATACCAAGCAGGACGAATGGTAGGTCCATCAGGGTCTTTTGGAATAGCTTGGCAATGTCGCGATGCTCATTATCACCTCTCTTGTACTCCTTGACCATCTTGATGAATGATGGAATGCGCCACATCGTCAGCAGGATGAAGAGAACAGGGATGAGACAAAGCAGATCGAGCAGAACAAAGAGCAGGTAGCGCAGGATGAGTAGACGACGCTGGGCGTACTTGCGGTCGGGGTCATCCAGCTCACCCATGCGACGGATGACAATGGGCAGACGCCACAGGGTCAACAGCATCAACAATGGGAATGGGATGTCGACGATAAGTAGGAAGAACTGCTTGCCAATGATGAGGTGACAGCTGAGCGCGGCGGTTGCCAGCGTGGTGGTGGGCGCTGGGTTGTCCTCGGGGTCGCCCATCTCCATCGATTGGACCGATGAGTTGGTGGATGATGGTGCAGATATCTCGAGCTCGGCACCACTGCTGCTGCTCTTGCTGGTCGGTCGCTCTGCTGTGAATATGCGTGCAGTCTTGAGCATGCGGATTGTATCGCGCGCTCTGTAGACTGTGGCCATGAGTATGAGGAAGCCAATTGCGGTGGGGATATCCATGATCAGCTTGAGGAATGTCTTCATAACATATGCGCGCTGTCTCCATCGGCTCACACCAGTGGGGAACTCCACGATGAAGAAGTATGAGCGCCACACTGTAACTAGGATGACCAGCGAGCACAGCACGAATGGCAGGTCGAGGATGTCGACAAACAACATGCCAAAGTGCTTGGCGGCCATCAGTCGCTTGCGTGAGTGGCGTCGCTCTGCGCCAATATCACGCCACATGAAGAAGGCACGCCATACGAGCAGCGTCACAAACATGCCCATGACGATGAAGGGGATGTCGCGCATCAGCTTGAGCCACTGCTTGATGATTGTGATCTGGAAGTTGTTGGCGTTGTCCAGACGCAGCTTCCTATAAGTGATGGGTATGCGGTATACCGTGATCACGATGAACAGCGAGCAGAACAGCATGAAGAGGTCCAGGAACACCAGGCCAATCTGTTCAAACACCTTCCAGCGGCGATCGCTTGCTCTTGTCTGGCCCTTGATCTTCTTGATCGAGATGTAGATGCGATACAGAGTGCTGACAATGAACAGCACGTACAGGAGTATGACCAGCAGGTCGAGCAGCGCCCACAGCACCTGTTTCATGATCTTGAGCATGGCGTCGTCCATGGTCTTGGAAGCGCGTGCCTTGCGGAACGCGATGGGGATGCGATAAGGCACGAGCAGTAACAGTATCGAGCACATAATGACAAAGAAGTCCCAGAACAGCTTGAAGAACTCCAGCACGATGAGGAAGCGCAGTTGGAATGAGAACACCACTGACTTGTTGTGTGCATGTGTGCGCAGCGACTTGAAGCGCCAGAAGAAGAGCATCTCGATGAGGAGCAGCGGCAGACACAGCAGGTCGGGCAGTATGAGGGCCATGTGTGTGTACAGCTGCTTGCGCACAGTCTTCTTCTTGCGGGTGGGTCCTTCATAGGGTGCGCTAAACACTGTGTATATCATGAAGGGTACGCGGATGAATGTTGCCAGCGACAAGACAAAGGCGATGAATGCGAACAGGTCGGCCAGCGCCTCCAGAACCTGTTTGAAGTATGCGCCAAACTTGGGCTTGACCGAGGGGAACTTGTAGCAGGTGAAGATGAAACCAATGATGTTGACGGCCAATGCGCCCAGGCCAATGACGAACGGGATGAACAGTCGTCCGTCCTTGATGGCCAGGCTGATCAACCATCCATAAAGGCCAGACAATGCCAAGAATGACCATGGGAAGAATGGCAACACCAATAACAATCGCGGCAATGCAATAAACAAGTGAAAGCCTTTAGATTCCTTGATGCTAGATTCTTGGGCAACGATTAACTATTCATTCGTGTTGATTGAGTTGAGTTTGTATGAGTGTGAGTGCATGTGTGACTACGAGTTTCCGTGTTTCCGTCGCGGAAGTTTGACGGAAGTTGGCGCGACCATTGAATTGATGATTCAAAGGCCATGGATGATTGTTTACTTACCAATACTAATTTACAATATAATGTTATTGGAAGACATATGATTGAGAATGTATATCCAATCAATTCCAACAACTTGATGATGAGGAATAGGATAAGTGGTGATCCACTATCCATCTTTGAACAATCTATCAACTACCACTGGCTGTGAGTGCTACTATTATTGCTGATGAACTATAATGATGGTACAAGTGATATATATGAACTCGCGAGTATGTTGGAGAAGTGAGTATATGAGTGATTGTTTGAGTGAGTCCCACAACGCTGAAGTCGTTCAAACTTATGTGTAGATTATATATATATAAGTTGTTTGATTGATTGAGTGATCGAGTTTGAATGAATGAATGGTATTTGACCTTCTGCAGAAAGTAAGAACGAAGCAAGGGTGTCCTGTATGTATGTAGTGTGATTGTACAACAGGTGAACGAATCGGTGGCCCTATAAAATTTGATGATGTATCTCATGATCTAGATGGTAAAAATAACCTTGATGTTTTTCAAAGCAGGGCTTCAACGAATTGATCAAAAACGTGTCACAATGGTCGTAAGGGGTTATGTTTTGGTGGGTTGAAGGTGATCGCCATCATCATCAAACTCCAAGGATGGTAATAATAAAACCAATTATCTCTATGATGACGACTACTTTTATGACATCGATGTCAAGTGCTGTTTGGGATTTCCCAAGAGTCGTTGTAGAGTGAGAGCGAGAATGAAGGGGTCGTCCCCCAGGGCACATCACTCCATGGACCACACACACCATCAGTTACTTTGATTGATGATGGGCGGAGAAGTGGTAAACAAAAGGTTGGAAAGTGTTTGGAAATACAGGATATATTTATATTATTATATATATGTGTGTGACAGTGTATATGGCTGAATGACTACTCCAGTTGGAGTTGGATACTACAACTCCCTATTGAGTAATCCTAACTAAACTATGAATACTAATACTATTATTACTTCTTGTGGCTAGACTTCTCCCTATCCTTCTTACTCTCCTTGCGCATCTTGGCCTCATTTCTTTGCTTCTCCTCGATCAGTGACTTGTGCTCCTTGGCCTTCTCGATGTTACCTTCCTTGAGATAACGTAGATCATCACGGTATCTGCAGTCGGTGGGCAGTGGTGACTCGTGGTAGATAACACCTGGTGGCACCATACTCAGCTCCCAATAGACCTTGTTGTCGATGGTCAACTGTGTCAACCACGAGCCTTCAATCTCGCAGACGACCTCTGGTTGCTCGCCCTTCTTCTTGTCCTTGCTCGAGGGCGTGGCACTGCCTCCTATTCTATATATCTGTCCGACAAAGTAGTCTGATGGCTCCTTCTGCTTGGAGAATATACTCTTTACAAAGCCCAGTGCATGTGGATTGAAGGTTATCTCGCAACTAGATGGTTGGATTGGGAAAAGGGACATGTCAGTTCGATGTTGGATGAATTTCAGTATTGTCAGCTGATCGAAAAACGAGTCAGCTGATCACTTAATAGTGTCAGCTGATCGTATCAAGTCATGTGATCACTTACCATAGCTTATTCTTCTCATCTGTAAACACCATCTTGCCATTAAAGTCTGTGATACGATCGCCCCAGAAGATGCCCTTGATCAGGATCTCGGGCAGTGCCCAGTGGATTGAAGATCCGTCTTCAAAGTCGATAGTGTGGCTGCCCTTCTGGTAAGCCTTTACAAGGTTGCCACGGCAGGCAGCGGACCAGACACCCTGGCCATAGTAGTGGAAGCCTGCACCTTGCATCTGCCAGCTGCTGATGGGTGGATGATGCGAAGTCTGCTCGCAAAACACTTGAGTGCCATCGCTAAAGTAGCACTGGAAGGTCTCGCCTAGCAGTGGGTTGAATGGCTTGGTCAAAGTGCTGGTCAGGTGCAGACCAGAGATGGCAAAGGCCACAACATTCTTCATGCGCTCCACTGGGTCTTTGGAGGCAGCTGCCTTTGGCAAGTAGTCTGGTGCGTAGCACCATACATCAGTGAACTTCTCCAAAAATGATCTTGGCTCGAACAAAGTTATAGGCAGGCATGTACTAGTCAACTCCTTGCCCTCAATTATACTATTTCCAACACTCTTTACAAGTTCCCAACAGACACTATATGTATGTATTACGTGATCAAAGTTAGTATCACATGATCATGTCACGTGATTGATGGATTGACACCATAATGATGCCTACCCTCTTTGTTTCTTGAGCTCTACTTCATCAATGAATTTCCAGCCTCCATTTGGATGACGTTGATTCTGTGCGAATACTTTTGTCTGTAGCTGCTTGCCATTTCCTTGTGGTGGTGGAGTTGCTCCATTCTTTGGCGAGTTTGTGGAAGTAGTGGACATGGCAGCGAACTGATCACTGATGGCCATAACATTACAAACATCAATAGTTGCCATTTTCTTTTAATGTAAATGTAATAATAAAGTTATATCTAACTAATATATATTATGTAATTAGTAAACTATATCTATGTATACGTTTTGAGTTAAGTGATTGATTGATTGAGTGAGGAGGAGTGAAGTGGAAGTGGATTAAGCAACAAGTAAGTTTACACACAAATTTGTGGATGCGGATAATGAGAATGAATGGATAGATGGTAATGAGTATTGAGTAATGATGGTATAGAGATGGAAATTGATCTGTCCCTGGATATATCTATATATTACAGACTGACTGGCTGGTGTGAATGAAAGAATGATGGACTGACTGACTGACTGACTGACTGACTGACTGATTGACTGACTGGTATGATGTATGTGGTTGTTTGATCAATAATAACAACAAACAAACAGAGAGTTGGCTGGTTTATATGAACGAATAAGTGATGAATGATTGATACCAACACTAAATATTGTTTGTTGTTGTTAGTGTTGTTGTTGGATGAAAGGATGATTGTAATATTTCAAAGACAGTGGTATTGTTGTGTGAGTTGTGACTCTGACACCAACACTTACAATCAGTCGGGTGCCGACACCGTGTCAATCAATCAGGTGAGATGGTGAGATTGTGTGTGTGGTTGTGTTTGGTAAGAGTGTGTGAGTGTGAGTGAGATGGTGAGGTGTGAGTATCTACTTTAGGGGTGATGATGGTCTGTTGTGATATGAGTGAGTGTGATAGAGTGAATGTGTGTGATTGAGTTGTCGTCGTTTTAGAAGTGTAGTGATAATGATAATGATATTTACAATAGTACTATCTAAGGTTAAAGTGCTATAAATACAATTTAATATTATTGTTACAAATTTATGTAATGTAATATTGTTGTTTTTGAATCACTCTTAAGTAATACTGGTATGTATTTGTATTTAAGTAGTAGTAGTAGTAGTATGTTATACTATAATGATTAAGATGTGTCAATGAATCAATGACAAAGTAGTGAGGAAAGATAGGCAGGACTCAATGTATCACTTCTGACTGACTCCAAAAAAACCCTTTGGATCAAGTGCCCAACAAAACATAACCTACTCTTCACACATCAATCGACTATCTCTCTATGACTGACCAATCATCAACAACTTAATGGTCCCCAATTAGGCACCATGGTAAATGCAACGCCCCACAAACCATTCATTCTAAGTTTTCGTGTGATGCAAAGATAGTTTGAGATGAATGCGACCCAACTTCTTTTTTTTGGTTGAAGTGCTTGGGTCCTTGACCAACTTCTTCAAACTTTGAACCACCCTTTCAAGCGTATCGGTCTATCACTTTGGGCGATCGTTCTGATTATCTACGACTTGAATACAATCCTATTTTGTTAAGTTTATCATAAGAAAATATATCATTAACTGAAGTCCTAATTGGAATATGAATAAATGAAGTCCAATAAAGTTATCCAGATAATAAAGTCACCTTACCAACTTCCTAGGAAGTGAAGTTCCAAGTATTGGTAGATCAATCACTTCATCAATCAAAGTGTGTTTGTGTTTGAGTGTGAATCAATCATTCTCGATCAATCAATCAAAACAATAACACATAACTTTAAAGAGGAAACAAGGCAAACATCGAGGTACATGTTGAACCCATCTGATGCATTAGAGTCACTTGGCTCAAAGACGTGGAGTGAGATCACTGAAGAGGATGAGGATGTAGCATATGCCGACGCACTGGATGCCAGGAATCCAATAATCTTATCACCTGCACATCACTCCTCATCAAGATCATCACCTGCCTCCACACATGACAACAACAACAATGAGCCACAAGATGATTATGCTAAAGAGTTACAGAACTATCATTCGATGAAGACACAGATTGCATTCGGTAGCACAGGTGGCTCGCCAATGCCAAGTAACTCGCATTCCTCAACTTCGCCATCGCGGCCCACAGCATCAAGACTGGCAGGCAAGACACGCGGTACATCACCTGGCAACAAGAACACTCAATCATCATTGATGATGAAGCTAAGACATCAACAACAACATAAACAACAACATCATCATCAGCACCAGCATCAACATCATCAGCATCCACAACATAGGAGACGTCAGGACGAGGATGAGGACTTTGATGAGGACGAGTATGAGGTCGTAGTTGAAGAGGTCATTGAACAGCGTGTCGAGCTGTTTGTTCAGGATGCTGATCAGCATCATGGACGTCAGCAACATCGAGAAAGGGACAACAGAGCACAAGGACATGGTCATGGAACACCATCACCAAACAGACAGATGGGCGGTGGCGGTGGAAGATATGTTGACCTGGACTCGCCACAACCACCTCATGTTCAACAGCCTCCAATGTCTTCATCCCCGCCTCAGCGTGACTACCATAACTCCTCGCCAAGACATCAACAACATAGTAATCGTGGACGATCAAACCATTCACCAAACAGACATACTGGCGACTTGCGAGATGAGGAGAGACAGAGGGATGGTCGTGGCGGCCATTCTTCATCGCGTTCGTCACCAAGGGATGATAGATCGAGTCCGTCGTCGGCATCCAGACGCGGCAGAAATGATCGTGGCGGCCACAATCACCACCATACGCCGTCGCCCCATGCATCACCCTACAGGGAGGATCACAACAGACAGGGTGGCAGTGGACAACACTTTCGATCTGCACTTCTGGATGATGTTGAGGAGCATGAATCACCTCTCAAGTACAAGGGTGATCTACGCGATCTGATCAATCAGGAGAAGGAAAGGCTGCATGGACATGGCGCTGGCCAGCAACACACACCATCTCCACATCGACCCACACATCGCCAGAGAGAAGAGCAAGAGGAACATGAGTCACCCCTCAAGTACAAAGGTGATCTACGCGATCTAATCAATCAAGAGAAGGCCAAGGAGCAGGGTACGTCGCCCTCCAGAAACGCTCAACATCAGCAGCAACCTCAGCAGCAACGTCAGCACCAGCGCGACACACATGGAAACCAGAGACATCACCAAGAGGAAGAAGAAGAGGAGGTGTACGACGAAGAGGAAGAGTATGATGAGGAGGAGTATGATGACCAAGGGGAGGAGGAGGAACAAGTTGTGCCTGTAGCACGACCAAAGGTTGAAGAGGATAAGGACAGCCAGAAGTCAAGGATGGGTTGGGACTCGGCTGAATCAAAGATCAAGCAGAGAGAGGAGTATATAAGGCAACAGAAGTTAAAGGATCGATTGCAAGCGGAGAAGGAGAGTGTATTGCACTCACCAGTCACAAGAGTGGTCAATGTCGATCGCAGGGAGGTACAATCCACGCCACCCAATCGACGCCGTGACATCAATGACCTCACTCCCTATAGCTCACCTACGCCAACCAACTTCCAAGTGACAATCAAGAATGATGGATCCAGGAGTACTAGTAATAACAATAGTCCAATGAAGTTTAGGCGACCAGATCAACAACAACAGCAACAACAACAATCGACTACACCATCAAAGTATCTCGAGCCACAGACATCATCATCATCACCATCACCATCACGTGGCGGTAGAGGCGGAGGTGTCACCACGCCATCAAAGGGCAACGACATGCCACAACCTGTAACACCCAACAACAATAACAACAACAACAATAGTGCACAATCATCTGGTCAAGATGAGCCAATCGTTGGAACATGTAGTGAGTACGAGAAGAAGTACCTAAGGTTGACAACGGTATGTACCCCTTACCTAGCCGCGCCACATACTCTCGCTCACTAACCAATCCATCCTAGAAACCTGAGGCATCCAAGATAAGACCACAATCAATACTGGAGAAGTGGTTCCCATTGCTTATAAGGAAGTATAAGATGAATAAGAACTATGATTATACTGTCGACCAGCTCAAGTCCATCAGACAAGACCTTGTCGTGCAACACATCAGGAATGCCTTTACACTCGAAGTCTATGAGAGCAATGCAATCATCTCACTTGAGAATGTAAGTGTGTCCAATTGATTGATTGGTCTGACCCTCCTTACTGACATTGATCCTACCCTACTCATACTTAGAATGACTTCCAAGAGTTTGGACAATGTATTACACAGATTAAGGAGCTGTACAGCGGCCCCACTTCATTGGACAGCAAGTTCAAGTATGAGTTCATCTCATATGATATACTATTCACATTGTTATATAACCAAGAAGGTATGGAATACATTCAATCAATGGAAGACAGCCAAACTAACACCATCCCCATCCATATAGACTTACATCCATTGCTCTCGGAGATTGATCCAGAGATATTGAGCAATGAGATTGTACATCATTCATTCAAGGTATCATGCGCCGTTTTGAATGGCAACTACATGCAGTTCCAACGACTATACTGCAAATCATACAATCATCAGAGGTACTTCCTGGACAAGCTATTGTCGACTCGAGTTCGAGACAACATCTTGGCTGCAATGGTCAAATCGTACAAGCCACATATTCGATTCAGTTTCCTGGAGAAGCAATTATTGTTTGATGAAAACAAACCAGCATTGATCAGCTATCTGGAATCAAAGGAATGGGTATTGGACATGAATCAAGAGCTGTGCATGCCAATCAAGAAGCCACCTGCTCCTGCAGCGGCCACACCAACGACCGCCAAGTAATGATCATCTTGTAAATACAACAATGCCAATGTACAAGTCAATCGATGGTCAATGAATGAATGAAGGACTCGTGTCTTCTGGTCTTTAATTCGATTGATTGATTGGTTAGCGATACTCGTGTACCCTGGCGCGGATGGCCCGGTCAAGGACATGACCTTGGAGTACACTGTTGGTGGAGATGAAGCCACCGGATTGCTTTTCGTCCAGCACTAGTGATACGTCTTGGTCGATGATGCGGCAGTAGTAGTTGAAGATATCGCTGTTCAGGTCAAGGTAGATGTAAATGTTGGGAATGAACAGTTGTTTGGCGAGTGATCCAACTATGTACTGGTACTCGCTCAAGTCCTTTAGATAGCCATACATGTAAAGCTCTCTAAGCTTCAATGGTTGACCAGGGTTTGGATTGGAGAGTATGATGGGAGGTGATGGTGATGAGGGTGTTGGAGGCGATGATTGGATCGTTCCATTTGAAGGTGATAGAGTTGGAGAGAGATTTGTTTGTGGCGTTGTGGATACTTTTATCCTACTGATGTATGTGTAGCACTGTTGAACAAGACTGAGGTGAGCGCGATAGTTGGTAACAGTGATTGATCGGAGTGTCTTTGGAAGGTGTGACGTTTGTTGATTGAACTCACAGCCAACCTTGAGCACTTGTAAAGCAGGTGGCAAAACGTTCGGCCCCAACTCTTGATTGAATCGTCGACCAAACTTTAGACTGGTGAGTGATAGGGGAAGGGTACCAGGTGGCAGAGGTCGATTAAATTCTGTTCCAAAGCCAACTCTAAGTAGGTGTGGCGGGAGCGAGTTCATGGGTATGACGCTGTTGAAAAGATTGCCAAAGTTGAGCACCTTGACTGAGGCAGGCAGCAGTCCAGGTGTGAGTAACTGATCAAACTTGGAGCCAAACCTGAGGTTGGTCAGCGTCTGAGGGAAGGTAAATGGTGTGATTGTTTGATTGAAATAGAAACCAAACTCTAGCTTGGCCAAGCCATGTGGCAGAGCACCTTGTTCCAGTTGTTCATTGAAGTTTGAGCCAAACCTTAGGTGTACCAGTGAAGCAGGTAGTGATCCCGCGGGAACAAGTTGATTGAATCGCGTGTTGAAGAATAGCACTTTGAGTGATGATGGAAGCGTACCCGGTGCCACTTGTTGATTGAACAGACTACCAAACTCAACGGATAAGAGCTTATGGGGCAGAGTGCCAGGTGTCAGTGTCTGGTTAAAGTCATTGCCAAACTTTAGTGTTGTAAGTGATTGAGGAAGGCTGCCTCGTTGTGTGCTGCTGTTGTTATCCAAGGTAGCGCCTATCAATGGAAGATTGTAATTGTGTCCAAACACTAACTTGCGTAGTTCTCGAGGCAGTGTGCCTGGCACGATCAATTGATTGAACTGATAACCAAATGTAAGATCAGTGAGCGACTGCGGAAGCACATAAGCCTGCAACGGCTGATTGAAGTTGTATCCAAATGTAAGTTTGGTCAGAGTCTGGGGCAGGGTTGATGGTGCCAGTGGTTGATTAAAGTCGTCGCCCAGTGCAAAGGTGAGCAAGGACGATGGCAGTACACCTTGAATGATTGGCATGTTATAACAATGACTCATTGTCAGGTCAACAATAGACTGTGGCAACAATCCTGATACCAAAGGATTGCTTGGTCCAAATATACAATGTTTGATCGTTATCCTTGTGATTGAAGGTGACAAGTTCACTACATTGATCAATGACAAAGTTAGCCAACGTCATTCAATCATTCATTCAATCAATCAATCAATCATTCAATCGATCATACATACATAGATCATTGATTGAGTTAACATTGAGTGATGTAGCAATATGACTTGTATTCCTCAACAATTGTAATGAATGTGCTTCTCTTGTTGTTGTTGTTGATGTCGAAGTTGATGATGATGATGATGGTGACTTTGTCATATGACACAGTTCATCATCATTGCTTGTGTCCATTGTACTTGAACAATGACAACAACTTCCATTTTTTGTTGTTGTTGTTGTATTGACACTCCCATTATCATCATCAACATCCATACGACTACTACTACTTGTACTGACTACAACATTGTTATTATTATTGTTATTTTGATTGATTATTATACCTCCACCTGTAATAAGATGTCTATCACTTGATATACTATTACTTCTTGTTGCAACATAGTGATTGTATAATAGATGTCTTTGTTTAAACAATGCTCTTGATGTAAGTAATAGACATATAATATCCAGTTTATCAATGTCTAGAAAGCTAATGATATGCTTCAGCAGCAGACCTGACAATGACTCCATCACTCCTACTCTTCTTACTCCTACAACTACTCCTTATTTGTTTGATCGATTATCCTTATTTGTTTGAATGATGAATGAGTGACTTCATTCAAGTATAAGTAGAGTAGTTGTTTGAATCTAGAATCATTGTCTTAGGCATTCTGTTTATTCCGGACTGGTGTGTTTTTCAATCTTCAGTCCTCATCTTAGCAATCTGGAATTGATGATGTGATCAATAATAATTAATTAATTGAACAAATTAACATCAGGGAGAACTAGTCCTTAATGATTGACTAAGATATCTTATCAAGATACCAATATTAGTAGATTATACCTTATTTATAAGATACAAAGTGTCGTCATCATTGTCATCGAAATGGAAGGACTCCATTGTTCCATGGATTGACAACATGTGTGAATCAAACAAAACAAATCATTTGTTGTCAATGACCAAGAGTGTGAATGTGAACAGTCATTCACATATTCAAACAATTTATAAATTACAGGCCTGAGTCAGAACTGAGTTACATTCATTCAAACAACATATACATACAAATAATAATAATAATAATAATAATGGCCAATAGTGTAAAGTTACATGTATATGACTTGTCAAATGGTATGGCTAGAATGTACTCTAGATCATTCATTGGTAAGCATATAGAGGCTATATATCATACTGGTATAGTTGTATATAATACAGAGTATTACTTTGGTGGAGGTATATTACATGATAGACCACATCAAACACCTTATGGACAACCAATGGAGGTCATTGAACTTGGCAACACCGACATACCACAAGAGGTGTTTGTTGACTTCCTCGAGGGCATGCGTTCACGCTTCTCAATGGACTCTTATCATCTCATCGACAACAACTGTAATCACTTCTCAAACGAGTGTAGTAACTTCCTTCTAGGTACTCCAATACCAAATCGTATGTTTCAATGAATGTGATTGATTGATTGAATGATTGAATGATTGATGGCGTGAGTCTAACATGTTACCCTTACCCTTACCCTCACCCTTGCCCTTGCCCTTGCCCTCACATACAACAAAAGACATTGTTGGTCTACCTCAAGAAGTCATGTCTACACCATTTGGTATGATGATACAACCTTTGATAAATAGCTTCTTCAGCAAACAAGGCTGGGGATCAACAATGGGACCAGTCAATCCTGCTGCTCAACCTCGTCTGCAACAACCTCAATCTCATCTTAACAACAACAACAACAACAACAACAGCAGCAGCAATGTATCACATCCAAAGACTGACGCCAGTCACAAGCATGCCAAGGTGGCCAGTCAACTTCATGTGTTACTCGATGGCAAACCAGCGTTATTCAATCATTGTGATGTTGAACCGGTCATTGCCAAGCTGAGGGAGTGCACAAAGAGCGTACAATCAATCGATCAACAAGAGTTTGAACAACATATCAAGCGTGCACAGTCCATCATCAAGGAGGGCCTGACAACGAGGTGCACAGTGCCAGTCGATCTTATGAAGTACCTGGAGCGCCTGGCTAATGAACTGCCCGAGCCTCAGATCTTCCCCGTGTTGGAGCTCGTCCGTATGCTGATGCTCAAGGACGTCTCGAACTACTACACCAGCCTGTCCAACCCATTCGTCGCGGTGCTCATCAATCGCCTCAAGTCTACCGAGGCCCAGCTCTCACGACAGACCGAGCTGATCATCTATCGCATCATAATCAATTGCTTCTCGACCAAGAATGGCATCGAGTACGTGCTCAGAGGCGACCCACTCAGCAACATTGTGGCCGCCACGCTCAAGGGTTTGCACTCGAATGACAAGATGTTGAAGCGTGCCATCAGCATGATCAGTTACAACCTGGCGCTGTACCTCAATAACAAGGAGCATGAGGAGCACATCTTGGCATTGTTCTCCGCGATTCATCATACACTAGAGTCGAACCCACTGTCAGAGGATCCAGAGATTGACTTTAGACTATTGATGGCACTTGGAACATTCATGTATTGTTCAGACAACATCATAGAGTTGATGTCAGCGATGGAGTTTGACTTTGACAAGTATAGCAAGGTGGACAGACTCCAAACATTGGTACAGCAATTGAAAGTACTTGTATAATAATAACAACAACAACGTAGTGTAATTACCCTTGGTGCCCGTCCATGGCTTGGTCATTCGTTCACTCATTCGTTCACTCATTCACCCAATCAATCAATCAATCACGATCAATCATCAGGGAAGTAAGCAGTTAGGTGGTTTAATTTCATTGACAGTGATGATCATGCTACAAACATGATCGTCGCGAGGATCGGTCAAGGTGTAAGTCATTAACACACTATAGTAGTGTACCATGGTCATGTGACTATTGGCCACCAATGTCATTCATTCAACACAACACAACACACTTTGATGATTATTCCAAGAGGCCTCTTACCAATCAATCATATAAATGTGTGTGTAAGTTAGTGTTTCTTTGTATCTGTGTGTTAGATCACCCCATTGCAGCAATCCAATCAATCACCTGATTGATCAATCAATCAAAGTGTCAATCAGTCAACCCACTCACACACACACCACTCAATCAATCAATCAGGTTACATTGATGTGGGTGAGGGGCTTAGAGTCAAGTATGACTCTTCACATCATGATCAACAATTCAACCATTATCATTAATTTAATGGTTATATTAGGTCAAGTAGTGGGCATCATCTCTTCATATCCATTGGCCTCTTTCCAAGACTGGCCACTCATCCATTCATCTCTGTATTCACTTCAATCAATCAATCATTCTAATTATAACAATCAACTTGTACATATAATATATATTTGTAGAGAATGATTGATAACTCACCTGATGACCTACCTTTAACTCACTTGGAGGATGCACTAGAGTCCAAGTGTGATAGTCCAAACACTCCTTCGCCATCAAACAAACACAAAGTCAGTGGAAACAAGGAGAGATCAACAACAACAGCAGCTGTGCCAATACAAGATGCAGCAGGTACACCTGGAATTGATGATCTACTATGTATCGATTCAATCACTGGTTACAAGTACACATTGATTAGAGAAATCCTATATTGGACATTGGTCGTGATCACTTGTGGATTGATCTATGTTGGATTCCACTGGTTCAAATTATTCCAACTCCGACTTAGACGAAAGTTATGTACATTGTCCGAAGCAACTGTCGTCCTAGTCTATGGCAATGACAAACGATTTGAAATATGCAATGTCACCTCTGTTTCAAGAGTATGTATATATATAAGTGGGCATTGGACCCTTGGCTCATGGATCGTCGCCTAACACATCATGTGACACTCACTTAGGGAGGTGGAGTTGACAAATTGATCATATTCAGATTCACAAGATTCTTTTATGATGTTGATCAAGATGCCTATATCCAACCAAAGTAAGTTATATTCAAACTGGAATCATTCCATCAATCATTCGCTCACTAACTCACACAATCACAAATTATTTAGGATCAGGACAATGTACAATATTGAGGATTTGTACAATATGATTGATAATGGAATTAATAATGATATGTTCCAAACTCAGACTTATTTGTTTGGAAATAATTTCATTGATATTCCATTGCGTAGTATCCCAAGACTATTGATGGAGGAGGTACTTCATCCATTCTTCATATTCCAATTGTACAGTGTAATTCTATGGATGAATGAACAATACTACTACTACGCAGCCGCTATCTTCTTGATTGCATCAGTCAGTTCATGCCTCAGTCTCAAGGAGATCCGATCAAACCTCATCTCATTGAAGAAGATGGCATCATTCAATTGTGATGTCAATGTCTTGCGAAATGGTGCATTCTCCGTCATCCCCTCAAGAAGTTTGGTACCAGGTGATATCGTCCAGTTGAAGCAGGACTCGGCCATCCCTTGTGACATGTCATTACTCCATGGCCAAATCATCTGTAATGAGTCTATGTTGACTGGTGAATCAGTGCCCGTGACCAAACATCCATTGTTGACTCGTGATCAGGTACTCCTGCGGTCATCCCTAGCCGAGCCAATCAACATCCGAGAGGCCCGCAGCTGTCTCTATGGTGGCACTGTCGCGGTCAAGATCATCCCACCAACACTCAACGCGCCAGTGTTGGCCATTGTCAAGGAGACTGGATTCCAGACGAGCAAGGGCAAGCTGATCATGTCCATCCTCTACCCCAAGAAGTCACATTTCAAGTTTGTCCAAGAGTCATTCAAGTTCATTGGAGTTCTGTGCTTTGTTGCACTTATAGGATTCGCTGTGGCCGTATGGAGACTACGTGATCTTGGTAATGATGCCGGTACTATCGCCCTTAGAGCATTGGACTTGATCACGATCGTCATCCCACCTGCACTACCATTGGCCATGTCAGTTGGAACTGGATTCGCAATGGTTCGTCTGAGGAAGAGGAAGATATTCTGTATCTCACCACCAAGACTCAACATGGGTGGCAAGATTCAAGTATTCTGCTTTGACAAGACCGGCACTTTGACCGAGGAGGGACTGGACTTTTACGCTGTGTTGGCTGCCACCCCAAGCACAGACAGCTCTCCACCATTCTTTGGTGAGCTGCTCACTTCAATCGATCTCCTAGACCACCGTGTGTTCAAGATGATCATGGCAGCATGTCACTCATTGACCAGGATCAACAACTCAATCACTGGTGACCCACTTGAAGTCAAGATATTCCAGGCATCGGGCGCATACCTCAATGAGTCACCCGAGCGCACCACTCTCACATATGAAGCATCGACAAGTCTGGCAGGTGAGAACCTCACCTACATTGAGAGGTTCGACTTCCAGTCAAGTCTTCAAAGAATGAGTGTGTTGGTGTCCACGGCCAAGGGTGAGGGATTCTCATTCGTTAAGGGCTCCCCAGAGATCATCAAGACACTCTCAGTGTCATCATCAATCCCCGCCGACTATGACCAACAACTATCACGCTACACGGAGAAGGGATACAGAGTACTTGGATGTGCCTACAAGACTGGCAACTACGCGAATATAACCAATCGTGAACAGGTCAGAGCTGAAGCAGAACAGGGTTTAGTGTTTGTTGGGTTCATCATCATGGAGAATAAGATGAAGCCAGAGTCCAAGGGAATCATCGCCACATTACATCGAGCCAACATCAGGACGATCATGGTTACAGGTGACAACCCATTGACAGCAGTCAGTGTTGCCAAACAGTGTGAGATAGTTGGCAATGATGCTGCACTGTTCATTCCTTATGAAGTTGATGGTGATTATGCCTGGCGCAACATCACTGAATCAATCGATCAGGACACCCTACTTTGCAAGCAACAATTGGATCAGTACACACTCAAGTTGGAGAATGATGACGTCAGCTCTTACTCACTGGCTGTCACTGGACCATACTTCAAGCGTGCCTACACCAACTACCTTCATACAGGCAATCCAAAGTTCATTCAAATGTTGCGACGAGGTGTGATCTACGCGAGAATGTCACCAGATCAGAAGCAAACACTCGTGGAGGAACTTCAACGCATTGGATTATACGTTGGAATGTGTGGCGATGGTGCCAATGACTGTGGCGCACTCAAGTCAGCTCATGTGGGTGTCTCCCTCTCTGAGACCGAAGCATCAATCGCCGCACCATTCACATCGACCACCCCCAACATCTCATGTTGCCCCACTGTGATCAAAGAAGGTCGTGCATCACTGGCGGTCTCATTCAAGTTGTTCCAGTTCATGGGCATGTACTCATTGATCCAATTCATGAGTGTTATCCTACTCTACTTCATTGGAAGTGTGCTTGGCAATTGGCAATACTTGTATCAAGACCTCTGGGTCATCTTCCCACTTGTCATCTTCATGGGCATGACCAAACCCTCGGAGAAACTATCCAAGAGACGACCATCAGGTAGATTAATATCCGGTGCCATCGTGGGATCAGTGTTGGTACATGTCCTGGTCTGTTTTGGCTTCCAACTATTTGTCTTCTTCCTCGTCCGAAGTCAATCATGGTACAACGAAGACGTAGTCGACGAGGACTTCATCGTCACATACCTCACGACAGCACTCTTCGTATATGGCAACTTCCAATATCTCATCATGGCTCTCTCATTCTCATTTGGCAAGCCATTCCTAAGGCCCTTATACACAAACAGTAAGTTGACCTTTGAATGATTGATTGATTGACTGATAATTGACACCAACACTCATTCACATTAGGTATATTGTTTGTAATATTCTTGATAGCACTGTCAACATCGATATTGTTGCTGTTTGTACCAACGGATAAGGTTTGGGAGTTTGCTCAAATGTTGGTGTTCCCAGTATCATTCAGATTCATATTGTTTGGAATCATTGGTGCCAATCTTGTAGCCAATATCTTTGTAGAGTTCTCATTCGTCTTTTACAAACTAAGATCAAAGAAGAAGAAGAACTTCCAATACAACATAATATTCAACAAACAAGCACCCAAAGATCCAAGAATAACTGATGAGAATATGTTACTTTGATCCTCAACAATTTAATCAAAGATGGAAAATAACAGAATTCAAACAAATAATAATAACCTATTCTTTATAAATCAATAACAAATATTCTCCCATCATTCTGAAATAGTTGGGATGGGTCAATTCCAAACTCCTTCTGACATTGTTTTCTATCAATCACCATCATATTCTTGTAGGGTATTTTGGATTGGGTATGATCATGGTCAAGTGATGTGATGTAGATAAACTTGGTTTCTACACAATCACCTTCACACTCAACTATCAGTGAGTTGTCATCTTTGATTGATGATCGACATCCCTTTCCAGTGATACCAGTGACAATCCTTTCCACAAAAGAAGTTGAATCAGATTCATTTGGATATCCTCTGTTCATTGATTTCCATATTCTTCCATTCTTTCCAGAATCATCAAGATCATGATGATTATGATTTTTGAAATACTTGGTGACCAGGTATGTTGATGTTTGAATAAAGAATATTGTATGAATGTCTTTAGAATCACTTGGTGGTTGATGAATGACTAAGTCCCAATGATGTATCGCTAGGATCAGGGAGATATAGAGATACCAATTTAGTTGGGTTTGATGGAATGTTGTCATCTGTCATGAATATGACTCTTTCTTATTTTGGGATTTGTGTCACCATTTGATTTTGTTTGGATAGACTTTGAATAATCAATCTCTGGAATATTTCATCTCTTTCTAGATCATTATTGTATGCACTGGATAAAGGTGGGATATTAGAATTAATATAATAATCATTGAACATAGCCAAGAATGCAGCATAACATGTTGGAGTTGTAATGTTCCACTTAGTATGTTGGTGGAGTATTCCAGTTTCTTTAAACATATAAGGTTCATTTGCCATTAATATAGAAGGAGTCCTGCGAGTAAAGAATCTCTTAATGAACCTTGAATACCTTGAATAATCATCCTTTGATTTATTCTTGAAGCATTCAACCTTTTTGGAAAAGTGATCCAACCTGATTTGGACAAATTCCATTGGATCTTTGTTTGAACTTGATTTCTTTGACCATTGATGAAGAAGATTGATCTCACCTGGTGTGCCTCCAGTTAGACGGAACAACTCTTTTTGGTGGTCTTCAGTTGGCTGCCAAGATGCTGGGAGTTCTAGTGGTCCACCTGGTGAGATTGCAACTTTGAATGAAGAGAATGAAAATGGATTAAGTTGATAAATTAAACGATCTAGACCACCACTCAGTTCTTCACTTGTCCAACCACATCCAGCTGATATCTGAGTATGTAGATCAGAGAATCCTCGGGTAAACGTTCTAAAGAATCCAGAAAAACATGGGTAATATATTGATCCATCATTCATGACCGTTGAATTCATCCATAATCCATTATGTTCAATTGAGTACACAATTGGAACAATATTCAAACATGCTAATTGATCAATCAACATGTTATAATATTGATCTGACTTTTTTAGATTCTCAATTTCCACTCCCATTTTTGCCAAGTCCAATAGTGATTTTCCATATTCATTTGTATTCCTTTCATTTACCATAATCATTGATGCTAATTCTTCATTCATTTCAATGAATCTCTTCAAAAAATATACACTTTGCTCCTCCACAGTCTTTAACTTGGTCCATTCATCTGTATCACCCTGACAGATGATTGATCAAATAATAGATTAATTCTTATATTCATATCTTAGTTATATATATTTTAACTTACAATATAAATAACAAAACAATTATTTACATATGAAATGGCAGTGAGTAGGTATGTTGCCATTGTCTTTCCACATCCTGGAGCTCCAGACAAGATTGTTCCATATTCACATTTGCTGACATTGTAAACACCAATATCCAACATCTTCCAAAACTTCTCAACTATATATCATACCTCTCTTTTGTGAGAATGAAGGTATCCCTTGTTATTGATTGCATTCATATTTGATATTGATGATGCCGTTGAGGAGTAGTAACGCTGATATGATGTAAAGTTTAAATTCCTAATTATTTGTTGTTGTTGTTGTTGTTGTTGTTGTTGTTGTTGTTGTTGTTTATGATGAAGATGAGGTTTAAAAAAAGTAAGGGAACAATATATATATAGGTACATTATATATAATTATAACATTCTAATTTATGTCTGTTCAGAGGTGATGTAGTGTACTTGTACACGGCCATCTTTAACTTCTTCAAGTCGAGTGATAGTATCAAGGCAATGTGATGTTGGTATATCGCGTGAGGGGTGCCACCAAGCGGAGAGCTTTAAAGTGTTGATCAATTCAACTTGTCCTAGATGAATGAATGAATACATTCAATGCAAGCAAACACGGATGATCAATGATCAGTGTAATGGCGCTTGGCTTGCTTGTGCATCCGGGACAGCTGTATTGATCGATGCATTGTTGATCTCTGCTTGGCACTTCAGTCTTATAGAAGTTGAAACAGGTCGTGTGCTTTGCAAACAACCATCACATGGTCCTACTACAACAATCCAAGTATATATATCTTATGTTTTAGTTATGTTATGGGTAAGGGTAGGGTAGTGACCCTTCATCACTAAACGAGTCTTTCGTTCACATTTGGGAACTGTACCAACTCTTGTTATTTGGCCTACCAGGCAACACCGACTGAAGATCGTCACACCAACTTTGACTTTGTCTACAACTTACTTCAATGTTGGGGAAAGCTTGTTCACGATTCACGAATGAATCATCACACACTTCATTCATTGTCTAAAGATGGTTGCCCAATTGCCTACATTGCATGCAGTATTGGTTGACTTGGTCGTCTGATATCCTGAACTAATGATTGAATGATCAAAGTAAGGTTCGTAATATAACCTGTAAGATACTATTGTGTAGTAATAACCTTGGGATTGGGTCATCCTCTCTATCATTGACCAGGCTTGTCATGGACAAAGATAGGATGGAAGGGTGTCTGAAACGATCTTGCCTCTCCGCTTCAAAGGGGGTGATGAGTGATTCAAGTAAGGTGTGGGGGGAGGATTCTTCACTCAAAACAATAATATCTCTCGCTCTCAATTTTGATCAAAATAAATATCTAAAGTAAAGGAGGTGATTTCACATCAGAAGGAAGATGGAGCTTAAGATTGTACAATACATTGTCTATCGTTTGCACCTGAGGGCAGTAATCATTTATTTATACAACCATCACACACATAATACATTTATTTATTCATTCATTCATTCATTCATTCACATAAACGTAAGTTTGTAAATATTCATTCAAACAAAGTGGACATTAATAATAATATTAACTTTATTATATTTATTAGACCAAAGATGAAATATATTGTCTTATTAGTTTGCTTTGTAGGCTTGCTCAAGATTGCCAGTGCTGTATGTATTTGTACATTCATTAAAACATTCATTCAATCATACTTACATAAACATTTGAATAATAGACTTATGGAGTTGATGTCTCCTCCGCTGGAGATGAGAGCACCTTCCAATGTCTCGCTCAAAATGGATACAGTTTTGTTGTTGTCCGTTGTTGGGAGTCCATCAATCAGACCGATCCAGACTGTCCAGGCACCATCCAGGCTGCCCAAGCTGCTGGTCTCACTGCTGATGCGTAAGTACAAACAAACAATATTCCCATCAATGTCCATCACATCAAGTTCTAACATTCTTAATGCCTCGTACAACAGTTACATTTTCCCATGCTCTTCATGTGGTGATGGAGCTGGCCAAGTTGTCGATATGATGAGCTACCTTAGCGAGAATGGAGTATCTGTTGGAATGGTCTGGTTCGATATCGAGGGTCCAGGCACGTACTGGGGCTCAGACTATGGCGCCAACCAAGACTTCTTCAACGACATGCTTTCCGGTGCCAACTCTGTTGGTGCCAAGGTAGGCATCTACACCTCGGCCTCGCAGTGGGAGCCAATCTTTGGCGACTGGTCTGGTGGCTCTGCATACCCACTGTGGTACGCCAACTACGATGGCAACGCCAACTTTGACGACTTCTCCCCATTCGGAGGCTGGAGCTCGCCATCCTGGAAGCAATACAACGGTGACGTAACCGTCTGTGGCTACGACATTGACCAGGACTGGTGTCCAGGCGGTACCTCTGGCGACCCCTCCTCATCCGGTGGCAGCAGCTCGAGCTCTGGTTCCGGTTCTGGCTCTGGCAGCACCACCAGCGGCAGCGGCAGTGGCAGCTCATCCGGTGGCAGCTCATCAGGTGGTTCGACCAGCGGCAGCTCCTCAGGTTCATCCTCAGGCAGCTCATCTGGAAGCACCTCCTCAGGTCTCTCAAGGGCACTCTAAAAAGTTTAACTTAAGATTAAAGTTATAAAACTTTTGTAAACCCAACAAATCATTCTTTTTGGAATAGTTCCAGAGGTGATTGATCAAATGAATATTGATCATTTCAATGAAATTATCGTGAATTATTTGAGTATCTTCGATTAGTTATTTATTTGATCAATTACCACTATGGAATAGTTCCATTGAATATATATCGAATCAGTCACGATTGGAAAGTGGAAATAATTGTAACTTTGGAAAGATCCAAACAAACACACCCTTTTTATCCAGAATGTTTTTGAGAATTTGGTGTGAATGGTTCAAATTAAGATTAAGTGTCCTGAATGAGTGTCGACAGCACTCTATCTATCTTTAGCATTGAGACACGCGGTGGTCATTGGGTCTCAACCAACTGATAATACGTCATCGAACGTCACATCATAATTCAATCAATCATTGTAATATAATATATTATAACTACAACTACATAGATATCTATCTAGAAAAGAATGGATTGTAGATTACAGGCTCCAACATCAACTGCCACCACATCATTCATCGATGCCATGGACTTTGGCTCCATCACCAACAACTCATCATCACCATCATCAACAACAACAACAACAACGTCAACATTGACCATCTCAACTACTTCAAACACAAACTCAAAGGGTAGCTCCTCACCTTCACCATCATCACCATCGACATCATCACCAAAGACTACGATGGCACAATCAAAGAAACCAATGGCAGTAACATTCACTGATGAACAGATACAGCGTGCTTGCTCGATGGGTGTCACTAAGCTGGCCACCAACAATGTTCAATCATTCTCTGCTACCGACCCTATCAATGACAACAATGTGTTACAGGGTGTAGTCATCAAGGAATCAAACGACTTTATCATCATGCGAGTGAATGGTGTCGATCTCGAGACCTATCAATACGTCTACGTCGTCCCCAAGGTCAAGAAGTATCACAGTCATCTCCTGCCAGATGTTCATTTCAAGCGATACTACCTGGCCAACAAGTGGAATGGTATGAACATCGCGTCAATTTGCGAGCCAATGCCCAACTCAAGCTTACTCACTCATTCAATCACTCAATCAATCAATCAATCATACAGGCATGAACATCCAGTTCTTCAAGTACTTTGATCATGATGGCAACTGCTTTGTTGGAGCGCGACCAAGGACCAGCCACTTCTTGTCCAATGACAAGAAGGGCAACGCATTGGAGGTCGTCAATCAGATAATCAAACAACATGCGACATCGATGCAATCATTCGATATCATCCCCAATGTAACATTCCAGAACCAATGTCCTGAGTTGCTGTTGCCACTGCTTCAAAAGGACTCGCACACCAGCTGTCAATCAATGTCGTTTGAGCTGTGCGGCAACAAGCTGCCTCACATTGTAAACTACTCATTCGAGCTGGCTCTCCAGCCGCTGATGACCATCGATGGTCGCAGCGGCGCAATCTCCCCAGTGATCAATGAGCATGGTGTGCTGACCAACGTGGACGAGCCAATCACTCTGGCCAATCTTCAGGAGCGTGCAACTCTTATCAAGCAACAGCTGTTGGATATCAATCAGACGTATCGCAAAGAGAACAACATGCAAGAGAACATGTATTGGTACAATCACTATCTCGAGGAGGGGCGAGTGCTGTACATCCTCAACGACAACAATCAGTTGGTGGAGCAAAACAACATCTTCTCTATCAAGCCCACCGATGCTGAGAAGTATCATTGGGAGCAGTTCGACTCTGGCATTCAGACCAAGGTGCTGATGATCGTACAGGAGCTGAAGGAGAAGGGATCGCCCGTCAACAAAGCCACGCTCCAGAAGGAGTTGGAGTTGGACCAGTACTCATGGGCAAAGTGGGAGGACGACATCCTCGACCTGGCCATCCTTCCCGAGTTTGACTCTGGAAACAATGTCAAACAACAGTCGGGCAAGAAGGGACAGCAGACACAGACATCATCACCATCAACCACACCACAGCCGAGAAACAATGACAATCAGAGAGTGCTGATCACTGTTGGATTCCCGGCGTCGGGCAAGAGTTACTTTGCATCGCGCCTCGCAGAGCGAGGCTGGAAGAGAGTGAACCAGGACGATCTTGGAACGAGAAAGAAGTGCGAGGATGTCATGATCGCCAGTCTGAAGCAGGGCGAGAGCGTGGTGATTGATCGCTGCAACTTTGACATTCAACAGCGTCGCACCTGGGTCCGCCTGGCTCACCAGTACGGCGTCAAGAACATCCACCTGCTCTGGTTCAAGATGGACACTGATCTGTGTAAGAAGAGAATCGTCGTGCGCGAGGATCATCCAACTATACCAAAGGGTAACGAGGGCATTGAGATCATCAACAAGTTCGAGGTCATGTTTGTGGAGCCAGGTCCCCACGAGTCATTCAGCGACATTCAGGTTATCCAGTCCGAGGACGAGTCAAACGCAGCCATCGAGTCCTATGCCAAGATGGTTGAGGCCGCCAATGCAGCAGCAGCAGCGGCAGCGGCAGCAACCTTGAGTGTGCCCGAAGTCAGTTTGGAGCAAACTGATAACATCATCGTCTCATCATTCTCAGCCTTGACCGTTGACGCTGTGGACGTCGAGTAGCAGTTTAGAGAGAATAAAGTATCCACACAACAATGGCATCGTTGTTCAATCAAACAACGATGCCTTGAACTTTGTACAAGTACATCATCAACATCATCATCATGATCCATCTCCTCTTTTCATTCATTTAATTAATCAATAGCCATAGTCATCACCGACATCATAACAATCGCTTTGGAATGAGAAGTAGTCGTACTGACTCTGATTCTGCATCTGTTGTTGCTGCTGTTGGTACTCGTCGAGAATGACCTCCTCGGAATGGTCATTGTTGCCTGACGATCGACCCAGGGCACCAAATCGCTGCTGACGCTCCGCTTGAGCGCGCTCGTCCTGCAGATCGTCCAACTCCTGCTGGTTTTCCTCATCAACACGCCTGTCGGCGTCGTGCTTGGCCTTCTTGATGGCCTCCTCGCGCTGCACCTTTTTCAGCTTGACAGCCTCACTGGCATTCCTGAACTCGCGCAGATCAATGGCCTGGCGCTCTGCACTAATTAGCTGATGGACTCGCTCAGGATTGCTCCTCTCCTCGCGCTTGAACTTGTTCTTGAGCTGCAGACGTGATCGGTCGTCAAACACAGTCTCCATCAATGTGAAGTCGGTGCCATACTTCTTGAGCGCCTCGTAGAAGACCTCGGTCTCTGCCTTGCTCCATGCACGCTGTGTCTCGCGTTTCGAGAAAGATTGACTGTTGATGAGCGAGTTGGTGTCATAGTTGGCCTGTTCGTAGATGACTGGTGCGGAGGAAGGGCCACGCATCTTGGGCACGATGACACCGTCGACCATCTCAAACTCGGCGCCATCATCCTCTTCGTCCTCACTCGCCGCGCTGTTGAATGCGATGTTGGGTCGGCGACCCTTAGCCGATGCAGCGCCTTTGCTCGTCCTCTTCTCTAGCGTGGATGGCATCTCAGCACCAACGATCTTCCTCTTGACCAATGCGCCCAGTGAATAAAGAGTGATCTGTTCAGGTTGAATCGGTTGCAACGTAGTATTCTCATATTCCTTCTTCTTCTTCTCCTTTGGTATAGTCGGATCTTTCTTCTTTCTTCCACGTTTGCTTTTTGGTGTACCAGATGATTGTGATTGTGATTGTGTTGTTGTTGTCGTTGTCGTTGTCCCAGATGTGTCATTGCCAGTTGCAGTGCCAGTGTCGTCATTATCATTGTCTTCTTCCATGTTATCAATCTCATTGCCATTGAGTGTGCGTGTACCAGTGCCATTGGGAGTGGATATTGTTGTTGTCGTTGTCGTTGTCGTTGTTGAAGAGGTGCCATTGACTGAGGGTGAGCCATCACCAGTGCCATTGACATTGCCATTACTATTTACATTGGTCACTTGCTGCTCTGGAGTTGTCTCATCAATAACCTCTCCTATATCTATACTAATATTTATATCATTTGTTATAATTTCTTCAATATTATTATTATTATTATTATTACTGTTGTTGTTGTTGTTATCTGAATCTGTTGTAATTGTATCATTTGTTGTTTCCTTTGTCGTAGTTGTAGTTGTAAATGTTGTAGTTGTTGTTGTAGTATCTGCTTCATATCTCAATCTCTTTTGTTCTCTTTCAAGTATCAGTTCACGCTCTAACTCTTCATCGACATCACCATCATCTTCTTCTTCTTCTTCCACTACATCATCTTGTTGTCTAATGATATCAACTTGATCATTCTTTCTCTTCTTTGTATTCAACTTATCATCATCATTGGCATCGTCCTCCTCATCGGTATCTTGTTCTTTGATTGCGTCCCAGTCCACAGGTGAACGACCCATATCATTAGATGAACTAAGTATATCTCTATTTCTAGATGTTGTCATTTATATATATATATATATTTGTTATATGTGTAGTTGTAGTCGTAGTCGTGAAAGTGTTTCAAAGATTGATTGACCAAAGTTATTGAAAGCGCATGAATCTCAACGGAAAGTTTGAATTCAGAAAGAAGGAAGGAAGTTCCAGGGGTGTGTTGTTGGAGCCAGTCTGAAAGAGGCACTGACCACTCACACTCCGGACGAACCCATTCAATGTTGAAGGGTTTTGTTGGAGAACAAAATGAAATGAAAGTGTGTGAGTTTGAGTGTGTGTGTGAGTGTGTATGAGAGTGTTGAACTCACCTCGACAACAAAAATAAAGAGAGAAAGAGACTGAGAGAGATAATAGTAGTAGTAGTAGCAGTCCTTGTTTGCAAAACAATAACAATCACCTTAGGTGTTAGTAGTAGTAGTAGTAGTCCTTGTATATATATATATATATATATTATTAATAATTATTATTTTATAATCAACTTCATCATTCATTGCCAAGAGACAGACAGGACAACATACACACGTCCCTTTATCTCCGTCACACATCACAGTCGGACTCATTCAATCAATCAATCGAATATCTAGGTTTCCTGACATCATTCATTCACCTCAAGCAACTACAACATCAACAACTCTACTGTACTACAACAATCAATCAATCAATCATTCAATCAATCGATCAATCAATCAATCGATCAATCAATCAATCAAACAAATATTATATATTACAAACTTTAGAATAGTTATAGTGTGCTCTCCAGAGTCGCATTGAGACTGGAGAGTGCCAAAGATAGAGAGACACAACACTGGCCGACTCTAATCATCTTAGTATTCCGCCGCCGCCTGCTGCTACAGGCAAACACTCTCGGAAGCAGCACATGCGATCACATTCATCCGAGAGTCAACAACAACAGCAACAACATGTTGTTCCACAGATTACAACAGTGACTACGACCACTACAACAGTGACGCCTTCAACACCCATTCGATCATCGCTCACTCGTTCAAACGTACACAATGGCGGAAGCAGCGGTAGTGGAGGTATAAGCATCAGTGGCAGTCTGAGTAGTGGCATCAACTTTAACAATATCAATCATAATAGTAATAATATTAGTAGTAGCAGCAGCAGTAGTAATAATAATAATAGTAATAATAGTGTAAACAGACAACAACAGCGCATAAATAGGACGAACAATAGTGCTGACTACCTTTTGAATGGTGGAGGTGGAGGTGGAGGCGGAGGAGGAGACAACTTGATCAACTTATCATCACCGCCCAGACAGAACAAGAATACATCAAACATTAATAACAATGGAGGTCAGGTTGGTACGCCCCAACATAGCAGTGGCAGTTCACTACAGGGGCGTCACCATAACGATCCAGATATGTTCAACGAGGTACTCACACCAATACCTGTGGTGCGCACAATAGGCACCTCTTCATCGTCGATACTAAGCAGCACTGATCTCGACTTTGACTTCCTCGTGCCTGGTTCATCATCGTCATACTCAAACTCAAAGAACACTCTGGCAAATAGTAATGGGCAGCAGCGGCAGTGGTAGTGGTAGTGGAAGTGGAAGTGGTAGCATTGACATGCAGCATCATCAACACCAACCAAGGAATCCACTCAATGTCTCAACAGACTCACTTTCACCACCGCCATCCCCAACAATACCTTCGCCGCCACCATTACTAGTACTGCCGCGCGACCTTAGGATGTCAGACTCGGGCCCGAGACCATCATCAGCTCCAACAGTCAATCCATTACACTATGATTACAACAACATGAACAACAACAACAGGAAGATGAATCAACAGATAGAGGCTAACTTTGTTAGCTTCATACCGAACAATCGAGATCATTACAACGCGAACAACAACAACGGCAACATGCACACTGTACACACTCCACCTTTGATAGCACCAACGTTCACTCGACCACAGTCAACAAGCTTGCAGCCATCACCCTCCAACCAACCAGTTCGAGGGCGTTCATCCAGCAACGCTTCACCAATCTCCCCCTCCCTCTCATCATCACCATCAAAGGGCAGCATCAGCAGCAGCACAAGTGTCAGTGGCAGCGGCAGTGGCGGTTTGGAGAATACATCAAGTCGACCTCCAAACCGACCGCCACCACCCGCACCCACAAAGGGTGCCAAGCCTACACAAGGCAGTGCGATTACCAGCAGCACTACATCTACGGCTGTCTCCACCACACCTGCTTCATCTGCGGGCACGCCTACTACGCCCTCAAAGACATCAAAGACATCAAAGACACCCACACCAAAGAAGAATGATCAGCCGACCAACGGATCATGGGTCTCCAACATATTCAAGAAGTTGACCTCCTCTAGCGTGGACCTGAGTGAGATCAAGTGGGACACACGCAAGACTAACGGACAAATCATCAAAGTGGAGGATAATTTGAACATATCCTACATCAGCCCGCACAGTGGCCAGATTGGTGTATGTACATGTGGCCCGCTCTGAGACTAGGAATCCATCACTCACTCATCCATCCTTCACTCATTCATTCATCACAGATTGCAAGGGCATCGGTCGGATTCTCAAACTCATTCAACTATTTTGAGATACTCATCACAGGCAAGGAGGGCAAGATATGCTTTGGACTGTCGAGCGGAGAGCATCCTCTCGACGTGTTTCCAGGATTTGCTCAAGGGTATGCATGCATGAAGGCTTCCAAGGGACACAGCCAGTCACTAACTAACACATTAATACTTATTGTTCATTCAGATCATATGGATACTACTGCGATGGCAAGGTATACTTGGGCAATGCTACACCTACAAACTATGGACAACCTTTCTCAAGCGGTGACCTTGTGGGCTGTGGAGTGGACAATAACAAGTCATTGTACTTTACCAAGAATGGAGTGTACCTGGGCACAGCCTGCAAGAAGGTCCATGTGTCTGGTCACCTCCCAACGGTGGGCATGCAGTCGGCTGGCGAATCCATCGTGGGCTACTTTGCACCACCCTTCCGTTACAACCCGACCGAGAAGCAGTCGCCGCCCGTGCAGCCGGCGGCCACCGAGGATCTGATACCAAAAGACGAACTGGAGCAGGAGCAATGGAGCAGCAATCGATGCGCGCCCTTCATTCAGGTGCGCGAGCGCTCAGCTCGCATCAGCACGCGGTTCTCACACAACAATGTCATTGGCATCGTGCAGAGCACGCACCCCGTCCATGAAGGCTCGTTCTTCTACTTTGAGGTGACTCTGGAGAACGTCAAGGGCAAGATGGTGTCGGTGGGTCTGGCCGGCGACGACTACCCCCTGACAGAGAGTCATGTCGGCTGGAAGGGACGATCGTACGGCTACCACAGCGACGATGGCCGCAAGTTCAAATGGCACAACGACATCTCCAACACGAACAGGGGAGAGTCGTACGGCCCCAGCTTTGGCCAGGGCGACACCATTGGTTGTGGCGTCGTCTCGCATCAGATGTTCTTCACCAAGAACGGCACGTTCCTGGGCCTGGCATTCTCGGACGTCTATGGCCAGCTGTACCCTACAGTCGGCTTCAATGAGCCTGGCGACTGCATCACAGCCACGTTCTCAGCGCCCTTCAAGTTCCAGCACCTCGATCAAATGGTCGAGATCCCGACGCCACTCATTATATCAAGCAATGGCTCAGTTGGCAGCAGCTCAAACAGCATATCAAACAGCGTGAGCTTCAGTAGTATTGTGCACCAGGATGACGGCCAGCAGACAACGATCTTCCCGTCCAAGTCCATGCCCTCGCTCTCGTCACTCGAGCACGTCCCACTACCGCCAATACGCGCAGCTTCCCCACACTCTTACTCCCTGCCTGGCGCAGGCGCTCCAATCAGTTCATTTTCCTCGCTGTCATCATACTCATCGTCCAACGGATCACTGTCATCTTCTTCCTCCAACTCAATCCCGCCGCCCAACTACAGCAGCCTCCATCCCAACAGCTTCACAAACAGCAATGCCGCCAACAGACACTGTATATCACTGCCTTCGGCAGCCAGCAACACGACTACGCTGGCATCCTCAATGTCTTTCGGCTCCACTTCGCCTTCTTCCTCGCCCAAGTCATCGTCGCCACGCAAGATACTCAACTCGTCGGACGAGCTCACCTTTGTACAGCAGTTCCAGGATGTCGACGGACAACCGCCATCGGCGTGGCGCCGCTATGGCTCGTCAATCAGCTGCAAGGACGACACGACTCTCTCGATGGCCAAGTTCATCAAGAAGACAGGCGCGGCCATTGCCAACCGGCCGTTCCCATCGTCGACGACGACGCTCTGCTACTTTGAGGTGTACATTGAGGGCTTTTACAAGAAGTCCACCGTCAGCATCGGCCTTGCGCACGCGCAGTATCCCCTGGACAAGCATATCGGACGCATGCCCATGTCGTTTGGCTATTGTAGCACGGGCGAGAAGTTCGGCTACAACGGCAAGTTGGGCGACCTCTACGGCCCCACATTCACATCGGCCAGCATGGAACCAGTTGTCATTGGCTGTGGCATCAACAACACGACTCGCGAGATCTTCTTCACACGCAACGGAGAGTATCTGGGCGTGGCCTTCTGGCGAGTTCCGACAGCCAAGCCTCTGTACCCAGCCATCTCGATGAAGCATCTGCTAGGCGGCATGGCAGTCACATCATTCTCAGCACCGTTCAAGTTCAACTTTGACCAGCTGCCAGGCGTGTCACCTTCGTACTGGACGGAGAGCCTCGGCCCGGATCGAGGCAACAAGGGCTTCCTCTGCTGGACACCCAACGACGTGGCCGTCTGGCTGGACGCTATTGGCAAGGGCCAGTACCAAAAGGTCTTTTGCGACAACAACATCAAGGGCCGCCATCTTCTGCTGTTCACCATCGAGAATCTCAAGAGCGAGCTAGGCATCGAGATCTTTGCGCATCGTGCCGACATTATCGAGCGCGTCAATCATATGATCGAGATATGGAAGGACCGCGGCGGCACGATCCAGATCAGCGACAACACCAGCGAGAGCTCGGACGACGAGCGCCTCAAGAAGCGATGGCCCGACCAACAGTCGGGCAGCTTCGAGATTGCCCACTCACAGGGCATACTTCGTCCGGTCAAAATCTACTCTCCACACCAGCTGGAAGACCGCACGAGAAGGAGCACGATCAGTGGCGGAGAGAGTCCGAACAAACAGCGTGGCAAGCATGGTGGTGTGCGCTCAAGGAACATCGGCGCCAGCGAGGATAGTCCGTTTGAAGAGGAGCGCCAGCCCACGTCCATGACGCTCTCAGTCGAGCAGGTGCGCTACCTGATGGACAAGAAGGTTGACGAGTTCGAGGTGCAGTCCAGTCGGCCGCATTTCCACACGTTCACGCCGCAGCACATTAATGTACAGTCGATTAAAACCAGCAACAGCAGCAGCAGGAGCAACAGTCCAACCTTCAACCTACCGCCAATCGTCCACCAACAACAGCAAAATCTGCCGCCGTTGATGCCTACGCACACGTCATCGCCAATGTGGGGCGCCCCAGTGGCCCAATCACAAGAGATGCCTCCTCCACAGTCATTCGAGTTGTCGTCATCGCCCAAGCCCAACTCAATCATCAAGTCATCACAGCCACCTCTATCACAGTTCAGCTCAAGCTCGAGTCCATGGGATGGCAACAGTGTCAGCAGCTCGTTGGGTCTTAGTCCCGAGTATGAGATCGACTTTAGTGAGCTAGAGTTTGGTCCAGTGCTAGGCAAAGGATTCTTTGGCGAGGTGAAACGTGGATACTGGAGAGAAACAGATGTAGCCATCAAGACCATCTATCGCGATCAGTTCAAGACCAAGTCCTCCCTGGAAATGTTCCAAAACGAGGTGTCAATTTTAAGGTATGAGTCCCCAACCAAGCAATCAAGCAAGACCTCATCCTAACTAACACTCAATTCTCCTCACTACTGCAGTAAGGTGAGACATCCGAATGTGGTACAGTTCCTGGGTGCATGTACGGCAATCAGCAGCGAGCAATGTATTGTGATTGAGTGGATGGGCGGTGGCAGCCTGCGAGAGTTCTTGGACAATCACTTTGATATCCTGGAACTGAATCCCAAGCTTCGACTAAAGATAGCACTCGACATTGCCAAGGGCATGAACTACCTGCACGGCAGGACGCCGCCCATTTTGCATCGGGACCTGTCGTCACGCAACATCCTGCTGGACAACCCGTTGGACACACGCGACTCATACAAGGTCAGCGACTTCAAGTGCAAGATCTCGGACTTTGGCCTATCGCGACTCAAGATGGAGCAGAGCTCTGCCATGACAGCATCAGTTGGCTGCTTCCTCTACATGGCGCCAGAGGTGTACACTGGCGAGGCCAACAGCGAGAAGAGTGACGTGTACTCATTCTCGATGGTGCTTTGGGAGTTGATCACGGCCAAAGAGTTGCAGCAGATGGATATGAACCCGATGAAGATGGCCAATCTGGCTGCCAACGAGAACTATCGTCCCGTGCTACCAATGACCACGAGCACCAAGTGGAAGGAACTGATCGCCAGCTGCTGGGATGCCAACCCAGCCAACAGACCCACCTTCCGCCAGATCATCATTCAACTGAAAGAAATGGAGGAGCAAGGTGAGTCCTCCTACGCACCGATCCCTGTATCAAACGTTGACATTGGCTTCTATGGATAGAAGAGACGACAACCCCAACGACCAAGACTACGACCACAACCCTACCAAGCTACCGATTCATTCACACACTTCATCATCACTCATTCATTCATTCAACTTACACAACACATGTCATAACAGACATGCGTAATATTAACTTTATTAATGTGTGTCCCTAGTTGGACCTCACTGTATCATCCATCAATCCAATCAATCAATCCATCCATTCCATCCCCTATCTATCTATTCTTTCTATATAACTTGTATGTATAATAAACATTCATTCTCATTCATTCAATCAATCAATTCTATTGAATTGATGTTGTCAATGCCAACATGTAATGTCATCGGAATCGGCTCACCACCAACCTCACTTTATGGGTCAATGTTAGGGCCAAACAAAACACTGCCCCACACAACACAATCACCTTCGATCTATTTTTGATCAGGGGGGGGGTGAATCTCATGATTAATCGCTATCAGGTTATCGTGGGTCTGCCCACAAGATGGGTTAGTCCTTCAAAATATATATCAAAAAAAAATGGTCAAAAAGCGATTTATTGTTTGTTGGTTAACAAAAACATAGTACAGATAGACACTAAATTAGATGTGTGACGATCCTCACAATCCTAAACAACAGATAAAATATATACATACACATACAACAACAACAAATAACTATCAATCATTCAATCAAACACCATTGTGTACACACTCAATCACTGCTCACTCAATCCACCAATCAATCATACTCAACCCCCAATCAAACAAACACACCAACAATCAAACAAACAAACAAACAAGCCATATTTAACTTCCCACCCACCCAACCAATCAATCACTCGGCAGCACAGACACCAAGTCCCTTCTTATCTCTACACGCGCCATATCCAATCGACGCGCCATCCGTTGCAACGAACATTGTTACCTGTGTCAGGGTCATTCAGCCAGTCAGTCAGGCGATCAAACATAGACTCAACAGGTCATCATATCATTCATCATCATTTACATCATCACTCCAACCTCAATCAAACAACTTATTTATTATCAATCAAATCAAACAATCCAAAGCTTATTGAATTATTATGAGCGTGGAAATAGAGGTTGACCAAGCGTCAAGTGGAACCAGTGGCGAAAACACTGATGCTACCACTTTGAAGACTTCCACAGACTCAAGTGTTGAACCACCATCAGCCAAGGAAACAACAGAGTCTGCCGTATCAGATGATTTGGCAGCAGATGACGATGATATCGCCAGTGGAGTAGGCGTGGGCGAAAAGAACAACAACAACAAGTCATCCGCAGCATCCAAGAAGGACCAGCGACGAATTGAAAAGGAAGAGAAAGAGCGTGCAAAGCGCGAGGAGAAGGAAAAAGCCGAGCAGGATAAATTGGAAAAGGAGCGACAGCGACGCGAGAAGATCGAGCATGACAAGTCGGAAAAGGAACGCTTGAAGCGCGAGGAGAAGGAGAAGATCGAGCATGACAAGCTGGAGAAGGAGCGATTAAAGCGCGAGGAGATCGAGGAGAAGGAGCGACAAAAGAAAGAGGAGAAGGACAAGCTGGAGCAGGACCGCATAGAGAAGGAGCGACAGAAGAAGGAGGAGAAGGATAAACAGAAGCAGCTCAAGTCAAAGCTGGGTAGCAATCATAAGAGCAGCGGTTCCTCGTCGTCGCTGATGCTCAACAAAAAGTCGCGACCAGACTCGGGCGACATGGTCATCTCATCACCGCCCACCTCGCCACATGTGTCATCTTCGTCGCCTGCCACATCCTCGCTCAACCTGGCGGCGTCATCCTCACCAAGCCGCCTCTCTCAAGACATCCGCGATGACAACAGCAGCAATGGTGGCGCCGATCCCAAATCAGACGACATGGACTCAAACAGCAGCGAAGCCGACGACACGGCCCCAGCATCATCCGCACAGCCTGCACCAGCGGCAGCCGATGACGTGATTGGCGTGTCCACAACGATGACCACTGGCAGCAATGGAGACAAGAAGGAGGTGATCATCAAGGTGACCCGTGCCTTTGCTCCCGTCGTGCATCAGAATGTGCTGCCCGAGGAGGGCGACACCAAGATGAGGAACAAGGTTATCAACGAGATCATCAACACGGAGAAAGACTACATTGCCGACTTGCGTGTGATCGTCCACGTCATCCTGGCGCCACTGCGCGACAGCAAGCTACTCGTGGACAAAGACTTTAGCTTGATCTTTTCCAACATTCAAATGCTGATGAATGTCAACGAGGTACTGCTGGCCGACCTCGAGAAGATGGCCAAAGCCAACGAGGGCATGTCGGTGGGCCCGTGCTTCAAGTACCTAGCCGGCTACCTCAAGATCTACTCGTCGTACTGCGCCAACCAGCAGGTGTCGCACGACCATCTGCAGCAGTGCATCAAGAAGAGCCCAGTGTTCAAGCAGTTCTTGGACGAGAAGCAGGCGATGCCCGAGTGTCGCCAGAACCATCTGGACAGCTTCCTGATCAAGCCCATCCAGCGACTTTGTAAATACCCCCTGTTGCTCCGTGAGCTGATCAAGAACAGTGACCCAGCGCATCCAGACATCCCCTCACTCGAGGAGGCATACGACAAGATTCAAGAGACCGTCATCACCGTCAACGAGAACAAGAGGAAGGCTGAGGTGCAGCACAAGATGTACAAAATCCACGAGAAACTAGAGACAACAGAGGTATGTTCCAGGTCCACTCATTCAATCACTCAATCACAACTGGAATCATTCCAATCACTAACACACTCACCTGATCAATCAATCTTAGAAATTCGACTTCTTGACACCGACTCGTTATCTGATCAGGGAGGACACTTTGAAGGAGCTGACAGAGGAGAAGGATAAGATATCAGGCAAGAGTCATTATTATTTGTTCAATGATATAATAATGAGGACAAAGAAGGACAAGAAATCAATCAAGTTGGAGACATTGTTTGTTATTGGTTCAACGACCATCACGGACAATGAGGACAGAAACTTTGGCACATTCAGGAATACGATCGACATTGCACAGGTGGGTCGCGAGGGCAGGAAGTTCACACTAGTCTGCGACTCGTATGAACAAAAGATGGAGTGGCTGACTGAGATCCAGCAGCTGACCAAGCCCTACCAAGACGCGCTCAACAAGGAGTACGAGAAGCTGTTGGACACGCCTAGCATCCCATCATCTGACGCCACCGCCAAGCAACTGGCGCGTACTTCCACATCCTCATCACTTAGCAAGAACATGGCTGTACCAGCCAAGCCCTTGCCACCACCTCCACCCTCTTCAAAGTCTTCACTACATCTCGTCACTGAACCCAAGACAACTCCAGCTTCTCCAGTTCAAGCGACATCCCCATCTCTGGCACCGACATCGCCAACACCTGTACCTAAACCAATCACCACACCAGCACCAACACCAGCACCAATCGTCACACCAGCTCCAGCCACAGTACCTCGACCAATGATCACACCTACTCCAAAGGCAACTGCTCCAGCACCAGCTCCAGTACCATCACCAGCACCAGCACCAGCCACTGCCCCATTAGCTCCCACCCAGGCGGTACCAAAGATCACACCACTCGTTCGTCAACAAACTATGCCAGCTCTCCCATCCACTCAACCTGCGGACAAGCCCATCCCAGCACAAAGACCTCCAGCAGTCGCACCACCTCCTCTACCAAAGAAACCAGATCATTTCAAACAAGAACCATCGCCTGTTTCCTCACCAACACATCAGTCTCAGAAGCCTCCACAACCACAACCTAGACAACTTCCAACTCCAACACCAGCACCAGCACCTACACCAGCACCAACACCTGCGCCAGCCGAGCCAGCAACATCAGCAACATCACCCAACTTACCCTCAATCCCTCCACGCCCACAGGGTGGTGGCATAGCGTTCCCCAAATCAATGGCAGCTCTCAAGAACTCTGCACCAATGGTCTCGCGATCACATTCAACCCTCCCAACTCGAATCACCACAGATGTGTCTGCAGCTCCAATGGCCAACAATATGACGCCAAAGGATGACACATCGTTGCCCACCAAGAAGACCATCCCACCTGTAATACCACCCTACAAACCAATCATTCGACCAACTCCACCTCAACCAACATCATCATCTCCATCATTAACATCATCACCCGCGACTGGTGGTGGATCGCCTCAACAAGGCTCGACTAGACCGCTGCCGACACTGCCTCCAGTCTCGCCTCCAGCAGTCCAGTCTCCGCCACTCACCAGCAACAACAAACCACTTCCACCAAAGCGTAACATACCATCATAGGCCTCATCCATCCATCCATCCATTCAATCCATCTCAACTCTATGCACATGTCCTCCAACAACATCATTGACCTCTTGGCAGGGTCATCACAAACACTGGAGTATCATAGTTTAGCGACATCCATCCCATAATTCATTCAATCAATATTGTACTTCTACCAACCATAATCATAAGTTATTAAAGAGTGAGCGAGAGGGATAGAGGTGATGCACGACCATCCATCCCATCATTCATTCGTTCAATCATTCAATCTTCTCCATTAATGTCCATTTATTGAAGCTTGAATCTGAAGAAGTACAATAGTTCCACGATTGTGAATATAGACTTCTCGTCAGTCCTGCGGTCCACTAGTTCGTACTCGTCCTCCACCTCTCCTTTTTCATTCTGATGCTTGTTTGGACGAATAAAGATGAGATATGGCACGCCAATGAGTGTGGCCTCTTTGATACGTCGCGGGAATTGCACGTCCAGACGATCATCGATGAATATCTGATTCCTCAACAGTGGCTCACGCATCAAGATGTCGTACAAGTATGTGGCGCGGTGCAGATTGGTATCATTGGCCTTGTTGGCGTTGGGTAGGATGATTGCCTTGTATGGCGCCAGTTGTAGTGGCCATACGATGCCCTGCTCCTCAGTGTGGTGGGACTCGATGAGTGCGGCCATCAGACGACTGACTCCAATGCCATAGCAGCCCATCTCCATGGGCACGCTCTCGCCATTTTTGTTACGATACTCTGCGTTCAGTGGCTTGGAGTACTTTGTGCCCAAGTAAAAGATGTGGCCCACCTCTATGCCACGCTTCTTGATGAATGTGCCTCCATTGCATGATGGCTGCACACATAGGTCGCCCGAAGTGGCGCTCCTGAAGCGTCCAGTGATGGCGTCGTCGGGGAGGTTGTTTTTGAAGACGTTGTGCAACAGTTTCTGGTTGCCCTTGATTGATTCGTCGATGAATGTCTGCACTGGTACGCTTGGGTCAAGCGCCAACATCTGTTCCTTGGTGATCTCTTCGAACACTCCAATGTCCTTGAAGTATGGCTTGACAGAGTAGAGGTTGGCCTTGTCCGCCGCGGCCGTCCACACTGAAGCGATGGCGAGCGCACCCTCATTGGACTTGACCTTGGCCAATGATTGAACGATCGAGCAGGTTGGATCGTACTTGACGTGTGCGATGCCGTCGGCCTTCTCGACGTTGGCCGCGTAGTCACAGCTGGAGCATGTGATCACGTCGTCCTCGCCGACGTCCGTAATGATCTGGAACTCATGTGAGAGCGAGCCACCAATGTTGCCCGAGTCGGCCGCGACACATATGTACTTGACGCCCAGTCGCGAGAAGATGCGATGATAGGCGCCCTTTACAATCTCATATGTTGCCTCGGCCTCCTCTGGCGTGCGATCGAATGTGTACATATCCTTCATCAAGAACTCGCGGCAACGAAGCAGGCCGAATCTTGGCCTGATCTCATCACGATACTTATCGCCAATCTGATACAATAACATTGGCATGCTTGATGATGGTAATCTCTCATTCGCGATCACATCAGTGAATATCTCCTCGTGTGTTGGTGCCAAACAGTATTCATCGCCTCTTCTATCCTTAACCTTAATCAACTACATTGATTGGAATGTGATTGATTGAGTGATTGGGTGAGTGGGATTATTCCAGTGGGTGTGGGGGCATGGACATACCTCGTCTCCTGATGACTCCCATCGACCGGTCTTCTCCCAAAGTTGTTTGGTGAGTAGCTTGGGCATTGATAGTTTTTGTCCGCCAATGTTCATCATCTCCTCGTCAATGATTCGTGTAAGGTTCTCCAAGACCCTGTGTGCCAATGGTAGGTTCATATACATTCCCAATGCAGCCTGGTCAAGTATGTGTTAGTTTGAGTGCTGATGACGACGTCAAGGTTGACAACATAACATACCTTTCTAACCATGCCAGTCTTTTCCATCAACAGATGACTCTTGATCATTTCACTATCAGTTGGTTTATCCTTCTGCATTGGTATGAATAACTTTGATCGTAATATACGATATGCTGTTGTAGTATTGTTGAGTTGATTAAGATGATGTTGTTGTTGTTGATGTTGTTGTTGTTCATGTTGTTGTTCATTAGAAACATCTGATGATGTTGTAGTTGTACTTGAGGATGTGCAGAAGTAGGGGTAGTATGTCTTGTGATTGTTCAACTGAAGAAGTGATGTTGATGATGATGATGAGCCAACCAATGATTGATATCGAAGTGCCCTGAGGGCTGTTGATACACCATGTGTGGACAACCTTATACCCAACATATTTGTTGTTGATGTTGTTGTTATATATCTGTCGTTCGACTCGACTTGAACTTTATCTGATTGATCAAAGTGTGAGATTTTGATTTGTTGTAGGTGACATCATGATCATCAATTTCAGTGCACTCAATCATCAATTAAGTTAGCAACATGGAACATATTCCAAGATATATTATCAAACAGATATTACATTATCTGTATGAATATGATACATTTGATGTGATATCATTATGTCTCACATCAAAGAGTATGATGACATTGCTTGACAACTATTTCTCCAAGTTGCCACTGTTCAATAACAACAAGGATGACAAGAAAAGAGGACAGACTACAACAGTGTTGTTGATCAATGACCAGTTCAACAGCCCATTCAAACAAGGTTGGCTACCAAACACATTGCTCACCTTGGTGTTTGGTGACAGTTTCAATCAATACATTATGCCTGGTTCACTCCCGCCATCCCTTACATGCCTCGAATTCGGTCAGGACTATGATCAACCAATTGATATTATTCAACCTCAATCACCATCATTAATATCAAAGATCGTCCGTGGATTGAGTGGCACACCCAAGTCATCCCCATTTGAAGGCTCACTTCCACACTCGATCACCAAGTTAACCTTTGGATATCACTTCAATACTCGCACAAACACTGAGGCACTGCCTCGAGCACTGATCAGTCTGAAGTTTGGAAGTGACTTTAACCAACCGATCAATCTGGACACGCTGCCACAGTCCCTTCAAAGTCTCACATTCAATCCACACTACTACCTCGTGCTAGAGTTGGGCAAGTTGCCAGCATCACTCACACATCTATCGACGTGCAAGCTAGACATCAATGCATTGTCATCAGCAACATCGATTAGATCACTGATCAATGTATCAATAATGGGTCATATCACACCTGGATCTCTTCCATCATCACTTCAAACAATGACACTCAATCAACAGCATGCTGATGGTGTGTCTTGCATTCCAGCTTCACTCACCAACCTGACACTTGGAGTTGACTTTAATCAGGTGATCTATGTGCGGGCACTCCCACCAGCCCTCAGATCGCTGACATTTGGAAACACATTCAATCAAAGGATCGCCCAAGATGTCCTGCCCAACTCGCTCGAGACCCTAAGATTCGGCGACCTCTTCAACAAGCCTATTGAGCCTGGTGTCCTCCCTGCCTCACTCCACACTCTCTCGTTTGGAATTGAGTTCAATCAGGCCATACTACAAGGGGTCTTGCCCAGGTCACTTATCTCATTATCAATGGGACACTCATTCGATCAAGATCATCCGGTGTTCCCCGCGTCACTACTTCATCTCGAGCTTGGAGACTCATTCCAGCATGAGTTGCAACGTGGCACATTGCCCGACTTGTTGGCCACTCTCAAGCTGGGCTTTGCATTCAGACAGGACTTGGAGACGATGGCGCAATGGATACCGGGCTCCATCACAAAGCTCACAATCAGACGACCAGCCGAAATACTGGACCTGGCCTGTGTCCCCAAGTTGCGTACATTATGCGTATATTCAACAGAGACATTGGAGTTGAACATATCTCAACTCATCGCTCATCCATGTCTCGAAGCCATGCATATTGATTACTTCACTGTAGATCAAATGGAGCAGATGTCCAACATCAACATCAACATCAAGCTGCGCTCACTTCATCTGCGTTGTTATGAGGTGGAGGATGGAGATTCAGCTCAGGCCCACCTACAGAGATTGAGACGAATATTTCCATGTGTTGGAACTATACATCTTGAATGTTATAATAATAGGTCTCATCAGTTGTATGCTTCATCAGATCAAAGATATCGGAGAATGGTGTACCAGCGAGGTGATCTGATCAAGGACCACCATCCATACCATCCGGAACGATTCCGGCTGATTATCTTTAAGGTCATAAAGAAGTTTATTAATTGATTGTTTGATAATATACATGTTTAGATTGATTGATTGATTGATTGATTGGCGAGTGATCGGTTGACCATGGCATTCCCATGATTGATAAAGTGTGATTGATATGATGTGATGTGATGCGTTGTTCAGGAAGGGAGGACAGATGATTGGAATAAGGTGTAGGTAGTTACAATATTGGTTGATGTTGTTGTTGTTGTTGTTGGTGATGACCGCGGTGTCATTAATGCCGCGAGAGAACATTGGATATGAATGAATGAATGAGCGGAATTAATTGAATTCGAATGTTGGGAAACTGAGCTGATCTTGTCGTCTTAACTCTAGTGATTGATATCGCTCACTAGATCTGTGATAGTAGAAGCCTTGAATGATGCCGGTGGAGCGTTGATACGTGATGTAATAGAAGCCCTCGAATGAAGCACCCTCGATCGATCGGATTGTATGATCGGGCACCAAGAAGTACTCCTTCCAACGCATGAACAGATAGTCGCTGTTTGAAAAGTCTGGCTTAAAGTCATCCTTATTGAACTTTTGTATATACTGATCGAATGCCGGTGAGAACTGAGTCCAATGCTCCCTATCAACCGTCTCATCCGACTCCCATTTACGTGTAAGGAATGAATACTTGTCTCCAATGATCTCTGCCTCAAAGAATGTTGTCAAATTTGGATATTTCTTTTGATTGATTGATTGATTGATTGCATGAGTGAGTGAGTGAGTGATCAATCATAATGATGATGTCATTGATTGGACATGGACATGGACATACCTCGGTTAGATCTTTAATGGTTAGATAACCAGTGAATAGGGAGTTCTTAAAGTCTACACTTTTGATCTCGACGATCACGGGATAGGAGGTCTTCTCACTCCTCTGGATACCGGTAAAGGTACTGCCGGGATATAATGAGTAGTCTGTTGGTGCTGTTGCTGTCGTCTCTGAACTAGAGGGTTGTTGTCGCTCATTGCTATTGACAATATGTTCCACAGCCAGGATTGATTGATCTATCTAATCAACAAAAGAAGATATTGATGAATGAATGTTGCAATGACCTTCACACACACAATATCCTTTTTGTTTAAATTATATATATATAAGTAAATATCAGTCTTAATATTACTTGTATTGTATTGTATTGTATTGTATTGTATTGATGTTATATGTATGTATTATAATATATGTCTAGTTGTTTAATTAAATGGGTGTGAAGGAATTATGAAGTTGTTTGAGATTGTTGAATTGAAATTGAATAAGGAAGTCATTGGAGTATGTGGTTCAACTGCAAAAAACATTCAAAAAATGGGAGACTAATGAAGTTCATGTATTTTATGGATGTTGACCCATGTTATCTACGAATAAGTTGACCCAAGTATATATACTATGTTTGGATAGAATTACTCAAGTTGATCAGCTTTGTTATAAAGAGTTGATTTATAACAACAGAAAGAGTGTATTGAGGAGAGATGGATGGACTGATGACCTAGCCAAATAAGAACCAAGTGAATGATTGAATGGGTGAACAATACCCAGGTTGGGGAGATTAATAAAACAAATGGAATTAATTGAAGGATTGTGATGAACCTAAACATTCATTATTCAATCAACCAATCAATCATTCAACCAATATATTACAAGTAGTACTGTTATATTTATTATTATTATTATTACAAAAAGAAGAACAAGAACAAACAATTGCAATAGAGAGTGTTTACAATTCAATTCAATTCAATTCAACTCAATTCATCAAAGAGTTCAAATTAATCAGGTGAACAACGAGAGAAGCAGTGTTGTGCGTGAGGAGAGATAGTGAGAGAGATAAGAATATAGGTGTGTCATATTGCATTGGAGTAGAGAGAAGATATTAAAGGAGCGAGAAAGAGATAGTGAGAGAGTGTGAAAGAGCGAGCGAGTGAAGAGAGAGAGAGAGCGAAGGAAGCGAGAGAGTTGTCTCCAAGACGACAAACACCACAAACCAAACAATGGAGGATGGAACAATCACACCGGCGAAGGAACTAAAGTTCGTCATGTCTCTCAAGATACCTATCGATCTACTCGATAAGTTAGAGAGAGAGAATGCATCGATAAAGATCATTTATGGTGAAGAGGTATGTTGTGTCAGTCTCACTCAATCAATCAATCAATCAATCAGATCAATCAATCACTCACACTAGTACTTCACTATAGCCCAAACTTGTAGTCGATAGTGAAGAGTTCAACATGACATACTCATCAGTCGATTCACTCGATTGCTTTCATCAACTAAACAATCGATATACAGAGGTTGGACCTGTTCGCAAGAAGTTGAACATTACAACCACTCTGACCGACAGCGACCGACAGCGATTCAAGTCGTCCAGTCAGCGAGCAGAGAGCGAGAAGCGCAAGCACAAGGTGATGGTGATGCCCTCGAACGACCCCAAGAAGGGCGGCATGCACGGGGCTCCGACCAACGCACCCGCGCCCAAAGTCACCTCGGCGCCGATCATGCCCCACAAGATACCCAAGCGTTACGCGGGCTCCAAGCCGCAGCAGACGCCATCCACATGGCTGTCCACCATCACGTCTAGCACAGCGACTTCGAGCACACAGAGCCTGTCACCGAGCACGGTCGGCCTTCCCTCCACCACCTCGAGCACCACCATCAGCAGCAGCAGACTCTCGCCCGAACCTTCAACATCACCTGCCAGTAGTAGTACCACCACTGCCAACATATCACCTCAGAAGTCACTCTCACCGAATATCACAAACAATCAATCGTCATCATCTTCGTCAACAACCACCAAGCAATCATACAATGCCTACTCATCGACTACGACAACGGCAACATCATCAACATCAACCAATATACCAACGATAACTACCACACCCGCCACATCATCATCAACGCCTGTCACTTCAATGTTAGGATCAGAGAAGTCAGACAGATCACTCCCATCATCATCATCAATATACACCACTAGCAAGCAAGCTGCAACACCAGGATCAAGGCTTCAGATGTCCAAGTCTCCGCCACCAACCACATCGTCGTCAAACATACCCGCGCGACAAAGCCCGACGCTCTTCACTACCAATCCAAGCAGCACTGCCCCACTGACCAAGCCGACAAGTCACAAGGTGCCATCCCGACATTCACTTCCAGCCAGCTACACAACCCCCAGCATCAATACAAACAACAACAACAACAATAGCAACATCAAGCCAAGTAACAAACCTCAGACAAGCCAACACCTATCTACAAGGTCCAAAGGATCGCCCAACCTATCACCTCCCGTATCACCTCACAGCAGCTTCACAAACAATCAACCTCCATCGTCGTCGGCGTTGGCATCGTCATCATCGACCAAATCAACATCGACCAGCACAACACTACCATGGCTAAAGAATGATGCAGCCAAAGCACCATCAGCGAGCGAGGCACTCAGGTCACCAATCGTGCCAACGATAGCGCCAATCAAGAGTGCGGCAACACTACAACATCAACAACCCAAACACAGCATGGATGACGATGAATTGATACCGGCGCTACCACCAGCACCAGCTCCAGCGCCAGTGCCATCAATACCAGCCAAACAAACATCACCAGAGTTGGACCACATCCCTCACTACTCAAAGATGGATCTGCCAACCAACTCATCAGCGGCCTCAACTGGAAATGGAAACAACAGCAGTAGTTCATCATCATCATCATCTTCAACATCAAAGAGCTCAGCTGCCAAGGCCAAGGGTGTCACTGCCTCATCATCGTCAACTTCATCATCACATAACAACAACAAGAAACAACAGCATCAAGACGAACAACAAGTCATCAATAGTAGACATAATAGTCAGACTGTTAATGAACAGAAGCAACAGCAACAATCGATTCACATCGATGAGAAGCCAACAAAGAAAGCAAAGTATACATCGTCATCATCATCATCGTCATCATCGTCATCTTCGGCATCTGTGGCACCGGCACCAGCACCATTATCAAGCACCAAGGCACCACCTCCATCAGCCCAACAACCTGCACATGCCCCTGCACATGCCCCTGCACCTCTGCCGGCTCCATCTCAACCAGTGGCCAATGGAAACAATTACAACTTTATCAACAACATCAATGGAAATGGTAAACAATTGTTTATCATCACAAACGACGATGACTATCGACTGCTGAAGGAATCATCACAGAAAAAGTACTTGCGATATCGACAGACCTACGAGTACATCTTCAAGAACATCGAGGAGTTCAAACGTCTCGAGACATCGCTCAGCCAATGCACCGATCAAACACAACGTGACAAGCTACAGAAGAGCATTCATGCATTGTTTGAAGAGCGTGGAGAGGTATGTTTCATCCATTCGGTCATCCATCCAGCGGTTCCTTACTAACCAACTACCAATCTTACAATCTCTAGAAATTCCAACGTGAGAAGCAAGAGTACGACAGGCTATATGAGGAGATCGCATGTATTAAGAAGGTATTGAATGATTATATACAGAGCAGACCATCAGCAGCAGGATCATCATCATCTTTGTCAAGTAAGTCATGATCATGAATGGATGAGGGAGGATGGCTGGTGTCACTCAAGTCAGCCACTCACTCGCGCTCCAGTTACCAATGGTTGATGATGATTGATTGATCGATCCAGTAATCCTTCGCTTCCTCAATCAGTTGATCAATTTGAATAAACTCATGGTGGATATTCCATCCCATAAACATAGTCTATTCCTCAAATGTGGCACACGAGGTGACGAGTCAGTCGTCTCATTTCATTTTCGTTTCATCCAAACAAATACATATACAAATACAATATATAATGCTGGTGCAGCCCAGCAATAACAACAACAACAACAACAACTAACAAGTTGTAATGTCAGGACAGAAGAAATACTGTTTGCACAAGGGTTGCCCAGATAGTACACACAGCTACAGAACACTAACGAGAGTACTTCTCCACTGTCGTATCCATCACGAATGCACACACGTACGCCGGTTGTCCAAACGAACAAAGATACCGTAGAACTCTATTTTATTCCGATCCCGATGACACGGCATCAATCGAGTTGATGTTGCACAATGGCCTCGTCAAGTGCCTTCACACATCTTGCTTCAACTTCTTTGGGTCAAAGAGTGGCCTGAATGCGCATTTGAAGATCAGGGGTGGTGATCACCAATGTGCCGACCGTCTGGCCTGTCCCGGCTGTCAGCGCAGCGACGCAGTGATGACCATGTCAACAACATTACCAGACCCTAAAGAACAGTCTTCGGGCACTGCCAATCCTAAATTGTTGTGTAAACATGATGGATGCACCCTGGAGTACAGGAGATTCACTGACCTACATATCCACTGCCGATCAATTCACCAATGTGGATGGACGTATGCCACATGTCCAAACGATCGCTTTCATCGCAAGAGAGTATATACGGTCTCGCCCGATGACACTGCCTCCATTGAGATGATGCTGGCCGATGGACTCTTCAAGTGTTTGCACACATCCTGCCTGTACTTCATGCCAACGGAGGATGCGAATCATGCACATCAGGCACACGTGGATCACCATTGCACCGACTATAAAACATGTATTGGATGTCTGAATCGAGCCAACACAGTCAGGTCCCGCAAAAGATCTTTAGACTACACCGAAGTCGATGATACCGATGATGACAAAGAGGTTGATGGTGATGATGATAATGCAGTAGGCACCATTTCAGAATCTACACCAAAGTTACAATGTCTACATGACGATTGCACCGCTATGCACAACCGAATGATCAACTTGCGCAATCACTGCGCGTCCAGTCATGAATGTACGCACACCTATGCAAGCTGTCCCAATGAACGGAAGAACAGGATCGATTTCTTTGATACACCGCCAGAGGACGTGGAGTCAATCACAATGATGAAGGCCGACGGAATGATCAAGTGTTGGCACACCTCATGCAACAAATGGTTCAGACACCGTCATGCAGTCATATGACACTTGAGAACAACAAACGAGCATCATTGCGAGGATAGGCTGGCTTGTGTTGAATGTATTCGACAAACAGCCCTTGTCAATCGGCCACAGCCTAGTTTCAACAAGCTCAAGTGTCAACACAATGGCTGCACCAAATCTTACTCTTCCTGTTCTGATCTTCACAGACATTGCAAGCCGGCTCATCATTGCACGTTGACGTTTGCCAGCTGTCCAAACACCTCACTATACAAACTAGACAAGTTCATAGTGGATTTAAACGACGAAGCCTCGATCAATATGTTGTTGGCCAAAGGTATGATCAAGTGTCCACATACATCATGTGGAAACTTCTTCCAAATGTCGAAAGGACAGGTGAGTCATGCATCGAAGCCACATCAATGTGTTGATCGACAAAGCTGCAAGGCCTGTCAAGATGTCAACAGTAATGACGGTGATGATGATTATGAACTTGTCGATGATACTGGATATTCTATTACAAACAGACCGGTTGGATTCACAGTTCATCAACAGACTCATGATGGATTATTGTTCAACACATTGATCAAATGTCCACATGTCAATTGCTCGCATCATGGATCACTGGACGACATCAATAATCATCTTGGACAAGATCATAACTGTCCATCATCATCACAGTTGGAGCAACAATGTGATGGATGTCGATTGTCAAGTGAAGGTACTGATGGCTGCTCATTTGATTCATTGATTGGTAGAATGATGCTCCTGGAACCCCCCTTAAAGAATCCGCTTTTGGTGGTGAATGAAGTTCAAGCTGAACTTTTATTACCTTTTTGGGGGTGATGTTCAATCAAACAGCTTGGTTCACTTGGTCTTTATTCAACAATTGCACAAACATATATTATTGTTACAAACATACATATATATTAATATATACGAATAAACAAAATGTACAAGAGTATCAACACTTTTAGACAATCATCACTGTGGAACACTGCAGTTGGAAAGCGCTTCTACTCCTCGACAGAGGATGCTAAGCTCAAGACCAGAGTGCCAATATTCAGACCAAACGAAGCACAGGAACACATCTCACTGGGCAAGCTTAAGGAGTCAGAGCATTCAGTTGCCCTTTACAACCTCGAGTTCATCAAGATTGATAACATTGTAAACTTGAGCACTGATCAATTGAACAGATTGGTTGTTATTCCAAAAGGAGGTACGTACTTCTTGCATCCTGTTCAGTCATTATGTTTGATTGATTGATTGATTGACACGTGCATTCAAACAAACAGACAAGTTGTCATTGGAGGCTAGAATCGAGAAGTTGGAGAATGAGTTGGCTGCTTTCAGAAACCAAGGTTCATCATCATCAACTCAGCAGCAGTCGACATCGACAGTGAACATCCCTCCACCTCCACGTGGAAACGATAAGTTGTAGAGTATACTCTCTTTGATTGCAAACACAACTCAAATGATACATATATATACTTCATAAAGTAGATTAAACATTATTATTAATGATAAATATATAGAGATATATAATAGTCGACTATTCATCATCTTGGCCATTGGTTGATGCTTGTTGTTGCTTCCAGTCATCGTCATTCCAGGTGTTGGGCACGGACATCTTCCTGGCTGGACTGTAGCCCACCTCTGGGATCTCCTTCATGTCGGCCATGTGCAAGAGACTGTTGATTGGCTTTGTGAATGAGTTGATTGGCTTGGCAAATATTGATGGGATCATTGACTTGTGATTGCTGCTACCATTACTACTGCCACTGCCACTGCTGCTGCCGTTACTTCCATTGCTCATGTTGCTACTGCTCAGACTTCCTTTCAGCGTTGGAGATGATGACGATGATAAGCTGCCCTCTTGGTGTGCCAGATGTTCGGGCACGGATGCAGGTGGCTTGACGTAGAGGGGAGGATCGCTGCTTGGGAGGTAGCTGAACCTACTGGCAGCAGACACTCGGTTCTTGTTGAGTTCGAGATGCAGTCGTATCAATTGGAACGATGCCTCTAGTTGTTGACGTCGCTCAGTTGACAGCACTTGTAGGTTAGAGTCGCTGGTCATTAGCTGGTCGCTTGGCTTGGGCAGCTCCAGCTTGGTCAGCGAGGTGTTGCGATAGAATACGAATGGCGAAGCGAGTGACTGCCATCCGACAGCGGTGAATTTGTTGCCCGACACAAACAGCTTCTGCAGACACTTGTTGTTGCGAAGACAGTCGGCCAAAAGACATGCGCCATGATCGTTCATGTCGTTGCCAGTGATGTCGAGTGCCGTGATCGATTTGTTGTTGTACAGAGCTTGGATCAATGGGTGGAGAGAGGCCGCCAGTCCGCGGTGCACTGCCACGCCAAGCTTGGTGAGTTGTTGATGTCGGTGCGCAAAGTCGACGACGCCAGCGATAAGTGCATCGTCAGAGACTGATGTGTTGTTGTAGCCAATGTTAAAAGCTGTCATGCCTGACAGACCGGCCATCGCAGCCATGATGTCGACGAGATTCTGAGTCGAAAAGCTGTTCATCGAGATGTCCAGTCCGCCTAAGAACGTGCTCTCCTTCAGGAGTTCGCATAGCACGGTCGACGACTTGCCCGAGAAGCCATTGTTCGAGACGTTCAGCGTTAGGGAGTATCTGGGCAGCAACTTGTTGGCAACAAGTGACATGAGCAGAGTCCTCAGTGAGTCTCCAAAGAGTCCACACTCTGACATGTCCAGATATCTTAGTGCACGGAATGATCCCACTGCCTCTGTCGCCAACAGTCGTGTGTTGGCAAGATTAATCTTGTTCTTTGAAAAGTCGATCAGTTCGATAGCCTCGAGTGCACGCAGGGCCGCAGCCAGCATGCCAAAGTTGAGCTGTGACGCCGAGAGGCGCAGCTCTTTGAGAGCGTGTACGCCCCTGATCTTGCAAAGCCACGAGACAAACGCCGACGTGCCTGTGTCTTGGAAGCGATTGCCTGACAGGTTCAGCTTCTCGAGTGTGAGTGACATGGCAAAGTTGCGCTCGAATGCCTGGGAAGAGCAATGCCATGCCCTTGGGTGGGATGTTGCACTTGGCCAAGTTGAGTTCGATGAGTGAGTGATGGAAACCTGCAAGGCCATCGGCCAGACTGACCACAGACTCGTAGGAGAAAGTGTTGCTCGAGAGGTTCAGCACCTGCAGCGCGCTGTGATGGCCAATGTGCTGAAGTGTCACGCCAAGTGGAGCGAACGACTGCTCAGACAGAAGGTTTGACAATGTGATCTCTGATATAGCCGTGTTGGTATACATCATTTCCGAGACTGACGATACAACATTGATGTGAGGTACATTGCATATCTTCAATGACTTGATGAATGGGTTATGTCTGAGGCATGTGATGGCTGTGAACAAGTTGAATCTGAAGAATGATTGATGAGTTAGTTGGACAGCTCCGAAGGACAAGGTGAGTGTACCTACCCAAGGGAACATGTTGGATCGATGCCAGGTATCTGTCCAAAGTCAATCTCTGGATATCTAGTGTGATACAATGTTTCCAAGTGTCTGAGGAAGTCCAATGTAGCCTTGCGATTGAAGTAATGTGAGTGTGCGACATATTGCTCAGCAATGCCCTTTCCATCAATTCCAAACTCTATGTTTGATCAATTGACCGTTAGCGAGAATGATGGATGCGAGCATGATTGATCGAGGCCAACATACCATGATTGAAAGGAGGTGATTGATACCTGTCCTTGGGCAGGCTTATCTTGAGCAGGGCTTCAGGAGGGAAGCCCCTTGAGATTGTATAAGTCATAAAGACCATAGCTTTGATGATGATATTCTCAATTTTGCGATCAGGTGCCTTTATAAACAATGTAGGTATTGCAACTCCTGGTACACTCGTAGCTGTAGCCGCATTGCTCTTATGTTTGATCTCGATCTGTGATACATGGAGTCAGTCAATCATTCAATCATTCGATCATTGATGGATGATACATACACAGGTGTAATCTGATATTGCAGGACCAGCGTTTGAGGATGGTTCAGCAATCTCGACGAGATCATAGTGATGTATGAGTCGTTTTAGTTTCTTGATGAACTTTGTCTTCTTGATGATTAGAGTCTTGTAACGACCTATGACCAATATCCTCTGTTTGAGCTCTGCACCTGCTTCGCTGACCTCTACCACACCCTGAAATGCTATCTCTTCTCCAAATAATCCACCTATCGGTCCCATCTGTTCAAGAATATATGCTGTTTCATATCATACATTCATTCATTCATTCATTGATTGTGTTAGAGATACATGATCATCATTATCAAACGTATTATATATACATACGTTGATCAGCTTCGACCAACTCTACATTCTGTAGTTTATCATCTTTTGCCATTATAACTCTATCTTGTTGTATTTATTTGTACAAAAATAAGTTAGATAAGACAATGAGGGAAGCACTTCAATGTAGTTTGTAGTGAAAACGTCTTGAAAAAAGTTTCAAAACAACAATAATTTTCAGATAATCTCCTGTGATGGTTCTGACCAGGTCTTGTGGATTCGTGGGAGCCAAAGTAATCGCCAAACAGGACTGTTTGATAAATAAATACTAATTTATTTCAATAGAAGTTCTTGGGTGCATCATTCTCAATACACCATCTCAATGTCAAAGAGATACAGGCTCCAATTAACTAATTTAAATAAATGATTGATTGATTGGTAAATTGGATTATTAATACAAGAATATTTGAAGGAAATATAACTTACATTAATTGCCAATAATAAAGAAACAGGGAAGAAATAATCGAATGAATTTGAAGCGCATAGGAAACTAAAGAATGATGATGTTGAATTACCTTCTGAGCCACATCCTGGCAGATCAAGTGCTGTTATAATCAACTGGGCAATACCAAGACATAACATTATGATCATTACAACTGAGAACTAAAGTATCAATTGAGTTAGGGTATATATGTTTGATGTATGATTGATATATTGATTGATTGAGTGTAGACTACATACATATAATAGGAGTCCAACACTTCTCTTTATAGTTCCAATTAATCCAATGATTGCCAATAATATCAAGATCATACAAGATAGGATGTAGAGTGCAAATGCTAACCAAGACTCTGAATCAAATGACTTCTTAATGTTCATCCAATATGGTATTGTCATTGCCTAATATGGTAATAATTCAATCATATTATTAATATCACATCTGTCTTGTTTGTTGTTGAACCATTCATTTAATGAATACTTACAACCAAAGCAATACATATTATGATCATTAATATCTTTAGTATTATTTCTCCTTTCTTGCCTTTGGATTCTCCCATTTTATAGTTATGATGATTTATTGAAATAATAAATATATAAATAAATAAGTAATACTTAATGATTGATTGATTGATGAGATATATGGGGATATGATATTGGATCAGGTGATACTGATTGATCAATCAATATATCCACCACCCCACACTTCATCACATGATTGATCATACATCTAAATAATCAGAAAAATATCATCATTCGTATTCCGTGTTGTGTGTTGTGGTAGAATGTGTGTGATGTGGTTGATAATGGAGTGTGTGTGATGTGGTTGGTGACCGTAATGATGATCATCACTCATTACACATCGTTATACAACATATATTCTATTTATAACAATTACATTATTATTATATTTACATAGTTGTTGGATGAGATCCACACGCACGTCCATGAAGATGATGATGATGATGTTAGGCGCATAGTTGAAGTATGGCATTGACAATGTCACCTCCACATTGATCCAATGCCTTGATGGACTCTTCACGTGACTTTCCAGTCTGATCAATGACCAAGTTGATCGATTGCTCTGAATGTTTGCTCAAACGATCGACCTCCTCTGGTTTGTTAACAATGACATCACCAATGAAGTACTTGATACGTGTGTGCAGTGACTCGTACTTGACATGCTCCTTGCCATACACCTCGCCAATGATCTGAAGCGCACACTCATAGTACTGTTTGGCCAACTGATGACTGCCATGCTGGAACTCCAACTCGGCCCGATTGACCCATATGTCTGCCATCTCTGGATGCATCTCGCCCAAGTCCTCAACAAGAATATCATGTGCTCGCTCGTATTGTTGACGCATCTGCTCGATTGAGAACTGACCAGTTGTCTGATTGGCCTTCTTCTGTGCCAGCTTGGCCTCACAAAGACTGTTGAGATAGATGCCAATCTTTGGATGCTTGTCACCCAGCTCCTTGGTAGTGATGTCGATTGCGGTGTTGATCAATTCAATCGACTTGTTGTAGTCCTCCATGCTTAGATTGAGCAGACCCATTCCATAAAGTACCTCTGCGTACTCTGAGTGCTGGTCTCCAAGGGATGTCTCAATCACACCAAGTGCACGTGCATAACATGTCTTGGCCATTGGATACTTGCCCATCTTACGGTATACATCAGCCAGGTTGTTTGTGTACATTCCATACTTTGGATGATCTGAACCGAATGCCTTTGAAACGATTGATATAGCACGCTTGTACTCTTTCTCTGCTTGGATGTACTTGGCCTGCTTCTTGTAGACCAATCCAATGCTGTTCAATATCTCGGCCACTTCTGGATGATCGAATCCAAAGTGATTCTGCGAGATTGACAATGACTTGGCAAACAACACCTCTGACTGCTTGTAATCACCAAGCTTCCTATCTGTTAACATTGTTGATTGTTAGCATGAATGAGTGAGTGATGGGGAGGGGAGGGAGATGTACATACAGCAGTCACCAATGTTGTGAGTGAAGAATCCAGCCTTTGGATGTGTTGGACCCAAGGCCTTGTCAGCGATGTTCAATGCCTTCTGATAATATTCAATGGCCTCCTTGTAATGTCCAAGCTTCTTCCTAATCAGTCCAAGATTATTGTATATCTCTGCAATCTCTACATGTTCAACTCTGTGTATACTTTGTTAGTTACTGTTTGAACGAATGATTGATCGATTCCAAACATACCCTAACTTTGCCTTGAGGATTGATAGTGCCTGGTCGTAGAGTTGTTCGGCTTCTTTGTACTTGTCTTCTTTGCGCTTGTTGTCGGCAAGGTCGCAAAGGTAGAGTCCATAGCTTGCATGGTCATCGCCGAGTGTGACCTTGACAATGTCCAATGCCTTGAGGTAATGTTGGGTGGCGCGTGCATAATGTCCAAGCTTCTTCTCGACCAGTCCCAAGTTCTTAAACAACTCTGCAAAGCTCAAGTCTTTGTCATTGCGCGTGTTCTCCAAGATCACCAAAGTCTTCTGATAGTATGTGCCAGCCTTGTCAAATACTGCCTTCTTACGATAGATGTCTCCAAGGTTGTTGTACAGGTCTGCCAGCTTTGAGTTAAAGTGCTGAGGGCTGTACTGTGAGACATTCTGTGCATCAGAGTACCCAAAGAAGCGATGTATGATTGCCGTCGCCTTCTCATAAGTCTCCTGTGCCTCATCATACTTTGCCTGCTTCTTCAACACAACGCCAACCAGCTTGAGTGACTCGCATGTACCATATTGATCAGGTCCCTATGTTGAGTGAATTGGTGAGTGAGTGAGTGAGCAAGGCCAAGGTTGCGGGAGGTCGAACACATACGTATACACTCTCGGCAATTGATAATGCCTTCTCGGCGAGGTATAGGGCATCGTCAAACTTGGACTGCTTGTTGGAGATGCAGGACATGGCCTCGTAGTCCTCACCAATGCATCGGTGCAGGTCACTGTAGAGTCGGATGTGGAGGTCCTTTGACATGTCCATTACGATCATCGCATCATCGTAGTATGAGAGGTACTCAAAGAAGATACCAAGATCCCTGGTCGCAGCGGACAGCTCCTCGAGTGGTGGACTGCGGTTGACATAGGCAGTGTGAGCGTCACGATACTGTGCCACGATCTTCTTCTTATCGGGCTCGACCAGTAGCAACAACTTGAGTAGACCAGCCTTGCCATACTCAATGACAAGCAGTCTAAAGTGCTCCATGTTCAACAGGAATTGCTTGAGTTGCTTCATGTCATCGACAGCTGTGAGGTAGCGGGGTACAATGGCAACACGACGTTTGAGTGTTGTCGAGGTCGCGTTGTCAGAGCAAGCCGCCGCGCTAACAAAGTAGTCGACCAGTGATTGAAGTAGACGCTTGCTATTGGCCTGGGCAACAGTCGATGACGCATCATCAATGAACACTGATTTGATCGCCTCGCGTAATGATGAAGCATATATGTTGAGATAGTTGCTCGATCCATCCATTGTGAGCACAGCACGTGCAGCCGAGAGGAAGCCATGTGCAGTCTTGATGTTGAGGATGGCCAACAACTCCTCCTCGTACAGGCCATACTCTGAATGGAGGAGTAGCTGGAGCACGTTGGCTACCAGTCCCTCGGGGTAGGACTTGTCGCTCAGCCATCGCAGCACGATCACCTTAAACAGATCGACAGGCGTGGGGCACTGTAGCATCGCGCTCAGTTTGTCGTCCAAAGTGTCGAAAGTGCCCGATGTGATCAGCTCATTGAGGATGCTCGAGAGAATGAGTGGCGACTGACAGTGCGAGTTAAATGCGATCTTTGTGAGCTGTGACTGCTCCAATGTCTTTCCCACCGCACCTAGATAGACCTTGCTAAAGTTCATACGCAGATCGCTGCCCGCCAGGGTCTGGAGCGCCTGAGCGCGGAGCCCACCAGGGTACATGCGCTGAAGACATCGCGTCACCTCTGTTGCCATACTGTCTCCAACTGTCAGGATGATCTTGACTCCATGACCCAGTCTCTTGGGGAGAAGCGAGGAGATGGTCGTGTACACATTGTCATTATTCTTCTTCCAGTCAAGCTTGTCGAGTCCATCGATTATCCACACGATTTGTTTGCCATCCTTGCTTGCTACATTTAGCCAGAAGCATAGATCCTCTATGAGTAGCTGAGGGTCGTCTGGGATGACGGCCGCGACATTGTAGTGCTTCTTGATCATGCTGTACAGAGTCTTGAGCAACTCTTCAGGCTGTCTACTCTTTGGAGTGAGGCCTACAAATGCCAGACAGGCCATGACGTTGTCGAGTGGGGCACGTGTTGACAGCTCGCTGAGCCAGTGAGAGATCAATGCTGATGCACCGCCACCATGTGGAGCGGTAATGAGCAGAGGATGATTGTCCTCTGGACCATTATCAGTGTCAAAGTAGCTGTCCATCTTAGACACCAAGTCCTGATTGCAGTTCAAGTACACCTTTGTCAACTGCTTGGCGTAGGCCAGATTGATATCAATGTCAAAGTCATACTTTACAGGCCTGGGATACTCTCTCTCGATTGATTGAGTGATGTCTTTGTAGATGGACTTGGAGATGGAGTATGTGAGTGTTAGTGATTGCTCGCAAGGATACCCATCGCGCAGTGGAACCTACCTTAACGAGCGAGCCAATATCAGTCTCCTTGTATGTTGAGTTGAGTAGCTCATGGTCTGTTATCAACTTGTGTAACTTGGTCTGCTTCTCTTGCGCATCTGCTGTGCTTGTGAGCTTGTCTGCCTCACTCATTGAGGCAGCCTTGTCGTTCTTGATGTAGAAGAAATGTTGTTTAGCCATCTGATTGGGCGAGTACTTTGTAGCCTGAAGTATCTCCAACTCAGTGACACTTCTGCCGTTATATTGTTCGAGCCAAGGACGCGTCTGTGCGGCCACCTTGATTGCCTGATCGTAGACATCGCCACTGTTCCAGCCATAGCGGTTGCCCAACAGCGAGAGGAAGTGAGTGCAGTTGGCGACCTCGCTCAGACATGTGGCGATGGCGTTTGGACGCTGTGACTCCTCGCGGGACAGTCCCCAGCGCAAGTCCACAAAGGAGAAGTCGACGCCACGTTGTCTACAGAATGCTGCCAGCTCGGGCATCAGATGGTGGACGAGCTGTTCACGCTCCTCCTGCATGTCCAAGAACGTAGATGAAATGAACAGACGCACTCCATGTTGTGGGGACTCGCGTTGGGCGAGTATTGGCTCGAGGATGTTGTAACATGTTCGTGTGGCGCCACTGTTGCCCTTGTCTCCAGCAGGGGAACTAAAGTTGAAACGGCTGTTTGACGAATCTGTTGGCGACTTTGGCGATGATGGCAACAGTAGCAAGTACTTGGCATCGGTGATCAAGCGACCCGCTTGTACACAGTCTGTTATAAAGTTTGTTGAAACGATTCGAAGTGATCCGGCTGCGGCCAACTTTCTTGCAGTTCCCAATTTGTATGATGGAGGTTGTTTGTCCACCTCTTCATGTGATGTGATCAAGTAATGAACTTGTGAGTTAACCTGCAATGCAATAGTACCACCATGTTCCTTTACTGCCTTCTTTATCTTATTCTGTTCAATCAATGGTATACCAACAATATAAAATACAACCTTATTAAAGAAATTACTACTACTCATTATGTCTATCTATCTCTATCTCTATCTTTATATATATCTTTATAACAACAATATATATAGAATGACACTACTATTCATTCATTCATCCTATCATTCAAACACCTTTCTCAAACTTCAAGTTCAAACAAGCAGACCCTGCAAAGTTGATTGGTCGTTCAACAACAAACCCCATTTCTACCAACTTGATCTTGAATCAAATCGACAGTTTCAAAGAAGATTGTTGGAATTGTTTCACTCAACAAGAAGGTGGTGCATTTGACGAAGAAGTGTGTGGGCTAGAAGTATTATACTAGTCTTTGTTGTCCTTACGAATGTCCAGTTGATCTATTGAAACAACATCATCTCCTGTTAAATTATTATTTGTCAAAGTGTAAATCAGATAAATGATCAACAACATCCATTTTTAGTGTTGATGAGGGAGCTGTTTTGTTGGGTCAGTGTTGATGGGTCCCAACAAACACACAATTTTGGAAAGTATCTGGGATGATAAATCATTTTTCTTACTAGATTTGTTGTTGAGTGTTGTTGTAATAATATATATAATAGTGTACAGATAGATAATAATAGTAATATCCATGGATAGTAATAATAATAATAATACAGACATTCAAACAACAACAACAACAACATCACAACAACAATGTACAAATACAACTTCGATGATGACGACGACGATGATGACGTTAATTGAATATAATTTAAAAGTATTCAATAATAAGTTATTATTACATAGGATATTGAAACATATGGATGATGTAGATTGTTTATGTTTGATGTTTACTTGTAGATATTTATATGATAATAGTACTCAATTGTCATTGATAAACAAAAGATCACATCATAGATTCACCGATTGTTACTCTGATGCCGATAATATATCGACAATGGCATCTTGCTGGTGGCCGCAGCCAGAGATACCTGCCACAGACCCCTCCACACTGCTCATGTTTGTGCAGCCGATGCTCAACTATGACAGCGTCGTGCCGCTTACTGCACGTACGCCACAGGACACGCAGTGGATATACAGCGACAAGGAGGGCGAGCCGCCAATGCCGCGCTCAGCCAAGCTGCTCATGTACGGCCTGGACAAGCCGGTCGCCAAGGGCATGCTGGCGCCCTGGACCAAGTACCTCGTGTACCGCAACGATCATGCGATTGACGGACGCGTCTTCCCGCCGAGCATCTCACATTTGAAGCTGATTGGCTTCAATCGTCTGTTGGAACCTCATTCAATCCCATACTCTGTGACACATCTCATCTTTGGCAGCTTCAATCAATCGCTGGCGATGGACGACTTGGCTGCATGTCACAACCTGCTCTATCTTGAGCTCAATGTGTTCAATCAGGCACTGGCGCCTGGCGTGCTGCCGGCGTCAATCACCTCACTCAAACTGCACATGTTTAATCAATTCCTCGAGCCGGGCGTGCTGCCAACCGCGCTTCAATCGCTCATGTTTGTTTCGGCGTTCAATCAACCGCTGGCACGCGGTGTGCTCCCTCCTTCACTCACAAGTCTCAAGCTGCAGACGCCCTTTGACTACCCCCTGACCGAGATGCCGTCGTCTGTCACTGAGCTGCGACTGGGCAGCCAGTACTCGTACAGCGTGCCATTCGGAGTCACAGACTTGTATTACAGCAGCGAGTCTAAGGGCAGGTCATCGTCGGGTATCATACGCATATTGGAGCCGGGTATCATACCCAAGTCTGTTACACAACTTCGTCTTGGCTACCACTTTGGCATGAAGTTAGAGACAGGCAGTCTGCCACAGTCAATCACTCAGCTCCAGATCGACTCGTACTTTGGATCAAAGTTGAACGTTGGAGATATCCCGCAATCAGTCAAACAATTGGTCTTTGGCAATTGGTTCAACTCAGAGATCGACCCGCACGTCCTACCGCAGGCAATCACCCGTCTAACATTTGGCTACGACTTTAACCAACATTTGCGAGCCGGAAGTATCCCTTTGTTGGTGACACATTTAACGTTTGGCCACAATACACAGCAGATTGACGGGCATACCGTGCCCAACTCTGTCACGCAGCTGGCGTTTGGCTCGCGGTTTGATCGCTCATTGTTTGGCCGCATCATCCCGCCCTCGGTCACAGCACTCAAGTTGGGCGCGGACTTCAACCAGCCGCTGCCCTCCAACCAACTTCCCGTCAACATCCAGTACCTAAGCTTCGGACAACACTACAACAAAGAGCTGGACGCGAATGTGTTGCCACCGCTCGTCACCCATCTGAATCTGGGCGGCTACAATCATCCGATCAAAGCTGGCGTGCTGCCAGCGTACATCACCCATCTCAAGTTTGGCACGAGCTTCAATCAGCCGCTGGAACGCGGAGCATTACCACGCGCACTGACACATGTAGTCTTTGGCGCGATGTTTGCGCAGTCGCTTGACGATGGTGTGTTGCCCGAGTCATTGGCGCACGTCTGTCTGATGAACATGGCACGCAACATACTTCAGTATCCAATTGATTGCTTTGCTCATGTTGCCGAGTTATTCATCTACGTTGACTATAGGCCCAGACTAGTACGCATGCGACAACTTGATGAACATTCCATGTTGTTGCTCACGGACTGTTTCAAATCGATGACATGTCCATTGCGAACATCCCCACTTCTACTCAATGGCGCCGCGACCATTATACCAAAGTCCTTCAGGAATATCCTATGTTCTCTGTTCAACGCCGAGTTATAAACATATATGTTATATTATTATGTACTTGTACACTACTCCTTGTACATCTGATCAATGAATTCGTTCAAGTCAAGGTCCTTGAGGGTGTGTGGGCTGAGGCCTTTGACCCCAAAAAGGTCCCGAAATTTGGAACTGCGCCAAAGAAGGCTGCAAATATCTTTCGTTAGACCTTTCGCATCTAGATCATTCCCAAACAGTGAGGACTAACTCAGTCCCCAACTCATCAGTGTTAGGGCAAGCCCTGTCTGTTCATTAACATCATTCATTCAATCAATCAATCAATCAATAAATCATACATATACACAAACATCACAATGAGCGACACATGGCAAATAGAGTGTGATAATATCAATACGGCACTGACACAGTTGGCCGCGGATGTCAGGAGTTATGAGTCGATGTATAGTAATAACCCACCACAGGCATTGCGTCAGGCACCTAATATAAGAAGAGAGTTGGTCAAGATTTCAAACGACCTGTCACGTCTACTCGATGGCCTTACCTACTCAAACGTGCGCATTACAGAACGCGAGACAATGCGTAGAAGACAGATTGTCGAACAACTAGTCACAAAGAAGAACAACCTAGCCTCATCATTCGAGGCCGCCAGTACAAACTCAAACAATCAAGCAAGGTATGATTGATTGATTGATCATGTTATGGGGTGGGTGTGTTGGTGGGGTGGGATGATTCCAGCCCCGACCAAACACCCTACCGTTCACGATCACACACTGACTGAAATATCATCGCGATTAGGAATGAACTGATAGGTAGCTCAAGTGGCAAACGAGCATGGGGCAAGGATACTGAACAGACACAGGGAATGTCCAATCAACAAATATTCGATCAGAATAATCAGGCGATGAATGATCAGGATGTGGCACTGGATTTACTATCTGGCTCACTGATGAAACAGAAGGTCCTAGCAACTACAATGAACACAGAGATAGTATGTACATCATTCAAGTGCAATCAATCATTCAAACAATCCATTGATCAATCCATTCTTACTCACTCACACTCTTGATACGTAGACCAAACAAAATTTGATGTTGGATGATATTGAGGTGGGAGTGGATAGGACTACTACCAACCTATCGCAGACCACTTCAACAATGGACACATTACGTCGGAATGCAAGCAGTTGTGGTCTAATCATGTGTATAGTATTGTTAATTATAGTTATAATAGTATTGTTGGCAACAGGTATGTTATGTTATTCAATCACCATCAATCAATCATCCAACCATTCACTGACTCAATCAATCAATCAATCAAAGACTCTGGATGTAAGATTTATAATGATCCAAAGCATTGTTAGATGTACCAATCAATTACATATTATGTTTTATTATTATTATTATTTGTTTGAAACACATAAAGAAGAGGAGTGGTAAACATTCCATCAATCAATCAATCACATATTCTCAGATAATGAATGGTAACATCATCATCATAGGAATTCAGAATTGGATATTTTGTTGTGGTGCGCAAGGACGTGTGGTCACATCACGTGAGACGAAAAGACTCGAGTGTGTTTGGGGGTATCTTGATCACACAAGTGATGGGGATGGGATGCACCAAAAAAGAAAGACGTGCCCTTATGAATAAAAGTTTGTTAGTTGAAGGAGATCATTGAATAAGAACAAGAAACTCTTATTTAAAAGTATTAGTTCATTCCCTTTTCAATTCCATTCATTCCTATATCCATAGGGTTCGGACTTATACATACACACACACAAAGTTATATATTATTATTGATCACTGTGATCAGGACCTTTGATTGGACTGATTAATTGATTGATTGATTGACACACTCACACACAACCCAACTCAAAGCTCAATCTCAAAGACACACACGGACCCATTCACCACTCTCTCACTCATTCCACACCATCTACACACAAACCCAACAACAACAACAACACCTTGTCATCAACCTCATATCAATTCATTCATACATAACCTGACTCTTTATAATTATCTCTATCTCTTGTACCATTAGTTTGGTCTAGACATATAATAATATTATATTTATATATTTATAATGACATCTTCAAGTAGAATGGCATCATCATCATCAACAATATCAACAACATCATCATCGACAACAATATCGAATGGATTGAATCAGAGTCAACAAGGAATGACAGGAGGACAACAACATGGAATGACAAGTGGACAGTTACTAATAGCAACGATGTGGAGTACATATAAACAGACTGTTGTACATCAGGATGCAATGGTATCACTGATCGAATTCTTAAAGACATTCGTATCGATGCACAATGAGACACCAAAGTATCTCTTGCCACTGGCCATCAGTACACCACTAGGCGACATCACATCATCATTGGTCAAGCGACTTGTAGAGGAGTTGAATGCATTCCTCGCAACCTCATCATCCTCATCATCACCATCACTTAATCACAACAATCATCATATGAACAACAGTGGAAACAGCGTCAACAATAACAATAATAATAATACAACGACAAAGAGACAACAACAATCACCTGCGACAGATATGCTTCAGTACTTGCTGGGAGGTACACCGACATCAGAGGCACCATTGATATTATATGCATTGGAGATACTCACTCGATACTCCTCCAGTGGACTATCAATATCATTCATTCGTTTCCTAGTCGTAGTCCTCACTCACCTTTTGCTCAATCACAATAACAATAGCAGCAACAATATTACTACGATTAACAGCAAACATAACAATATTGTCAACTCGAATATACAACCATTCCCAGGCATTCATACATACTTCTATTTGACGCCACTTCCATTCTCTGCGATTGTGTACGATCACAACGACTTTGCCACGCACATCTCGACCAACTCATCACCGACATTCTATGGCATGGGCATGGGAATGGGAATGGGTACATCGCCTCCATCCTTCCAGCTTGTCGACGATATGAACAACAACAACAACAACAACAATAGCAATGGCCTGAGGAACAGCAGCCTGAACCAGCATCACGAACTGCGAAACCCGACTACACTCTCAAGCTCAGGTGCGTCATCTCCGACACTTTCACAATCGTCTGATCATGGCGGCATGGGTGCCACACTGCCCAAGTCCACCCACGACCTGGCGCCACACATCGCCGTCTGCTTCCAGCTGCTCAAGATCCTGGGCAACATCGTGCGCGACATTAGCACACTGGGCGACATGCTGCGCTCGGACTGCATCGAGATGCTTGTGGGCATCCTGCTGCACCAGACGTCGGCGCCCAGCCACTCGCCCATCATCTACAGCCAGATCGTCAGGATCTTTGCCCAGATCATGTCCAGCTGCTGCCTCTCCAAGGAGCATCTGCAGGTGCTGCATGACAAGCGCGTCGTCGAGAGTTTGCTCAACGTGCTCAATCAGCAGGAGACGCACACAGCCAAGAAGCTGCCTGTGCCAACGATCATCGAGATCACGCAGGTCATTGTCTACACGATCAAGAGTTCATCGCGTCTAATGGTCACGCTGCACAACGACTTTGACAACAACAACGGCTACACTGTGTTACTCAACACCTTTATTCACATTGCCGACCATGGCAGCCTGAAACACAAGCTGGACATCATCAACGTCGCCTGTAATCTTCTATTTATTTCCCTTCGAAAGGAGTTCCAACTCGACTCTCCAGACGCCTGTTATCATCTAAGTATGTATAATGCATGTGTCCAATCTCGCGCGCGCTTCCATCCATACTCACTCTTGCTCTCACTCCCCCAGACAACATATCAAAGACAAGCTTAAAGGTGTTCAATATATTCATCAATATCTTCTCGATAACAAACAGCGAGGAGATGAAGACAGAGTTGCTCAAGTGCATCAAGGATATATTCAACTTGGGATTGATTGCCGAACATCCAGCAGACTTTGAACAGATGGACAATGACAATGTGGGCCTGTTCCATCAGCTCGAACCCTTCAAGATCTTCTTTGCCCAGTTCGACCTGCTCAGCACGATCAATAGACGACTGATCCTCGACATGATGGACGAACTGCTGCTCAAGAACCAGATCAAGGAGGCAGAGATTAGGTTCTACGTGTCGCTGCTCGAGAGCAGTCTACCCAGCACTGTGCTGATGGTCAGCCAGCACATGACCGACCTTATCGCCAAGTCCAAGATCAATCTGCTGGAGCTGGAAGAGGCGGGCATCATCAAGATACTAATGTTCTATCTGACCGATCCCCAGGGTTTGCCCTTCAATGATGTGCTTCGCGAGAATCCCTCTGAGCTCGAGATCTGTCTGCAGCTGTGTAACGCAAGCGCGGCCGCTGCGGCCAACCCCAGTCAGCCCCCTGGTTCAGGCACAGTGACCAACAGCACAATGTTTGTGCTGTACCAGATCGAGACATCAGTGCTCAAGCTGCTGCTGGAGTTCTTCATTCAGTCCATCCACATACAGAGCCTGTTCGTGGAGGCTGGAGGTCTCAAGTTGCTCTACAAGCTGTTGTCGGATCCACATCTCATCCAGCCCATCCTTCAAGCGATCGCGACTTTAGCTATTGGCAATCTGGGCGTGGAGTCCAAGATTATTGCCGACCTCATCGAAGTATTGCAGAGCAATGGAGGTGCGACTACCCTGGACACACATGTCTTATCAATGCGCAAGAGTATGTACTTCAATTTGCAACGTCATCATCAGACCCTGTCATGCCTAACACCATCCATCCAATCAATCAGATATACTTGCTGCGATGTGTTATATATTCCACAACAATGACAATTCAAAGATGTCGTTCAAGGAGGCTGGAGGCTTCACTTGGTGCGTGTCGATATTGGATGGCATCAGCCGTGTGGTCAGTAGGGGCAAGTCATCGTCCAAACTAAAGTCCTCAAACAATGACATATTCTTCTTCCTCAAGGTTCTGATCGATACTCTGTCTGCTGTCATGAAGAGCAATCCAGACAATCAGAAGTACTTCCGCGAGGAGATCCAGTTCTCCACGCTGTCCAACACACTCAGTGGATGCGGCTACATGGAGAGCGCATACTCTGTGTCCCTGTGCGACAGTCTACTCAACATGGCCGTGTGTGGTAGCTGGCCACCTTCATGCGAGCAACACTCACTCGAGGAGGGATCACTCCTCTCTGTATATTCTCCAAACTCCTCATTTTTCCCAATCACTATACCTTTCACAAATGGCAGCAGCAATGTCAATGGCAATGGCAATGGCAACGGCAACAGTACAGGCGGCGTCTCATGGTCTGGCGACACAAACTTAGATGGCAACAACGCGCAAGCTGACGAGTTCTTGATTCCATCACGACGCGGACGCTCAATGACCATCGACGTGAACAGCCCTCCACTTCGCGCCATTCTTCAGAATAACCAGGCGTCGTCGTACTCTTCGCTGGACTTGGCAATGGAGGTGGGCATTGGCAATCCGCAATTCTCCAAGGTTGTCACAGACAACTCGTTGACGCTCGCTCAGGATCGCTACCACAACTGTCCCCAATGCCGCGACTCCCTGGCCATCGAGAACCCCGAGATCTTCAAGCTCATCATCCGTCTGATGGGCGGCAACGAGGAGCAAATTCAAAAGATGGAGTTGATATCCTCGTGCTACATCCTCAAGGAGATCATCTTCTTGGCCAGCTGCTCCCTGCTCAATCTCAAGTCGCTGACATCACTGCTCGTTGACATTGTTGACAACTTCAAGCCGCTTCTCCTGATCAACACCGAGGCGCACAACAACAAGAAGAAGAGTTCTCTAAAGCCTCTGTTGCTCGAGTTGGTGCAGACCATCGCCAGTCACAACTTGTCTTTGAGTGGCTTCCGCAAGTACTTTGAACTGTTACGCGTCAAGGAGTATCCAATCGACCTTCTGAACATCCTCGTCAAGATATCGAGTCGAGACAACATCCCCACATACTATGCCGAGTTGTCCAAAACGTCGCTCGAGTGCATCGACTTCCCCTCATGGGGAGACAAGTCATGGCCACCCCTCAAAGGCTACGGTATCTCATTCTGGTTCAGGTTCACAGCTCCCGTCCTTAGGATAAGTAAGTTACATTCATTCAATCACTTTATGTTGTGTCTAACCTGCTCTCACGCACACATACACAGACACCGAACCAATCTACTTGTTGAGTGTTGAGGGTGCGGTAGTTGGATACAAGGATAGGACTTGCGAGGTCCAGCTTGTTCTCAACAATGGCATACTATCATACCATGTGATACAGACAGTGAGTGGCCAGACAACGGTCGATCAGTACAGCTTCTCAGAGGTGGTATTCGAACCAGACTGCTTCTATCACATCTGTTTGGCGCACACTGGTATGCTTGGCACGCAGCAACAGGCTCAGAAGAAGTCGCCCATCAAGCTCTACGTCAACGGCTGCTTCCGCAGCCAGTACCTGCTCACCTATCCCAAGACCCAGATGATGACTTTGTACGTCCGCTTTGGTGGGCCCAGCGCATCACAACAGTTCCAGGTATTCCTGTCCAAGACCAACTGGCATCTGGGCAACGCCTACTTCTTTGAGGACCTCCCACTCGACAAGGAAGTGTTCTATCTCTACATGCTCGGCCCTGACCACTACCGCGGCACCAAAGTCGATCTGTCCTCCATCGAGAACGTGCTTCCCTACATGGACAAGCAGAACAAACTGCATCCACTACTGATGGACCATCTTCAGAACCCAACAACGGCACACCTCTACAGTCTGCACGACAAGATCATCTCGATCTTCTCAGCCAAGTGTCTGTACGTCACCAAGTCACACAGGATCATGAACAAGTCGGAGGCGATCACGCACGCCTCGGCACAGCCACAGCAATCGGCAGAGAGCTTCACGGGCACACTGAAGCGAAGCACGTCAAGAAGCTTGCTGGACAGCCTCAGTAAGAGCAGCGCGATGACCGATCTCAGCACGAGCAGCATGCAATCGCGAGGCTCACTCGCAGGAAGCAATGTCTCGTCCATGATGTCCAACAGTCTCAGCTTCAGCTCGATATCAAGCCGCGACCGAATGATGGGTGGTGGCACGCCCACAAAGTCATCAACGTTGAACGAGCCATTGGCCACGCAATCCACAAGTATTCTGTCTTCAACGGCAATGTCCACCATCACATCGGTGTTTGCAGGTGGTTCATCCTACACTCCATCTCGCTCCAGCACCGTCTACCACTTGGCGACCAACAACTACATCTCGCTATTGCAGACAGGCGTGCCCATCCCCCTGCCCACGGGCGTAATCTGCCAACGCGGCATCAAAGACCTGGTGGCAGACTCGGGCGGTGTCCGCGTGATCGTCTACCTCATCGCTATTGCCAACGACAAGGAGTACCAGCGCAGCAGCATGCGTCTTCTCCAATCAATCATTGCCAATCACCAGTACAATGGTCGCGACATGAAGGACATCCACGGCTACCAGCTAGTCAGCCACATTATACGCAAGAAGAAGTGGGCACTGGACGAGGGCCTGCTCTCGATCATGTTCTCATTCGTCGGCGTGCATGTAGCTCGCACCTCTAGCCACTTCATCGACGGTGTCGTGCAGAATGAGCTGGCACTCAAACACTTCTTGCTCGAGTGGGACATCTGGCGCCGCGCCTCTCTCTACGATCAGAAGAAGCTGTTTGAGTCGCTGGACAAGTTGGTGTCGGGCATGAACGACAACCACGTGTTCAACATCATCAAGTTCCGCCAGGCTGGCGCCTTTGAAACAATCCTCAAGATATGCCGCGAAGAGGACGTGCCTCAGGACCTGATCCCGCTATTCATGTCGATCCTCACGTTGATCATCCACAAGCCACCCAAGATCAAGGATGACTTGCACCTGCTGATCTCCTACCTGCTCGAGACCAGTCCCAAGGGCAAACCCACGGGCGCTGCGCGACGCAGGAAGTCCAGCAACTACCTCATCCAACTCACGCTCAACAATCATCAACACTCCTCATCATCGTCCTCATCGGAAGCGCCATTGTCCACCTCGCCCGGTGCACTCTCGACCAGTCCATCGATGTCCTCGTCGCCCCCACACTCTGGCCAGTCCACACCCATCCCACTGTCCTTCCGCGAGACGATACGCGTGTCCATCTTGGAGTTGCTCATCAACACGCTGAGCAAATCCGACACGTCGGTGATTGAGGATTTCCACTCGATCTGCAACCTCGAGACCATCTTTGGCCTCCTGATCAACGAGTCTGTGCCCATCAGGATACTTCTGCTCAAGATCATTGACAACTACCTGCACGTGCCATCGATCGCTGCGCAGTTCCATCGCATGAAGGGCTTCCACCTGCTTGCTCAGCAGATGATGTCTTACCCGCTGTCCGAGGAGCTGTTTGGCGTGCTGTTCTGCATACTCTATGGCGAGCCCACCAAGCAGAGCGAGATCGACCCGATCCTGTCAGCCTCAATGCAGATGTACTTCTTGTCGCAGACGCGCAGCGATGTCAAGATCGTCGTGCCAGGCATCATGATCACCATCCTCATGGTGCTGTGCAATGGCACGGCTCGCACACAGCACGTCGTCATCAAGCTGGTGCACAACCTATTCCTTCAGAACGACACGTTCAAGGATCAGCTGCTCGAGCAGGAGCTTATCCACAGGTTGATTGAGTTGCTGGCCAGCAACTATGCCAAGCGACCCACATCATTCAATCACGCAACCTCACCAACGTTTGCCAATCATCGCAGTCCGTCACCCATTCACACCAAGGAAGAGGCATGGAAGGCTGAGGAGTCAATCATGTCACTGCTCAAAGAGATTGCGCTCTATGGCGCCAAGACAAGCGAAGGACTGACATATCTGCGCGACATCCTTGTGATCCTGCACCTCAACACCAAGATGGACTACAACTACATCTGCTGTCTACAACGTCGCGCTATCCAGGACGTTGTGTCATTCTTCAATGAGAATGAGTTCAGCTCCAACAGCGCCCTGGTGTCTTCATTCGAGAAGATCTGCAACCTGGCTATCAACACACTCTGCTATCAAGAGAAGAACTTGGTGTCCACGTCAAGTGGCAGTGGCAACAAGAAGCCGCCTGGTCTCGGATACAGGTTCCCTGGCACTGGTACTGGCACCATCTCTGGTACAATGACAGGCACAGGCACAATCAAGTCGTTGCCATCCACGCCCACAATGTTATCACGCGCAACTGATCCTCTCCCCACAATGCCACTGTCACCCGAGTCCTCTAGCGACATGCAGGCCGTGGAGAGCAGTCCAAACATTGCCAGCACACATCAAGCATCGTCGAATGAGGACACATCTACTGAGGACTCGGATGGCTCACCCTACGAGGGCGACCGACCCAAGCGCTCAAGCATCCCACACTGGCTCAAAGAGGGCAACATATTCAACAACGAGACGTTTATACATGCGATGATCAACATGCTATCCAGCACCAAGCTGCCACAGACCAACAGCCAGTTCAAGTTCTTCTCCAACCAGTACTCGCCGACCACACTGCTCGGCAAGCTGATCTACTTGTTGCTGACCTCGCCCGAATTTGAAGACTGTGAGCTGCTCACGCTAACATTGATTGTGGGCAACGATCAAACGATGTTGGGCTCAAGCCGCAAGTCACTCTCACCAATCAACGAGCTGCTGGTCGACGACGACTTCATCCCCGTCCTCCTTTGTATCACTCATCGCTTCCTGACATCATGTCGCGAGGAATCCCCTCTGTTCCAAAAGACCTTTGGATTGTGGAGCATCATCTGCCAGGACGCCAGCCAGGAGATCATGAAGAAGGTGTTCAACAGCGTCAACTGGGAGCCCGAGAGCGCACAGGACATGCTCAATCGTTACAACAGCACTTATGTGGACACAGAGTACAAGAAGTGGGAGGAGAAGAACAACCTCGTCAAGAAGGAGTGGCGTCTGCAGGGTCTCGAGATCATGAAGAACAAGCAGATGGCCATCGCCAAGAACATGGACATCTCCAAGTCGCCCAAGAAGCTGGCCGAGGCGCTGCTCATCGTGAAGCAACAGTTTGAAAAGTCACGCATCCAGTACCAGACCGAGACGAGCGAGTCCAAGCGATTCTTCTTCACACAATGGAAGCTGCTGATCAAGAAGGTGACGCATGAGAAGGCCATCTGGGAGATCACGCCATCCAACAAGTGGACACTCGATCCCACCGAAGGCATGATGCGTATGAGGACCAGGATGAAGCGTATCACGCCCAAGTCTGAGCACTTGGCCATCCCAAGCGAGCTGACTGTGGCGCCAACAGGACGATCAACACGTGAGGATCAGCACCACCCGCATTGGTCCTCCACCCACAGCCTCATCCACGGTTCAGCTGACGCCTACTCGGCCTTTGACAACCTGATCGCTGGTGACAAGTTAAATGCCTCGTTCCAATGCTCGTGCATCATCCCCTTCCATCAGCGCAATGGCGAGCTACTCATTTGCGACCTTAGCATCTATTTCATGGACGAGCAACTTACGCTCGTGGGCGACGCCACCAGCAAGTCAGCCTCTAAGAAGTCCAGCTCAAGTGGCAAGCACATCACAATGTCGTACGAGGACATCATTGAGATACACAAGCGACGCCACCTTCTCAAGAACAGCGCAATTGAGATCTTCTTGGGCAGTGGCGTGCCACACAAGACCTACCTCTTTGCTTTTGACAAGCCAAGCGATCGCGACCTGGTCTACGACATGATCATGTCCAAGCCACTACCCAATCGCGTCAACTACGCGGCAGAGGTACAAGGCAACATACTCAAGATGTCCATCACAAAGAAGTGGCAACATGGTATTATCAGCAACTTTGAATATCTGATGCACTTGAACACACTGGCCGGACGTTCATTCAACGACCTCACGCAGTACCCCATCTTCCCCTTCATCCTGGCTGACTATGAATCGGCCGAGTTGGACCTGAACGCACCCGAGACGTACCGCGACCTCTCCAAGCCCATGGGCGCGCAGGACCCATCACGCCTCAAGAAGTTTGTCGAGAAGTTCAACTATCTCCAGGAGAATGGCGAGACTCCATATCATTATGGCTCGCATTACTCAAACATTGGCTCAGTGCTGCACTACCTGGTGCGCCTGCAACCATTCTCGTCATACTTTATAGAGTTCCAGGGTGGCCGCTTCGATGTACCTGACCGCTCGTTCCACTCGATTCTTCAGTCGTGGCGCCTGTCCTCCTCAATCTCGAGCAGCGATGTCAAAGAGCTGATCCCCGAGTTCTTCTACATGCCAGAGTTTTTGGTCAATGCCAACAAGTTCAATATGGGCGTCAAGCAGGATGGCATTGTCGTCGACGATGTCATGCTCCCACCATGGGCCAAGGGTGACCCGCGATTCTTTATCAAGAAGCACCAGGAGGCGCTCGAGTCCAAGTATGTCTCAGAGAACCTTCAGAACTGGATCGATCTGATGTTTGGATACAAGCAGCAGGGAGAGGCAGCTGTCAAGGCCTACAACATGTTCTACCCGCTGACGTACGAGGGCGCCGTCGATATTGACACGATCACCGACCCGCTCACACGTGATGCCACCATCGCCCAGATACACAGCTACGGTCAGACGCCCAAACAACTGTTCACCAAACAGCACCCTGCCAAGAACATGAAGAAGACCATGCAGCATCTTCAAGACGCCATCTACACCAATCCACAGAACCTCACTCCCTTCCCCATGTGGACAATCAGGAATCCAGTCGGCTCAATTGGACTCTCGGGCGATACTCCAATCCCATTATCACAACAAAAAGTATGTTGTCTTGAACTCAATCATTCAATCCAATCACTCATAACTACCTCCTTCCCAACTACAGATACTCTTCTCTCCAGACACAAACAAGTATGTGTCATGGGGTCATTGGGACCAGAACCTAAGGATATGTTCCATTGACAATGGCAAGGTCATATCGATCATTGAGGTGACGAACGATGATATCATTTGCTGCGACATTACAAAGAATGGTAGATTGTTTGTAACTGGTGGCACTTCTGGTACTGTCAAGGTGTGGAAGCGATGCAACACTGACGGCACATTGATGACACGCAAAGAACGTGGCGATCACCTGTCACTCTGGTCACAACTCTGTGGACATACCAACTCGATCCTGTGCGTCACAGTCAGTCAAGAGTTTAGCATCATCGTGTCTGGCTCCAAAGACAACAACTGTATCGTTTGGGATCTGAACCGACTGTCCTACGTCATGAACCTGCCACACGACAACCCAGTCACATGCGTACAGGTGGCACCGACGACCAACTACATCGCCACAGCAGAGACATCAGTCAATGGTGACTTTTGCGCCCTCAGACTCTGGTCACCCAAGGGCGAGTTGATTGCCAAGAAGGAGATGTACAATGACCGCATCAACTGCATGACCTTCACCACCGGCACTGAGGGCGTGGTCACCAATCTCTTGATCACAGGCATGGAGTCTGGTAAGATCCATCTGTGGGACGCATGGAGTCTGGAGAGGATCAGGACACTCGTGTCCAAGGCGCCAGTCACCGCGTTGGGAGTGAGTAAAGATCATACTCAACTCGTCGTAGGTGATTCCAATGGCATACTAGAGTGCTGGGGCACCAAATCATTCGATGGATACTCTGCCATTGTCGGATAGATCAATCATTTAGTCATTCAGTAAACAGTGTTTCCCAACCATCTTCATTCCATTTTAAAATTCAATTAGTGAGTCATTGTTGATTAATTGAATGAATGATACATTGAGTGAATGTAGATTGGACATCGTTTGACTGGTGATTATGACGTCCTTGGTCAACCAACCAATTTTGATGTTGTGGGACCATTTGGAAAAATCGGCCGAAGAATCTTAAGATGGAGGGGTGACAAACGGCATTGCAAAAGATGGGGGTCAATGTAATGTCGTTAGGGCCAATTTATGTTTGCACTCACTCACCCATCCAATCACTGATCACCTGATACATCACACATCACATCTTGGCACTCATCGTCTTGTTTGTTGACAATGTTATTTAATTAGAAAGGCATAGGGAGTCAGTCCTTCACATCATATATTCATTCATACACATAGAACAACAGATACAACTTATGATTCATTTGATAAGATAAACATTACTACTACATACAACACATATAGTTAACCAAGCAAGATGTCATTCAACTTGAACTACCTTCTTGGAAGTATTGACTGTGTATTGTTCCTCTGGGCATTGTTCCAATTGATTAGAATACAACAGATCAGAGAGTATCCATTCAAGAAGTTGACTCCAAAATGGATATTCCACTTCATCATTGCTGTTGCAATGTTTGGTATGTACACTCCATCACTCATTCTCATACTTGTAATACCTCAAGTACTAACATATCAATCAAACAACCTACATTAGTTCGCAGTGTATTCTTCTTTGTAACACCATCAATGGATAAAGAATATATTATAATCAATATATGGTATAACTTATCTACTATCCTATTGTTCTTGGCATATGGATGTCTATTGATGTTCTGGATAGAACTATACACTCGATTCTCAAAACCATTCATTACATCAATGGAGTTTTGGCATAAGTGGAAACCTTATATCATTGCATTCAATTGTACATTGGTATCATTAATACTCACTTGGATAATGACCTATGTATTCTGGGCACGAGGTTCAATGGATCGGCAGAATATCACTTTACAGATATCAGAAGGATTTGTTAGTGCATTGTAAGTTGTACTGTGTATCTGGAATCATTCCAATCACTCAATCACTCATATTATTCCATCAATCAATCAATCATTGTTCCACAGATTCCTTGCAGCTGGACTTGGATTCTTTATATTTGGATTCCTACTATTCTATTCATTCAAGACAATTGGAATTAATTATACTTCAGAGAGTACGACACTTAGCCAAGAGTACCTGAGGGCACCTCCCGAGGCTATCCGTGCAGCAGTCGTTGGTACAGTGTGCACGATATGTTTCTGTTTCAGGTCATCAGTGATGATCTACTCCATACATGTATCGATGCTGGATCCGGCAGTCTCAACCAATGGCACCTTTGAGTTTGATTGGGAAGTGGAACTAGCCTACTTCTTTGTAACAGAGATATTGCCGACAATAATGATGTTGTTCCGTATGCGCAAGATGAAACAACAAAAGTCATTCAGTTCCAATGTCAAGCGATACTCATCTTCATCGGCGACCACCACTCGCGGTGCATCCTCATCAGTCTCTCAGTCATATCGCGACCTTGTATATAACAGCATCGTGGCCACTGCAGCTGAACCAGCGACTACAACACCATTCGACAACAGRAGACTATATCTTCACAACCAACTAGCATATCAAGTTGGCTTGATTGGCCACACACGTCCAGAGAGAGGATGGTAGCGAGCCATCCCAGTATTTATTGACTATAATGCGCATGTCGTTTAGTCTTCAATTGGATTGAATAAAGTCCAGATGACGTCTTATCGGCTTGGTATAACTTTGAATCGATCGATCAATCATAAGCTTGAAGATACTAGAATAGGTTTGGAGATGACGATGATGATGAAGTTGAAGGTCCATCCTCATCACTTGTGCTGTCACCTGCAGTCATCGATGATGTACTTGAGTTGGTACTATTGTTATTGTTGTTGTTGTTGTTGTTGATTACGTTGTTATTGCTGTTGTTTAGAGCAAAGTGATTAAGTAGAGGTAGATAATGACTACGAGGTGATGATGATGTGATTGGAGGAGAGGATATCAAACTTGTTGTTGATTGTGTCGATGTGCTAAGTGGATTGAGTCGTCGTGTCGTTCCAGACAGTGAGATGTTCAATGATGTTGTAGTGCCCGACGTCGACGACGGACTAAGTATTGTGTCACGTGACGACATTGGCGTTCCAATGGTCGAGTTGGATGAAGTCGATACGAATGATGAACCGATGTTAACCTTGCTCGGACGACTCTGATAGAGCACCCGATTGACCACATCTATGGGGATGTCCTCCAGGGGTGGGATGGACTCGGGCAGTAGCGCGTGCGAGTGTGATTCATGCTGAGTGAACTCGTCGCGCAATGTATTCATCGAGTCGAATGGCTTGACAATGATGAGGTTGATACAAAAGTATACTACTAGGCCAAAGATGATGCATACCACTAGGTACATGGGTATCGCTACGGCCCAGTACTTGCTGGGATAATAATGTACACCCAACTCTGACAGCATGTACTCTGGTACGAATGCCCATACCAAGTATATAGCATAGCCAACGAATGTTGCTATCCAATAAACGAATCCATATACTTCAGTATTTGCACCCTTTGTAGTTGATACTATCGGTGTCTGTTGTTGTTGTTGTTGTTGTGTTTGTTGTTGTTGTTGTGGTTGTTGCTGCTGTTGTTGATGTTGAAGTTGTTGATGATGCTGCTGTTGCTGTTGTTGTTGCTGTTGATAATGATGCGTGTTGTACCTTACACCAACACCTCCTCCAACTATTGTATTCTCATTGATCTGTGGCAGAGCAGTAGTAGTGGATATTGAACCAGATGATGATACAAGTGAGAAGGGCACAGTAGGTAGTTGTTGTGAACTTGATGAAAGTATAGGAGAGGAATGTGGAGAATGTGTAGGTGTATCTCTAAGTTGTTGAGATGATGATGATGATGAGGCAGATGCAGATGATGCATTATTATTTAGTATTAATGAAGGAGGTAACATATTAACACCACCTCCTGCACCATTAGCTGCAAGCATTGGTGATAATCTATTGGCACTCAATGCCAAAGGTGGTAATGTTGGGGAGTAAGCTGTTGGTGAAGGTCCACCAATAGTATGCTGTAATGATGATTTCCTACGATGTCCATAACTATTCATCTTCTTATTCTATATATCTATATATCTATCTCTCTTCTTTGTATAAATGACATTGACATTTGAAGTGAGTAAGTTGATATAATCTTTGTTTTTTAAAGTGGTGACTTGACAATCTCAATCAAAAAACGACTACAGATGAGGGTTTATACATAGTATATATGTATGATAAATTTATTATTAGATAATATAATTTATATTTATAGATAGTTTAGAAAATGTACTTTTTGAATATAAAAGTTCTATGATTATAAAAGGTAATTAATTCAAGTACATAAAAGATGGTCGTAAAATGGACATTGTCAAAAAAAAAACATCAAAATTTTCAAACTTTTACAAAAGAGAGGATATCAAGTGGGAGGATTGAACTCACGACCTTAGGATTATGAGACCTACGCTCTGCCAACTGAGCTAACCTGATGACGATGCTCGAAATTGTCCCTGCCCCTGATTGGTTATAAAAAAAATCGGCAGATTCAACAGCAAACTGAGCTAACCTGATGACGATGATCGGGAAATGAATTAATAAACTCAAATAACCACTAATTATAAATTTTGTTCAATTTACACCCTTTTGACACACACTTAATTCTGACGAAAGTTAGTCCTTTTTTGACAAACTTGGAACCGAGTGAACACAGATAGTGATGCATGACCATGACGATCAATCAGTCAATCAAAAACACTTCATACATACATACATATATAGGATAGATAGATAGATAGATAATAATAAGATGGTATCATTCTCAAAGGTTATGAAGGTTGGTGCATGGGTATTGGTAGCAGGTACCATCGCCTCATCAATCTATGACAGCTATCAGGATTATGTAGAGGAGGAGGGATTCTCGTTGCAGTCAATGTTTGGCTCGGCTGGTGGTGACGCAGGTGCTGGTGCACCGGCCCTATCAAAGAAGCCAAAGAAGCTGTCACATGCCGAGGACGAGAAGTTGATGATGCAATACCAACAGTATCGCAACTTTGCCGATCAGGCCATTCAGCGTGAGGACTTCTCCACTGCACTCGAAGTGTACGAGTTGTTGCACGAGATTGTCAGCAAGTCACGTACCATCCAGACAGTCGATCGTGGTAGCACTCTCTTCTCACTCTTCCGTCTCGCAAGCATCCTTCAAGATAGAAAGAAGATGGCCAAGTATGCTCAGATGTAAGTGTTTGAACGAATGATTGAATGAATGATCTTGATCACATATAAGATGATACTAATACTTATCATCATCATCATTAGCATCATTGAGAACAATGGACCAAACCCAGTTGGTCCAAAGCTCGACGAGACAATGAGTCTCTATGAGATCGTCGTCAAGGACTTGGTTGAGGACAAGAAGTATGCAGAGTCCATCGAGTTGGTCAAGTCGGTCATGACCAAATACAAGTTGGCTCCAAGCCATTTGTCAAACCAATACTCAATCCTTGCAAACGTATGTAGTGTACATACTCCACGTCAATAACGTACTCACTCACTCAATCACTCAATCAATCAATCAATCAATCAATCGAACGAACGAACGAACGGATTACAGCTTTACAACAAGAACAACCAAAAGACTTTGTACATTGAGTCAATTCACAAGGCCATCGAGCAGGCTAAGCTCTCTGGAGACAAGGCTTACATTGCATCCTCTTTGATTGATCTCTTGGAGTATTATGCCACTGAGAGTAAGACATTGATCACAGACGACAAAAGAACAGAGATGATGATATACTAACTGATTGACAAACTTTGAACAACAAACAGAGAACCGCGAGAAGGTTGAGGAGATCATCGAATCCGTCACTCCATACTTTGAGGCAGAGAAGAAGATCCAGATGTTGCGTGTCACTTGTAAGTGTTGTCGACTTGATATTGATGTGGGGGTGGGAACAGTTCCAGACTCCAATCAGACGACGAATGACTTACACAATCATATTTATATAGCACCAATCTTCTTTGAGAATGAGTTCTATGACCTGTTCATTAGGAACCAGGAGGAGATCATCCCATTATTCGAGACCAAGATTAACAGCTCAACTGGTGGCGAGGCTGACACTTTGAAGCTCAAGAACTACTTGCTCCGCGAGAAGAATCATCTGGCCTGTGGAAAGCTTATCCTCGACAACCAAGAGGAGGCACTCGAGCTCTTTGACAATGTTAAGAAGTATGATGAATCATCAAATCAATCAATATCCCAGTGCACTTACTAACATCCATCAATCTAATCAAATCCAAACCAATCCAGCCACGAAGACTTGGTATACACAATCCCATCGATTTCCAAATACTACAGAACAAAGGAGGCTCTCATTGAGGACGACGCATTCTCAATCGTACTCACTCCTCACGAGAAGGCTGTGATCCCAGAGGGACTAGAGTTGGTTTGCGAGTTTGAGAACCCAACTGACCCAGACGCACCAACCATCATCGAGAAGGCTGTCCAGACATCGGGCAACATCGTCCTGGAAACTACCAACGTCGAGGGCATCGACCCATCCAAGGCATACATGGTCAAGATCGTCTTGTACAAGAAGGACGACCGCATGGAGCCAGTCAGCAAACACTTCCAGATTCTCTCGCCACAAAAGCCCGCCAAGGGTCCAGCCGATCCAATGTTCCAGCAGTTGTTGTAAACATATACCAACATCATGATCATTCATCATTCATCAACTCTCTCTATGATTGATTGATTGATTGGTCGGCTCCAAACATTTACATTTATATAAACACATCACAACAGGGATATCCATTCGACTTTATATATTAATATCCATCAGGCTTTGGAACCTGAGGAGGACACCTAGGTAAAGAAACCACTGGCGAGTATCAGCTCAGACTCGTGATCATCAATGTCCAAGTAATGAGTAAATCGATTGCTGTTTGAAGGACATGAAGGTTAGTGATTGTTGTTGATTGAATGAATGATTGAGTATGTACTTACCCTCTCTTTGGATTGGCTTGCTTCCGTTTGAACTCAGCTTCACATATTGTTCGGAGTGCTGGCTGGTACTCGGTTGTAAGTTGACGGGATGTGAGTACTGATCTAGAGTCCATCACAAGTTGATCGATGAGTTCGGCAAAGCAGGACGGCTGTTGATGGAAATCGTTGGGTATCCTATACTTGTTGTTGGGTTCAATATCCAAAATGAATGGCGCATTATCAATCTTTGTATCTTGTTGTTGTCGATCAAACAAGTTGATTGATAGTGAATACAATGCAATGATTGATGCAATATCCAGTTGTTGTTGTGTCTGTTGCAATGTCCGAAGACTGGTTGGTACCGTGGCACCATTCATATCATGTAATGACAATGGATGTTGGATAAACGTCGGAGAGTTGTCATCAATCTCATTTAGTTCGTCCTAGGATAACATTATGTTAGTTCGAGGTGTTGACATGAACCAAATGTGTTTGGTTAGACTTACCGCCACAAGTGTTATTTGTTCGTTTGGTTGGCCAGCTGTGATGATATCGTTGAATGATAGATCATTGGAAACCTTCCACAGGCTTTCAAGAGTATCTGGCTGGCTGGTAGCAAGGTTGCAACTGTAAGTTATGTAGTTGCAAAAGTATATGTCAACGTCTTGACTGTCGGCCGCTCTGTTTAAGGCTAGTCGATCATTGATCGTTGAGTGATTGTTGGAGGGGGAGGAGGAAAGGGTTGGATCGGTCTGTTGGCTGCTACTGGGCGCTGGAGGCGGGGGAATACGTCCAACCAGTAGGTTGTTGGCACCCTGGTATCGTTGTAGTAGATGGTCGACTTGATAGAGGTTGATATTGTTGAAAGGTCTGAGTGAGATGAATTGTAGATTGTACATGCACTTGCGGACATCACATTGGTTCAACTCGACAAAGCGCAACAGATGGCCAAATTGCTCATGAGTAAGATGTCCAGGTGACAGTCTTCCCTCGACAAACAGTGTAAAGTATAGTTGTAATATAACAGCGAGTGGAGACTGTTTGTCAAACTGTAACAAACAAAGGTCATTGTTGGCTATCAGGCTTCTGATTGATGGTGTCAACTCTGATTGATTGATTGATTGGTTAGTGTAAATGATTGAGTTGATTGAGCTGACAACAACATACCATTACAAGTAATTACAATAGGGATCTTTGATATGTTGGTGAGGTTGGAGAGCGCATTAAAGAAGCCACGGTCATCTTCAAAGAGTGTGTCCACCTCTTCAAATAGTACCATGTTTGCACTGCCATTAGCGGAAGACATGTCTGTTGCTGTTGAGATCGATTTGAACCCATTCAAGCTCTTTGATTGGGTCGCCTCACCAAACATATCCATGATGTATTTGCCACTTCGCCTGCTGGACGGATTAACTTCCAATATCTGATAAGAGTGCTGCTTGCACAGCGAGTATATGATTGATGTCTTGCCGCATCCATACGGACCACAGATGACAATCGTCGAGCTCAACTCGCCGCCAGCGCCCTGTCCCTTCTTCTTTCTCTTTCCCGCACTCGACGTGCTGTATCGCAGTTGGTCCTTCTCGCGCCAGCATCCAAACCAATCGGTGAGCATTTGGTGCTGCTCTTTGTTGTCCACGCCAAGTGTTCGAACCCTGGGAAAGTAGTGATCGGTCCAGAGCGCAGAGCTGGACGATCCATCAGTGCCCAGTGCCTCTTTGAATGTGTAGAATGACTCTATGAGTTGCTCCAAAGTGAATGTAAATGTGATACCATGACCAGATAGCAGCGCAAACAATGTTATCAAGTTATTGTTGTTGAGTACATCATTGATTGGTACCAATTTCTGAGATGCTGGCTTCGCCTCCACATCCACATCAACAACATCCACAACTTGAGGTACATCTACATCAACAACGATTGGCTGAGGGGTTGTTGTTGTTGCTTCGCACGATGAGGGTATGATCGACTCTTGGGAGGAGGGTGGTGCGTATGCTTCCAGCATCGATGTGAAGCTTCCGATCAGTGAGTTGGGTTCCAGCCAAAGTCCATTGTATTCAATGTTTGAGGATGACAGGGAAAGGCGCTCCAGACGTTGTGTGGGCGATATGAGCGAGGTGACACTTGGTGTCCACCCGATGTGTGCGCTGTCATGACCGGGGTAGTCGCATAAATAATAAAGACGAAGGTCATCAATGTCGATCGGTTGTTTGCTGTTGGCCGCGGCTGTCACCGCGCTCTGCTGCGCAGCTATTCTCTGTTGCTGGAAGAATGGATGCACTGGCTTGCCGGCATTGATCAGGGCATGGTCCTCGGACGACTTGATCACGCCATTCCTAAAGTCGTTCTGCAGCTTCTCCACATACTCAATGTCGCGCTCCTTCTTGCTGAGGAACATTTCGGCCACGGGGCCCGTGTGTAACTTCTGTTCCAGCAACTTCTGGTTCTCCTCTCGTTTAGATATTCGTTCCTTCTTCCTACTCAGATCTTGCTCGCATTGAAAGAATGGATGCAGTTTCACCACAGGCTTGCCGTCCGTCGTTGTTGTTGGTGAAGGTATCTTGTTGACGTCATGGTTCTCATCATTGCTCTTTGGACTCTCTATATCGATTGGTGACTCGTCTGCTCCAACGGGTTGGACATCAACATGCTTAACATGTTTTGTTGTTGTGAAATGATTGATTATTGATGATTGACTTGTTGTTGCTTTATCTTTCTTTCTACTGCTGCCTCTCTCTTTTGTAGTTTTCTTCTTCTTGTCGTCGACTGTAATACTACTGTCTTTGCTACTATTTGGCTTTGACCTCTTTACAACCTTTAGATCACTATCACTCATATCATCCAATATATTGAGTATACCCTCTGATGTATCTCCCTTCTCCTTCTTTGTCCTCTTCTCATTCTTTGTCTTTGTCTTTGTTGCCGTTGCTTCTGTTACATCTACATCTACATCAATATCAAAATCCTCTTCATCTGTCTTTGTCTTTCTCTTTAGTCTGGCCATCTCACATCACCCAATTCTCTATCTCCTCAATATATATATAAATAATAAGTAATAAGTAATAAGTTATAACTCCAAGATAGAGATAATAACTTGAAGTTGAAATGATTCAATTTAAAAGTTGTGTGGGAGAGTGAGATGAAAAAGGGCGCCACATTCAAATTCTTGTTTGTAATGGGAGAATGAAGATCTGGACATCCAGGTATACACATGTTATTGCCTAATCAGTTCGAACAGATGGCATCCCAAACAAGCAATACAACATTGTCCAATCAATCAATCTTTATCCAGATGAGCGTGCAAGTATACCTTTGGCGGGTGATGCATAAACTGGACTGATACTGCTGTTGTTGACTCCAATTGATGACGGGGCATGCTTGCCACTACTACTTGATGTTGACATGGTGGTGGACGACGATGGCATCGCCTTGGCCGACGTGTATGAGTAGTACATGCTACCAATGACCACAATGAATGATCCAATCAACTTGCCAGTGGTCAGACATTGTCCAGCACGCGCCGGATCCTTTGGATCGCACAGGAACAGCGCGCTAGAGAAGAATACGATCGAAGACTGCAGTGCGTACAGCACGCCCATGGTCACAGTACCGTACTCGGCCAGCACGTTGAAGACACCGTACGATCGCATTATGCTCGTGCATGTCAGTATTGAGAACAGTGTGACGACGGCAACAACACTGCCGTGTGAGGCCTTGGACAGCGGCTCGACAATCCAAGTTTGACTATTATACAGTGTGACGGTGCTCAGATAGATGAAGCAGCAAATAACGCTGTAGTATCCGTATGATGCTGCGAATGCGAATGGTGACACATCATGTTCCTGCATCAAGAACTCTGAATATATATGACTGGCTGAGAATACGAATGCTGCAAGTATGACGCATACAATGCCAACTATGAACTCTGTTGTTGATGTTTGAGGTAAGGGAGGAGGTGGAGGGGTAAGAATATTGATGAACATCATCATTTGTCGTGCGTGATACTCACTTGTATGGTCTACATAAGCCGCGGCGGCCTTGTCATCTGTCATTGACTCTACCAATGGCGTCGTAGACGATGGTGCTGGATTGTACACACATATTATCAGTCCTACAACAATGACAAAGATTGATATCCACTTCTCCCTGGTCAGCGCCCTGCCCAAGTAGAATCGCGACAACAATGCGCTAAATATAATCTTTGATGAGAATACAACCTGGAATAACTATTGATAGATGTAAATATGTAAGTGTCACTGTGTCAATGTCAATCATCGCGTTGAGAACATACTCCACTACCAACTGCAATCTGACCAATTGTTGTCAAGAGACTGGCTATACAATCATATACAGCCAGAAGTATATAGTTTCGGGTTGGTACTACTGATGCTGGTTTGTTCCTCTGCTGATTCTTTGGTGCTGGGAAGAACCTCATCATTGCATATCCACCGAATATAAAGGTGTTTGTAATCATTGCTTTAGAGTCTAGTTGTACATCTCTTTGAGTTAGAGACATGCTTTGATTGATTGAATGATTGATTGAGTGATCATATGTACATACCGAATCTAGCATTATCGTATATCAGTTGAACGATAAGAGTATTAGCAATTCCAGACCCCAGGAACACGCCACAATATAATAAGGCATGTAATAGGTTTGCCTGTCTGTCGTTCGCTGCCTTTTTGGACATGTCTTTCTCTCTCTCTATATATCTCTTAATGTAATTGTACTTCTATATATGCTTAAGTGTACTCTACACATAAACAAGTAGTATTATAATTCAGTTATATTATAGTTATATTGAATGAATGAATGCAAATGAATGAACATTGTAAAGTGATGAGATATTGACTTGAAAACGAATCACACTTTTCATGCTAAGGTGAATCTTCGCATGCTACGTTGACTTCAGAATTGCCCTCTTTGTCGAGTCAGATGATTCATTTCCCAAACACACACTTGCGCTATCTGTTCAAACAATCGGAGTTACCGAGTACAACTCCTACGATTATAAGTGTCACGGACTACTCACTCAGCAATGATGAATCAATGGTGATACTTGTGACGCATGGCTCGGTAGTATCGATTGTTTGGACAGCTTGCGTATGTGTTTACCTCCTCGCCTCTACTCCATAACTATCATCATCAATCAAATAAGTTGTTGGTCTGATTGATTGATTAAGTTGGTATGTATACATGTTACCTTGTGATCATTGGTTTATTATTATTATTATCCTAGAGTACTTTGAATCCTGGTTGTACCCTGTCATCGACAACAGTGGTGTATAGTACATTCTTGGAATCCTCATCACTGGCAAACAATACCATTGCCTCGGACATGCCAAACTTTGTCTTCTTTGGCTTCAGATTGGCGACGACAATCAAATTCTTGCCTTCCAACTCCTCGGGTTGATAGTGTTGCTTAACTCCACTGAACACTGTCCTAATATCTCTCTCTTGTTGCTGTGGTTGTGGTTTTGTTGTTGATGTCGACTCTTGTATTGGTGCAGTAGTTGTTGTTGCTGTGGCTGTGCCTGGTGTGGCGGTAGTTGCATCTGTGGTGGCCTGAACTGGTACCTGCTTCTTGGGACCAAGGTCAAGGGTCAACTTTAACAACTTCTTGGCTCCTTCGACGTGCTCGGCCTTGGTGACACGTGCCATACGAAGATCAAGTTTGAAGAAGTCATCCAACTCAATTTCCGATGCTGAAGGAGGCATAGCTGGTGTCTTGGCACCACCACCACAACAACTAGCCATTGACCTTGTGAACTTTGGTGTCATCGTCATCATCATTGATGATCTAGCCACAAACTGATTGGATACCAATCTAATACTATTGGACAACATTGTCTTGTATTGGTTTGTTATGATTGATTAAGGATATATCTGTGTGTATGTAGTATGATTGATCAATGTGATCACATTGATGTCCTTGACACAAGTGTCATTATGTGTGTGCGTGTGTGAGAGAGTGTCATCGTCATGAATGCGTGCAAACGAACGAATGGAACTTGAAGGCAGATTCGAACTTTTGTTCATTATTTGATTCCCTTCATTCATTGTGTTATTATAACTTATAACTCTTTCAACTACACAATATAGTGTTTGATAAGAGACAGACAGACAATGTCAACATCACCATCATCAACATCACCATCTACAGACACCGCAGCAGCAGCAGCTGCTGCCAACCCACTGGCCGGAGGATGTCCAGTGGCCCATGATATCAACCCAACCAACAACATGTACAGACCTAATCAAAAACCACATCCAGAGCAGAAGCTACCCTTGGGCACAGATCGTATTAAATCATCGATACCAAGGTATGCATCATCATCATCATCAACATCATCATCTTTGCTCAATCACTCACCTCATTCAATCAAACATATGAAACAGAACTGAGAAGGATAACTGGGAGTACCCATCACAACAGATGTTCTTCAATGCGATGAAGAGAAAGAACTACCAACCAGATGAACAAGACATGCAGGTAGTCATCGCCATTCATAATACAGTCAATGAGAAATGTTGGGATCATGTTCTAGAATGGGAGAAGGAGTTCAAAGAGTATGTTAAGTGAGATAGAGAGAGTGAGTGAGCAATTACAGACTGTCTAACAAACAATCACATGTGAATAGTGAATGCCCAAACCCAAAGTTGATCAAGTTCAGAGGCAGAGCACAGGACTTTAGTCCAAAGGCTAGATTGTTGAACTTTGTTGGATACAAGCTGCCGTTTGATCGTCATGATTGGACAGTGGATCGCAATGGCAAACAGGTGCGATACATCATTGACTTTTACGAGGGCAAGTTGGACAAGGAGACCAACAAGTCGGTTGGCATCTATCTCGATGTCAGACCTGCCATTGATGATGTCCAGAGTCTGAAATCAAGATTAATGAATCTATTCAATTAATTATTCTTATGTCGAGGATGGCAAGAGACAAGGGATATCCAGTGGTTTATTGGTGGATTGATTCAATGATACGATCACACATGTTGATGATGTTCATACATCCATCGACACAGGCTTGATGGCGAACATATTTGACCAGATTGTTGATGGATCGTTGATTGATACCTGCTCGAACATAAGGTGAGAGTGATGATGATAATGGCGGATGTCCAACATGATCAACATCACGATCACCTTCAAACATATAACAGATCAATCTGTGATGGTTGTTGCTCACTGCTTTGTTGATACTGGACATTGATGGAAGACATCTCTGGAGTTGTGATGGTGTCAAACATCGTTGATAGATCGTGCAGGATAATGTCCAAGTTGTTACTGACACACGCGTTGTTGACAATGGTGGTCAATGCATTGCTGTTGAACTTGTCATTGTCGTCACAAACATTGATGTATCCTTTGTCCATGAAATACGTCAACACTGACGAGTTGGTGATCACATCCAATGTGATGATATCATGTATCCGGTGTTGATCCCATCCATATCTGACACCAGTCGAGCTTTCATCTGGTGGATTCCTCCCATCGACATTGATGGCCACATCGATCAGATAGTCAATCGATTGGATATCGCATCGCTTGGCACACACATCAATCGATTGTCTAAAGTCTGTGGCATACATTCTGTCAACATCATTCTTGGGCATTGAATTGAAGTGATCGACCACCAGCTTGATCATAGACAGGGACCTGTTGGATGCTGCCTCCATCAAATCTTTAACATGATGTCTCTGCGATAATCTGAGAAACTCGATGATGGTGGACTCAGTCACCTCATCATCTTTGGCCGCGTCACGTCCACCCAGCGACTTAAGTAACGAGATTACGTGATCACCGGTTACCATCATCTCTGGCAGCATTGCAATCATCTTTCTGGCAATGTTAACATTACCAACCTCCATTGCCACTTTAAATGAGTTCCCAAGGTTATAGTTTGTTTTTCTCTCCATGAGCTCCTTGAAATAGTGTTCGATCAGATCCGTGTCGCCAGTCTTGAGAGCCTGAATAAGACAATCATCATTTGCTTTGAACATTATGTACGGACATGAATTCAATCGTTTGATCAAGTCGATTGATATGATACTGTGATGAACGCTTCCAACACTGGCAACTGAATCAGCATTCTCATCATCGTCGTCTGATGGTTTGTCGCCACCACCGATGATCACTGATGGCAGAACATCCATGAGGAAGTTGAACACATCAAAATGACCATGCTCCAGTGCATTTGGTATTGCCCTCAATATGTGTTCGGTCAGGTCAACGTCATTACTTTGAAGGTATGAGCACAATCGTTTCACAATGTCCAAATGTCCACACCTGGTAAACTGATCCGAGAAATATGTGAGCCATTCTTCAATATGATCATCATCGTCTTCATCAACTTGGTCATCAACATGGTCGGTATCATCATCCACCAATGACATCAACACGTGGAAAGATTCCACGCGTCCTTGCTCGCAGCACTCGGTAATCAATGTCTGTATAACCGAGAGACCCAAGATCTTGTGTTTGAGATAGAGCTGGAGTGTCTCGAGGGCACATGGTCTGTTGAACCAGTTCTCATCGATATCTTCAAAGATGACATGTGTCTCTTCAATTGGAGTGAATACGACACCCATGTCCATTAGCTTACGAACGATTGACGGATGTTTGGTTGTTGACAAGAGGAAGTCCCAGAAATAAGTTGGCGTAAAAGACTCGCCCGTGATCTGGATGTACGCTTCCACGATACGATCCCATTGTGGATGTGAGAATGATGACGACATCTCGGCAAGGCAACCGTCGTGGAAGGAAGCGATCATGTTTGAATTGGTCAGAAGTGCATCCAATGCAATGGTGTTGCACTTGGCGAATGTCTCATACAACAATGTTGTGTTGTGAGGGAATGATTGTTTGATTGAGGTGTATGCCTGTATCAAGTATTCAGTGGCACCATACTTGATGTAATCAGAAAGTTTGTGATTGTTCAACAATGTTGAACCTTTGATCGCTTTGGATGATGAATGAATGAGTCCAATGTGTCGCATGATCAGTGTGACAAGTTTGGTATCACCAATCACCATGTGGAATGATCTCTCCAAGACATGTTGGTCTGATATGCTCCTGTTACCAATCAATGGAGTCAATGGAACTGTAAATCTGATTGCGATTGATTAGATGTTAGTGATTGATTGAATGATTGATCAATCAGTAATGGGATGGACTTACGGTGGATCATCATCACAATGCAGTTGATTGAGTGATTCAATGTGATTGATGCACAGTTTGATCAATCGAGTTGCTCCAATCTTGTAGGCATGATGAAGGACGTGATGGATCAATCTCAATCGATGTGACTTTGATTGATTGTTGAATGTCGACGAGTTGAAGACGAATGCCAATGAGTGATGAGCATTGTTGGTCGTCATCTTCTCCAATTTCCAAATGCTGAGCCCAAGTTTGGACAACAACGATTGTCCTCCATCTGTGAGGCCAAGGTGTCGTTGAAGTATCTGAACGTATTCCGGATTGTCATACTTGAGGGCGCACCTGACTATCTTCTCCAAAAGACCTGGGATCTTACTGCCATGCAACTGGCTGGGCGTGAACAGACCAATGACATACTCAAACACCTCTGATGATTGATTGCTTGCTGCCCATTTGCATATCAAAGGATAGTTCCTGTACTTGATTGAGTGCTCCAGCATCATCTTGATCTCATCAATCGATGCCTTGCCAATGTATTCAAATCCCTCGGCGGATTCGGCTATACCAAAGATACCACCCATGACCTCCCTTGTATCTCGATATCTGCTTTGGAGCACAACTCCCATGCACTCTTTCTCAGACAGCTTGAACCTTGCCCTTAGGTGTGCCATCACGGCCGAGGAGAAAGTTGCAGCCATCGCCACTACACGTTTGAGTTGCCATCTGTCGTTTGAATTGAGGTTGCAGTTGTCGATGAAGTTGCACACAATGTCCACAGTTATGTTGCTGCCGGGTTTTCCCACAGCATTCACCATGTTCTTGAGAGTCGGGATATCAAAGACCAGCGGAGTAGTTCGTGGTCTGGTGATCAGCATGGCCATCGACGTGGACAATCTGTGGCACCACTTGGGGCGAAGTGATTTGATGTTGTGAATGAGTGATTCGGCGGTCGCCAGGTCATCAGTGTAAATGGCTGCCATCGCTCTTACAACCTCCTTCTCACCTCTGTGTTTGGGTTTCCCAAAACCCATGATGCCATTGAAATACTCGATGAACTCTACATGGCCACGGGACAGTGCTGTCATTGCTGGTTTGCCATCGTACTTTGAGATACCCTTGAGATACCTTTGACCTTGTTGTGTCTCATTGAGCATTCGAAGGTACTCAATGTTGCCATCTTTGGCACAGCGACGAAAGAAGTGATCAAAATCGATCCATGTGGTCTGGTCATCGGGAAGATTGTCCATGATGTATTGGACACTGGCTGACATCTTGTGCTTGGCCGAGTTGGCCAGAACACGGTCAAAGAGGTTGTGAAGTAGGAACAGACATTCAAACTCCTCGTGAAGCACTCGTAGCATGTCAACGCTGACGCCCTGTCGCTTCAACCTGAATTTGTAGAGACGGTCCTTGGCAAGATAGACTGGGGATTCTCTATCTTTGTCAGTTGTGTCTCCGACGTCATGGTTTGTCTCACCACGAGTGCCAACTGAACGTGGAATACTGCCTCGTGACTTGAAGTGTTGGAGCAGGAGACGGACAAAATTCTCGTTGCCATTGTTGATGGCGAGTGGGAGGCATGTCAGGAAGTCAATGTAGTGCGTCGAGTGGCATGCGGTTGAATCGATGTATGATTGAAGGATGTCAATGTTGCCATGCTGACAGACATGTTCCAATTTGAACTCGGCCTGATCGATGATGATGTTTGGATGTTTGATCAGATGATTGAATGCCTTGGTGTTGTTGTACTCTGCGGCACACTTCAACAATGTTGTGTTGATTGGATAGTTGTTGGCAACACTGTCGAATGATTGGATGAACATCCCAGTGGCATTGTACTTGAGCATCATCATCAGGTCACCATTGGAATGCAACAATCTACCCTTGATCGTTGACGTCAAGCCCAATCTCTTGTGAATGTCACTGATATGATTGAGTATTGCTCTACACAACAATGTATTGTGGAACACTTGATGATGAATGTTATGTGTATCACTCATTGTTTGTTTGTATGTTGATCCATCAAAGTTTGATTCCAAAGCCATCTTGATCATTTTAATTTCTCATTTTGTTGGCTCTTGATGTATTATGAGTTCAATGTTATTATTCGTCCATTCATCATCCACAATCAAATAGATAATGAGTGATACTAATATTAATAGTAATACACAACATAACATTCATCATCAAGTGTTCCACAATCAAGTGTTGTGTAGAACAATACTTGATCATGTCAGTGACATTCAAAAGAGATTGAATGACTTTAAGTCAACGATCAAGGGTAGTGTGTTGCATTCCAGTGGTGACCTGATGATGATGCTCAAGTACAATGCAACCGAGATGTTCATCCAATCATTCGACAGTGTTGCCAACAACTATCCAATCAACACAACATTGTTGAAGTGTGCTGCACAGTACAACAACACCAAGGCATTCAATCATCTGATCAAACATCCAAACATCATCATCGATCAGACCGAGTTTCATTTGGAAGATATCAGTCAGCACGGCAACATTGATATACTTCAATCATACATCGATGCCACCGCATGCCACTCGACGCACTACATTGACTTCCTGACATGCCTCCCACTTGCCATCGACAATGGCAACGAACACTTTGTCCGTCTCCTGCTTCAACACTTCAAGTCACGAGGCAGTATTCCACGTCCAGTTGGCATTCACGGAGAGACAGACAATGACTACGGCAGGGTCAAATCAGTCGAAGATGCCGTACCCAAATCAGTCACTCAAGCCAAAGACCGTCTCCGCAACTACAAGTTGAAGCGACAAGGCGTCAGCGTCGGGGTGCTCCGAGTGCTTCACGAGGAGTTTGGATGTCTGTTCCTATTTCACCAACTCCTTGACAATATCCTGATCAATACGGCCAAGTTCAAGATGTCAGCCAGTGTCCAATACATCATGGACAATCTACCAGACCACATGTCTGTTCGAATCTTGGAGCACTTCTTCTATCGTTGTGTCAAAGATGGCAACATCGAGTACCTTCGAATGCTCAATGAGACACAACAAGGTCAAAGGTATCTCAAAGGTATCTCAGAGAACGATGACAAACCAGCTGCGACAGCACTGTCCCGTGGCCATGTAGAGTTCATCGAGTATTTCAATGGCATCATGGGTTTCGGGGAGACAGACCTCAGAGGTTTGGAGGAGGCTATAAGAGCGATGGCGGCCATTCACACCGATGACCTGGTGGCCGCAGAATCACTCATTCACAACATCAAGTCACTTTGTCCCAAGTGGTGCCAGAGAATGTCCACTTCGATGGCCATGCTGATCACCAGACCACGAACTCCTGCGCTGGTCTTTTATCTCGAGACTCTCAAGAACATGGTGGTTGCCGTGGAAAAGCCTGGCAGCAACATCACTGTGGACATTGTGTGCAACTTCATCGACAACTGCAACTTCGAATCAATTAATCATCAGTCATATGAAAAATGGCAGCTTGAGGAGATAATGCTAATAGCTTCGAACTTCTCCTTGGCCGTGATGAAACACCTACACACCAGATTCAAGGTTCCATACCACATGGTAAAGGTGCTGCAAAGCAGATGTCGTGAGGCAATGGAGTTCATGAAGAAGAGCTTTGACGAGGTCGAAACTGATGATGGGTTTTATTTCATATCCAAGGCATCGATTGATGAGATTAAGATGATGCTGGAGCACTCTGTCAAGTTCAGGAAAGATCCTCAGATTTGCAAATGGGCAGCAAGCAATCAATCATCAGAGGTGTTTGAGTATGTCATTGGTCTGTTCACGCCAGATCAGATTATGGACAATGGGTACACCACTACTCTGGAGAAGTTAGTACGGCGCGCACTCAGGAATGACCGACCTCAGTACTTCCAGATACTTCAACGACAGCTTGGCCTCACGGATGGAGGACAATCGTTGTTGTCCAAACTTGGACTCACCCTGTGATGAAATTGGAGAAGATGGCCACCAACAATGCTCATCACTCATTGGCATTCGTCTTCAACTCGTCGACATTCAACAACCAATCAAGATCCCATCGTTTGAGATTGGTCCATCACGTCCTTCATCATGCCTACAAGATTGGAGCAACTCGATTGATCAAACTGTGCATCAATCACATTGAATCACTCAATCAACTGCATTGTGATGATGATGATCAACCGTAAGTCCATCCCATTACTGATTGATCAATCAATCACTTACATCTAGTCAATCTAATCACAATCAGATTTACAGTTCCATTGACTCCTGTGATTGGTAACAGGGGCACATCAGACCAACATGTCTTGGAGAGATCATTCCACATGGTGATGGGTGATACCAAACTTGTCACACTGATCATGCGACACATTGGACTCATTCACTCATCATCCAAAGCGATCAAAGGATCAACATTGCTGGACAATCACAAACTTTCTGATTACATCAAGTATGGTGCCACTGAATACTTGATACAGGCATACACCTCAATCAAACAATCATTCCCTCACAACACAACATTGTTGTATGAGGCATTCGCCAAGTGTAACACCATTGCCTTGGATGCACTCCTGTTCAATCCAAACATGAGCGTTTACTTTGACGCTGGTTGCCTTGCCGAGATGTCGTCATCATTCTCACATCCACAATGGGACCGTATCGTGGATGAGTACATCAAGTTCACATACCAATATGCCACGCCAAAATGGTTCCAAAGGGACCACTTCTTGTCAACGGTCAAACATCCAGCAATCGTTCGTAAGCTCATGGACTTTGGTGTTGAATTCAATCAAATTGAGGAGACATATCACATCATTGATGAAAACTGGTTCACCAGGCCATGTGCCCTCGAGACACTCCAGTTCTATCTCCAACACAAGATCTTGGCTCCTTCAATCCTACCGCCATTGATGAATGAGTGCTGCATGAATGGACCCATGGAATCATTCGACATGTTGATGTCAATTATAGATGATACCGACCAAGTTTATGATGATGATGATGATGACAATAATTATCATACTGAGGACTGGATCATTTATTTCTCGGATCAGTTTACAAAGTGTGGACATTTGGACATTGTGAAACGATTGTACTCATACCTTCAAAGAAAAGACGTTGACCTGACAAAACTCATTCTGAGGGCAATACCATGCGCACTGGAGAAAGGTCATTTGGATGTGTTCAATTACCTCATGGATGTTCTGCCATCATTGATCATCGGTGGTGGCGACAAACCATCAGACGACGATGATGAGAGCGCCGATTCAGTTGCCAAGGTTGCCAATGTTGGAAGCGTTCATCACAGTAACATATCAATCGACTTGATCAAAAGATTGAATTCATGTCCGTACATCATGTTCAAAGCAAATGATGATTGTCTTATTCAGGCTCTCAAGACTGGCGACACGGATCTGATCGAACACTTATTCATGGAGCTCATAGAGAGAAAAACAAACTATAACCTTGGGAACTCATTTAAAGTGGCAATGGAGGTTGGTAATGTTAACATTGCCAGAAAGATGATTGCAATGCGGCCAGAGATGAAGGTGTCCGGTGATCACGTACTCTCGTTACTTAAGTCGCTAGGTGGACGTGACATTGCCAGAGATGATAAAGTGACCGAGTCCACAATCATTGAGATTCTCAGATTATCGCATGGAACATATATAAACGTAACAAATATGGTTCGGGCAGCATCCAACAACTCGCTGTCTCTGATCAAGTTGGTGGTCGAGCACTTCAACTCAGTGCCCGAGAATGATGTTGACAGAATGTCAGCCACAGACTTTAGACAATCGATTGATGTGTGTGCCAAGCGATGCGATATCCAATCGATTGACTATCTGATCGATGTGGCCATCAATGTCGATGGGAGGAATCCACAAGATGAAATCTCGACTGGTGTCAGATATGGATGGGATCAACATCGGATACATGATATCATCACATTGGATGTGATCACCAACTCGTCAGTGTTGACGTATTTCATGGACAAAGGATACATCAATGTTTGTGACGACAATGACAAGTTCAACAGCAATGCATTGACCACCATTGTCAACAACGCATGTGTCAGTGACAACTTGGACATAATCCGCACGATCTATCAACGATGTTTGACACCATCACAACTCCAGAGATGTCTTCCATCAATGTCCAGTATCAACAAAGCAGTGAGCAACAACCATCACAGATTGATCTGTTATATGTTTGAAGGTGATCGTGATGTTGATCGTGTTGGATCACCGTCATCATCATCACTCTCACCTTATGTTCGAGCAGGTATCAATCAACGATCCATCAACAATCTGGTCAAATATATTCGCCATCAAGCCTGTGTTGATGGATGTATGAACATCATCAACATGTGTGATCGTATCATTGAATCAATCAACCAATAAACCATTCTTTCAATCCTTTGGCCAGGGCTGCATATACCTTGTCTCCTGTCCTACCCTTGCGGCTGGTGCTCGCCGATCCGGGTGAGTCAGTCAAACCTGAACCAACCTCTCACTCAACCCGAGTTGGGGTTGGTGGGGTTGATCGGGGTGGGTCTATTTGGCAATCTAAGAGAGATAGAAGTTGTTAATGTTGAAGTATCAACAGATTAGTAACTTTAAAGAGATAAATGAATATTTACTATATTAATAAATATACCAAAAAATAGTATATGAGTCAACAATATGAATGATATAAAGATTAGAGGTTCCTACGACAGTTACCCGACATGCAATGGTTGGGATGTGAACAGGTTGCCTAAAGTGTTTCTCGTCAAAGCAACAGGAGAGTTTTCAAATGAAGTGCATGTTCCAATTCATACAGCCAACAGATAATAGTGTTGTTGTTATAAATAATACAACATGTCTATAAACAACAACAAAAACAACAACAACAACAACAACAAGGAGAAGTTCATATGTCAACATCAATCATGTATAAATGAACAACACAGTTTCTACAATATCGTCTCATTGTATAGACATTGCACGATAACTCATGGTTGCAATTCACGAACATACGCAAACTGTCCAAACGATAGACGTTATCGTACGAGGATGTTCATTGCCAATGCCAAAGACAGCAAGTCGATCGAGTTGATGCTACAAGATGGCTTGTTAAAGTGCTCGCACAGCACCTGCTTCAACTTCTTTAAAACGGAGGCTGGCAGGCAGGCACACGAGCAAAGGAAAGCCTCACACAATCAATGTACCAAAGGACACAACTGTCGAGGAGGTATTCGATGCGTTGCAGGTGATGATAATGATGATGATTATGGAGATAGCCATAACGAAGATGAAGAGGATCAAGAAGAAGACGATGACGATGACGATGACGATGATGATGATGATGATGACTACGACAATGACATTGACATAACTCAAACAATCTCATTCATCTGTCAACACAAGAGATGCTCCAAAGAATACCCGAGTTCTGACAAAGTACGACTACACTGTGAGGTTGCGCATAAATGTACCGCAACATGTGCTACATGCCCCAACGAGCTCCAATACCGAATAACACAGATATCTGTGTCTCCAGACGATACGCCATCAATCGAGATGTTGTTGGCAAATGGACTGATCAAATGTCCCTACGCATCATGTTATCTTTTCTTCAGGACGAGGACAGTTGCAAGCAAACACTTTAAGCGACATCACTTGCTGGAGAATGGCACCATTGTCAACGTCAGCAGCAGCAACAACAACAACAACAACACGCATAATTCAATCAACCTAAAGCGCAAAGCAATCTCCTTGAATGAGTCATTCGATGTCGACGGTGACGAGGAAGATCAGTATGCATTTGAGAAGGAAGAAGACGGAGACCATCACGATGTCGATCCCAATGACTTTGGCAACAACAACTGCACCAACAAAAACATCAACATAGACGTCCACAACGACTTGACGATCCAAGGTCACGTATATTGCAAACATGACAATTGCACCACTGGGCAGTTACAAAAGAATGAGGTGTACAGACATTGCATGACAATGCATGGATGCCTTGATACTTACGCAACCTGTCCAAACATACGGGGATTCCGGTTCAGGTTCGAGGCGTCGACAGAAGACACGGAGTCAATCAATAAGTTGCTTGCCGATGGACTGGTCAAATGTCTGCACACAACATGCACCAAGTGGTTCAAGACCAAGTTCGCAATGCTTAATCACCAGAGAATCACACACATATGCCCCGACGAACAATCCTGCAATGGATGTCTTCGGCTAGCCGGAGAAAGTGTGCCGCAGCCTCCACCTTCTCCTACCATCTCCAACACCATCATCAACAACAATCCCAACTACGGTCTCCTAAGTTGTCTACACCAAGACTGCTCCAAATCAGATATTAATCTCCGAAGCCTGGGCCATCATTGTAAACAGAAACATGAATGTAGTGGAAGGTATGCTGCCTGTCCAAACTACCAGACCTACGGTGTTTATGGACGGAGAGCTGACGTGGACGATACTGAATCCATTGGTATGTTGCTGGCCAAAGGATACATCAAGTGTACACTCAGCACATGTGGACACTTCTTCACTTCCCGATCTGGATTGATGAAGCACCTTCGAAAGAATCACCAATTAACTGATGATTACACCAACGAACTAAACCAATTGTTCAATGCCAATCGCAAAAGTAGCAGCAGCAGCATCAATGGACACAGCGATCACAGTGACAGACTGACTGATGATTGTGAGAACAATATTATCAATATGATCAAATGTCCTCATGTTGACTGTGATCATAGTGGACCATTGGATGACATGATCAATCATATTGGTCAAGATCACAAGTGTCAAGTATCAGAAACAGTATCGCCACTGGCCCAACCTCATCATTGTGATGGCTGTCAAATGGCTGGTCAGAGTGCAAACTGGTTACTCATTTGATTAAACATGTACTATAGTATACCTTGATCGATTGATCGATCGATTATTGATTGTAATAATATAATATAATATATATTGGATATTTTATTGTTATTTAAATAAGGTTGAATTGTTTCTTTAGTACATGGATGGTCACGTTGACATCCAGGGTAATACCCTCAAGTGGGAACTCATCGACGTGATGCTTGCTAAACTCCAACAGACGATCCAGATCCAGAACGACTGTCTTGGACACTGTGCCAAGACGTGCCTCTATCTCAAAGATTCCATAGCCAACTGGTTTGATTGTTACGTTTGTCTTTCCAAATGCCGCCTCTGGCACCTCACTGCTGACCACTACTCCTCGCTTGACCAGCTCTAGCAATGTCTGCTTGACCGGCTTGATCTTCACCTCACTCTTGCGCTCCATATGCTTGAGTTGCTTCTTGGCGACGGCTTTGGCAAGTTGACCCTCCTGGAACTTGACCAACTCCTGTAGTGGCGCGGACTCGACACGTGTGGCCTTGAGCAGACTGTAGAGACGGGTGAGCTCGCTACGCATCAACTTGTTCTTGCGAAGGATCATCTCTAGTTCCATCTCGACCTGCAGCAAGAAGATGTCAAATATATGTGGCTCGCTGCTGACCAACTCCTGGCGGAATGTGCGTAGACGGTCGATGAGCTGGTCACACTTGGCCACGAGTGACATGTTCTCAGCTGTGTTGTTCTGAGACTTGCAGAAGACAATGGCGTCCTGTAGGATCTTGATTGTGTTGACGTCCTTGCGAGGTGATGGAGTCTTTGCGAGGATGTCGATCATCCATCGCTTTGCCTCCTTGAACTGATCGCGGTGATGGCTGTCCGACGAGTCACCACCTGGTGCCTGGTGATTGATGAATGTCAGTTGGATGACGCGATCACCTTGCTCTGGCAGCATCAGAGGTGATTCTAGACGGTTCAGAATAGTCTGAAGGCGGCCCAATCCGCCATCAAGCTCGTCGTCGTCGCTCTTGGACTTGATAGTTGGCAGTGTTGAGCGGCGTGTCTGCGCGCCGTTGGTCGAGTAGCGATCAGACAAACTGGAACGAGTATCACTCATGCGTACCTCCTCAAAGGAGAGGGAGCGGCAATTGACCAGGTCGTAGAACACGCTGGCGATGGTCTCGTGCATCCAGATCACCTCGGACAGTCCGATAACTGTGCAGAAGTGGATGCCATTCTCGTTCATTATGTCATTGTAGTCGTTGAAGTGGACGAGGTCGTCGAGATCTGGTACGTCGGGGATGGTGTACAGGAACTTGGCGGCGACATCCTTGTGGGCGTCAATCCAGGACGCGATCTTGGGCGTCTGATATGTGTGTTGCCAAGCAGTGTTGGAGAAAGCTGATTGAAGGACGCGCGAGATCAGTGACAGGTTGGCGCGTTGCTGGAATGAGATCATTGGATGTTGTTGGAGGACCAACTCATTGAGCAAGTCTGGCGAAGCGATCACAGCCGCAACGAAACGGTAGATGAAGCAGTAGTATGGCACCTGGAAGTCGGGGTCGCCCTTGCCACCATAAGCCACGCGAGCTTTCTCAGTGACTTCGCGACACATGTAGCGGATCTGAGCTGGGATCTGATCGACTGAGCGAACGATGCGATCAAAGAAACCTTCGGCCAACTCGAGTAGTTGGGCTAGACGGTTGTTGTGAAGAGTTGCGACCTTGGGGTCCTCCAGCGCCTGCTCGTGTGTCTTGGAGACGGCGGCGCCATGCTTGTGTGATGCACCATGATTGATTACATTCTCATTCTGCAACTCCTTGTTGATCCAGAGTGGGTCAAAGTTGAGGTTGAGCTCTGGCGTCGACAGCACCTTGCTGATCATTGGAGCGATCACATCCTGCAGGTACTTGTAGCCACGCTTCTTGAAGTAGCCATAGAGCAGATGTGTTGGCACCGAGTCCACGGCAACAAAGTCAGTGAGACAGGCAGACGCGGCCATCTGGTAGTCCAGGGCAGTGCTCAGACACTTGAGGAAGAGATCCTCCTCGCGAGGGGACACCTCGAATGGGAACATGCTCAGGAGGACGTTCTGCGAGGTCTTGGTCAACTGGCTGCTGCTGAGCAGGTAGAGAACACGACCCATCAGCTTGGGATGAGTCTGGAGGTGGTGGAATAAGCTCTGGTAGTTCTTCATCTTGATCTCGTTGAGCTGGGGTGGCACGCCCTTGTTTGGCTGTGGCACACGCTTGTGCTGTCTCTGTGCCAACTTCTTGCGCTCGGCGCGGTTCTCGCGAACGACATCGATGGTCTTGGTCAGGCGACGCAGGTCGGCGCGCATTCCAGTAGTCGTACGCATCTCGCCAATGATGTTGCGCTTGAGCTCGGTGATCTCACCCTTTAGCTTGTCCAGGTTCTCAAAGACCTCTGGTGACTCGGTAATGCGCTTCTGGATGCGCATCACAATCTTGAACTCCTTGTTGTTCTCGCGGCGCTCGCGCGTCGCAGCGTCCTGCTCCATCTTGTCGCGTTCATATCTCTCGCGGTCGGCCTTGTCGCGCTCGTAGCGTTCACGTTCCTCGCGCTCACGTTCGGCCCACTCTTCCTCCATCATCTCACGCTCGGCACGCTTGCGTTCGCGCTCGGCACGCTCTAGATCGGCAATCTCACGCTCCAGGCGCTCGCGTTCGGCGCGCTGGCGCTCGGCACGCTCCAGCTCCTCCAACTCCTGGGCCTTGCGCTCCTGCTCGAGACGCAGGCGCTCGGCACGCTCTTGCTCCTCGCGCTCACGTGCCAGGCGTTCAAACTCGCGACGCTCACGCTCCAGGGCGGACTGGTCCATCTTCTCGCGCTCAAGACGGTCGCGCTCACTCTTCTCGCCTTCAAGGCGTTGACGCATGTCAGCAATGGACGCCTCAGAGTTGAAGAGCGATGCCACAAGAGCCAAGTTGAGCTTGGGGTGGCCCAAGGCAATGTCGGATGGTGTGAGGAAGCACTTGACACCAAGCTTGCCACATGCCTCGGTGATGTACTCGGCACGCGTGAACAGGTTGGGCTCGCTCTGGACCTTGTTGACCAGGTGAGCAAACTCGGGCGGCACCAACTGAGCGAACAAGTGTGAGTAGACCACACTGTCCTGGATGTCCTCGCTAAAGTTGGAGATGACACGTGCGCACTTTGCCTTCTCCAAATGGAAGTTGACCCAACGAATTAGAATCTGTTCGGCTGAGTGCTCGTGTCCATCCTTATGCAACATCCTCTTGCTTGGAATCATTCCATTTGCCGAGTCCAACATCATATCCTCATCCTCTTCCTCAAACAATATATCCAATATCTCATTGGCATTCTGATTGACCTTGGATAATAGTCCAGCCTAAACAATGGATAATTGTTAATATGTGATTGGAATGATTCCCAGGATGATGAATGAGTGGCCAAACTTACTTTGATGATCTGCCAGATGATACCGAGTACGAGGTAGGGTGTGGCGTTGACGAGGTCTTGAGCTCCAATGTTGACGATGACACATCCAACTTTTGTTGCATTCTTGATCACAATATTCTGGTTACCAATCATCTCGAATGGATTGATCTTTAACTTGATCACCAATCCCTTCAAGTCAACTTGGCTGGGGAACATTGCCTCCATCAGTTTACTAATATGATGTATGAGTGTTAGTCAATCAATCACAGAACTTTGAAGATGATCAGAGTGGACTTACTTGAGTAGGACACCATCACTGCAGGCTGTGAATAACATGTTGGTGGATGAGTCGATGGGGATGTAGTTGCTCAGGCCGGATTGTTGGTCGGAGAGGATCTCAGAGATGAACTTGGAGTAGGCTACCTTTTCTTCTTCGGAGAATGTGTGCACACTGCCTTCTTCGGACTTGGCATTGATCAATGCCACATCCTTCTTGCTGAACTTGGCCAAATCATATGGATCCTCGTCGTCCAACAGATCAGCGCCATTGAGCTCGCGCTCCAACTCCTGCTCATCAACTTCCAATATCACATCATCTTGTAAGTTGTTGAACATCTGTTGTTGTCTGTCGTAGTATGATGCTGATGTTGATTGTTTGTTGTTGTGTGATTGTTGTTGTTGTTGTTGTTGTGGCGCGGACGATGATGATGATGATGACTTCTCGTTGGGCTTGCGAATGATGAGGGCAGGAGGTGGCTCAAAATGTGGACTGTCCAACTCGAGTTGAAGTTGTTGTTTGAGTTGGATACTCTGCTTGGCTGGCTGGGCTGAGGACGATGACTGCTTGGACATCATATCATTCTGTGACTTGCCTTGCTTCAACACTGGCTCAGCCGGCTGTTGTGGCTTCTGAACAACCGGCTGTTGTGGCTGAGGTTGCTTGGTCACCATCACAGCAGTCTTGGGCTGAAGGTCCAACTTTGTGACTTGTGGATGTGGGGCCTGAGACTGAGTCTGAGACTGGTTCTGGATATGAACTTGTGGCTGAGGGTCGATGACCTGGATGTCAACCTTGGACGATGGCAACAGTTGTTGTTGTTGTTGGAGAAGAAGTTGTTGTTGCTGCTGGAGAAGGATGCGCTCTTTCTCTTCTTGGGCCTTTTGTTGTTGTGCTAGGTACTCTTGTTGTTGTTTGAACAGTTGGGCGGTCTGCTGTTGTTGTTCCAGCAGTTGTTGGATCAATTGTTGTTGAGCCAGTTGACGTGGTGACACTTGATCAGTCAGTTGATAATATGGATGTAAATGATTGTTGTTGCCCATGCCATTGCCCATGCCATTTACCATTCCATTTCCATTATTGATCATCATCATATTGTTGTTGGCATTTGCATTACTAACACTACCATTCATATTGGTTGGTGAACTGAGGAACTTGGGACTCTGGTAATCGAATCCACCAAAGCTGACTGAGTTGGTGAGTCCACCACCTCCTCCATTATTATTATTGTTGTTGTTGTTTGGAGTGTTGTTATTTGGATTATAATTGTTATTATTATTATTGTTGTTATTGTTGTTTGGATTATAATTGTTGTTGTTATTATTGTTGTTGTTGTTTCCATTTAAGTTTGGTGATTGTGGCTTAACATTAAAGTTGGTGGAGTAGGATGGACTGTATGACCTGCTCTTCTGGATGCCCTGGTATCCATTGAATATTGAGTTCAAACTGGAATTACCTGCAAAGAAGTCGTTCCTCTTGCCATTAAATAATGGCGAGTTGTGCATCATTTTCGATTATGTTGATTGTCGAATTGATTGATTGATTGATTGATTGAATAAATAAATATATATAATAAAATAAATATACTTAATAATATTAATAATAAATAATAATAAAGTTAGAGATAATAATATAAATATATATTAAGAGTTGGTTGGTTTGATGTTAGAATGATTGATGATGTAAAGTGGATGTCTTGATGTTGTTGATTGATGGTTGGACAGTGCGAGTGATGTTGATGACCGTCAGTGTTAATTGGTAGAGTGAGATAAGTGAAGTGAAGTGGGATAATAAACAAATATATATTAGATGATGGTGATGGAACACTATTGCTAATGCTACAGCTGCTACTGCTGACTTGATGGATATACCCACACACACGGCACACTTACTTAATAAGTACATGATCAGACATGTGATGATGATTCCATCAATCTCTCTATCAATCAATCAAATCAATCCAATCCAATAGTACTATCTTATAATGATTATGTTAACATTTTTTATCTACATCTACGACAACACATACTTGATCAATCATCCACTCACTCCATATTCCACCTCCAATCAAATCACTCACTCTATCCAATATCCACTTGTCCAGCATTTCGTCATCAACATATTTGGTGTTGATGGGCAACACTAACCTCTAAATATTTGTTGTTGTCCATGATGGAGAGGTGTCTCTGTCTGACGCGAACACTTCATCTCTTACAAAGTCTGATACTACTGATGCTGAGGTGGGAAGATAAATGTGTGTGTGTATGTGTGATTGATCGTGTGATATGTGTGTGTGTCGAGTGAACTTGTGGAGTGTTGATGATCATGACATCTTGAGTGTGTTGATACGTGTGTGATTGATTAGTAGTTGATGTTTAAAGGAATACAAGTAAAATATAAGTCTTACAGATGTAAACCAAGAGTGAGTGCGTGACGCGAACAGATTGTCTGGATCGTCATACACTAATTGATTGATGGATGGATGGATGGATATGTATGCGTACATGTCACTCCATTCAATCATTTACAGATATTCGGATTCAGGAAATGCTGTTTGTCGATACACGTCAGGTCAAACTACATTCGCCAGATAGGTCAGTCAGACTTCAAGACAGTTGGTCTGGCCAGGCCATCATCATTGAGCTTTGTTGGTTGGTAGGTATGTTGGTTGATTGGTTGGATGGACTGTCTGTGAACTTTGATTGATTGATACTGGACTGCCATTTATTTGGTAGTAGCAGTTGAGCTAGTTGTAGTAGTGGACGTAGTAGTGGATGTTGGTGGCGATGGCAACGTAACGGTAACAGAGGATGATGTTGTTGTTGTTGAAGGAGTATTACTTGTACTTGTCTTGATTGATAGCTGCACTGGAACAATGTTGTCGAGGATGGCCTTTAACTCATCAGAGGTGAGTAGGTGCATGGACTTGATCTGATCATCAGTATAGTACTTCCTGGCATATTGATTGATTTGATCGAATCCATCGGCTATATTAGTTCTGATTGGCTTTGCCAATAAACCCTGTGTCATTGGCGACAGATACAACTTCATCTTTGACAACACCACCGGTAAATAACTGTTGATATTAGCTACGGTGGCCTCGATTGTCTCCTTAACACGTGCTGGTTCTGCAAATGATTGTTGAGACAATGTCAAATGATTATCCGTTCCACTTTGATTCAAATGTACTGATATCTAAGTTCGGGTTAGGGTCATTGGGCCATGGGTCGTGATGTATCAAGCAAACATACCTTGGTAAGTAATGATAATAGATGATCGATGGCATTGTTGGATGTTGAGATGATGAATGATTCAATGACGTGCTTCAACTCTTTTTCCAGGTCCTTCTTTGAGTCGATGCTTGTGTTGGTCACTCTTGGATTGGCAGCAGATTGAATAACATTATATAATGGATTGTTTGTTGACAATGCAAACAATGATCCATAATTATACAATGTTGAGAGTGCATCTAGATATGATTGATTGAATGATTAGACCATGGATAACTTTCCAAGGCAGAGTTGGATGGACTTACGCTTGAGATTTGGAAAGTCTACTATCTTCTCGATAATGACAAAGTTGATGTCGAATGGTGTGATCTGCTCGCGCAAGATGATAAAGTATTTGATGAGGAATAGATAGGAATCTKGTGATGGCATGTGGATTGTCCTTCTGTGTTGCAATAATTGCGCTGGCTTTGATAAGTGTATATGTACAAGCCTCGACGGCCTCTTGTGCCAATCCTTCAAATATCTTATTCTATTCGTTGATTGAGTTAGTGATTGATTGGTTGATTGAGTCAGTGAGTGAGTGGCACATACATCAACAACTAGATATAGCTTGGATAGACATGTTAGTGTCTTTTCCAATGTTGGATACCATGTGGAGTACATGCTTCCACCTGTTGTTGTCTCTTCTTTCACTATGATGATGATTGTTAGTATGGGTCATGGTCGTGGGTCATGATGCCTAGGGAGGAGGGACACATACATGATTGTAGATGATTGGGATAATCCATGTCTTCTGGCTTTGGTGAGAATGTCCTGATCTCATCACGGATATAGGTTTGGATGAGGAATAACAATCTCTCTTGGATGTCTTGTAGCATGCGTTGTACAGCCAACTTGAGTCCATTACTATATTTGGTCGATTGTTCGATGATATCCTCCAAGATCTCATTCCTAACCAAGTGCGCCAAGTTACAAAGTGATTCAAATGAATGCATATGAATGTAAATAGGTCTGATCGTGTCGTATAGCTGTTGAGAGTACTCGTCCAGCAGGTCACTATGAGGGTAGGGGAGGGCGAGGGTTAGGGCTGGGGTTGGGGGCGAGGGCAAGGGTACAGGTGGGCCCACCAAGACTTACTTGAAGTTGAAGGTCTGGTTGTCAAAGAAGTCGATGTAGACTTGGTATTCATTCTCGTAGATCTGTACCATGTAGATGCAGAGGTTCTGGACCATGGTTGGAATGTCCTCGTTGTTCTTGGCAAGCTCGGCCAGCTTCATTGTGATGGTTGGCGTGAGTATCAGCTTCCTGTTCTTAAAGTAGACGTTGTGGCAATCCTTGATGAATGCTACGTATGGTCCGACAGCACGCTTCTCTAACTCGTGACATAGTGGCTTCAACTTTGGTGCGAATGCACGGAACTTGATATTTGATATCTGGAAGTCTTGGTCCCAGTCCTTTGTCGATGTCAATATCTCCTTTGTTATAATCTTCAATGATGAGCATATATAGTCCTTGATCAGTCCCAATGCTCTCTGGAACAACAATGAGTATTGTAAAGAATACTTGCCACTTGCTTGGAAGTTGGCCTTCATGATTGATTGATTGAGTTAGTGAGTGATTGATGGGAATGCGGATCATTTTGAGGTACTTACATTCTTCTTCATGAACTGGATACTGTCTTCCAGGGTCTCGAGTGAAGCGACAAATGCTGGATCAGTGACTTGGAGGTTTGAGCTGTTGAACCTCTTGGTCGACTGCTCAAGTTCAAGGTAATACTTCAACTTCTCATGTATAGTTTGTACAATATATCTCAATCGTAGCTATTGGAGTAGGAATGGAGCAGTGTAAGTATGATTGAATGATTGAATGATTGAATGAATGAATGAATGTATGTTCGTAACTCACCTCATCCTTGAAGAACTTCTCACAAGAGTCATGAAGTTGGCTGGTCTTCTTTGTGAGATTGGAGTAATCTGATTGGATGCTGTCTACTAGTGACTCGCAGTCTTGAACTTGGTTCTGAAGCTCATCGGTACCCTGGCCATAGCTGACGATCGTCTCCAAGAACCATTCATACTGATGTAGATGCGTTGATGACTTCTCAATCATTGAGAACCAATCATAGAACTGGCCCAAGTTCTCAATAGGCTTCTCTGGCAACTTTAGGCTCTTGTCATGTACACCTTTATCCTCATCTTCCGCTGAGGATGTGGTTGCTGTTGGGATTGGAGATAGAGGTGTCTGTTGCTGTTGTTGTGATTGAATGAACTTTGTTGGAAGTGGTCGTTCGGACACTACGAATGATTGCAAGTTATTGAGTACCAATGATTGTTCGATATCAAGTTTACTCTTTCTCTCCCATGTTGCAATGTCAAAGTGATGTTGCTGTTGTTGTTGATGTTGTTGTTGGTATTGTTGTTGATTTTGTTGATGTTGATGTGCACCTGATACTTGAGGACTAGGATGATTCTGACCTGATCCAGTCCTATTATGTCCACTTTGTATATTATTAATAGACATATATAATATGTTGTTATCTGTATCTGTGTCCAACCAATACTGAAGTTGATGAAGTTGATGAAGATGATGAAGTTGATGAAAATGAGTGAATTGGCACATTTGTTTGAATTTGAAGATAATAGGTCTCCTTCGAGTCAACGACCATTCATTGTCAACAAATAAGATACTTTTAAATATATATATAGATATACAGAGTTATAATGTCTACAAAGTCTATTATGGTATGTCTACTATAATGAGTTCAACTCAAACGTTGATCTTGTTATCTCACTCACTCAATCAATCAAATGATCATTCAAACAAAATACAGCTTGATAAGAATGAGGAGGTTGAGACAGACGTCACTCATGATGACCAGAAGATGATCAATACATTTGGTAGACTGAACAACAGGAAGCATGAGATACTTAGACAGAAGAAATACTTGCAGGTATGATCAAGTTGAATGAATGAATGAATGAATGATCAAGACGAGTCCATCGAGTCTGACACAAAAAGCCGCGATCAATCATAATATAGGAGGACTTGGAGAAAGCAAGAGACGCTCAAGATGATATATTTATAGAGACAGACGATGAAACTAAATACAAGTATTTGATGGGAGAGGCTTATTTGGAGACGGAGAAGACAGAGACAGAGGAATTGCTAGACAACTACATCAACAAACTCGAGGCTGACATTGCCAAGATCGACACAGAGTTGGAGGAGATTGCCGATGCTCACAAGGAGTTAAAGGTACTACTATACGCGAGATTCAAGTCATCAATCAACTTGGAAGAGTAAACGAACCCTTTGTCATCATTATGAATGTGATGGTTGTGGGTGTATCGAGCGAACTTCGACGGGTCAGCAGATGGACCCATTTTGATCAACTTCGGGACATGCGTTTAATCTTTGTTGGTGTGATGTTCACCATTCATTCACTCAACCAATCAACTTCATATTCATATATATACATACACATAATAGTTAGTTATAAAGAATGATCAGAAGATTCGCTAATGCAGTTTGGAAGGGATCGTTGACTGAGGGCAGTGGCGTTGTGACTACTCAGAGCAAAATATTGAACAACTTGTCATACTCTGTACCATCGAGATTCGGTGAGAATGCTGTAGAGAAGCATACCAACCCAGAGGAACTGATTGCTGCCGCACACGCAAGCTGCTACTCAATGGCATTGTCCGCACAGCTCAGTGGCATCAAGTTCCCACCAACATCGATCAACACCACGGCCACACTCGGCATGACCAAGGAGCCCGCTGGATGGACCTTCACCGAGATCCAACTCAAGTGTGTCGCCAAAGTGCCAGGCATCACCAAGGAGCAATTCATGGAGAAGGCCAAGGCGGCCAAGGAGGGATGTCCAGTCTCAAAGGTTTGTAGAATGAAGCAGTATGAGTGATTGATTGATTGATTGGTTGACACTAACTTTATTATTATGTTTGATTGATTGATTGATTGATTGATATAGGCCCTCAACTGTAAGATAACATTGGATGCTGAGCTCCAGAACTAAGTTGGACCATCAAATTGGCAGACAATAAAGATTGATTGGACCGTCGGTCTAATGTGCCATTTGCACAAGACTGGCTTGACTCCATGGAGTCAATGATACGATCACACATGTTGATGATGTTGATACATCCATCAACACAGGCTTGATGGCGAACATATTTGACCAGATTGTTGATGGATCGTTGATTGATACCTGCTCGAACATAAGGTGAGAGTGATGATGATGATGATGTTCCAACACGATCAACATCACGATCACCTTCAAACATATAACAGATCATTCTGTGATGGTTGTTGCTCACTGCTTTGTTGATACTGGACATTGATGGAAGACATCTCTGGAGTTGTGATGGTGTCAAACATCGTTGATAGATCGTGCGGATTATGTCCAAGTTGTTACTGACACATGCTTTGTTGACAATGGTGTACAATGCATTGCTGTTGAACTTGTCATTGTCGTCACTAACATTGATGTATCCTTTGTCCATGAAATATGTCAACACTGACGAGTTGGTGATCACATCCAATGTGATGATATCATGTATCCGGTGTTGATCCCATCCATATCTGACTCTAGTAACGCGAACTGAGCCGCTTCCAATATTAGCTGGTGGATTCTTGCCATCGACATTGATTGCCACATCGATCAGATAGTCAATCGATTGGACATCGCATCGCTTGGCACACAAATCAATCGATTTTCTAAAGTCTGTGGCCTTCATTCTGTCAACATCATTCTTTGGCATTGAGTTGAAGTGATCGACCACCAACTTGATCATGGACAGGGAGATGTTTGATGCTGCCCGAATAATATCTGCTTCATTATATGAAGGTTCTGGCACTAATATGAGAATCTCGATAATGGTGGACTCGGTAACCTCACTGGCATGTCGACCTAGCGACTCGAGCAATAAGACGATGTGAGAACCAGTGACATTCATTTTTGGCCATAATGCCATCAGCCTCCTGGCAATGCTCACATTACCAAGTTCCATGGCCTCCCTAAAAGCGGACTCAAGTCTATAGTTCAGTGTTCTCTCCGAGAGCTCCGTGAAGCAGTGTTCTATCATGTCCTTGTCGCCAGACTTGAGAGCCTGAATGAGACAATCATCATCGGGCTCGTACTTGATGAGTGGACTTGCATTCAATCGTTCAATCAAGTAGATTGACATGATGCTGTGATGAACTTTTTCAACTGTGGCAACTGAATCATCATCGTCAATGATCACTGAAGGCAGAACATCCATGAGAAAGTTGAACACATCCAAATGACCATTCTCCAGTGCATTTGGAATTGCCTTCAGAATATGTTGTGTTGATTGGATAGTTGTTGGCAACACTGTCGAATGATTGAATGAACATCCCAGTGGCATTGTACTTGAGCATCATCATCAGGTCACCACTTGAATGCAACACACTACCCTTGATCGTTGACCTCAAGTCCGATCTCTTGTGAATGTCACTGACATGATTGAGTATAGTTCTACACAACAAGTGATTGTGGAACACTTCATGATGAATGATATGTGTATCACTCATTGTTTGTTTGGAATGATGAATGATTGATGATCATGACTTCAAGTGGACTGAGCTCAGTTCATTCCGATGAACTTGATGCCAAGGAACGCAACCAAATCTTTCCCTCATATATAGTTGAACCCAATAATGGGATATTTATTTGCAAGAACAGAGACGGTCAGATCTTTGTTCAATTCTTGTATAACATAACATAAACATGTATAATAGTAATAATAGAAGAGTAGTAGTAACATTGTTGTTGTTAACTGTTGTGTCACTGTTATCTATATCATCAACGTTGGTAACAGCTGAATCATCACAACAACAACAAGGTGACTTGACATCATTCATAACATGGCTCACCGACAATGGAGTATTCATGAGTGATTCATTGAACATAGTACACATCGATGGCTATGGTAGATCAATAGTAGCCAATAAAGATATCGAGGTAAGTACACTCAATCACTCAATCACACTCAATCACCAACTCAATCACTAACTCATCAATCAATCAATCTTTAGAAAAGTACTAAACTGATTGAAGTACCAACAGGTATTATGATGGCAAAGGATGGAGTTGACAAGCATATACCAAAAGAGATTGTGGAGTTGATGAAACAGAGTGAGATAGCAAGGACGGATGCTCAGGCAATTTACTTGATGTACTCTAGACTTAACACTGATGCCTTTTGGTATCCTTATGCCTCTGTCCTGCCAGAGACATTCACAACGACCCTCTACTTCAACGATGAAGAGATGGCCGCCCTCCAACGATCAAAACTACGCGACTTTGCCATGGGTAGGAGCAAAGGTATCCAGCATCACTATGATACAATCTTTGATCATCTCAAGGTATGTCATACAAGTCTTCTTGGACACATGTTGCGGACACTCACTCATTCATTCAATCACATAGACTGTCAACGACGAGTTCAAGAAACCAGAGTATACGTTTGAATTGTTTAGATGGGCACTTAGTTGTATATGGTCGCGAGCATTCAGTTTGAGTAAGAATGATGGTGGATTGGTTCCACTGGCAGATATGTTCAATGCCGAGGACAAGGAGAACGCACAGGTCGTCCCCGACTCAAGACCCAACAAGTTGACATACTACTCGAACAAGCCAATCAAAAAGGGCGAGCAGGTGTTCACGCCATACGGCGTCTACAAGACATTTAGCAGCGCACAATTGCTCATGGACTATGGCTTTGTGTTCCCGCAGGGATCGTCTGGCGACACCGTCTACCTCGACATGGAGGACCTGCGCAAGGACGAACCACTCCGCATGAAGAAGGGTGAGTTGCTGCGAGGCGCCAATGTTACGCGTGAGATCATGCTCGTTCGTGGCAAGATGCCCAAGGAGCTGATGGTGTATGCACGCGTCAAGAACATCAACGAGCAAGAGCTGGACGAGGCCAAGACGCACTTCACCACCAAGGAGACCAGGGACAAGCCACTCAACAAGCGAAATGAGAAGGTTGCGCTGAGGTACATGATCACCTTCCTCTCCAAGTTCCTCGACACTTATGACACCACCCTCGAGCAGGATATCGAGCTGATCAAGCAGTATGAAGAAGATGTCAAATTGGTTGGAGCAAGCAGTATCTCCCTCAACATGGCCAACGCCATCAGAGTGCGCAAGTCTGAGAAAGAGGTGTTGTCAACATTGATCAAGACCATTCGAACTCTTCGTGAAGGCATTCAATAATCATTCATTCATTGGATCGATCATTCATTCATTCATTCATTTGAGTCTGTTGCCATGTTGTCTTCTTGTTGCTGTTGTTGTGCCGAAGCGTTAAAGTCGCGAGTCATTGAAACACTTTCAAGGATGTCGCTATGATTGCATGTGATTGTTTGATTGGTCGATTGCATTCCTGACTGATTGTTCGATTGATTTGATTGATCAGAAGTCCAAATCATCGCTTTGATCAAGCCACTGTTGGAAGTAGATGCAGGTCTTTGGAGTGATCTCGCCTTCGTCCTGACAGAGATGGAACACAGGACATGTACCACAAGGCATCTTGCAGAAGTGATTCTCTGGAATGATCGTCTTGGTCGGTTTGTAAATGATACCCATTCTTCTCTATAATGATTGAATGAATGTGGGTGAGTGATGCGATCAAAGGGACGGAATGAAGGAAGGAATGGATGGACTTACACCTAGCAATGAGGTTGTTCTTGTGTCTCTCATCTCTTCGATCAAACCATCGTAGATGAGACTGTTGACCAGGGTCTGGATGTCCTCGATGTTGAGATCCTGCTCGCCAGTCTTCTTCATGTAGGTCATAATCTCTGTTAGGTCGGCCGCACCCTTATTCGATATGAACGAGCTGATTGACAACTTCATTGCCTCGATCAACTCATGATCCATACTCTGCTCGCCAGAGTAGAGTGAGCCTCCAGTGACCTCTCTGGCCGGCTCAACATTGAAGGCCATGTACACCTTCTTCCTTCCTGCATTGATAGTCTTTACAGCCTTGATCAACTTCCTGCCCTCCAACAACTTGATAATCTTTGTAATCTGTGTCTGTTGTAGATTACTCTGTAATCTGAGCTCTTTGGTCCATGTACCTTTATCTTTTGATTGTTCAATCAATTGATATACCAACATATCATCAGATGTCAATCCTCTAAACCTGTTCATTCATTCAAATTGTCAGTCAATCATTCATATCGCTCATCATCCATTCATTCGCTCATCACTTACTTGAGTTGATCCTCTTGGTTTGTGACCTCTTTATACATCGATGATCCATCAGCATTCTGTATATATATAAGCCTTCCCTATGTATGAGCGATTGATTGATTGATTTAGTGAGTGAGTTATAAGTGGATCACGATTAGTTCATTGACAACCTCGATAGTTACCTCTTTAACAAGTTTGTTGATGACCAACAACACCTGATCAATGGGATGTTGGAGCTCTGTTTCAAGCTTGGATTGTGAAACACCCTGTATTACATGTTAAGTTAGTACGATTGAATGAATTAATGAATATAACATCAGTCGTCTCTGATGGTTGACAGTTTGACTCATACATTTGGATTTCTTGTACATAGATCCAAGAACTTCTCTTCAAGCTCTACAGACATTATATATATGTTATATGTTATATGTTATATGTAATAATAATAGTTATCTCTTCTTGTTTGAATGACGCGAACTTGAGAAATGAAACGAAACTAGCAAACTTGGTTGTTTGGCGCCTTTTAAGTTTTTTCCAAGTTTACCTCAATCTTGGATGAATAGATCAATAATGATATATTTATTATTGATGTTTGGATTGATGGATAGATGGAGGAGATGGATGGATGGTGGAGGATCAACTCAGGAATACCTTTGAATAATACTGATTGCTATTGTCCATTAAAATCTCGACATTTGGATTGATTGGTTGATTGTTGTTTGGTGTTTCCTGACTTGGACTGGAACAATTTGTAACCATCATTGATGTTGTTGTTGCCACGTTTACTCCAGATGTCATCGTTGTTGTTGTTGTTGTTGGTTGATTAACTATAATAATATGATTATTATTGTTGTTAATGTTCATATTTGGAAACATCATGTTTCCGTTGTTGCCATTCATGGTGCCAATGTTGTCACTGATGTTGCCACTCATGTTGACATTAGTATTGTTATTGCTGTTGTTGTTGTTTGGGAATATAGAAGTGAAGAGTGTGTGATCGGATGGCTGCACGGCCACAACAGTATCCAAGTCATTGAGCAGATCGCCAACTGAATGTGTGTAGGAGAGGTCATTTCCAAAACAATCTCGCAGACGTGTTGTGGCGAGATTGGCACGCGCCAATGGATTGCCAGAGGTGTTGAGCGGGCCGAACAATCCTTCAAACTCTGTCGATATCTTGGTCTTTAGTTCTGATACCTTGATAGCTGTCGGAGTGAAAACTGTGAATCTATACTCATTCGATACAACATGTAGCTTAATATGTGGTGCACGGTTCGCCTGTAACAGTCTAGCGGCAGGTGACAACTGTTGTTGCTGATGTTGTGGTTGTTGTAGTTGTTGATGCTTGGTATGCGGCAGAGGTGATATACTTCTAACATGTTGTTGTTGTTGCTGTTGTTGTTGATGTGATTGCGTTGAGATTGAAGAGACTGAGCTGCTTAGTGAGTAGGTTGGTGTTGAGATAGGTGAGGGCTGAGGTGAGCGTGAAGGTGACATTGGTGACATTAGCATTGTGATTGGTGTTGATGATGTCGATGAGGCTGAGTTGGTCGATGGTGAAGATGGTTGAAGTAGATTGTTAATGTGATTATTATGATTGTTGTTGTTGTTATATACATTAGAGGTTATTGTTGTCATGTTATTGTTATTGTTGGTGTGGTTGTTGGAAGTTATTAAGATTGGCGGTGAGGATGTGGATGTGGGTGTCGGCGTGGATGTGGATGTGGATGTTGTGGTAGTTGTGGTTGTTGTCGTAGACAGGGCCAGAGGCAGTGTGGTAGTCGTCGTAGCTGTCGTGGCTATTGCAGTAGTCGATGTTGGTGAAGTCGTCGCCATAGTCGAAGTCATCGTCGTCGAAGTCATTATATCATTGTCCAAATGAACAGGTGAAGATGGCATTGACACTGGAAGTTCATAACCTTGTGATGTCGCGTATAGATTGAGTGAAGGTGTAATCATGTTCTCTACACACATTTGGTTAGTAAGTATCCACAGTGATGATTTGGTCGGAAGGCCAATAACCTACCATAATTATAGTCGTCCTCTTTATGAAGTGAAGTGCTTGGTGTGCATGGTGTGGCAGGGTGACCGGACGAGTTGAGTCCATTTGCTGTCGATGTTGTTGGACCTTCATCACCAGGTTGGTCCATAATCATAGTTCGTTTCAACTTCACACTGTCTCTACAACTACTAACTAAACTAATGCTTGGTTGGTTGATTGAATGATTGAATGTTTGTTTTGAATGACACACCTCTCACTCATTGATCATTGCCAAGACAAGGACCCTCTTTGGGGTTGTTTGAATCTGATCCTCGTTTTTTTTTGTCTGCCAATCGTTGACACCATTTGCACAAAGTATCTCTTTTGGGTAGCGGGTGCAAAGACTCCCCACTCGACACTTCGTTTTGATCATGTTCAGCCCCATTATACACACACTACACATCCGCTAATCAGATTTATAAATCTATTATATATCTCTATCTATTTATTGATCATTCAATCAATCAATGAATCATACATGTTACATTGCTTTGAGTGCCTCTTGAATGGTCTTGACTAATGAATCAACCGGGATGTTGATGGACTCGGTCTCATGTGTAGTGCCACTCTTGACAAGTGGCAACATCCAATGTTTGTGTTGTAGTGACTCGGATGTGGCCCACCATGACAGCCAGGGATTCTCGTGCATGAACTCAATGACGGTCGAGCCAGTGGGCATGGCCATCATTGGCGCCAGATTGGAGCCTGTCATACCAATCAGGAGATTGGTGCGGCTTGCCAGCTCGACGATCGTTGAGTTGAGCACCTCCTCGCCATCCCACACGACCAGTCGGTAGCCCTTGGCCTCAGTCTCGGCCCTGATCACATCGATCACCTCGCGCTCATTGTCCACCTTGCGCTGTGGACTGGGTGTCTTGGTTCGCGACGCGTATATCACCACCTTGTCCTTGGTCGCCGAGGGTGGTGGCGTGTCCGCCAGGCCCTCCCGCTTGCGCGCCGCCTGCACCATGATCTCACGCAGCTTGGTCATCATCTCCATGGGCGGGTGGCCCGTGGGCACGGGAGTGGGCAGTAGCACGGTCTCGGCGTAGTGCACGGTGCAGGGCTCCCATCCCTCGCCAGGGTTGAAGTACAGCATGCGTTCGGCGGGGAACTGAAGCAGCTGCTCCATGATGATCTTGGAGTAGGGTATGTTGGGCACGAGCACCTTGATGTCGGGATCGCGCTGAAGCTCGTCCCAGACCAGCGTGATCTTGGGCAGGTGGTCCTGGATAAACGTGTTGAACGACATGTACAGCTGGAGCAGCGTCAACATCTTCTTGGAGCGCACGACGCGGCACCGCGTCACCTCGGGTGGCACCGCGTTGAACGTCTGCTTCTGACCCTGCCGCAGCATGAACGAGCGGTCCCAGTCAAATACGGTGCCCGAGTCGCCACTTGCGACGAATGCGTCGGGCACATATGCGACGTACTCCTGTTGCATGAACGGGTAGGGGATGTCATCATCCCAGTCGTCGACGTCGTGGTTGTACTGGTGCAGGGAACTCGTTGAACTTGAAGCCTTCGAGCGCGACGCGCGGGTTGCGGCGGATGTGCGTCTCCTGGAAGTCCTTGAGGTCGATCTTCAGCTTCTTGTCCACGAGCTTCTCCTTCATCATGTCGTCCACTGGGCGCAGTTTGGCGATGTCCAGCGCCTCCAACACCTCCTCTGGAGTGCGTATGGGGTACGGGGACTTGGTTCGCTTTGGTCGCTTGTCATCCTTGGGTGCGGCAGGTGGCTGGCAACGCTTGACGAGCGCAACGTGCTCGTTCCATAGAGGAAGGAGCTCGTCGTGGGCGCGGTGGTACTCGAAGCCCAGCACGGCGATCTCGTTGGAGAGTCGGCGGAAAAGGTCGTTGTCAAACATCTTGTTGGTGAGACGACTGACAAACGCGGCGTTACAGAACTCGTGCTCGAGCTTGCGGATCGTGTCGACCACGGAGAAACCATTGAGGATCTTCTCGCGTGACCTGCGACCAAGCTCCAGCGCCAGACTTCTGTTGCCGGCCAGCTCGGCCAGGATGTCGGTGTATTCTTCGGTCTCGGTTGCCGTACATGGCTTAACGAGGTAGCCGACGTCTGGGCTCACCAGCTCGGCCTGGCCACCGACCTTGGCCGACACAGCACATACCTGCATCGACATGGCCTCGTAGATGGCCAGCGATATTCCCTCGACCTTTGACGGCAAGAAGAATACGTCCGATCCTGACACGTATCGCTGCACCTCTGTGTTGGGGATACTGCCCAACAGGCGCACCTTGTCCTGAAGGCCGTGTTGCCAGATGGTATCATTGAGGTCGTTGAAGAGAGCGCCACCACCAATGGATATGGCGCGGAAGTCGTAGCCAAGCGCGTCCACACGACGCAGGACCTCTGCAAATACCTCGGGCTGCTTCTCGCTCTCCAGCCTCGCTACAAACACAATTACTAGGACGTCGTCGGGGAAGCCTAGCTCCTTTCGAATGGCGGCCTTGTTCTCGGGGCGTGGTGCGTACTTAACTGAGTCAATGCCGATCAGAACTGTGGCGGTCTTGTTGGGGTTGTGACCCTTGTCAATGACATACTGGCGAAGGTGTTCACTTGCAAAGATCGAGCGGTCGAGGAATGGTTCGGCGCCAGCACTGTATCGGGCGTATCCACCGTTCTTCCACTTGGGAGTCTCAGAGTGAGTGTAGTCCACGTAAGCGGGGCCAGGGGCATGCGCACGCAGGTAAGGCAAGTAGTTATAGGCGCCCTCACTGTTGCTCAGGAACACCACGTCGAACTTTCGCGAGTTGATCAGGTAGACGAGGAATCGCGTCTGGTCCGTGGCTCGAATGAATCGTGGCATGATAAAGATGTCAGGTGTGACTCGCAGGAATTGAGGCAGCCACGTGTTGGCCGCGTCCTTGTTGGCGGCGATCGACACCTCCCAGCCATCCATCACAAGTCCTTGTGCAAAGTTGAAGTTGAACTGGTCGGCACCACCAATCTCCATGTAGGGTATGATGATCAGCAGACGAGGGCGACATTTGCGCAGATTGTTCTTGATTGTTATGTTGTTGGCAACGCTCTCCATCTTTTCCTGTGGTTCACGCTTCAACTTGGGGACACCAGTAGTGAATGCTACTGGGTACTTGCGCTTCTGATTGGCCATGAACTCATTGAACTTAGTTTCATTGTAGATTGAAGCCCATTTACCTGGAGGACTGACTCTATACCAGAAGTGGAACTCTTCCAAAGTGTGTCCCCAATGTCCATTATTAGCCATCCTCATCCATAAGTCCCAATCCTCCATACCAGTCCTCAAACTGGCGTCGAACCCACCAACTTGGCGAAGTGCATCAGTCTAGATTGATTGAATGAGTGAGTGAGTGATTGAGTGATTGAGTGATTGAATGATTGAGTGACACATACCCTCATCACACATGCTACTGTGATGTAGTTCTCTTTCATGTTGATGTCTCCATTCTGGAAACCCTTCTGCCAGTAGTATTCCTTGTGACCAAAGCCAAGAGACCAGGCATTGACGAGAGAGTACTGAGGATTGGTCTCGAGGAACCAGACTGCCTTCTCGAGGTAGGTGTACTCAATGAGATCATCAGGGTCCAACAACACTAGATACTTGCCCTTGGCAAACTTTAGACCTTCGTTACGTGCTCCTGGCAGACCAACGTTCTTGTCAAGGTCGACGATCAGGATTCTCGAGTCATTGAGCGCGCGATATGGATCCAGGGACTCGATGAACAGTGTACGGTTGGGTGAGCCATCGTTGACGATGATCCATTGGAAGTTCTGGAGGGACTGGCGCAACACACTCGCGGCAGTCTCATGGATGATTGGTCCAATGTTGTAGAATGGCGTTAAGATTGTGATGATTGGTGGCTCGTCCCGCATGGACTCATCGGGTGCATAGGCATAGCGTGCTCGTGCGGGACTGTCGGGCTTGATGGAGTAGTTCATCTTGTCGGGATCCATCACGGGTGTGGGCGTGACGACCGGTTCGTAGTAGTCGCGACCCTCACATCGCTGCAGCCAGCCGGGCTGGCGCTTGACCAGACCGGCGGCGGCGCACACTTCTGGGAAGTCGTTGAGGTCGTCAAAGATGGGCTCGCGCGCCACGTTGACCACGTGGTAGGGATGGTAGCTGGCCAACTTTGAGTAGACCATGAAGTCAAAGGGCGTGTGCGTGTTTTCGTCCATGCCCCTGAACTGCTGATTGGCAGTGATGGTCAATGTCTCTAGCTTGCTGCCAACATACTTGTGTATGACGTAGAGGTGAAAGAACACCGATGTTATAATGATGAATGTCAGGACATTGCGTTTGAGGTAGCCGATTGCGCTGGACACATTGTTGGCACCAGGTGCCATCTTTCGTAGATGTGATTGCTTGTGTGTCTATGTGTCGAGTCACTAAAGACTATATCTTGTTTCCACTCTAGCTCTCCAGTAGACTATCTTTACACAACAATTATTGTAGTTGATTGATTTGATTGATTGAATGAATGAAAGAGTGATGTTGATGCATACCCATCAGTCACTGACGTTGACTTCTTTGGACATGCTGCAACATCCACTCATTGTCCATGTCCATATACATCCACTCAATAATACCATGTATATACATTAGTTCCAGTGTTAGTGTGATTGATCAGTAAATGTGTGCAAGTGTGATCATGCTTGAGTATGTGTGTGATTGATTGATTAGTGAGTGCACTGAAGAGTGTGGTGGGGGTGAAACGATTCAATCACTGCCGACTCAGAGTAGGGTTGGCAGATACATATGTCAATCCTGGACAACACTACAACATCGTATCTACCACATCTGATCACTTTACATAATCTGATTGAAACGAATGAATGACGACCCAGCAGGGGATATTATTTATTATACACAAACTTCCTCTTTGTCAACCTGCCATCTGATCCACAGGAGTAGATGTGATTGTTCTCCGCGCGCACTTGGATCACACCATACGTGCTCACAAGGCTCTTAAAGACACTTGGAGGTCCGACAAAGGTCTGTTTCTTGTGTGCATCCTCGATAGTGTCTAGATTGGTCATGGATGGAAGTGACCATGCCTTGATATTACCATCGCTCGATCCAGTGAATGCAAACTCCTCTGTTACATCCACCGATATTGACTTGGTGTTCAATGAATGTGCCTTGAAGCTGTCCAATGTCCTATTAGTCCTTATATCATATATGGCTATTTGATTGATTGATTGAGTTAGTGATTGAGTCTAATGACATTGATTGAATGATACATACTCAATGAACCCTTCTTTCCACCAACGATCAATGTATGATTCTTTGGAGTGTAGGCGATGGATGATGCGCCACTCTCTTGATTGGTGAATGATGTTATGAGTGATTTGCTTGGTGGCAACAGTACATCCCAGAGACAGACGTCCTTCTTGCCATCAACACTAATACCAGCAGTGGCCAACAAACTTCCAGCATTGAGGAATGTAAAGTCCAGGCATTGTTTCGAGTGTGCTTGTAGAGTCTGTATGATTGATTGATTGAGCGAATGAGTGAGTGGAACATGCGAGCAAATGAACGAATCAAACATACATAGAATGGTCTGATGGTCTCCTCATCACCTCCAAATTGCCAGAGCATGACATTGCCAGATATATCGCAGGCACCAAACTTGGAGCCACTCTGGTTGAATCGGCATCTGACAATCTTTGGCTTGGTCGGCAACTGATATGCTGTCAACACGTCTGGCATTCCAAACTGCCATAGACACACACTTCCATCAATACCTCCAGATACATAATATGAGCTGTCTGGATGTGACTCCAAGCATTGTACAATGATGTTGTGATCCATTTGCTTGGATAAGTTCTAAAGTACGTGATGATTGTTAGGATGTGATTGTGAATTTGTGTTGTCGAGACCTTGACTTACTAGCGATGAAATGGCATTCTTGAACACATTGGTCTTGTTCTTTAGGTTGAGACGTGAGACTGACTTGGAGGATACTCGGATCTTCTTGGACATGGTGGCTGGGGAGAGGAAGGTGTCAGCTCCGCCAACAGAGTCCATCTCAAAGTCGTCGCGAGATGATTCGTTCTTTTGCTTGAGGTCAATCTCACGGATTCCTCGTGTAGTGGCCACGGCCACGACGGGGATGTCTGGACTTGTGGTGTCCAAACAGAAGGACTGCAGCAGGTCGCTGTCCTTGTACAGCTCGACCACCTCCTCCATGACGATCCTCTTGCCGGCTGTGCCAGCGGCTCCACGCTTGGCATCGCTCTGGAATGACGAGTTGCTGTCTTCGGGCAGCACTGCGCTGGATAACGTGTCGAGCAACTCTTGCTCCTTGCACATTGCCTTCCACAACACCATGCATTGCTCGGTGTGGAAGTGGTGTGTGGACTTGACCAATGTCAGCAGACTGTTGCCAGTGTCGTTGAGTGGCCTCTTGTAGAAGCAGTCCACAACTGATGCTGGTGAGGACATGACCTTGTTCTGAATGGAGGCGAACCAGTAATGTATCCTCTGATGTATCACATCAAACATGTGATGGTACTCTGACTTGGCCGTGACCGAATCATACAGCTTCTTGTACCTCTTTAGCGCGAACAAGTCGAATATCTTCTGCAAACATTTGATCAACTGTGTAAAGTAAGGTAAACAATTGAGTGAGTGAATGGCCAAGGTCTAGCGAGGAGGTATGTACATACTGTTTGTTGCTCTAATCTCTTTTGGATCTGCTCCTTCTTGTCAAGGAGATCATCGTCCTCGTCGTCTGATGCTGATTGGTCCTCGATTGGCGCATCCCTGTAGTCATTTGGCAGCTTGGACACACTGTCCATCAACTCAGCCAATGGCTTCTCCTCGAACAAATGTATCATCACATCATATCTGGAGTATCCCCAAGCAGCTAGGAACAGCATCATCTATTGTTATTGATTGGATAGAGAGTCAATTGAATGATTGAATGAATGTGAGTGTCTATGTATGTACGTACATAGATTGTTAGGATTGTCAAACTTGGATGGGCAATGTCCTCCAGACATGAGTACAACTCCCTGATGATTGATTGATTGGTTAGTTATTGTCATTGTTTGTTTGATTTGATTGATTGGAACACTTACAATGAGAGTCTGATCAGATTGTCGGACTGGCACTTGGTCTGCTTGTAATCGCTGGTGCGGGAGATGGACTTGAGAATGCTCTGGCAGGTGGCATCCAGACATTGATTGGGATTCTTGCCTATAAGTGTGGAGAGATGCATCACTTGTTTGTAATACTGACGGTTGGAGCAGTATTGGATCAGATGCTCAATGATCTTGGAACGATCGACATTGCTATGCTCACATAGCACTTGTAGGTTGTGATCAAACACCTCGATGTTGGCCTTCCATGTGTTGGCGTCGGTGTAAACCACGATGTTGTGAATGAGCACTTGTAGCACCAGCTTGGTCTTGAGCTCGACGTCCACTAGAGGATACAGTGAGATCTTCTCGCGATCGTGCTTCATAAGCTTCCTTGACGAAGTGAGTGCATCCTTGGCACCAGTAACAGTGAGTTTGGGAGCTGTGCTGCTGCCAAAGTCCAAGCCCATATCGTTAAAGTTGGATGAAGCAGTTGTCGATGGTCCAAAGTCCAGGCCCATGTCGTTGGAGGGGGCAAAGCGAGAGCCGCCGCCGCCAAAGTCCAGGCCGAGGTCACTGGATGCGTTGTTGTTGTTACTGCCGCCTCCAAAGTCCAAGCCCATGTCATTGTTGTTGCTGGAGCTGAAGCGTGAGCTGCCGCCTCCAAAGTCGAGATCCAAGCCCATGTCGTTGTTGTTGCTAGAACCGAAGCGAGAGCTGCCGCCGCCAAAGTCCAAACCCATGTCAATGTTGCTGGAGCCGAAGCGAGAGCCTCCACCTCCAAAGTCAAGTCCGAGATCGAAAGAGTCATTCTTTTCCTCCTTGGGCTGTGCGATTGCCGGCACCACCTGTGCCTCCACTGGCTCATCCTCAATGGTGGGCGCCACAAGCTTGGGGTGCGACTCCTCCAGCGCGCCAATATGTTCCAGTGCGAGATAGGAGCAGCCACTATTCAGATAAGAAAATACACTGTTGCGCAGGAATGGTGCGTCCTTCTTCTTCTCCTCAGACACCTGTTTGAGAAGCACGTGGTTCTTGAGGAAGCGGAAGAAGTAGAGCACCGAGGGGCCCATGTCTGACGTCTTGAGATGCGTGGAGATGTTGACCACGGTCTGTTTGATGTTGGTGGGTGGCGATGAGATAGTGGACGTACGAGAGCTGGCCGTAAGTGATGATCGCGAGCTGGTGAGTGAGATCGATGGAGAGGCGAGCTCAGAGTCCAGCCTCTTGTTGCCGTCCTCGATGGAAGAGCCTGGCAGGAGGACCTTGAGCGAGTCCTCGTACTTCTTGGTGAGCCAGTTGGCGATGCTCAAGAGACAGCGGTCGCCAGTCTTCTTGGCGTGCGGGATGACATGGTCGTGCAGGATCATGTTGCCCGTGGGGCCATTGTCGCCTTCAAACAGTCTGGCGACGACGTAGGCAAGCTGGAAATCGCCCTTGACCTGAAGGATCAAGTTGATCGCCTGCTTCAGATCGCCCGCCAGCAAGAACATCGATGCGGCCAGGTCGTACTTGTGCTTGGATTGCAACAAGAAGGCACTCTTGGCTGCAGCGTTGATACTCTTCTGCTGGGTAAAGTCCTGCTGCAGGAACTCAACACGCTTGACATCTTTGGTGGCTCTGTGCAGCGCGATCAGTGATCCTTTCTTGTTGAGTGCGATGTAGTAGAGCGCACAATCACACGCATCCTTGTTGATCATGTATGTTGTCTTGGCCAGCTGCTCGATTGTCGAGCGCAGTGTGTTTGGACTCTTGATCCAGAGACCTGCGCCAAGCTGTCGAAGATCCTCCCACAATGGTTCGGAAGGGAAGCAACTCTTTAGGATGGTCTCCTGGGCCTCCGAGTGCAGGGCCCAGAGCATCTCAGACGCGCTCAATGATAGAGGACGGTCTGCTGGATTCATAGAGGCGCGAAGGAACTGGAAGATCTTGACCAGCAGCAGGAACCTGGAGCCGTTCTCGTCAAGGCCTCCACGCATCTCGCCAATCTGGCCATATGTATCTGAGAGTGCAAGCAATTGGATCTGCTCGCTGTTCAACAGGCCAGCCAGCTTGATCCTGGAGAGAATCTCATTCATCTTGGTCGCCTGTCGCTTTGTGAATATGTTGGCGTCGTCCAATGTGGAAGTGTTGCCACCAGCGCTAGAGTCTTGGTCATTGTCATTGTCGTTGTCGTCGCCATCCTCATTGTTGCTGCTCTTCTCTTCCTTGTCAAAGTAGTTGCTGTTGATACGATCAATGTCGTCTTCGCAGCCCGCCTTCTTGTTGACCTCGGTTGGCGCCGCATCAAATAGTATCTCCTCAATCTTCATCTGAGGCAGATGGATGGGCAAAGTTGGAAGATCGTCCGCGTCGGCATCCTCGTCGTCATCCAGCGAGTACTTCTCGATAAGGTAGCTCGAGACGAACTTGAGTATCTTCTCCACCTTGTCAAACTTGCCTGCCATCATGTACTCAGTGAGCACCTTGGGGTGATAGTATGGCAGGGCTCTGTTGAGGTGTGAGTGGCGGTGATGGACCGTCTCGACAGAGATGGGCGTCTCCTGCATTGAGAGCAGCTGCTGGTTGGGCTTGATCCACTTTGAGAAGACCACAATCTGGTTGCCTGTGGCGGCAAACACTTCGAGGTCACGGCCCCACTCAACGCATTGGATTGGTGAGGTCAGCTCCGAAGTGAAGCGATGTGTCTCGACCCAGGGCATCTTGTATGAGCCGATCATCCTGTCTACAGGCTTGCGGAGTACGCGCACCTGGTTACGGTATCCCACGACCACACTGGCGGAGCCATCCTCAAAGTGGGCAAAGCTGAAGCAGCATGCACCGCTACCAATCTCCTCGCCACCATGTATCTCCAGTGTGTTGCTGAGTGATGTAGCGTTGTTGTTTGTGTTGCCAGCGTTGACAACATCAAAGTCGCCAAAGCGGATAGTCTCCTCCAGTTGTAGCTTGGGTGTGTTGGACTCGAGCTCCCAGATGTGTATCTCTGGGTTGCCGTTGGTGAAAGGAGTGGTGGCAAAGCGACCAAAGTAAGCAGGCTTGACACTGACGACTGGATGCTGGTAGGCATCATAGCTGCAAGCCTCGGTGAGACGCCACTGCGGCTGGTTGGTCTCGGTGTCCTCTGGATTGGTCTGTGGCGTGAGTGACCACAGAGAGATGCTGCCCTCCACATTGCCAGTGATGCAGATTGGATGTGAGAGCATTGTCTCGAAGCCCATGGGTTTTGATGTCGTGTCTGTTTCGTCCACAGCGACGTTCTCGTAAAGAGGCTTGGTGGAGACACCGTTGGAGATGCCCTTGGTTGCGCCACAGATGCATGAGATGCGAGTGTCAAACTCTTTGACAGCCAGCAGCTTGGAGGAGATGAGCGAGGGCGGGGTGCTGGGCGACACGTTACCAGCGGTGGCCTCCTGTATTGCGGGGATGGCGGCAGAGGATGCCAGACCTGATACAGATTGGCGCCAGTCACCATTCTTTGGCTGCTCCACGGCTAACGCAGCATTCTTGTGATGGCTGGACTGACGATCAATTGAGACGCCCCACACGTAGAGTCGGTCGCCGTCCTTGCTAAGACCCACCACCAGATACTGATGCATTTGGAGCTCGGGTGGATAGAGATTGCGCTGCGGCTCGACGACATGCACCTCGTCGATGTACTCAGCGGCGTTGGCAAAGCTCGAGTGTTCAATCACACCAATGGGCAGCTTGAGAGGTCTGTTGTTGTGGTCGTGGCTATCGACCTGGTACACCATGATGCCCTCGGGGCTGGCCGCAAAGACAAAGTTGTGGTTGGGCGACCATGTGAGCGAGCTGACTGTGTTGCCAAGCGTGCCAATATCCATAAGTCGATAGTTTGACTGTATCCTGCTAGAATCTGATGTTGTATGCCATAGTATAGTATTGTTGTCACGATCAATTGATGAAAGATATGGCGATGACAGCGACACGTTGACCTTCTTGATCGCTGCCCTATGTCCTGAGCATCTAGATGTTGGGGATGTCGTTGCGCTGTTGAAGAGAGGGATGAAGGTTAGAATGGAGCATGTTCGCGAGTAACATTGATACTTTACATCTGTGATTGATGAGTTTGAACAAAGAACTTGCGACAGGAGATGGCGCCGGTGAATGAGTTGACACAGATGGTAATGGAGGATGGTGTGTTGTCAGAGTTGGAAACGGGTTGATAGAGGGCAATGATGCGGTTGGGTCCAATCTCTTGAGGCGACAGGATCTGTGAGTTGATCCAGATCTGAACGGACGAGGTCTGGCGACTGGCTGAATCATCAGTCTTGAGCTTCCACACGACGAGCGTGCCATTGGGCTTCATCGAGAGGATGTAATCGTGCACGGGCTTTGACTTGACCAACTGTATATCCTTCTGTCGCAGCACAACTGGGTTCTTCAAATCTGTGAGTAATTGGTTGGAGTGTTCTGCGTTGTCATCATTGTTGTTGGTGGTGGTTGTGCTGGAAGTTGTGTTGCTGGCGGTTGTCGATGATGTGTTGCCGCTTTCCTGTGACGACGACGACGAAGATTCGCCACTTGTACTTGATGAGTGAGATGAGGTCAATGGGAACACCCAGTCGACAGACTCGGAGCCGGCCGAGATGATGTTTGACACATTGAACTGAAGACGCTGCGATTGGCGTGACTGCTGCCAGAGACGTACGACGCCATCCTTGCAATTGGTCAGCAGAATGTTTGTGGGGGCCGCTGGACCACCACGGACGCGCCATGAGATCCACGACACTGATCGTGGATGTGGCAAGTATATGAATCCATAGGACTCAAACTCGATCTTCTTGGCCTTCTTGAGCTGGGACAGCCTGGGCACGGCAGGCGACGAAGAGACGAGCGAGGGCGATGCCGAACCATCGGTCGGGGCGTCCAGCGCCGGCTTCTTTAGCGTGTACTTTGGCTCTTTGCTTGTGAGCTTGTTGAACTCGTCCTTGAAGTAGCCCTTGGCGCGTTTCACCTCCACGGGTGCTGCCGGTGCCTCCTCCACAGTGGTGGTCTGAGTGCGCGAGACCACCTTGGGCTGAACGTACCAGACCTTGAGCATCCTGTCGCACTTGCCCGCCGTGGCGAACATCTTTCCATCGGGTGCCGCAGCCGAGTAGTAGATTGGCTGTGAGCAGTCTGTGCGCCATATGATCTGTGCCTGCTTCTTGAAGATCTTTTGCTCGCGAGCTCCCATGCGCAACGCATCGTGGGCAGTCCTCGTCGAGATCTGGCCGGTTGTGACAGCGGCCTCTTGATTCTTTGCGATCGCATTGTTCTTGCGTATCTGTTCAACATCGATCTTCCACAAAGCCAAGAACTCGCCACCCACCAAGAATGAGCTGGACGTCAGCCAACACATAGTCGTGATCTCGAACGGGTTGGGAATGACCAACATTCTCTCCCATCTTGGTGGACAGTTCGCAGAGCCTGCTTGTGTATCACTTGTTGTCGTTGTTGTGTCCTAATATTGTTTGATTGATTGAATGTTAGAAGTTGCACGCAGACATGACTGATCGGAGATACATACTGTAACTCTCATGTAGAGGTGTATCTCGTTGGCGGATGCTGTGAGTAGGAGAGAGTCGGTTGCACGCCAACATACTGAGGACACTTCTTGACGATGTCCAGTGAGCACTTGGATCACATTGAGTGATGCACCTCGCAATATATATACATTCTTGTTTGAAGAGTATGCAAAGTATGTCTCATCATTAAAGTGAGTGTTTGAGAATGTATTGGGATTGGGATTAGCTGCACCCGATACTATCTGACTTGGTATCATTATATTATCGATGCTATTATTCCCTTCTTTCCCTTGTTGTTATTGTTGTTGTAGTTGACAGTTCCTTGATTGTTTGAGATTGAATGATTGATTGTTTGATTGATTGATCTTTATCCCTAGAAATAGTAATTGTATATCACTTTATCAATGATGTTGTCTAGATATGTGTATTAATATATATAATAAGTATGTATATGTTTACAAGATCATTGAATGAATGAATCCATGAACTACTTCCAATGAAATCTCTTGATTCAAAAAAAGGAACTTCATTCCCTGGGACCAATCACCACTTCACACAATGTATTTTGAAACAAGTCATACCTAAGATATTATTATTGATCCCACTTTATTACTTAGATAGAGATAATAAATGTTAACTAGATTACCAAAGTTATTATTGAATAGCCAAACAAAACTAAGACTTCTTAATAATAATAATGATATAATTAGAGTTAGAAGAGGTATAAGATATCACTCCACTCTATTTGATAACAATGTTATCTAACAATCAACAACAACATTGTAATGATTGTATAAATAAGTATCAACAAAAACAAAGTGAAGAACAATATGATAAATTCAATCAACAACAACATTGTCGATTCCTAAAGTATGGTATACCAATTGGATTACTAGTGATTGCTTCACCATTCCTAGTAATGATGAATAGAAAATATTATAATTACCATAATAAGAGGATTCATTTGAATGTGGATCATATCCTCTAATTCCAGATTACAAGGAATCGGAATTGATTGATAGAAGTGAAGACCTCAAAGAAATTACAAAGATATTGAATACCTCTGATTCAAAGAATGGACGATTCCATTTAATAAGTGGAGAGGTATTCACTGGAAAGACAACACTAATACTCCAAGCATGTAAACAAGTTGGCAAAGGTGTTGTATATCTATCAGCTCCAACAAGAGAGGACTCCTTTGGTCATGAACTTGGTAAAGCTTTCCAATATGACTTTGGAGAAGGATCACATTCCCTATCATCTTATGACTGTTATCGTATTCTTAGACCCATCATTGCCGAAGCTGTTTAAAAAGTACAAGGCCAAACATGGTAAACCACCTGTGATCATCTTTGATGAAGCTGAGAATCTAGCTCAAAATGATCGAAATATGTTGGAGATATTACAAAGATATGGACAAGAATGTACTTATCATAATGATTTGGTATTAGTATTTGTTATATTGGTGATGTTGGATATAATAATGCAATCAAATATTTGATTAATAATCAAGTTGAAGAGTCATTGTCAAATGAATTCGTGAACAATCTAATTGGTGGAAGAATAGAGTTACTCAATCATTGTATTGGTTATGTAGTAAGAGATTATATGGACTTTAAATCAATTAAATCATTATTATATAGTGATATAAGATCAAGAGAATTAGGTATTAATATTATGGAGTATAGATCAATCTTTCAAGAATTGTTAGACAAGAAGGTAATGCTTTGGAATAGAATGTGCGAAGTTGAACCAAACAGGGACAAAGTTATAAAGTTTGATAGACATCACAACAAACTTATATCCAGTGAAGGATGTTATTATAAGTTCAAGTCACCAGTTATTGAAGCATATGTCAAAGAGTACCTAAACTATGGTGATCCATTGAAGTAATCCCATGACCAACCCTGGGAATCATCATCCCCTTTTTGGAAATGAGAGTTTATCAAATCATTTTAATTAAAAATTTAATTTAAAGTCAATCTTGAAGATCAATCACTTGTTTTAGAGATAGATAGTGATAGAGATAGAGATAGAGTGATGTCGATACAAGTGTTGACAAATATAAATAGGTCATTAAGTGTGACACACATATCTAGATCATCATCTTGGTTATACAATAGATTGAGTACAACATGTACAGCAACAACAACATCATCATTGTCATTAGCAAAGAGACATATATTCTACAACAATAACAATAATAATAATAATATACTATTTAAAAGATACTATAACAACAACAACATATTGATCAATAATAACAACAACTACTACAACAACAATGTACATTTAAGATACTACTCATCAGACTCAAAGAATGATGATCAGAAAAAGAGTGATGATAAAGATAGTGCAAAGGATAGCAAGAAGAAGAGCAATAGCGAAAGTGATAAAGATGGTGACAAGGACAAAGATAAAGAAGGTGGCGGAGGACCTTCAATGGGAAGTGGCCCCTTAAAGATATTAAGTATGTTTTCTAATGAATAGCAACCAATCACTGCTCAATCTATCTTACTAACTATGTTTATGTTTGATTGAATAGACATTGCGATACTATCATTTGGATTGATATTGTTGCTTGCAGAGGTGTTCAGCTTTGGAGACAAAGGATACATTGACTATCATACATTCCGTTCGACCATCCTTCCATCTGGCACAATATTGAAGATAATGTTGACGCCCAACACGGCCTATATCTATGCCAAGACACCCGAGGGCATCAGACTGTACAAGATCAATGTGCCCAGTGTCGATGACTTCCAACGCAAGCTGGAGCACGACCAGACTGAGCTGGGCGTCGAGTTGGGTGACCAGGTGTTTGCATCGTATATCACCGAGAACAGACTGGCCCGCGAGATCATCGCCATATTGCCAACAGTGTTCTTTGTCATGGCCATCTCATACTTCTCCAAGAGTATTGGCAGCATTCTGGGCAAAGGTCCAAGCAGTCTGTTTGCACCAAAGTCCAAGGCCACACGTGGACAATCGACCACCACATTCAAGGACGTGGCCGGCATGGATGAGGCCAAAGAGGAGATCATGGAGTTTGTCGCATTCTTGAAGAAACCAGAGAAGTACAAACGACTCGGCGCCAAGATCCCCAAGGGCGCCATCCTTGTCGGACCGCCAGGCACGGGTAAGACCCTGCTGGCCAAGGCCACGGCTGGCGAGTCTGGCGTGCCATTCTTCACCATCTCTGGCTCAGACTTTATCGAGATGTTTGTTGGTGTTGGTCCATCCCGTGTGCGAGAGTTGTTCAAGGAGGCGCGAGCCAGTGCGCCATGCATCATCTTTATTGATGAGATTGACGCGGTGGGCAGATCACGTTCGCGTGGAGGATTTCATAATGACGAGAGAGAGAACACACTCAACCAGCTGCTAGTGGAGATGGATGGCTTTGGCACAACTGAGGGCGTTGTTGTGTTTGCTGGTACCAATCGACCAGATGTGCTCGACTCGGCCTTGCTGCGACCAGGTCGCTTTGACAGAACGATCTACGTGGGCGAGCCCGACATCAAAGGACGCAAGGACATCTTCATGGTACATCTCAAGAACATCAAGATCGAGGACAAAATGGAAGATCTTGCCAAGCGACTGGCGACACTCACACCGGGCTTCTCTGGTGCCGACATTGCCAACGTCTGCAATGAGGGCGCTCTGATTGCCGCGAGAAAGAACGCGACTGTTGCATCGTTCAAGCACTTTGAAGAGGCGATTGAGAGAGTGTTGGTGGGACTGGAGCGAAAGAATAGAGTCCTGTCTAAAGAGGAGAGGATCATTGTGGCGCATCATGAGGCTGGACATGCCATCGTAGGATGGTTCCTGGAGCATACCGACCCATTGCTCAAGGTATCCATCGTGCCGCGTGGCATGGGCACCCTTGGCTTTGCGCAGTACCAGCCAAAGGACCAGTATCTCTACACCCGTGAGCAGTTGTCCGATCGCATCTGTGTCACGCTGGGTGGTCGTGTAGCCGAATCAATCATCTTTGGCCGCATATCCACTGGTGCCCAAGATGACTTGGAAAAGGTCACCAAGATTGCCTCGTCCAAGGTCGTCCACTATGGTATGAACGAGCGAGTTGGTGTCATATCATTCAAGAAGGAGAACAATAATGACATCACCATCGAGAAGCCCTATAGCCAGGCAACATCCAGAATGATCGACGAGGAGATCAGAAAGATTGTGATGGAGTCCTACGACAGGACACACGCCCTTCTCACCAGCAAGAAGGATGAGTTGCTCAAGGTTGCCGCCGTACTGCTAGAAAAGGAGGTGTTGCTCCGCGATGACCTTAGAGAGTTGCTTGGACCAAGACCATATGGAGAGAAGACTACATGGGCAGAGTTGACCGGTGAGACTGAGACACCACCATCACCATCACCATCGTCGTCATCATCATCATCATCAACAACGACAAGTGGAGACAACAATGTGGAATCACCAAAGGTATCTCAATAATGTATAATTTGTATTACAATGTAGTGTATTGTGTAGTCTCTTCATCACTTTAATTGATCAAATGCTCGGATCAGGTCTTGGTAGGTTGATTGCCGACCAGAGATGCCTCCTCTCTGGCCCTTGATCCTCTCCATAAGTAGTTTGACTTCTTCTGGCGTTAGAAATGGTGCCACTATGATATATGTATCCATTGTTGGACGAATGAGTGATAGTTCCATATCATACAATGTAGACTTGATATGTTGTCCTGCACCAACATTAGCCAATATCTCCAAGATGTCATTATAATTGGTAATACTAAGTAGTAGTCCATCGACCAGAATCATATTCTTGATTGAGTTGATAACATTGATGAACATTGTTGTCAATAACAACAAGTCTTGTTCTTCTGTCTGGATATTGTTTGAGCATATCCTTAGACCATTAAGTAACGAGCCATAAGCTTGTGAACCATATCCTTGTATTGATGTTGCCAATTTAACAAGATCACCAAGTCTTTGATGTTTGCCAAGATGTTTGAGCAGTGTAGTGTACTCCTCGTCAATGTCATTGTGTAGGCCAGCTCCCCATGATGTCAATGATTGTATAAAGTATGGTATAATATATACACTTAGTTGTTCAAATGTGCAGTTGTGTATCAGATGTGACAGTGTTTGATCACTTGGGTATGTCTTCAATATTGACACTATCTCCGAATCTGTGAGAAGCACATGTTGTCCTTGTTGCCCTTGTGATTGTTGTTGTAGTTGTTGATGTTGCCTCAATCTCAGATTATCTTGTTCAATCATTTGCTCAATATCACTTGACTTGTTGTTACTGCCAGTGACATTGTTGTTGTTGTTGTTGTTGTTGTTGTTGGTATGATAACGTGGTCGACCAATCTTGTTGTCAATGAATGCTGAGCATGTTGGCGACGACAATTGTGTTGTTATTGGAACTCGAATACCAAGAAGTAATGCACTTGTTCGAATACATTTATGACTAGACACAACTATTCTGCAAGACAACATTCTAATACCTGTATCATCAAGAACAAAGAGTTAATATCTAATGGATAAGTTGAAGTTGACCAAACCAAATGGATCATTTCTTGAACTTCTGTCTACCTTTTCAAAGGAAGGTTGGATGAGAAACCATTTGCCAGAAAGAAGATGGAACATGTTAGCTGGTAATCAACCATAAATATATGTTATACAATGTGATGATGGAGATAAAGATAAGTAAGTTGATGGATGATTGGCTGGGCCTAGGGTGCACAAAGGTGATCGTCTTACTTTGAATTCCCAACAAACAAACAAGCAACTATGGTTAATCGTTACACGGTAAATTTAAAGCGACCGCCGCGGATATAGGAGTGTCTCTCACTTCGAACAACAACAGGTGGAGTCATGGTTGCAATTGCCGCCGTGATGAAACAAAACAACATCCTGGGCTCTCCTAGTCGGGGAGCTCTTCAAAACATCCGCGACGGTGCGCAACTACTCTCAAGCCCAAACCCTATTGCCTCACTCTACTCCTGTTACTATGTGTCAATGATCATCAAGTATCCGTCCATCTCCAACATGATCATGTAGTAGTTGACCTTTGTCTGTCTGTCTGTCTCTAAAACCAGATTGATCAATCACAAGTCCCTGTTCATTCAAACGAACAACAACAAGCAATGACGATCAAAAAAATAACTCTTTCAGGGACATGGTAAGAATCCGTTTCAAAGACCAATCCTGGTTGTCCAAGGAGACCTCCTAGTGTTGTGCGCCCTTCACAGTCACATCACCCCTTGGACTCGAGTGCATGATGAAACACCACCCAAAATTGGTCCGCTCTCTTCAAGAAGACCTCGCACCAGGAGGCAGCTGATACTCACACTAGTAGCCCGTTTTTTGTGTGCATCTCACCATTCAATGCTTGTTTGAAAGAATAATAATAAGCGAATATCTATGACCACACGAGTCCCACGAAGACCCACACTCACGTCAACAACAGCAACAGCACTAACAACACACACAAAAAAGAAAGAAGAAGAGTAACTCTCAAACTAATCTTGAGACCAATATCGTCGACGTGACACTCGCATCCAATCCAACCTTTTCCTTTCATTTCCTTGATTTATTCAAAGATATACTTTTATTATTATTATTACTACTTGAAACTTAGATAACTTATATATTAAGAAGTAAATATCTTTACACACTACAAACAAACAATCATCTTTATAGAGTCTTTAAAGATTATATAGTTAGTGCAATGTGTGGAGTGGACACAGATTGTAATCATCATCTCTCTTTGATAGGTCCTTCTTACATTTACACACTTACAAATAATATACATTTGATTAACAACAGACGATGATGATGATGATTATTGACAATCAACAACAAACACATCACCACACTACCACAGCCACAGCCACTACCACGACCAACAACAACACCCCTCTTCGCAAGCCGAATTGAATTGAAATGAAGGTGGACGATATCTTTAAGGGTTGTATACCTTCTATCTATCCATTCCCATTCTTTCATTCATTCATTTATTTATTCATTCATTCACTGTTCATTCGCAACACATATACACAAATATTATCTTTGCTCATTGTCCTCAGTCATTCATTCATTCATTCAATACACACACATAAACAACTTGTTATTACAGCCGCAGTAACAGCCATTACTCGGCAGATTTTAATACCACCACCGGACGCATGCATCCATCCTCACTGATATCACCAACAACACAATTAATCAATCAGTCAATCAAACAAACAATCAAACAATTACAAACATTTTACTAACTAACAAACAAACATTGGTCGACGATCATTCTCACTCAACTCACTCTTCATTCTTTCCTCTAACTCTAGCAAGAAGTCCGAATATATATCATCATATATTTAATTTAAGATCATTACAGGCGCACTCAACATCATCATCACCATCAACCTAACACTTTATATATATACATATAATATAATTACACAACAATGAGTCATCTCGAGGCAGACCCAACACTCAAGTCCTACGCTGACATCCATGGAGAATGGGAACACAGAGAGATCACCATCTTTGGTGCTGTCAAGAGTTTCATTGGCCAGCTTGGCATTGGTCAAGAGTTGACAAAGTAAGTTATTATGATTTGAGCGAATGAGCGAGACAGAGACAGAGAGACAGGTGTACAGAGGGTCAGAAGTGATTGACGCATCATCATTACAGGGTCAGCATGCCATCAATCTTCTTGATGCCATACTCTATTCTTGAGCTGGCAGCATCTCGCTATTTGAAGTTCTTCCACTTGCTGTCCGGGTAAGTTGTTATCTTAATGGTACATGTCCACGATCAATCACTTATTCATTCATTCAATCAATCAAACAGAGGACTCTATGAGGCAGACCCAACTAGAAGGATGGCGATAGTTATCCAATACTTTTTGTCATGTATCACCGATGGAAATGTAGGTCTATTGTATTGGAGAGAGATAGAGATTTAGGGGATACACAGACACTAATCGATCAATCGATCAAACAATCAATCAAATAGTTCACAAAGAAGCCATATAATGCTTTGCTTGGTGAGACACATCAATGCTTTGTCAGATACCCAACATATGAGGGCGAGGGCACTACCACTGCCAGGTACATCGCCGAGCAGGTCTCCCATCATCCACCCGTCACTGCATTCAGGATCGAGACTACAGAGGGTGTCTCAATGGACGTATGTACTCATCATTCTTAAGTGTGGACCATCTCAATATCATGTACTAATCACAACATCATCATCAATATCAAACAGGCAAGCGTACAGTTCTTGGCCAAGTTCCACATGAACTCGGTGTCAGTACTTACCTCTGGCTCCATCATCATCTCTTTGACTCTTAAGGACGAGTCGGGCAAAGAGTTCAAGGAGGAGTATGTGATTGATAAGGGTCTGCCCGACGCCATTGTCAAGAACGTCATCTTTGGCACTAGAACGATCAACTGGACGGACGCCGTCGACATCATGTGCCAGTCGACCAACATCTCTGCCGTGCTACACTTTGACAAGAACGAGTTTGTCAATGGCCAGATCTGTGTGATCAACGAGGAGACCAGCGACGAGGAGCTCGCCGCCACCGTCAACGGCTACCTCAACAACATCGTCAATATCGAATACCACGAGGCTGGAAAGAAGGTCAAGAAGTCAAAGAAGAAGTCAAAGAAGTCTAAACATCACAAGGACAGCCCAACCGACACTGTCCTGCTCGAGTCTGGCGCATTGACTCCCAACACCACCCTATACCCTAAGCAAGCCGACTTTTCTTCGTTAAAGTATGTAACCTTTGATCACTCCTTGTAGCCGACAAGATAACTAACATGACCTCCATGCGACTCTTGTAGTATTTGGAAAGAGGTTACCAAGCATATTGTTGACGGCGATATGGCCTCGTCCGACATTGTCAAGAAGGAGATTGAGGATGAGCAGAGAAAGAGATTGAAGAGCGCCAAGGAGGACGAGAAGAAGGAGCGAGTGTTCTTTAAATTCGACGAGGAATCAGAGCGCTGGGTATTCAAGGGCTTCCCAACACCCAACTAAGGCCTTTGTTTGTTAAGTTAGACATCATCACTCAATCACAACTCACTCAATTGCATAAGATAGATATGATAAGATCACTCAGTTTGACGAACAACGCGCGTTGGTAACAAACTACCAGGCAACACACAATCCTGTTGCTTGTCCACACGACGTCCATCGTTACAACTGAGCAACACGAAACACTTTCACCAACACCTACACCCACATACACCAGTCATCCAGGATGTCGATCGTTTGTTATGAGACGACCTGACATCCAATTGCTACCTTCATACCAACCAACCAATCAACCTGCCATCAACCAACCAACCTCACTCGCCCACCAATGGCCTTGTCTACAAACCCGGGTTTGTACTACTACCAAGTTCCAATTGGACATTGTTTACCCAACCTCCCTACCTCCCCTCCCCTTCCCTCCCCTCCCTATGATTGAATTAATAAACATTGCTCCCTCTTCTTTCTCGTCTCACTTAATGATCATCATTTCCTTTACTTTACTTCCTTGCCTTTCTGAGCGAACCCTCAGCAGCAAACTGAGCCAAATACTTGGTCTCAAGGGCACGAGCGTTGGTGACGGACTCGGGGTCGGCAGCGTTTGGCATGCGAAGGTCGAGGTGGTGAGCGCCACCCTCGATGACGATGGGGATGATGTTGTTGGGCGACTCGGTGGTGACACCGCCGGCTCTCCATGGGTCCAACACACCATTGCTAAAGATGATGTTGCTGGCAGCAACCATGTCCGAGCCCTGGTAGTAGGTGGTGATCCAGTTGGCGTTGGGGGTGACGTCCCAGGTCTGCTGGCAGTACTCGTTGAGCTGCGACAGACTCCATGGGGCAGCGGGGAACATGTCCTGGATGCCGTTGGCCGAGATGGGCATCACCATCTCTGTGCATGCCTGGTAGTCCCAGAGGTTGGAGCCAAGTGCCGATGTGGTGTACACAGACACGTTGTTGCACTGACCGGCCTGACCTGTCGAGTTGAAGTACACATTCATCACCTGTACCAGACCCTGAATGTCATTGGTCTGCTGAGCCAACAAAGAGCACGACACATTGATTGGGTTGCCTGGCATTGGCTCCAAGAAGTTGGCTGGGTAAGGATAATCAGCCATGGCCATGTATGTGATGGCAGCCTCGAGCCAGTTAACCAATTGATCCACTTTTGATGGTTCCAGATGATTGATTGAGTGAGTGTTTGGAATGATTCCAGGATGGTGAGGGAGTCGTCAGTAAGATGATCATCAGCCAGAGACATGGAGGACAGACCAGCCAGATACTTACAGTTGTCCAATGGCTCGCAGAGGTCAAAGATTTGAGTAAGCTGAGTGAGACCAGTTGGGGTGTTGGACATGGTGTTGATTTGGTTGAARGGCGTTGCGAATGCGAGTGGCGCATGTACCCTCTGAGCTGGTCTGAGCAAAGTCGACGGTGGCAATCTCGTTGAAGCCTTCGGACGATGCGCCAGTGCCAAGGAAGTAGAGGATGGGAGCCGAGGCGGCGAGAGCACCATCGACCACGTTGGGGTACTTCATGCGGAACCATGAAGCAAGCATACCTCCATAGCTGCCACCGACGGCGAGCACGGGGCAGTGAGAGATGTCCATGTCGGCCATGACGGCCTGCAGCAGCTGGGCGTAGTCGGCCAAAGCCTGCTCGCTGGTCAGGTAGCCAAGGTTCTCTGGTGTCGATGAGTTGTCGCCAAACGGCATGGTGGCGCCGTAGTAGCGATGCTCGGCAAAGATGAGCAACGCGCCAAACTGCTGGGCGAGCACGTTGGTGACAAACTGCGAGTTCTCGTAGAACAGCGTGATGTCACCTTCGTTACCAGTGTAGAAGAGCACGGGCGAGGTGCACACGGATGCGCCGGGTTGTGGTGGGTTCCAGTAGGTGGTGGAGACGAGGTAGCGCTGGGCAAACTCGCCTTGGTTGTGGAAGTTGAAGTGGTCCAATGTCTGCATGTAGTAGTACTCGTCGTAGGGTGGTGGAGATGGGTCGTCTGGGTTGGATCTGATGCCCTTGTTACGAATGCTGTAGTAAGGGTATGGTGATCGCACGCGGTGGTACATCTGCTCGGCAGTGGCCAATGCGGCCAACAATAGCACAAGTGATGACAATACTGTTAGTTGTTTGATCATCATCTTGATGTATGTGTGTGAGTGTCAAACAGATAATGATAATATATGTGTGTATATCTGATCAGATGATTGATTGATTGATTTGGCAGTGTGAGAGTGGGTGTGTTTGATCAATCCTCAACAGAACATTCAAAGGTGGCTTCCCGATTGTTTCAATTGGCCCAAATATCTTTGCTTGTAGAACCTTGGGACTTTGCTCTCAACAACATGAAGCCCACAATTATGGGTTGACGAGTAGCCATTTAATGGGTCAATACCATCTAAAGTGATGGTATTGCCTGGGACAGATCCAGACCATCGGTATTCATTCAAAGTGAATCAGTTTGTTTGTATAACAATCATACAAATACATATTATTATTATGATTGGTTGGCTTGTGCTTTTTTTGTATCTTTTTTGATAGTTTTCATCCACATAAGTTGTGTGTCGACAAAAAACGACGATCGAAGTCCTGCAGGTTCGTCAAAGTTTTGTCATTCATCAATCAATCAATCATTTGTTATTGGTAATATAACTTATTACATATATTTATATACATAGATAGAGATGTTGACCAGAAAGTTGCTTTCAAATACATTGAGAGCTGCATTGCAGCTTCAAACAAAGAGTTCATCATCGATGACTCGTTGTTATTCTACATCATTCAGCAGATCTACGTTGTTCAACAACACTGCTCAATATATTCGCATTGCATCTTTAAACAACATACAGTACAACAATGGAAGCAGCATGCGACTCTACTCTAGCTCACATACAAAGGCACCAAAGGACGAAGAAGACGATAAAGAAGTTACAAAGAAGACTTCAACAAAGGAGACCGAGACCGAGACTGTGGTCGAGATCGAAGAGGAGTCGCTCGATGACGACAAGGAGCTCGAGCAGAAGAAGCTGAAGATCAAGCAGGAGCTGGAGCGTCGTGTACAAGAGGCGCACAACAAGAGACAGGCCGCCGCCGCAGCGGCAACCGCCACAACCACATCTGGAGAGACACAACAGGAGCAGCAGAAGCAGCAGGCAGGCGAGCAGGACAAGGCGTCGGGACAGGAGCAGCAGGATGGACAGCAGCGCGCAGTCGATCAGGCTGTCGTGTACGACCATGTGGAGCAGACCAGAATGATCTACCGCATCTTTGGCTTCAGTGTCACTGCATTGATCGGCTTAACTCTGTACAAGGTGTACGAGGATGGTATCTCATTCCTCAAGCCACAATTTGACCCAATGAGGATCATCACCGACGCCTACCAAGACCATCACACATTGTTCGAGACTGGCTCAGACGAGTTCAACGCCATGTGTCCACCAAACACTGTCATGAGCGATAGTAGACTTGTAAGTAGTTGTGCACTTGTCTCAGAGACATACAGACGACTGAGACAGACCACTGACTCATTCAACCAATCAATCAAACAGATCACATTTAGAATCCCAAGCGAAGACATTATGACTTTGGTTATTCCAATCATTCAGAAGTCTTCAAGGTCGTTGGTGGCCACTGGTAACATCGATCTCCTTAAGGAGGGCAACGTGTTCAGAGTGAGCAACCTGTACATCGACGTGGTCAATGGTCTCCACTTCAACATTGACATTCCCAACATCAAGTACGACATCACCAGCGAGAAGTACAATGGAATGTTCCAACTTGAATAAACATAACATGTTCCCAATGACATTATACGATTTGTATTGTGTTTAAGTTAGGGTCGTCTTGTTGACTTCAACATGGTTGGTTGATTGGGGACTTGTGGATTGAGCCTACATTGACTTCTTCAATTGCTTCTTTATCTTGATTGACTCCAGTACCTGCTTGAGCTTCTTCATCTTCAGTGGCTTCATCAAGAAGTCTGTGGACAGAAGGACATGATGTTAGTTCGATTGATTGATTGAATTACGGATGATGATAACATACCATCCATTCCCATGGACTGACAGAACTCTTTGGAGCCATCAAGTACTGTGGCAGAGAGGGCTATGATCACTACTCTAGGCCTGTTGGCAATCTGTTCGTAGGATCGGATCATGAGACTGGATTGAGTGCCGTCACAGTTGGGCATGGTAAGGTCCATGAATACAAGGTCATATTCGCCATCCTTATACTTGCTGAAACCTTCATTGCCATCTTCTGCCTGGTCACACTCGTAGCCAAGCTTTGACAGCTGCATTGATATCACCTTTCGATTGACCAAGTTGTCTTCCACCAACAATATCTTCAATGTCGTGTGATTGTTGTCCAATAGCTCGAGGGATTGCTTCCTAATGGACTTCTCATTGAGCGATCCAAGGTTGTTGTAGAGTTCTTCGTAGTCTTGTCGTATTATCCTCAGTAGGTTGATGCTGGACATTGGCTTGGTGAGCAGTATGTACTTCCTTGTCTTGGGCACCAGCTTGGAGTTGGCAAAGTTGGTGACCAGCACCACCTTGACTGGCATGTTCTTACAGTACTCGGCAGTGTCGGCTGCGAGCTTGATGAAAGTGTTGATGTCCTTGTGCTCTCGATGTACGATCATGATCATGTGTAGGTTCCAGCTGGCAAACATCAGTCTCCAGTTATGTGTGCTGCTATCACTCAGGTAGAGTATCTCCTCGAGTGACGCACTGTTCATCTCGTGCACATTGGTGACCCAGAGTTGGTGCATCTTGTCCACAGTCACCTTGGAGCCAAACGCATAGTCGTCCACAATCAAACAGAGTGGCATCACTGTTGGCTCTGGATCACGGACTAGCTCTGTTGTAAATGGTGTCATTGGTGGCTGCTCCACCTCTTCGAATACTGCCTTGAGTGAGAACACTGATCCCTTTCCAGCTTTGCTCCACTCCAATGTCACCTCACCATCCATTAGCTTGGCAAGGCGACTACAGATGGCCAGACCCAAACCAGATCCACCGTATTTCCTCGTGTTTGAAGCGTCCAATTGGGAGAATGGCTCAAAGAGCAGGGCTCGCTTGTCCGTCTCGATACCAATGCCAGTGTCATGGATGGCCACACATATCTTACACTTGCCCCTGGACCTCTCGACGACTGACACATGTCCATAGATGTGTCCTTGATCCGTGTACTTTATAGCGTTTGATCCAATGTTCAAGATGATCTGGCGCAGTCTGTTAGGGTCTCCAATGAGCTTAGTAGGTACATCCTTCTCAAACAACAATATGATCTCAATCTTCTTCTCCAAGGATATTGAAAGAGTGTTGAACACACCTTCAATGCATCTGTTGTCAAGTCATGGCGGGAAAGTATTGTTAGCAAGTGTTGATGCAACATAAGTGAATGTATAAGAATACATACCCCATGAAGTCAAACTCGATCATCTCCAACTCAAGCTTGGAAGCCTCGATCTTGGAGAAGTCAAGGATGTCTGATGTGATTGATAAGAGTAGCTCGCCAGACTTGTAAATAGTGTCGGCTATCTCGAATTGCTCAGGTGTTAGGTTGGTCGTTAGCAACATCTCTGCCATTCCAATGACACCATTCATCTGTATAATGAGAGTGAGATGTTAGAACATATTGATTTGATTGGGTTTGGTTGATAGTGTAGTGTATACTTACTGGAGTTCTGATCTCGTGACTTATTGTTGCCATGAACTGGGACTTCATTTGGATTGCCTTGAGTGCTCGATCACGAGTCTCGATCAACTCGTTATTCCTCTCACATAGTTGAAGATTGGCTTGCTCCAAAGAGTGTTGGATCTGTTTGGCCTCGGTGATATCTCTGATCACCAACATAATGCCCAAAGAGTATCCATTGTGATCGAATATCTCCCTGAGGAAGATCTCACAGAGCATCTCCTCATTGTTGCCCTTGGTCAATCTGATGTCCTTCACCATTATGTTCTCTGGCTGATTGGCCGCATCCAATGCACATAGATGTCTATATATCTCCTCCTTGCCACGTTCAAATGAGGACACATTCTTTCCAAGACATGTCTCCCTAACGCCCAGTATACTATCAGTGTTTCCAAACTCTCTGATGATCACTCCATGCTTGTTGACCAAGAACACACATGCTGGGAATTGATCCAACAATATCTCTGCCAACAACAACTCCTCTTGGACTAAGTTGGCGTTAGTTAGCTCAAGTTGATTGATTGATTGAATGAGTGGGTGAACATAACATACCTTTCCTTCTTTCAACCTCAACAGAGGCACGCTTGGAAATGGCAGATATGATTGGAGAACTGCCAACGACAGGGTTGAATGGACGCTCGCCCATAAGGAAGATGTGGCCAATAACTTGTCCCATTGAGCCAATCAAAGGGAATCCCATGTAGCTGCTAATTCCATGGCTAGCAAAGAATGGTTCTTGGGGGAATTGGTTCTGGACACTGGGTTGGAGTTAGTTTGAGTGATCTGATGATCAATCAATAAATCAAATATACTTACTCATCAAAGAATACAATCTTCTTCTCATCGTATATCATCTTGCAAGGTCCATTGCAGATGTAGAATGTTCTGCTCTCCAGGTCGGATGTGTTGCTTGCGAAGCATATGTTGATAGCGGCCACGCTCGAGATCAATTTGCACACGCCAGAGTACTTGGCATTGAATGAGTGACATAGTTGTTTGGAGAGCAGATGGAAGAAGTCCTCGGAAGACGATGTGCTGCACTCGACAATGGTGAATAGTAGTGACTCATGTATCCTCCTCTCGGTCTCGTACATGGTCTGCCTGACAATGAACCTCAGCATGAAGCTTTGCATCAACCAGCACATCTCAATCGCATTGATCGGTTGTATTTGTATCTCGCCACATAGTGTTGAGCTAACCAGTGGGATTCGGAACAGGTCGTCCTCGAGGTAGGGCGTGGCATCCTTCCTGTCGTTGAGTGAGCCCAATGTATAGTGCTCGCCCATGTTGCCCATTTGACCGCCTTTATGTTGGAGTATGACGTTCATCTCATTCATCCCACTGCACATCTCTGCGATTGATATGCGCTTGCCAGTGCCAAGAACCTTGATCAGTGATTGAATGATCACTGGGAAGAATGTGTCCCTTGTCGATGATGTGATGGACTCGATGCACTCTAGCTCAGTTGTGTTGTTGACTTGAATCTGAGGTGACAGGTTGCAGGGTGAGAGCTCCAGGTGCAGCCTCTTGACTCTTCGCTTGTCCTTGCGTGGCGTGCATGGCGGGGAGGGCGGGTAGGCATTGGGCAACAATGCATTGGGTGATGTCGATGGCGGTGGAGACACGCCCCCACTGTGCGGTGTGGAGGAAGTGTCATCAGCTGCAGGGTAGTCAATGTCGATCAGGTCGTCGATGTCCTCATCGTCATAGTCCTTGATCATTCCTAGGTCATGGACATGCTGCTCACCCTTGATATAACTATTATTATTATTACTACTACAACTATTATTGTTTATAAACACACTATTTATGAATGATAGTGGCTGTATATTGTTGGCCGATGATGAGATTGACGATGTACAACTGCTGGACTCTTGATCCAAGTCTGGTTGCTCCAATGTTGTTGTTGTTGGGCAATCATTACCATTATTATTATTTATATTGATGTGAAATGATTCATTTGTATGTTGTTGTTGGTTTTGTTGTTGACGGATCATCATTGTAATATCGACCAATGGGTGTGTCAACAATGGACAACTATTTCTTCTAATATACATATTGCCGCCACGATTGACGTCCGAGGTCGATGGAATCAATGGTGTTGGAGGAGCTATATTTAACATCTTTCAATAAGATAACTGGCTAACTTCTTCTTCTTCTTCTTCTTTACAACATAACTAACTATGATTATTTATATCAAATTACAAATACAACTACAATAATATGATCTGGATCTTTAAAGGGATAATAGGATTGAGGATTGATTACAACTTATTTTTTTGATTGTTTAATTGTTTGTTTGTTTGTTTGGTAAGTTATAAGAATGATTAAGTTAATTGGATGGTTGGATGGACTAGATGATCGCGATGAAGACCTTTGAGTCTTTGGTATATTAGCTCAAACACTCTTTGACTCTATTCATTCATTCATTGGCTCATTCATGGTCTTGAATGGACTGGGCAAAGCCAAGCCAGAGGACAGAAAGACAGTGACAACTTGGACACCTTTGTCCATACTTGAAGATTGAGGAGGAGAACAAGAATACCTGGAGACATCCAACCCACACAACACTCATACACTTACACAACAGTACTATGACTTGTAAAGCTCCTTATAAGGATGTGTTCAGCTAGATCCAGGTTGACCACATACTTACACATCCACACACTCGGACAACTTTCTCACACAACACAGACTTTAGCTCACTTACTACCTGTTATGGTGGAGTGGTTGTGGTGTTGGGATATGTTTGGGGCAGGCGAGGACAACAATGCCTCCTCATGTTGGGGGACATCATACATCCATCCATCCATCCCATCCATTACTATATTAGTATATTTGGCGTCATACAAATGTTAGATAATCTAAAATCTACATCTCATCCATGTTTATCGATGAAGAACCCCCAGGATATTGAGTTACATTGAAGTCCTTCATTCTGTCAATTCCTAGGCATCAATCAATCAATCAATGCATCACAACATCATGCTTGAGGATTCTTCAATCGATCAATCACCTCCAAATGTAAATGTTGTAATTGTAAATGTAACAATAATAAGATGTTGCAGTGTGTTATTTGTTAATGATATGGTCGGGTCCCATTGAATCAATCGGTTGCTGTTGCTGCTGTTGTTGCTGCTGTGCATCGGCCTCTTCTTCGCTTTGAGGCACTGGTAGCAAACCTTGTTTCTTCTTTCTATAATCTCTAATGATATAATAGAGACAGATGCCCACCAAAATGATCTCTTGTACTGCAGTCGCCAAGTAAGGGAACCAAGTTGTCCACGATTGGTGAAGTGACAGTTGATTGAAACAAATCAAAATGGCACCTGGAATTTGAATCAGCAATGTAGACAAACTGAGACTTCCAATCTCCTGTTTGAGTTGAAGCGGTTGAAGGATGATGGCGAGTTGGTTAGTATGTGATTCACACTCAGAATACCAGGGCACTGATGGATTTGCACCATTTCCATCGGGAAATCACTTACATCAGCAATCCAGGTTGTGTAAATTTGTGGAATCCATTGGAAAAAGACAAGGACAGAGGCCAAGATGCCAAGTCCGTAGGCATAACCTTTGACAACATTGCTGATGTCTCCATAGGAGTAGATAAGAGCAACACCAATGGCAAAGAAGATGATGGTGAATGCAATGCTGCCCCAGAAGAAGGGCAAACTGTACCAGTCCATTCTGATAAAGAATCGCTCGATCTTGTTGTTGCCCTCCTTCAACAGGAAGGAGTCGGCTGGCAGCACACCCTTGCCATCCTTTTGTTGTTCCACATCGTTGTCAATCAATGGCGCCTTCTCATGTTCTGGAGCTGGGCTAGTTGGTGAACCATTACTCGATTGATTGACCGATGATAAAGGTGGAAGTTTTGGTCTGTACACTACGTAGAGTGCGAAGCTGGATGTGATGTGATTGAAGAATTAGAATCTGTTGTCCAAAGAATATGTGATGTCTATAGTCCACACATACATGACACCAGTTACAACGAATGGAACAGCCATTTGTACGACTGGGATGAAGTTCTCAAAGCACGTCCATGAAGTCTATGAGTGAATGAGGGTTGTTAGACACTTCTCATGTGCATTGTGTTGAGTCGTGTCCAGTCTAGACCTACCAAGAAGTTGCTACAGCATGTAAAGACAAACCAGTTTAGGAAAAGACTGTTCAAGAATGTACCCATGCAATTGGCAAAGTTGAACCAACAGCTGATTACTGATAGACCCTCTACATTCTTTCTAAGTATCAATACAAATATCTATGAAGTGTATATGTATAAGTGTTAATGGCCATTCGATTCGGATCAGATGATGACTTTGATATCTAGATACTAACCTGTGGAAGGAAAGAAATGAATATGCCAACTGCCAACAATATACCTAGTACAACATCACCAGTTGCAAATGATGTTTTACATGTATGATCTGAGCTGCTACCAGTATCATTGCCAAAATGTTGTGCGATCGCCGCACTATATAAATCCAACATCTTATCCCTGTATGTAGTAATATATCTAAATTGAATTGTCAGCTGTCTGAAGAATAATTTAGTTTGTTAGATTTTGTAGTTATAACAACTAAATGTTGTAAGAAAGCGAGTTGGAGTAGTAGTAGTAGTAGTAGGTAGTAGTTATATGTTTGAATGAACACACACACACTATCCATCTCTATCTCTATCTCTATCTACATTTTATATGCATGTGACCCCCATAAACACAAGATTACACCAACACGACATGACCACTCACTACAAGCCATTTGTTGTTGTTGTAAGTTGTGTTGACTTACATGTAAGTTGTATAAATAAGTATTATCTGTTCAGTAAATATATAGTAAGAGTTGATACAGTATAGAATGCAAACAATTTCTAAATTGACGACTTAACTCAAACCCATCCATGGTGCAATGCAAATGATACAAAGGCCGATCCGTCCGAAACCAAACAATGATATTTTTTGACAGACTACCAACTTTTGATGAGCCGAAGCCGAATCACCAATCGCGACCTCCATCTAAAAAAGGTCATACTTGAAGTATCACCAACCAACCAATCATTCAATCAAATCAAACAAGTCACAAGATATTATCTCTAGAGACAAATAATTGTCTTGTGTTGTTTGTATTTGTTTGAAGAATGAATGTGGGTTGTCTTGTGGACAACAACAGAACTACAACACTTCCTTATTTAGAAGAAGGGTGCCACCCCTGTGAATCTAGAGATGTCAATGGACAAAGGGTAGTCCACTCAAACCAAGATACTTATCTTTCTTAAGATGAAGCAATTGTCTTCATACATTCTAAAGAAAACAAAACAAAGATAACATATAGATACATAATAGAGATATATATATATACAAAATGAACTCATCATTATTATTAAAGACATTTACAGGACAATTGACAGGTACCAGATCATTCCTTTCAACAAATAGAGGTCACTTCCTTCAAACTATGAAGAATGTAAGTGTAATCTAAAGTTGGTTGGATTGGATAATGGATGACACTTTCTTCCCAGTTCCATGGAACTAAATATACTTTACTTCATACATAAACCAAAGCATAAGAAGTCTATTTTCGTAACAATGTCTGAACCAAGTAAATCGCCAAAGGTAAATGATACTATAATTACACCTATGCATCTAAAGGGTTTGGCAAAGAATACCAAACCATTCAAGGATTTGATTGGTGTTAGACATACCCATATTTAAAATATAAGTACCAATCAGATAATAAATAATAAACAATTGTAATTATTTGATCATCATCTCTTGCTATCAAGAGAGCATCACATTATCCTCAATTTATTACAGTACATCCTGCAATGCCAACGTCAAACGAACTTTCATAAGGAGATATTTTATTTTTTGAGTATTTGAGTGTTTTGTGAGATCCAAAACTGAGCTGAGTTGCTTGCTCAGTCTGGTCCACCCATGCGGATGGTTTCTTGTTGACACAATGTATCAATCCTTGACAACACATACTACTCTACTTATACATACATACATATTTTCATACATATACATATATATATACTCAATTAAAGAGTTATAATATATATATCAATAATAGAGAGATATGTCATCAGCCAACGCAGCTGCATCAACTACATCACCAGAGAAGAAGGCAAAGAAGGTCGATGGAGACTACCAAGAGCCTGAATATATAACGATCGAGGTCACCGATCCACTCAGAATCGAGGATTACATCTCCTACAAGATTACTACACGTGTACGTAATGAGACCCTTGTTGTTGATTATTCTTGGTCTCGCGAGACTAACAATCGATAACTCTCACTTCACTCCACTTCATAGACCACCTTCCCAGAGTACTCTGAGCGCGAGTTCACCGTGCGTAGAAGATACAAGGAGTTCTCCAACTTGAGAGACCACTTAAAACAGAAGCTGTCAGAGAAGCCAAAGGCTATCAAGTTTGGCGAGTTGTACCCATTGCCAGGTAACAACCTGTCTTCACTTTTTGGACAGGGTCGTTTCGAAGCAGAGTTCATCGAGGAGCGCAGAAAAGCACTGGAACAATTCCTCAACTCTGTTGCCAACCACAACTTCTTCCGCTTCGTCAACTACCTACACCGTTTCCTTCAAGATAAGGATGCCACTGTAAGTATCACATTACTTCATTCATTCATTCATATCATTCAATCAATCAAACAACTCAATCTGTTGACTAACTAACTCATTGCCTGGCAACAACACATCACAGTTCCTTTAAACTCCAACCTACAGCTGATCGATGCGATAGGCTCAAAAGAAATAGTAATAGGTATGAATAAATTGGATACAAAGCTATGTATGTAACATCGCTCGCGTCTGAGTCTGTTGTCTACTCGTAACCTTGTGCTCGCTCGCACACAAACAAACAAACGCAGGCTTGTGGACAAAGACAGTTCACTACTACATGTAGTTACGCGACTACTACACTCAACTTAGTTATCATAGCATGTCTGATGATGTATTGGCCTCATCTTCGTCGTAGTAGTAGTCGGGGTCAGACTCATCTGGATTGTCTATCTGTTCCTGCTTGCGACGGTAGTCCATAGTGATCTTCTTGACAATGTCCATTGACTTCTTTTGCTCGGCAAATGTCGGCTTGCTGTTGCCTTGGCGGGGCTTGATCATCGACGTAGCTCCACTTAGTTCATTGGCCATCTTAACCTTTAGATTCTTCTCCTTGTTCTAGTGCGGAATAGGATGGTAAGTACATGACTGGAACTGGAGGTCAGTAAGCACTTACAATCTGAGTTGATAGGCTTTGTATATAACTGTCCCATTTGCCTTGGTTGATCTTGATTGGTGTGATAGGAGGGTTGGTCGAGGTTGATGATGACGATGATGATGTGGTTGATGAAGTTGATGTAGTTGAAGTGGCCTTCTTGGAGGCCTTTGATGTCTTGGAGGATGATGCCTGTGGATTGAATAGATCGTCTTCCTCCAACGAGTCATTCAAATATGTGCTTGGAACAAACTGTTTATAAGTTCTCTTGAATGGTGTAGTATTGACAATGTCATTCGTCTTCTTGGACTTGGTTTGCTGGTTGATGCATGAGGTGAGTAATTGGTCTTCCAGAGTCCATCCACATCCATCAACAAATCAATCCATCCTCATCCATACCTCTAAAATGAACTCTCTGATCTTTCTCTTTGTCTTCAATGTGTTCAATGACCTTGAGTCCAGCTTGATTGGCGATATCTCTGTCTTGCCATTGTCCTCCTCCTCCTCCTCCTCATCATCCTTCTTCCTCTTCTTGTTTTTGTCTGTGCACACAGAGGGACATGGTTAGTGATCCAGGACATTGAAAGTGTTGTAAGAGCAACAAACATACTGGGAGTGAGGAAGATGCTGTTTGATTGCTGTTGACATTGCTCGGCAGTCTTTGTTCCAACCATCTGTGCTATCTTGTCCCAGTAGTGATGGTAGTCCGTTGGTTTGACCTTCTTCTTGGCCGCATTCAGTTTGTCAATCTCATCACTTGTCCATGATTGTTGATCTGCCAGTGATGTGCTGATGTTGCCATTCTCCTTATCGTGTGCCGCCAGATTCATACGAATGCCACGACTCTTGGCCAGCTCCCTTGATGCTGACTGCAAGACCGCCTTGAACCTGTTGAGTGGAGTTGGCATCTCCTTAGGCTCTGGCACTTCTTCCGCCTTCTTCCTTGAGCCCCCTCTTGTCGCAGCAGCAGGCTTCTTGGCCACAGCCTTTTTGATCGCAGCAGCAGGCTTCTTGCCAGTCGAGGTGGAAGGCTTGGAGACTGCCGGTGTAGGTGGAGGAGACTTGGCGGCAGCGGCAACTTTCTCGGCCCACTTGACTCCACAACCCTTGCACAGGGTCCTTGGTCCATTGGGACCTGTTGTCCAATATCTAGATGAAGTGTCTCCACAATGATCGCATTGAAGTGTTTGAACATTCCTCTTTGAAGTAGCCGCTGTCTTTGCCTTCTTCTTGACAGGAGTCATCACTGGTACATTCTTCTTTGTCATCTGATTGGCAAGTGATCTTTGACGAGTCATCATCGGGCGTCTGGCCACTGGTGATGTATGTACATTCTCTTCATCTTGTGTCTTTGTAGTCTCTGTTGTTGAGGTAGTTGTTGTTGGAGGTTCCTCCTGTATCTCTTGTTGTGTATCCACATTCTCTGGTGTCTTTACTTCTGTATCACCATCATCCACTCGTTCTTGCATCAATACATCATCTTCCAATGACTGTGCCACCACAACATCCTCATCTCTGTCCATGTCCAATGTATGTTGTTGGCTGTCGCCCAATTGAAAGCCAGCACTTCCAGAGCTTGATAATGATGTAGATGATGTATTGTTGTTGTCTTTGTCATTGTGATTGATATGTACATCATCGGCATCCTCCACATTGTCTACGTCATATTGATCTTCAAGTTGATATTCAATGTCATCAATGTCATATTCTTCATCATCATATTCCTCTTCGTCATCACCACCAATGTTAAAGTGTCTTGCCAATGCTTGATAGTAGAGTGCCCTTTGAGCGACATTAAGTCTCCTCTGTGTGCAACCAAGTATGAATGCTTGTCTAAGTCGATCATACTGTTTCCTTTGATTCAATACATATTGTACACTGCCTTCTTCTGCAGGCGCCTCTGCCACTCCACCATCAATATATACATCTACTGAGTCGTTCTGAAGTTGGAACACTGAGCAGTCCATCCTTTTTTTGTGTCGACTTCTACTTATACTATTGCTATTACTAATATACAACTTCAATAATGATTGATTGCGAGAATGAATGATTGATTGAGCGGGTGAATCTGATCTTTTTGAAGTTCTTGACGAACTTGGAGACATGATTGATGAGCGGAGTGGAGCAAAGTTTATTGATTGCTTACTACATGTGCTGCTTTAACAGACGGTCGTTGTCTGTTTGCCAATGGGTTGTTGACAGCACTCTCGTTGATGGATGTTGTTATTGATGTAAAGTGGTTGGTAGTTGCTAGATCATGGTAGTTATGATGGTACACGGGGACCAATAGCACCATGGTGTGATTGGATTGATTGATTGATTATTTGAATGTATGTATGTATCGCTGTCGCTGTTGCTGTTGACTTAGAAAGAGGACTCGACCTTCTTTGGAAGATGCTCGAAAGTGTCGATGTGGTACTCTTGATAGGTGAAGACCATGTGATCAGCAGAGAGACCGCCTGGGATCTCGATCTTGTTCTGGTGCTTGGTGAAGTTGTTGATGTTGCGAATGTCAAAGCCATAGTCGGCGTTGACAGCCTTGAACAGCTGGGCAGTGTTGAGAATGTGTGTTTTGCTGACTGGGTAGGGCTCCTTCTCGTAGTACTCCTTGGCGTACTGCTCCTCGGCATCAGTTGCATCAGCAAATGCCTGTGCTGGTCTCATATGTTGGACCTCTCCTCTCTTCTTCAAATACTTGTACACCTTGCTCATTGGTCTAGTCTTCAATGGTTGTTTGTTTGTAACATCTGGTGGTGTCTGTGATCTGTTGTTGTTGAGTTGTTGTATAGTTATTCAACATAGACATAGATATACTCGTTAGTCTTGACCTGTTGCTGTTTGATGTTGATGATGATAGTTGATGACATACCCTGGTGCAGGATAACGGTAGTTAGTGTCAAAGAACACCTCTGAACCAACAGCAAGTCTTCCCTGTGAGAAGTAATGCTTCACTCTGTTTAGGAATGATGCCATATCTGTATAATATATATATATATAAATAATAATAAACGATTACAAGTAGTATGTTTGTTTGAATGACATGTGCAGCAGCGTGATTGAATGAACCCAAGAATGATCACAACTTTAAAAAAAAATGAACTCCGAGCTCGCCTGGACAATCTTTGGCTTATGGATTGGATTGGACTGGATAGTGATCCATCAAGTATCATCATCATCACTTTAATACATTATATCTTTCCAACATCTTTCAATAACATAAGCTTCAACTCTGTATACTCCTCAATAGTATGTCTAATACCTTCTCTTCCAAGTCCAGACGACTTGATACCTCCATACTTTGATTGATTGATTGATCATCATGTTAGTAATCGTGTCCAACAAAAAAGTTGAGTTATGTATACATACAGCTTGTGACTCGACTCGGACTGATGGTATGTCATTGATTACAACGGCACCAACATCAATGTTGTTAAAGGCGTAGTAGGCTCTGTTGATGTCTGTTGTGAACACTCCTGCTTGGAGACCAAACTCAGAGTCGTTGACTCTTCGCACCACCTCTTTAAAGTCTGTGAATGGTTCGATGTAGAACACTGGCGCAAACACCTCCTTGGAGCTGATGCACGAATCCTTTGGTGGATTCTCTAATATGGTGAGATCAAACACTCGGTCATGTCTCTTTCCACCAAACAATAGCTTGGCACCCTTGTTGACGGCCTCTTGGACCCAGCCCTCGATACGGATCGCATCGGACTCTGTGATCATTGGTCCATAGAATGTGTTGATGTCCATTGGATCTCCACAGCGCTTGCTGAGCTGAGCCGCGCCTTCGATCAACAGTCGCTTCAGGGTCTCATAGTGGCTCTCGTGGATGTAGACACGCTGCACTGATATGCAGCTCTGGCCTGCGCTGTAGAATCCTCCAAACAGTATCCTGCTGGCAATGGACGCCAGCTTTGACTGGTCGTTATACTGATCGACGACACAGGCCGCATTGCCACCAAGCTCCAGCACCACCTTCTTGCGGCCTGACTCCTCTTTAATGCGCCAGCCCACTGCAGGACTGCCAGTGAATGACACCAACTTGAATCGATCGTCTCTGCTGAGGATGGGCGCGTCTTGGAGGGACGTGGGGAAGATTGAGAAGGCACCCTCGGGCAGCGCCACGCTGGACAGCAGGTCGCCCAGCAGCATAGCGCTGATTGGCGTGCGATCCGATGGTTTGAGCACAAAGGGGCAGCCAGCGGCAATAGCCGGGGCAACCTTGTGCGCACAGAGATTCAGCGGGAAGTTGAACGGGGCGATCATGGAGATGGGACCGACGGGGAAGCGCTTGGACACGGCTTGGAAGCCAGCGTTCCTCCTCGAGATGTCGAGCTGCACGTTCTCACCGTACTGGCGCACCGTCTCCTCGGCGGCAATAGTGAAAGATTCGATGGCGCGTCCAACCTCGGTGTTGGCATCGATCAGGGGCTTGCCGACCTCGACCACGATCGCCTGGGCAAACTCCTCCTGTCGCTTGCTGAGCTTGTTCGCCACATCCAGCAACACCTCCTTCCTCTGGAATGATGTCATCTCTGCCATTGCCGGTGCAGCCTTCACAGTGATGTTGATAGCTTCATCAATAGTTTGTTTGTCTGCGATTGGCACTGTGCTGACATGCTTGGGTTGGAGGGCGGTGTGCATGCGATCAATGGATGGATTGATGTTAGAAGTGTACCACTCATTCATTCATTCAATCATTCAATCAATCAATCAGGCATACCTTGTTTGTGAACTTATCGATTACATTGAGGTAGTTTGATGACTTGGTGACAGGTTTGCTACCAACATACATAGGGTAAGTCTGTCTAACATAGTCTCCAACTCTTTTGAATGTTGTCATTGTATATATCTATATCTATCTATTGAGTACAAATGGTTGAATGAATGAATGAATGAATAGTATTGTTTGAACTTAAGTTTCAAATTGGTCTCAAAGAGTCATTGTGTGGTCCTTTGTTCCCTTCAACCCCATCATTGTGGTGTCTTTTCAAAGCTGAAGATCAAAACAGAGATCATTGTGATCAAAACACGTGGGAACAATGCAAACTTTTGGTTTGTCTTATTGTCCCTGACCAGGCTATCACTTCTCCTGGTGGATACTGAGAAGATGAACAATCTTTTTATTAACCATTAGTTGCATATCGAGTACAATGATTTGATCATTCCATTGACCAACATCATGTTGATGGACTAACTGTAGTCCAAGATAGATCATCATCAGTTTGATTGCAACCAATATGAGGACTATTAATCAAATCAATCAACTTTCATTCCATTATTTTATTATTCAGGATAGGGAGCCTTTTCTTACATCCAAGGGATGAGCAATGAATGATTCTGTTTGATTCGATAATGTGAAGATGTCCCCTGGACAATGCTTGAAAGGGTATGTATGGACAGGACACCTTATCTTTGTATCTTCGAGCGGATGTCCTTCCAACCTGGACTCTACTTGGAATGATGTTGAACGCTCCAAACGAATAAGTTTGTCCAATGTGATTATACACCATGTACACAATATCGTATGAGTCCTGGTCATAATTGATCACTCGAACCGATTGTAGAATCTGTCCATCATCTTGGGTGCAGTTTCGAATGGTGTTGGTCGGCACCGTTTGATAGAAGATCTGTTCAGTGATGCCTGAGTAGTCGTTTGGGATGTGGAGCGTGATCGACCTGAGATTCGTGAGCGCTTCAATGTTTTCAAACGAAGCCTGTCCATTCAAACTGAGCTTGGTCACCGACATTGGAATCGAGCCGTCACATAGATGTTCTTTGAACTCATCACCAAGATTGAGTCGGACCACTGACGATGGGATGACTCCAGGCTCCAAATCACTCTGATTATATCCGTTGCCAAGTGTAAGGTTGATCACTGACGAAGGTATATCATTCACTTGTAAGTCGTCGCAGTATTCAGGGAGATTCAAAGTGACCACACTGGATGGGATCATACCTGGCGACAAACGATGACCATAGCCCGTCAGAGTGAGACTGGTGACATGGTTCAATGGGCGGCCACCTTCAAAGAGTTTGAAGACTTCCGGATCATCGTTGGCCAGTAACAGACTGGTTAGATGTTGCAGAGTTGAGGTATGTAGGTGTGACAACTTGAATCGAACATCCGAGGTGTAGTATTGATCACCAATAGAGAGGCTCGTCACAGAAGGTGCGTTGACTGATTGATTGAACTTATATCCAAGCACAAGGGTCTTGACCGAGGGTGGGATGACTCCTTCCAACAATGGCTGGTTAAAGTTGCGTCCAAATGAGAGTGTCCTGATCGACGATGGGAATACACCAGCTATCAGTGGCTGTTTGAACTTTTTGCCAAATGATAGTTCAGTCAGTGAAGTTGGGAGTTGTCCAACGGCCAAGCTTTGATTGAAGAAATGTCCCAAGCGCAGCATTGTGACTGTGCTTGGAATTGATCCAGTCGTCAATACCTGGTTGAATCTATTACCAAAAGATAGTGAGGTCAATGAGGCAGGCAAAGAGAGCGAGCCCAACTCCCTATTAAAGTCAGAGCCAAATGATAGTGTTGAGATGGTTGAAGGAATGACACCATCATTGAGCACTTGATTGAACCTCTCGCCGAAAGTGAGTGACGTCACGGAGGCAGGTATCGCACCCAATGTCAACAGTTGATTGAAGGCATTGCCAAACCGGAGTGATGTTATAGATGATGGGATTGAGTTGGTCATGATAGTTTGATTGAATGTATCACCAAATATTAGTGAGGTGACTGATGAAGGAATGGTCTGTTCACTTATTGGCTTGTTGAATGATTGACCAAACACCAACTCTGTGATCCAAGCTGGAATCACAACATTGTGATCGATTGGTGCATTGAACTCATTGTCAAATATCAGTTTCTTGATGGTCTTGGGTATGATCGATGTCAATGATAAGTGCTGAGAGAGCACAAGTACCTCAGAGAATAATAATCTTTGGACTGGCTGAAGGAGATGTCGTCGTTGATACATATAAGTTGATGTTAACAAATAGGACATCCGGTCAATCGGATCATCCAAGTGTGACACAATCAACGTGATAATAAAAAAAGGGAATTTAAACATGTTGATTGATTGATTGATTGATTGATTATTATTATTATCTCTATTTAGACTTTGTCTATCGGTTAGATATTTGTGATTATGTCACGTGATCATTTTTTTTTAACAATCACTAACGAGTTTTGCAAAATAGATTTAAATATCTTGTAATTGCCTCACTTCGGTCTGTTTCGAATGATTAGATAGATAGGTTTATTTATCCAATCAATGAGGGATTATTAATTCCTATATTCTTTTAATTATAAATATATAAACATGAAAAATACTTTATCAATTATTTTATTATTATCACTTATAGTTGTACTTGTTCTTTGTGCTCCAACATCACCTCAAGCAAGGCCAACATGCCTAAATCTCAAGGGAGAGCCAGTGTCTTGGTGGTTTGTCATAACTGACGAATCAAAGAACAACCAAGACTATGACCCAAAGGTTGAGGAAAGGTTGAAGGAGGAGGCAAAGGAGTTGATTAAGAAGAAGTGTCCCAAAAAAGACTCCGAAGCATATAACAATTTAGCCAAAGGTCATGTTGGTAAGTTTATCTCCTGACCATTGACACGAATTTATCTAATCAATCAATCTATCAAACTACAAAGACAAGAAAGTTAAAACAAAAAAACAAATGTATTCAAGTGGATTATTCGTCTCCGACAAAGATCCTATTCAATGTATGTATAGTATTATTCCTACTTGGAATAGTAAATAACATAATAATACCAATAATAATATTAATTATAATATTTTTTTCTTATTAGCATTCCATTTCAATAAAATGGATGAAGATGATAACAAGTTCATGAAACTCATCCAGAGTCAAATTGATCAAGCTGGCAAGATCAACGAAGAGAGGAATGATGATTGCGATGACAAGGTCATTCAGAATTGGTTCCATGAAATTACCTCGGACAAGAATGGAAAGAGGTCTAATATGGCAGATGTGAATGGTGAGATTGAGGATGGTTTTGAAGGTGATGAAAAGAAGGAGTTCATTAAGAAGAAAAGGGAGACCGCTTTGAAGGTACATCCAAAAATCAAGACTAAACTTCTTTATAAAGAGGCTCACCAAAAGGTAATTACAATCCACCTCCATCATAATAATCATTCATAATATTAATAATATATATTATTTTCTTTTTCACTACAAAGTTCTTGATGACCTATGACAAGAAACAAAAGAATGGATATATTATCTCTCATTCAATGCGCATTCCAGGTGAACCTGATGAATCTGATTTCTTAAATATCGAACCATTCCTTCTCTCCTTTGATGATCCATCGCAGCATGCATTCTGCTTCAACTTTGATGATGAGGATCAATATAAGGCTTTGGTAAAAATGTATCAATTGACCCGTCCACAACTAACCACGACCAACTCTCTATGCACTATCTTTGATCTAACTGAGCCGTCAAATACTTGTGACACTAGTTGGAGTACCATGACCCAGGATATCAAGGTATCACCTGGAGAAGGAATCAATGCCATCAACAAGTTCTTGGCTCAGCCCCAAGCTTTCACCACCACCAAGAACGATTGCATGAATAATAATGGAAACCCAATCTTAATACCTATACCCTCAGGCAACTTGGAAATCTATGGATTTAGTAAGTAGTCAATCAATGACCAATTTTCAAAAAATCATCGGAAATTGTTGATCAATTAATTAACTTTAACAATAAACACGAACAAACAATCAAATAGACAACAGGATTTCCAACAACTGTAACTCAGGTACAGATACTATTGATTTGGATGGTAATGATCTAGTACTATCAGAATGTATGTGCAACACTGATTGTGACCAAAAGTACAACTTTTGTACTTTCCTAGACCTTGGTATTGATCAATGGTTGGTCATGTCGTGGCGATATACCACCAAGTTCCTTGTATCGACTGATGTAAGTTTACATTATGTTATCTTTGATTGCACATATTCTTTCACTTGCTCACTCACTAACCTATGTACCTAGCAAATACATTACCCTTCAATTGTTGGTAAGACTTATGGAGTCTATGCCATGTATACTTGGAAAAGGCCTTTTAGTATGCTGGCCGATTCAATTGAACCACAGGTGCCCTTCAAAGAGAAAACAAAGGTGGAGTCACTTACTTTAGAGGTAGTCCGTGCAACTGGTGGTGAAGAGGAGGACGGAGAGGATGGTGATGATGGTGATGATGTAGATGGTGGAGAGGGTGACGACGATGATACGTGCTCCACATCCACTACCACAACAACCACAACAACAACAACAACAACAACAACTTCAACAGCGCCTACAGCATCTCTTTCCTTCACAGGCACACACGAGAAGATAGGATTGCAGTTAAACGGAAACTTGATATGTCTGGGTGATTCCAACAGGAATGACAAGGCAATGCACCACGCGGGAGGATTTGTAAGTACTAGCTGCAACTGGCTCGACTCGTTCGTCATAGTTGAGAGACGACTGACTCATCCCACTCGCTCACTCAAACATTAGATATGCTTCCATCACAAGGAGTTGAGAGACCTATTGTTTGAGAACGTTGATGATGTGTTGGTCAATCAGATGCTCTACTTTGATGGCCAAACCGCTATAGACCCAGAGGTCAAAGATTTGAAGCAAAGGTCAGAGGCTAAACCTACTGTCTCTATCTTCAGTTTGTACGAGAAACAGAACAACAAACGGGTTTGCGCCAAAGACAATAAGAGAACTAACTTGGAGGTTGTGGATGATGTGGTGGATGATGATGAGGACACTAGAACACCACCAACAAGTCGTGGAAAAAAGAGAGGCAAAAAATAACTAACAATGGAACATTGCATTATCATCATTCAATCAACACAATAATAATAATAAATATCACTTTACAGTCTAAGAAATTGAATGTATGGTCATAAATTTATATACTACCAAACGATCTCATCATGATAGACAACAAGATATATATCGACTTCAGCAATATCTGCAGATTGATGGTGATGGATGACCCCCAACGCACTCACAACTAGGAGGCATCCATTTTTGGACGACAAAGTTTTTCCTCTTAAGGTAATAAAGTTCATCATGTTTGTTTGTAATCATTCTCCATTGCGAAGAACAAGTACAAGTAAGTAAGGTGTTTATTCGATAACATAACTAATATACTTACATACATATACATACTTACACACACATATACATATACATATACATATACATACATTTAAAATATATAAAGTTAATACTATGTTATATCCTAAAGGTGCCAACTCCAAGACATGGAACATCATTTTAAACTTGATAACAAACGTGGAATGATGAAGGAGTTAAAGAAGTGGCACGGTGTAACAATCAACAGCAGCAGTAGTAGTAGCAGTGACAATGGTGGCAGCTCCAGCACACACTCGCTTGGTAATGATCGCAGCGGATCATCGAGCCAACCAATCAGTACGCAGCAGCAGCTCGCGGGTCTAGTTGACATTGGACTGTTGAGTCTTGAGCAGTGGATCCTGGGCAGGCTTTGAGAGTATGTTATCACGTATGCCATCGATGAGGAAGTGACTCTTGACCACTTCCTCGGCCAACTCACTCGAGTGTCTTGCCATTTTGATCAGTATGTCAATCAGTAGCGAAGCCTTGGCACTGTATTCTGTGTCCATCGCATCGTTCACAAGCAGGTATCGCACACGACTCAACAGTCCAATGTCAACTAGACCCGCGAGCCAACCTGTCAGTCAGTCAGTGACTAGTAGTAGTGGATTCACTAATCGATCTGCGTTAGTCGTGTTGTATCTTCCATCGAGCAAACCTACCAACCAACGTATCGAGTGGTGTATCAACAGTAGTAGTAGTAGAAATAGTAGTAGTAGTACAACCAGACCAATTGTACCAGGCACAACGGCTCATCTGCCATTAATGCCCTACTGGAGGCTGCAGTCATTGACTTGTCTGAGGGCACTGATGATATGCTAATGGAAGAGTTGAGAAACCAGCTGTCAACTTGT